TAACCATCTTTGTCATCCAAATCCAGCTCACTGAGTAGGGCGCCAATGTCCTCACCTGATTCGGACCCCGAATACTCACAGTGCGACCGAAGCGCCAATAACTCGTGAACCCCAACATCTTCCTGGAGGGTGTAAACACGTGGACTGCCCGACTGTTTCACCCCCTTCTTCTTAATAAATCGGTTAAATTTACCTTTTATATCCGGTCGTTTGAACTGGCCTTTCGGTTTGTAGAACTTACTGGGGTCTTGTTTCTTTAATACTTCCAGGTCCCTCTTGTTCAAAGACTGACCCGTGTAAGCCAAAATTTTTCCCGTGCCAAACTCGACCTTCAAGTCTGGACTGTTTGTCAACTGGCTCAACCCCATGTCTCTACCATTCGGCCTCGGAAAACTCGCCCTATTTCGGGCCATCCATTTCTCAGCCCGTTGCGCACCAAACTTCTTTGATACAAAGGCATTCAATTCAGCCTCAATTTCCTCATCCAAAGCGTTCGCCTCGTCATCTTCGGGAACGAAACTCTTCACGTGATTCGATTTTCTATTCTTGACTGCACTGCTCTGCTGGGAACAAACAAACGCCAATGTTGACCGAAAATCATTGGTAAACATATCTAATGCCAGCTCAACCTGTGTTAACTCCACGTGACCCTGAGCCTTTGATGCCTTGTCAATCTCGTCTAGAAATAATCTCTTTTCGACGATGACATCTCGACTCAACAAGTCCTTGAACTCTAAATGGCGCTTGGTGGCAACTTTTTCTAAAATATTCTCCCATTGCCTTGGTTCCAAGCTAACTGCGCATAAAGCCAATGCAGTAGATTCCGCAAATGGGCCAAAGACATCAGGAGTAGTGCAATACTCCTCCCTAAATCTACTTGCGCCCATTGGCGTTCCACGTGGAAATCTGTTCGGTACAACAGCATTATTTGTCATAATTTTCCTCATCAACTTCCTGATGATTTCATACGTGGAACTAGTCTTGATATGAGACAATTCACCCTTCCCGACCACCTGAAGAAATTTCAGGAATTTAAAATAGTCGTTTGTTCGTGAATTATCTGCATAATCACGTGTCATAATTTCTGCATACTGATTCAGGCTTGTGACGTAACCATTTCGCATATCATCGCGTGAAGTATCCTCCACGTTTTCACAAACTACTGGGCAGATCTTACGCACAACCGCCAAAACCTCGTCAGCTGCCGATGGTCTCCCATCCACGCGCTCGAAGTATCGCAGTAATGGCAATTCTAAACCCGGGAAAAACGTATCTTTGAAAGCTCTTTCACTCTCTTCACGATTCTGGACTGCATTGTCCATGAATCCATCATGCGTGGCGTTTACGGTGCAGTGGCTTAAAGTACCAGTGTACCTACCAGCTGCCCGCCAACCTTCGAACATTGCCAGACCATCGGGAACCGATAACCGGCCCGTCAAATCAGGCAACCTGCCGAAATTCTCTCCCCATAAAAGAGGGACGTTTGAGACTTGGTCTGCAAACCTATTTTCACGATCATTTTTCCTGATTTCTCCGGAGAGAATTCCAGACACGTGGTTAAGCCATCCCAGAATTTTCTGGGACCTAACACTATCGTCCGCTGCCGTAAAGGCCAGTGGCACGATTTCTTTCCCGGTATAATACTTCAGCCCCGGAGGACACTGAAACATACCGTTATTATCATACGCGTTCATAATTATAATGGCCAAGTCAACGACAAGGTCTCGAGGTTTGAATTACTGAGTAGCAGTCCGTGCCCTAAGCCTTGGTCTCGGAATCAGGTAATTCCTTCCCTTAGCTTCTAGAAGTAAGGTCTCGGAATCAGGTAACTCCTTCCCAAAGCTTCCAGTCACCACGATAAATTGCTCCTGCAGAAACTCAACACCCTCAGTACTCTCACACGTGTAAGCGTTCTAACGTTTATTCTAGTACAGCAGTTAGGCTCAACAAAACAAACACGGGTTCTACAGCGTCTCCAGCGGTGATGATGGAGGCCCGAGAAGGATACACGTGATGGAAGTTGATGTTGGAAGCTGCGTCTCCACGTTCACTGAACAAACCTGAAATCCGATTAGTCTGCTGTAGCTCCACTAGAATCTCTAAATAAACGTGCTTCACCTCGAGTTCGAACGCTAAGCGTATGAGCAACGGTTGGTGCGAACTCAGCCGACCGTTCTCGCGCGTAGGTTTTCTTCCTGAGGGCAGGCGAGCCTGGCCGAACCATTATTCTATCGTCTAAATCCTAACGTCATTAAAAATTTTGAAGTTTCAAGGTAAAAAAATGAAGAAAAAAGAGCTGATTGATTCTTAAGGGTATCAACAACGGTTTTGGGCATTTTTAAGGGACTTTTTTCAATCGTTGTTGACACCCTAGTTTTATTATTTTCAACCTCCAAAACGCGGATCGAGCAATGGTAAACCGGAAGTGCGGTTACTATAACGGCGGATTAGAAGAACATGCTCTTGGAGATCTGGTCTTTTGGGCTGCTTGGCGCTGCCCTTTTCAACAAAAACGAGCGAAAATAGTATGACTCTGTCAGGTGCCACGTTAGCAGCTACAAACGCTGTTGGTTCACATAAACCGCACCTTGACACCAGAAACGATGGGATTACGCTCAAGTTAGAGATAGACTTTAAAATTGATGCCCGGAACTAATTCCGAACGGAGCCAGAGTTTAGGGCTCATCCAATTTTCCAGAGCAGCAGTTCAGTGGCTATCCATATCCGGCTCTAGTTACCGTCTAAGAGCGGAATAAGTGCGAATTTTTTCACATTCACGATTCGACTCAAATTTCTTGCATTTTTTTCAGCAAATTATTTCAAAAAATAATCACGGTGACACCCTTATTTCTGCAAAAAAAACCTTTCTAAGTTTGGAAATTTTCAGGTATAAAAGTAAAATCATAAGAAATAAGGGTGTCACAATGCAAACTTAATTCTCAAAAAATATGAAAAATTCTTACGGTGACACCCTAATTTCTAGAAAACTCTTAAAACAGGCCAAAAAACTTTTTTTTTGAAAGAAAAAATTAAGAGAAATAAGGGTGTCACAATACTAATTATATTCTCGAAAAATGCGCTTAAAAGTCAAGTTATTTTATGTAGATCCCCTTAATTTTTTTTCTCTTGGAAATTTTCTTTTCTAAGAAAAATATTCACTTTCTTAGCTTTAGATAACCCTTCTCCGGCTTGCGGAATTTCATAAGCCAAGCATTTTTGAGTAGCGGATTTTGAATTCAAATTCACACTTGCGCGGCCTTTCAAAAAATTCCTGACAAAAAAATTCGTTTCATGCTCAAATCCTCAAATCCGGATTAAAAAAGAACGCTTTCGTTCCAAAAATCCAGGCTGAGTCACGTGATAAGGGAATTATTGAAGAAATGAGGGATAATTTGAGCCACGTTTTTTCTCCCCGGCAGCTGTTTCTAAAAGATTGGGGATGAGCGCCGAGGAGAATCAAGATCATCCCATAATTAACACCTGAGCTGTGGGGGAAAGAGAGAGTCAAGGGTGGTGGCGATGGAGATAATTATCACGGTCTTATTTCTTTTTGAGCAAAATATCGACCACGTTACGTGTTGCTTGAATTTTGTTTTGATTAAGGACCCCCTCGTCATGTTGGAATGACTTTTTCAAACATGCATTTCGGGTTGAAACCCTTAAGATTTTGAAAACATTTTTGTGGGTTTATGTAGCTAGATAGTTGGTCGAGGGCACCAGATAGTCAAGAACGCTCGTGCATTTCTTAAGGGTGTCGCTTTGATAGGTTAAAGTCAAAATTTTTTCAAACATGAATATCTCACCGATAACCTTAATTTAAGAAAATTTTGAAATTCCTAAAATTTAACTCAGAGCTCTGTCGAGGGCACCAGATAGTTATTACGATTATATCTTTATGGGTTTACTCCGAAAAAAGGGATTAAAGGTCGCTTATCAGCCAAAAAATGGGCAAATTTTGCGAGAAAAGCCCGAAAATCTCGATTTTCAACCTCGATTTTAAAGGCGTTAGAGTCGAGATGGAATTTTGTCATAATAGAGAAAAATCATTCTCAGAACTCAGAGAATCGATTCCCGAAAATCGTCAAACATGACGGGGGGGTCCTTAAGGGTGTACATGAGCTTTTTTTTATTATGAATCAAAACAGTCTGGTTGGGTTGCAAAATCATAAGTTTAAAAATAAAATTCTTTCAGAAAAACGGCTCTTTCTCAAGAGAAAATTTGATAGAAAATCGAGTCAATTTTGATAAATTTTTAACAAAAAAACTTTTAATTTTTAATCCTCAAATTGACGTAATCATACGTCGGAAAGCCCTTTTTAAGAAGTGCTGGATTTGTAGTCCAAAATTCGCATTTAGGCTGATCTTGTTTGAATGTTGATCCTTGGGCTCCCTTTTTTGGTGAGTTGAATTCAAATACGAGAGCGCACCGGTTGGCTCGTCGCTTCTACGAAGGGCCTCGGGCCTTTCCAGAAACAAACGACAGAACCAGAGGTTCTAACAAAAAGAACTTCAGAACTTGTCATTTTCGCATAAATTACAATTATTGCAATAGCAATAACAACATCACTGTAATAATGAACAACACTGTAATAATGTAAATGCAGCCGTTCTTATCACAACTACTTCTGTTCCAAAGTACCTGCCAAGAAGCTGATACGTCAGCATCGGATATTTTATACAATGGTTTCATTGTTGATCTTTTTGAACTCATAAAAAATGGACTAAACCAATTTTTGGAAGTGAATTTTTGGATAACCAATAAGATTGCTGTGTTTGGCCTACCGGCCAATCAAAACCCTTTCCATAAAAATCTGTTCCAAAAACTGCTTTCACCCTAAAAAATGGCAAAAATATAAAAAAATTAAAAAAAAAAACGAAAAATCATAATTTTGGCAAAATCTTGTTCTATATTGATTTTTACTTTTGATCCCTTTTTCTTCAATATTAAAGTTTTAACTTTTGTTCTCTTCACAAATTAATTCTGAGCTTTCCGTCCATTCCTGAATCATTCTCTCCAATCATGAAATTATCGAGTCTCGAGTGTGGCCTTAGATTGAAATTCTCTCTTTCGTGGTCAAAAATCTTGTAAGGGTTGGAAAAGAGATTTCCCATTTTTTCTCTTAGATTCCACAGATTTTTCGATTCTTTTGTTTGCTTGTCGATTTTTCTTTTCTCTGTCTCTCTATTTAGCGTTTGGAAATTGAAAATGGATACAAACAAGAAGAATTTTTCAAAAAGCGGCAATAATTTGTATTTGGCTCCAAGTTTATCACGTATCAGCCCGAAAAAGCAGTTTTTTCTCATTCGCTTCAGAAGCGCTTGAAAACTCAGGGCCGGCTCGCGAGCGCCCTCGGCGCCTTTCCCGAACCACGTATCTCCCAGAGAAGCGAGGGCTTACCGCGCTTTTTGCTCCCTAAATGCCAGAAATCAACAACCGCCGCAACGGTCAACCAAGCATGAGTGGACACACAACAACACACATCACAATTTCCGCGAAATTCAATTTCGTTCAATTAACTGTCGAATCACGTGAGAGCTAGTTTGATCATAAGACTTTGTTGATGCAAAGTCACGTGAATATTTTGACTGAAAAGAGGATTATTATCAAGAGGATGTAAAGTTCAAGCTTTGAACTTGAGGCTTTCTTCAAGGACTTACTTAAGGACCTCCCTACCTTATTTGAAATAAAATTTATTTCTGAAATAATATAGAGAAGCCCTTACTTTATGAGTTTTCGATGAAAAAAATGTTTAGTTCTTCGTGGAAAAATTGCATTTTTAAGCTTGCTACTCCCTTAATTCATTTCAAACAGCATAATTTTTCACCTTGAAAATGGCATAAAAAAGTAGCTTGACAATATATTTGGTTCCTAAAATTCACTTTGCGGAGGGAAAAATTCACTACCGTTACCCTTTTTCTTTCAGGCTGCTTATAACCAATTAGAAACTGATCCTTTTCTTTCTTGTAATCTGACGAGTAGAAGCAGGTTGTTCCGAGTAAGAGAAGTTTTTTCAAAATTTAATGACAGTCATCGGCCCTGCATTACGTTGTACTTGTGGTTACGTGCTTAATTTTGCCCCAAACTTTATGGGTAGAAAAGGTCGACACATAATAAACGATTTGGCTTAATTCCCAGAAGAAAGTTACATAATTACGAAAATCTAGCTTGCCTGTGTGCGAGAAAAGCAAACTTCGGTTTTGTCAATATTTGCCTGTGTAAACTTTACACTGTAAAGGAAGCCGAGAGTAGGAATGGCTAGTATTTGAAGATCTATTTCGCTGTAATCAAATCAAAAATGGCTGAAATGTATCAAGAGATCGAATATATTGCCCGAAGTGAAACGAGTCCCTCGGAAAGAGGTACTAGTTATAGTGAGAATGAAAGGTTTCTTCGGATGGAAGAAAAGATAAATGAGATTTTTCAAAACTTTCGAGAAGAAAATTCATTTTTGAGGAACAAAGTTTATGATCTTGAAAAGGAAGTCAAGGTCATCGTGAGCTTTTGTCGTCACAAGACGTAATAATTTCTTTGAAGACATTAAAAAATATTGTGAATGACCAATCCGAAACGATTCAAGAGCTGAAAGACAATCGCGAGAATGTTGATCTTTCAAACAAGAAGCGTGATGAAGAGATTGAGGAAATTCGGACACTTACTGAGGGATTTTCGGAGAATCAGAAGAAATTTAGGGAGTTTCATGATTCCTCTTCTAAAAAACTCGCGAAATTGCTTGATGAAGCCGCATCGATAACGGTTGGGCAGGAAGATACTTCTTCATTGCTTACTAAAAGGTTATATTTTTCTTCCTCTGATTGAATAAATATTTATTCAAGTGACCGTCGATTAATGATTGAGAGTCAACTTCTCGGAGACTTTGATGTCTCCGTTAAACCAATTCTGGATCTACGGGAGGCTTGCTCAGGCAAAGACATGTATCTTGTTCTTTCTGCTCTTCTTGCAAAGGAAAAAAGTGTTAATTTCAAGTTTGATTACATCGTTAATAAGCGACGTATAGGTTTCAATCGCGTCTTTTCTATCCCCCATAGTTCCCTTTTTACTGAATGTCAATTTTTCGAAAATAAGGTGCTCATCGATTTCAAATTAGTACTACCGTTCGAGGCAAAAATAAGCGTTTCTTCACTTATTAATCAAAATAAGCAAGTTCAATACAATGCATATAAAAAATCTGAGATAAATTATCTCCAGCTTGCGTATGCCTTTGAAGACGTAAATATAATTGGGAAGAAGGAAGACGATAAATTTGTCTACAGATATGTTCATCAAGGACGCGAACGTGTGTCGCCAAATTATAATCATGCAACCCTTACTTGGATCATAAAAATACTCCAATAAACGATCACTATCTCCAACTTTATCCCTTGTTTCTGATAACGAAGTGACGCTTTCATCCCCTTAGTTTTCTCGTGACGCAAAGGTCAGCCCTGAAACAACCCCGAAACATGAGTTCATTTCACAGAAAAATTTCTTCACCGAAAATCTTGCCAACTAGTTTGTTTACGGCGTTGGCCACTGTGAGATTCTTGAGAGCTCACTAAGAGCGAACTAATGAACGAATAGAACGACCTTGGAATCTGTCAACATGTGGTTAGAACATTAGCCCGTTAAATTTGCGAGGCGGCGAATGCACGTTGTAGAAAATTGCTTTCCACGATTTTGAAAATGAGAAAAATGATCCTTTTTTTAACGATTTTAAGAAAAAAAATTATTCATAAGAAAAAATTAGCTAAAGCAGCATTTTTTGCAGTATCTTTGTTTGATCTGAGATTTTTTGGTTATTTAAGGGTGTACCCAACCCTTTGGCACTGGAATTTATCGACCTTGGAGGCTAACAATCGTTTATATAAAACAATTATTAAGAAACCGGCGTGGGGATATAGCTCAGTGGTAGAGCATTCGACTGCAGATCGAGAGGTCCCCGGTTCAAACCCGGGTGTCCCCTTATTTTTCGATTCTAGCGCTTAAATTTTCCCAAGAATCCAGCAGATATCGCTTCTTTTTCATGTGAAGAGACTATTTAATGTTTCTTTTGTACAAAAAGCAAGTTTTAATTAAAGAATAGGAAGTAAAAGACCGCGGAAAAAAACGATTACTTACTCTCCTTGTTTTTGCATAAATACGTCTGCGACTCAGGAGTGGTCCAGCTCAATTCCTGAAATAGAAATTTGGCTATTTTGAGATAGAAGAAAATCACGTTGAAATAGACTTCCAAAAACAGCAAAACTGATGATAGACACTTTTTCCAGACAAAAATAAAACGCTTTTTTTTTGCTCGAAAAAATAATTTATTGGGCGATTATAAATTATTGACAATAATCTATTGTGAAGACTGATCGCAAACATAATACTTAGCAAAAGAAAAGAGTGCTCCTTCCTTCTTCAATTTCGAACAACACTCTTCGTTGATTTCACTGCATAAATTCAGGTGAAGAACAAGAGATTCCATGAACGGTTTGAAGTAGGAGGTCCAAATGGCTGTATCTTTTGGATATTCTTCCCGCACATCGATTTTTCGCGAAGTTCCTTTTGTGTCTTTCAGACATCTAAAAAGTAAATGAATCTATCTTTTCTTCGTTGATGAATCTACTTTTTTGCAGGTTTGATCAAACATGGGAAGCCCTTTTCAGCATCAATTTCAAGTTCAAATCCTTCTTTTTCAAGCCCAAGAAAGTCCAAAATTTGCCCATAGCCCTCATTCGGATCTTTAATCGCCAGTTCTCCATCCAATATCAATACGTTTTCCTCCCCCAGAATTTCTTGAAAGGGGGAGATGACGTCGACGAATTCAACTTTTGCCCGAGCTTCATTCGATTCTTCTTCGACCGCGACGGTGAATTCGTCGATTTGACTTTGCATCTCCATTTTTTTGTTATTTCGAACATGCATGCTTAAAATTTTCTGTTGTTCCAGGGAAAAATTGATATTAGCCAACCCTTACCAAGAGTCTGAAGAGCCAAAATGAAAAGCCAATATTTTCAAATCGATAAGAATGATTGTGTTGCGAAGCCGCCTTGCGGCTTCGTTTTTAAAAAAACCGCTACGCGGCTTTTCATTTTTGCACTTCGGAAGCCGAATCAGTTTTTCACGCCTTGCTTGGATTGGCGATCAAATTTCTAAGCGACAATCATGGAGAAATCCTAACCCTTACGTTTGAGGCTCACCTGATGCCCGAGAACGCTCTCTTGATCGGATCGCACAACACAACAATGACCTTGATCTTTGGGTTTAGCGCTTTCATTGCATGAATTTCCATCCTTCTTCTTCCCATAACTGTTATTTGGTTGTCTTCTTTGGAGCTAGACATTGCATACTGTGGAGAAGTTTCGATCAAGATTTCATCATCTGCTGCTTTTTTCATGGTTTTTAAAGAGGGTAAAATGGAGAAAACTGGCGCTAGAAAAGAACCGTTTCCTGGTCTGAGGTCCAGTAAATAGCTTTGTTTCAGCGCATTGAACTTGTATTCGTTAAGTTTGTGCTGCGCGGTGTTTTCTGTAGTGTTCTTGCTGTATTCTAGGATTTTCTGCGCGTTCGAAGGATTGCTAAAGAATCGCAGCTCTCCGTGGGTGTAAACAACTTAAATTTTTATTTGAGAAAGAACTGGTTTGTGCTCCTTACTTTGAGGATGGCAGCCAAGAAAACTCAACGACCCCGTGCCACATTTCGCCATGCCGATTCCGAGAACATCTGGAAACCGCGACTTCTGTGTTTTGTTTGAACTTCTGATGGTGAAAGGACAACTTGAATGTTTTACTCCCGCTTCGGATTGGAAATTTTCTTTGACGTTTTTTCGGAATTTTTCAGGAACATTACTTTTTTATCGTCAAAAATTGCATCATAAATATTTTCTTTCAATCTTTTGACATTTTCCTGATTATATATTCGTACGGATTCTTTTCAAAAACCCATTTCTCTTCTAGTGGCTCATCGATTTCAATAAATTCTTGCGTCAAATCAAAACTGAGCTCTTTCGTAAACGACTGTAAGAAGAAAAGAAAAATGAAACAAAGAGGAAGAATTAACTGTAACGATCTAGTGGAAACTGCATTTTCTTTTTCCATTTTCTCTTTTGTTGTTATCGTAATCGGGAGTTACCATGAGAATTCTCATTTGCAGCGCACTAGAACGAAGCGCCCTCGGGTAATTTCACTGTGCCACTAAGGTTTAGTGCCGTTTATTTATATTCAATCGAAAGAAATCATTTTATACACAAAAATTTTCAGAAACTCTCATGATAACAGGAATGTCACTTTCCACATCAGAAGCAATTGTTCCGATGATTTGTGCTCTGATAAATTGATCTTCATCATCAAGGTCAACTCGCTGAATGGTACTTGACGTGCCAGGAAATATGAAAATTGAATTGTTGATCCTTTTTGCAGTTCCGTAATAATTAGTCTAAGTGAAAAATTATTATAAATAGAGAACGCTGATTCTAACATTTTGAAGGTTTCCGAGTTCTGTCCAGCTATTATTTTTCAGCAGCCATATCCATTTTTGCTGCGTTTCTCCACTCACACCACCCGCGAGCAAAAGATTTCCACTTGACAGACCGATCAAAAAATGATGCCTCGTGTAACTTCAATAGAACTTAGAAATTAAACTGCCTTATTCATTACTGAGGAAAATCAGTCAGAGAAGACCATCCTGAAGAACTAAAGGTCTCAACTTTAGTCGCTCCATTGTTCATCCATCCACCAACTGTTGTTGGTTGCCCTTTATAGAACGCAAGGCCCCCTGAGGGATGACGATAGGTTGTGCTGTGGGCGGCAACAGAAGCTGTCCCATCGAAAATTTCACAACTAATCCAGTTGTCCGGAAAGCAAATCAGAGCTTTGGCTCCGTTGTTGATCGAAATCGCAGCTGAATCTTTTTCCATAGGTTTTATCAATCGCATCGACTGATTTTTCCATTCACACCCCTCCAACCTAGCAATCTTGAAAAAGCTTCATTATTTTGCAATTATCATAAACGAACACCTTTTGCGGATCTGATTCTCCACCAAAGATGTACAGCATGTCCTTGATGATCGCATGAGGAGCAAATTTTGTAAAGACATCGGAAGGTGCTGTCACGGAAACTGCTGTTTGAGTTGAGTCGTCAACAGAAAATTTGTATGATTCGCTCAAACTTTCGCCCATCACCAAGAAATGCTTAAATTCATCATTTGTCTTAGAGCTCTTGGTAATGCAAGACATACCTGCGGCAAAAGATTAAACAGATACTCGTTGCCTTGATTTTTAGAACAATCAGTGGTTCCAGTGCAAAAGATACTGTCGTTTGGATCGCATAGAGTCACATGAATCTACTTATTTAATTTAAAAATAATATGGTTTTTGAGCTAAAGACCGTCAAAAAGAAGGACTTTGCATTGTTAAAAGTGAACGGCTTCCAATAAAAGGATCGCCCATGACTTTCAACGAGATCATCTTGAAAGAGAGCACACCCGTCATCCACGAGTTTTATTGTTTTTTCGCCCGCTTTAGCACTAGATATACGTATTTTTATAGGCTATAATAATGATTTGAAGCATTATAAAAACCATCTTACCCGGTCCAGATTTGATTTATTCTGAAATCTGAAAACTTGTTGCTTGGGTAATCAATCAACAGTTTCAATCCAAGCATTGGCTCTTTATTGCAGTCGTAGCTGTTCGATTTGTAAGAAGATTCGACACAAATTGATGGTGCAGGAATATTGTCAACGTCAAGTGCAAGATTTTGGGCGATATTGATTGCCGCAGCTGAGTTTATTTGCTAGTTTTTAGGTCAGAAGAAAGGAAACTGTTAACGATTTTACCATGCTTATTTTCGTACTAGTTGAGCTTTCATACTCGCATTGAAGATCAAAGGGAGAATCAATTGTCATGTTTCCATTAAGCTATAATTAAAATCAAAATCGTTATGAATCATAAGTTACGAGATATGATACAATCATTTTACATTATATTTTTCTTGGACGATTCCATTCAATTCAAATTTGATTTTCTCCATGTCTGCTGGGTCAGGATAGGATGTTTTCACATCACAGTCAGAAAACAGCACTATAATTGCATATTTCTTGTCTGAAACATGGGTGAACCTTCAAAAGGGGACGAGCTTTGATTTCTAGCGCCGAAATTGCAATCTGAAGAGTTGCTTCGATCATTGCCGAGATAGATCGTCTCGGTCCAATCATCGCCTCTATTCCAGTGCTTCATCAAAGTTACTAACCCTGTTCGTTTACAATTTTCCGCCGATTTGAAAACTTAGTTCCTGATCAAAGCAAGTCTGGTTGATGGATATGATAAATTTATGTTTCGAACAGTCGACATTCACGAATTCGTCCCTGTCACATGCCCGACCAAAACATAAGAATGAGAATAGAATGAATAGAACCTAAGTTATCATAATCTTCCGCAGAAATAAATAATAAGAGAACATCTCTAAATTCGATGGATCTCACCAAAATAAAGTTTCTTTCTTCCATTTGACTTATTCTCTTGGAACTGGAAAGCAAAGCAATCAATTCTGATTGTTCGTTAAATTGAGCATAACTCGTAAATTTAACGAGAAGTTGTGAAATATTTTACCTGAGAAAGAGTTTTCGGATTATTTTTTAGCAATTTATTGAATAAATAGAAGAGCAAAAATCTCATGCAGCTATATTCTCGGCTTCTTCGATCGGATCAACATCTTTGGAAGGCCGTACTTTGACGCTTTTTGATCGGGATGGCAATGAGGTGAACATTTTCGAGATTTTTGAGACTTTCAGATCGCCAGTCGTCATTCGTCGTCCGACAAATGCCTTTTCCGAGTTTCTTACCTATGAACGCCAATAAATTGTTATAGATGCGCCGATTGGTTAATAATGAAAGAACGATTCCTTTAGAGATCCTCTGGAAGACTTTTCTTCATCCTTTTCTTTCTCTTCTCCAGGGTCCGATAATTTGAGCTCACGCTAAAACTCCACGAAACAAAGCTTGAGAACTCAGTTTTTAAATTGGAGTTTTGAGAAACTCATAGATGAGAGCTCGCGTGAGAAATCAAATTTTGTGGTGGCGCTCGCGATCCACGAGCCAGTCAAGGCGGGGTAGACGATTTTTGTAAGTGCGCAGCCTTACGCAACGCGCCTACGATCCGCTGTGGCTGCGCCGACTCGCCGCCGGGCCAACCGGCGGGCCAATCAGCGCGCTCGCTCAAATGGAGTTTTTGAAAACTCATGAGATTTCCCTGCTCTCAAGCAAAATCTCAGATTTTCTCCAAATGATTTCTCAAGTCACACTGAGTTCTCAATTTGAGAAAATTTGAGCGTCTAGCCGAAATGAGTTTTAGCGTGAGCTCAAATTATCGGACCCTGCTCTTCTCCAATTGGAAGACCCGTTTTCTCAGCAATTCTGGCCACAATATCTGCTTGTGGTTCATAAATGCAGCCCTAAACCCTAGCTGCATGATTAAACCATTTCCTTGGCTGTCTTCCGAGTAGATCAAGATACAATTAGGTGGCATTTCGGGAATGACCGCAATAATGCCCAAGAGGTGATCAGGGCTTTCGAGGCTCTCGTCCATGTGAATGTAAGTAATGCTCGGATAAGGCAGCAAGGCAAGGTCTTGGTCGACTGTACAAATCAGCAGCGCGTCTAAAAAGGGATCAAACTGTATAATCTCGAACTTGCTATCCGCTGTAGCTACCTTCGCGGAGAACTAATCTGGCTTCCATCTTTGCTCCTTCTCGTTTCAAGCTTCCAACTGCCATCGAAGCAATTTGTTTACCACGGGAGAAGTTGACCCGCTGCGAGCCCATGTAGTCGCAATTGTAAGCTAAAAAAGGTTAACCCGAAAGCATTTTTTCCATTTTTAGTTGACAAGAGCTTCAGGAAGCCTCAAAAGAAAAGCTCCCTCTTGAAATCAAGGAAGAGTACCTGCCGATTTCCTCACAACAACGCTGCATTCTGGCGCTTGATTAATCAAAATATGATGCGCTTCTGCAATCAGCTCCTTTGCTGGACCCATGTAGATGTCCACATGTGACCAGGCCCCCGCCTTGTTGAAGCTAAACAAGAGTTCATTATCATTCATTTATTGGCAGTATGGAAAACGCATCAGTCTTAATTCGTTGACCCTTTTACTTACTTATAATTAACTTGCTCTTTACCATATGTCCAAATGAGCCCGCGCCTAATCAAGGGATACAGATGCCATAAATTAGAAAAGCCTGTAATAAGGAAAAAACAGAGAAGAACTATGACAAATTAACTTTGAATCATGAACTTGAATATTGAAAATTGGAACTGAGTTTAATTAGGAGTCAATTTAGCCTTTTGAATGACAACCTGTTTTTTAGTAGAAATAAACTGTCAATTTGGCCATTTTTGGGACAGCTAAGAGCGAAAGGGTTAATTTTTAATCTCTGAAAATTAAGTTTTGCGTCATGTGACTTATTTCAATCCCGTTTAGTAACCCGTTTTATGACCCCTTCTCGTCTCATTTCCCGAAAAGAGCAGATTTAAAATCAAACGGGAGGATACTGTAATCAACAGATCGCTTCTTATACCGTGCGCATTCAATATCCCTGTATAATGCCCAATATCTCGCCATTTAGAACAACATTATCCATGTTGAAAATTAAATCAACAGGGCCCGCTTCATTCGCTCCTGACGTGTTGATTGTAACACCCGCAGCAATTCTGAAATTAAATGAAGAATAGGACAAACAAAATGAATTGAATTATAAATGAGCGGTCCACCTTACCGTCGAACAATATCTACTTGAGGATCGAGAATGCTTCACAAATCAACAATTACTGTAATCGAGCGCGAAGCATATGATTTTTAATCGAAAATTAATAAGACTTGTTTCTGCGTTATTATTATTATTGATGCAAATCTCGGTCCAACTGGCAACTTGTGGTCTGAAAATATGTCTGTATAAAAACAGACATCCCACACTGTATTTCAAATTTTGTTAAAAATAACCCCTTTATGATGAAGTTAATAAAGAAACCAAAAAGTGATGGATAGCAGATGGAGATTTACATGAGTTCAGCGCGACCTTTTTAACATGACATGATACTGTCTATATATGCTAATAGAGTAGGTAATAGTCTTCCACCGGCGCGATTGTATGTGAAAACATGAGTCGATCCTCCAATCCTGAATTTGTCCTGCAGCAGCGGTCGGAATTGAGCCTATGTGACCTTTCTTTGTAGCTCCCAATTTTCATCAGCATAAAACGCGTCCCCTTATTCCCAGGATCCTCTTGAATGACCTTCTCTTCGGTCGTTTCTTAACCCCACTTAGGAAAATTGAAACTACAACATCAAACTCAAACCTGTCCGGCAGAAAACAAGCAAATCATATCTTCCGTCTATCACTAGAATGCCGAGATTCGTACGAATCCAACAAATTGCTTTGTCATTTGAAATCAACGGGCAACTTTGAAGCGATTGTTTAGATTTTCAATGAGTTAACCCATCCGCGCACCAATGCAAAAAACGTGTTTTTGGGCAATAAAGCCGCATGCGGCTTATTTCAGATTTTCGAGAATAATCAAAGTTAAAAAGACAATGTTCCTCGAAAATGGGTTCTAAAATGGCCAGTATGCGCGTATGGGTTAAAAATGTGGCCCAAAAAGATCGTTCTCACAATTTCTCTTTCCATGAAAAACAAATTGACCCCTCTTCTGACAGCTCGAGATCTGCCACTTCTCTAACTGTCACATCTTCTATCTTTTTACAGCCGGTTTCCTTTTTCGAACACAGCCGAAGCATATTTTCGATTCCATATGTAGTGTTTTTAAGCTCTCTTGTAGCCTTATTAAGCTCCCTCCTTATTTCTCTATATATTCATTCTTTCTTCATTTGGACCCATCAAAATTGAAAATTGCATTGTGGACAGGTAGTGCCATTGGCGTCTTGTGCCTTAATCCGCTCTCCTGCGCCTCGGGCACGGTCACTGCTTTTCATTAAAAACAGTAACATTCTTGGTCAGTTGGAATATTTCCTCTGAACTTGGATTAAGATTGATAGATGCATATGGATTTTTGCTCGCCGACTTCTTGAATAATTTACTTTCTGATCGCCAGAGAGTATTTCAGACTATTGATGAAGCTTCAATATTGTTCCAATAAAAACAGTCGAGGGATCAATTTGGGTTTTCATGCCAAAAATCAAGACAAATGAAGCGCTGAAAATTGAGTTTACGGAATGACTGAAGAAATGACTAGACGAAAAGATTCTCCAGATGACAGACGGTGGAGAATGAAGCCGGAAATCTTGAAGCTCTTGAACGGGACTCGAGATCTTCCAAAGCCAAAATGCTGACAGTAATACAAATTCAACAACCTATTTAGACTAGATTATCCAATTTTCATCAACGAGAAATGAAGATTTTCAGACTTTTCCTACTGCTGTTTGATTCTAGCGCTCTTGGAAAGATTGTCACGTGGAAGGGAGAGAACTCAATGCCTGATGGACGACAGGGTCGGAGATTCACAGAGATATTGGTTGTTTTTTGTTGAATCCAGAAGAGGGCGAATTTTAATGAGTGGGATTGGGAGTCAAAAGGAGGGATTTCCAATTTCAAATATTTTCGATGATGACTTATGGAGCGCTTGGAGAGCTGATGATCTCGTTTCTGCGTCGACTTTTCTTTATGTGATGCGATTTCCGCAGCCGATTCTGTTTGAAAGTCTTACAGTCAGGGGCGAATTTCTTTTTTATTTGATTGTTTTCTTTCTTTCTTGTTGTGGAATTTGCTGGGAAGTTTCGATGATCATGTGCGACTGTGCGCAGTTTGACGTACCCATCTGTCTCGATCTTGACTCAGGAAGGGGATCAGACTTACTTTTCTTCGATAAATGATTTAAAGATTCTCCATTGAGAGCCTTTTCAATGCACAACAAATGGATGTCCTGTTGACTTTTTGAATGCATTTGAAAACGGCGAGGAGTTGATCAGAAATGTCACCTTCCAAGGAATCGGCTTCCGGATCATTTTCGTCCTCAAAAGAGGGGATTTGAGAGCTGAGATGTAGTTCCAGTTCAACGAAGGCCAGCTCGGTTGTTTCGGCTTCGATGGGTCAATAGAAGGGATGCGCAGAAGATAGCAGTTACTGACTTGAGTGTAAGATACTGTGATGGAAGTTGCGCGCCGCCACCGACAACAACGACCACAACAACGACGACAACGACGACTACCACGACTTCAACAACTACAACATCCACAACGACTAAGAGACGAAGGCGGCCACAACGGTTTTCCATCTTCAAATGTTACTTTACTAAATTCCTTCAGGCCTCAGCGACCAGTTCGCCCTCAACGGCCAAATCGCCCGTTTCGGCCGCAGCGACCCGAGTTCGACCTTCGGCCTCAATCTCGTCCTCTCCTCTCAGCTGGAAATTCTAATAATCCAGCTTACTTTGACAGGTACAGAAAGCCCTTCTTCGCTCATAGCGGCGATGGAGCAAATTTCGTCGCTGCGTCTACTGTAATTGTTTGTTGTAGCAGTACTCGGAGCCTGATGAAAGACGCCTATTGGACTCTCTGTCTTACTTTCTGTTTGTTTTTGTGTTGAAATGTGAAAAAGTCACAATAAATAACTGGCACACCCAAATAAATGACTGTCCCTTTTATCCGTATAAAACTCCGGTTCTTCGAGAATAACAGTATACAAAAGAAAAAACGAAGAAAATGAAACTGATCAACTCACTTTTTGCCCTCTTTGCCCTTGCTGCTGGCTACAATCTTCGACCAAGAAATGGACAGTAAGTTTTTTTTTCGCTGTCTTTTTTCTAATACAATATTCTTCAGAGTTCGTTACCAGGAAGATGCCCTTGAAGTTGACGATCACGGAAACCCAATTTTGAGAGATTACGACTCTGCTTTCGCTCCAGGTAGGATTGAAAGGCCGTGACATTGGAACTTCACCCGCGATTCCATTTGGAAGCTTCTAAGCTCAACTTATTGCTCTTTAGGTGCGACTACTGGTGAAGAGCACGACCCCAATTGGGTGCCAACAATGGATGATGTGGAACAGCTCATCTACGATCAGCAAGTCTCTGCTGAAGAATCTGAAGATTTTGAAGCTTCTGAGGAGATTCGTAAGTTCAACCGTTGAGTACACACTAGCTATATTTATCTCTGTAGAAGCTCCAGACAGCCGGGACTGGGAACCAGCTGCTGGCGATATCTTCATCCATGTCCGAGACTAACTGCAGAGCTGAATGTCAATCCAACTTCACAATTGTGCCCGACTAATTTCTTTCAACCGCTTTGATTTTGATGAATAAACTTCAACTTACAACGACCCCTTATTGACGAGTTTTAGACTTAATTCTTTGAATTCCAAAGATCAGACTTGAGCTCTGCATTTTTGTTTATTTTTTGTTGTTTTTAACAAACACTGCAGTATGAACTCCCTATAAAACCGGCGCACCTCGACGCTCTGAAGTACTCTTAAGAACTTTCAAAAAGAGCCGTCCAACCAAAAATGAAATTGATCAACTCCATTTTCATGCTTTTCGCCATTGCAACTGGCTATCGACTCGTCCAAGAGGAGCAGTGAGTTGAGATCACCAAATCCAGATAATACGTTTCGTTTTTTAGGAGCGAATCAGTCGAAATAGTTCAATCGTCGATCTCAGAATATTCCATCCAGGAGTCGGAGGTCTCTGAAGTCGTCTCCGAGGAGGTTTACTACGGATAAAAGCTCCATTCTTCGACAACAGTGATTCCTGACATCAATTCTTTCACTTTTGTGAATTCTTATTTACTCAAATAAAAAACAAAAAAAAACCTTGAATGATACAGACCTCGAGTTTCATACGGCCTTGTTGAAGCAAAGCACGATCTGATCCTCCTGCATAATTCCAAAAATCAGATTATTAAATCTATTTAATATAATCTCTACTCCGTTATTTTCACAAACTACAAAATATAATTTGCAGCGGTGTTTCCATATTTCAATCAAGAGTTTTATTTTGAGGAAAGCACTGTTTTGTGAAGCGCCACGAGCTATTAACCTCTTGGTGAAAGTGCACCGCCACCTAGCTGCGTTCGCTCTAGCCAGGCGAAAAATAAATAACGGAAGCAATTGAGAGTTTATCAGAATATCTGAAAAATCCGAAAATGAAGGTTTTTATTCTTAGAGATCCTAGAAAATAATAGAGATTTATTTTTAGCTCTTCTCCTTAATTGCCTTCGCAGCAGCCTCTGAATCTGAATACACCACTGAAACGACTACAACGGAAGAATGGACCACTGGAACTACTCCTCAGACTCCAGGGATCTAAATTTTTGCCGAAAATCAATTGCGATTGCGATGCGATTGCGACGCAAAATGGTCCGGAAATTGCGATGCGATTGCGATTTTTTTCGCAAATTGCGAATTTTTCGCGAATTGCGATTTTGTCGCCATTTGCGAAATTTTAGCGTAAAAAGTAATTTTTCAAAGGATTTAAGACTATTTTTTGAGGTCAGGCTTACAATTAAGCCTTTAGAACACAGAAAATAGGCTCTGAGTCAAAGAAAACCCGTGTCAGAATAACGAAGGAGCATTTTGACAAGACCGAAATTCGCAAAAAATCGCAATTTGCGAATTATTGACGAAAATTGAGTTGCGATTGCGATGCGATTCGATCAAAAAATAATTTGCGATTGCGAATTTTCTGCGAAATTTCGCATCGCAATCGCAAAATATTCGCAAATTGCGATTTTCGCGAAAAAATTTAAATCCCTGTCAGACTCCTCACTTCACTACTGAGACCACTAGTGTTTGGTCAACTCAACAGTACACCGATTGCGGCGGCTACATCACTGAGCTCCAAACGTTTTCGTCTCCAGGCGGATTTGGTGGAGAATTCATCTATCCCAATCACGCTCATTGTGTCTGGACCATCAACATTCGAGGAGTTCCCGGTTTCATCATCAGCGCCAATCGATTCGCCGTCGAACAGGCCTATCGATGCCAATGGGACCACGTCAAGGTCGTTGCCAACGGTGTGGAGAGAAACTTCTGCGGCTACAACAAGGAACAGCCGAAAACCGACTCCGAACCCGACAAAGAAGTTGACGAAGGAGACAAATTTTCCAGTTACGGTCTCGTCAATACATCGCTCAAGGGATTTCAAGACCTTTTCGTCCTAGGAGGTCAGGCTACTATCAGTTTCACAACTGACGAGTCTGTAAAACGTCAAGGCTTCGAGTTCGAGCTTATCGAAGCTGACCGACTCGACATCATCGAATACCACTTTGGCGTAAGTTCACATTGACAAATTGTCATTTGTAAAATGTTAACTCTTAATATTCAGAGAATCGTCGAATCTCTTCCAGAAGACGCTTCTTGGGGCGAGCGATATGTCAACCGATTCTACAGAGCCTTCAACAAGGCCGTCAATTCTGACAACGGCGAAAGCTGCTACGAAGAAAACGGCTTCGGTTCGGATGACTCCGCCGACGACGTCCAGGTCTTCGACGAGAGCGACTTCTGCAAACTCAATGGCCAGGTCAACGCCGCCCTCAACAGCTGGGCCCGAAACAACGCATGCGAAGGACGAGGCAAGGTACACCGACAGATCATCCGTTCTGCTCGAAAAACTCGAAACTTCTACAACAAGAAAATGGGCTGCTAATTCAGTATAAGAATTTTTGATTCTGTTTTGTTTCTGAAAAAAAATAATAAAAAAAAGTTCTTGAAACCACTTTGTCCGCCGTATTTTGCCCCACGTCAGTGTTATGCCTCACAATTTATGCGTACTATTTTATTTTCTTCTCATGATACCAAAATATTCGGGGCATGATCTTATTTTGGATAAGCCGATCGTATAATTTGCATTTTAACCCTAGTGTCTTCTTTTCAAATTTAACACCGCAAGACCATCGGTAGTTCTATCTTCTTATCTGAAGTTGATTGGGAAATCGAAATGTGACATTTGTGCTTTTTTGTTTACCCTATTGTTTGTTACCAGCGCGAACTGGATGAAAACCAGTATGATCGGCTATCTGACTATAAAACCAACGCCGATTGTGTACCTCAATCAGAATAAAAAAAGACCAAGAGAAGACATATAAAAAAATGAAGTTGTCCAACTCTATCTTCGTCCTCTTCGCGGTCGCAACTGGCTACAGAATCGTTCAAGAACAGTAAGTCCTTTTCACCGGATTCTTTTCATTCAACCGTCTCTCAGAGCCCAACCAGCTGAGTACAACTACCAAGCTGCAGATGAAGTTGCCCAAGAAGATTACCCATCTTATTACGATCACTACACTTACTACGCCTATTACGAGGAAAATTACAACACCAACGACGAATAACAGTATATAGACAATTCAAATTCCTGCAATAAACTGCACAAACTCTTGAAAGCAAGAACCTGGAATCGCTTTCAAAAAGAATTTTTGTCAATTGCAACAATTTTTATTGCATTATTTCGGATAAGTTACTTTGTGTGAAATTGTGTTAGAAACAAGTCAGTGGTGGAAATTCGGATGAAGCTTGCGAATGAATCGGAACTCGAGGTAAACAGTTGCTAAACGGGTCAACGGAAAATAAACAGGTCTAGCTGGCTTCTTTTGGGAATAAAGTTCTTGTTTTTTTTTTAGTAAAGGGCGTGTCGGTAGTACATCGTTGTTGATTTCTTTCTTTTCTTCTCTTTTGCGTAGTATTTTTTTTTGAACGGAGTGTGTTGAATTGAAAACCTGGTTGAAATTTGAATTCGGAAAATATTCATTTTCAGAGCTCGGAAACTGGAACGCGCCAGATACAGACGCGGCGATCCCAGCCGCCAGAGAGAACTGTATACTTCTGCTCGTTGTTGTTACTGAAAAATGAGTTAATAACTGTTCTCCCCTTATTAACCCCTTCGCGCTGCATCATGCCATGTTTTTAAAAAGAGACTTTTCAGCCATTCAAAGGCTTTTTCCAACAAATTGGTCGATAAGCGCGAAAGGGTTAAACAGTAAATAAAAGTGGTAAAGGATGATAAATGAAAAGCTGATAAAATCGACCAGTAAGGGAGGAGATACCCTTGTTTTTTCTTTGTCGGCGATGAAAAACTACGACTTCGTGGCCAAGTGCTTGAGCCAGAAAATGGAAAGCTCCCTCGTCTTTTTATCTTTCTACCCTCCTTTTTCGATGGGCTCATAACTTGGGGACACGCAAAACTGTTTGAAAAGATGAGGAAGTTTTTAGAGAAAGGCTCTAGCGTACCTTGAATAATTACTGTGAAGCCAAGCAGTGCACATGACAGAATTTTGATGGGATCTTGAGTTGCGTATCCTTCTCAGTCGCGTTTGATTCGAATTCGCCTGAAATCGACTGTTATTTTCCAGACAGTATTTGAGAGCAAGAACCGTTAGCAAGCGAATATGACGATCATCGTGTGGCAGCGCGACGACCCCGGCTGAGTTGACACTAAGGCGATTGACGGCTGAATCCACTGACACGCGCTCGACGGGACGGTTTTTTCGGAAGTCTGAAAAACAGGTGGTCATAACTGTATTTTCGCAAAAAAATAATCACTAGAATAGAATATTGTCTGCTTTGAGGTCAGTAGGGTTGAGTTAAGGCCACGTGACCTCGATTAACAGAGAAAGAGCAGGTTTGCTTACCAAAAATCCTGACAGTTTTATCCTCTGATGATGAAATAATCGTGTTATTATCTAAGAAACAAGTTGAAGAGACGGCTGAACGATGCTGCGTTGAAATACATATTGTTGAACTTGGAACGCGGTAATCCTTAGAAATTCATAAAGACGATAAAAAAGAGGGAGAGATTTACCCAGACGCGGATAGAGCCGTCTTTGCAAGAAGTAGTAACGAGATTGGGCTGGGTTGGGTGGGCAGAGCAGTGATTTATGGCACATTCGTGGCCGCACAGGTCAACGATTGACTTGGCGGTCTCGAGGTCGTGGACTTGCGCTTTTCCGTCGTAGCCGACAGTGAAGACGCGTTCGTTTTGACAGAAGGCGATGCTGAAATTGAATTTTCTTCTCGCTGAGATCAAGGAAGACTCACCTTGAAACAATAGCATCGTGGCTGCCAATTCTGAGAATGGGTTGATTGATGACGAGCTCTTGATCTTCCTGATCGGAAGGGCTGTTTAGATTCTCCAAGTTGTAAGGCCAAAGATGAACTTCAGTATCTCCCGAGCCGGAAATAGCAAGATCCTCGGTCGGATGAAGCGCGACAGTATTTACAGCGCCAATGTGTCCCTGATATTTTGTCCGGCATTGACCGGTTTCCGACTGAAATTGAGGAATTGAAAGGAGGAAAGGTGGACGGATAGGCTTACCCAAACTTTAGCAGTTTTATCGAGCGAGGCAGTGATGAAAAAGTTTTTCTTTTCGGTCGTTTTTAGGTCTTGAATTGCGTCGCGATGGGCGATGAAATCTGTGACGAGTTCGCCCTGACAGTTGGTATTTCTGAAGCCAGCAGACACCACGGAACTTACTATAAAATACCGTTTTCGCGAGAGAAAAATAGTTATTCTTATTGGTTAATGATTGGGTTAGAATTAAAAAGCCGGCTTTTGACTGGTCAAAACTAAAGATCAATTAATTTGATTGGCCAAAAAATACCTTTGGAGCTAGTCTCGTTGTACGCCTTTTTCAGCTTCGAAAAATGACTCTTCGACTTAGGAATTCCAGTTCTTGATGGCATCTCTTGTTGATTCTCGCCAGGTACTGTTTTGATCATGGCGTGATTCTGCTCTGAGGACGAGTCAGCCGCGAGAAGCTCTGAACATACGTGTTAAAGCGGGATAAATATGGCGCTGAATAAGGACTAATCGTCATGCCGTACTCTTTTTGATGGAAATAGCATCTTTTTTAATATCGCCAGAAAGCGCGTAATTGGAAGATAAATGGGAAATAAACGACTACCTGTTTTGCGAAGGAGCATGTTTTTGACTGAATAATAAAAATAGAGCTTGAAGTAAAAAAGGTAGGTTCTAGCGGGCCATTTTAATGAGATTTTTACCTTTAAAAAAGGCTTGAAAATTTCTCTTATTTTGCTGAAGTCTTTGTTTTGTTTTTTTTTAATTTACGAAGGAAGCAAAAAGCGCACGTGTTCGTCTCGCAGCGCCGTTAAAATATACCTTTCCTAGCTGGAGGTCAATGGTGATTTTGCCTGAGACGAGAGTGCAAAATATAAACACTTTTGCGGCGCTTCGACAAAAGAGATTTCGAAGGCAAACAATTACTCTTTTAAAGACAAAAAATGTCCTCTCTGATATTGAAAGAGCTTAGGTAGAGACTGAAAATGAGTTTGGAAACACTAAGAAAGGGACGGAGGTTCACAAATGTTTCCGCAATAGAGGAAATTGATGATGAGTGTTGGAGCGTAGCCAATTTTTCGGAAGAATAAATTTTTAACCCTTGGAAGCAGAGTTGGTAAAAAAGTATACTTCACTCGCCCTTCAGAATGAAGTACACTTCATGAAGTATACTTCAGGGCGTTGCAGGGCGTTGAAGGGCGTGAAGTGTACTTCCGCCCTTCCCTCTACTTCAACCGCCCTTCCGCCCTTCACTCTACTTCAACTTGGTTCTGTCGGCCATCAGAATCCATCCGCCAGAATTTTTTCAAATTTTGCGCTTATTGGCTCTCAGGCGCCATGATTTAAATCACGCTGATTGACGCAGATGAACAGGCAGCTAAAGTTTTCGATAAGAACCGATAGCGCCTGAAGTATACTTCAGAGCCATTTCGTACTTCACCGCCCTTCAAGAATGAAGGGCGCCCTGCAGATTTTTGAAGGGCGGGGGGAAGTATACATTTTTCCTGCTCTGCTTGGAAGCTCGAGTTCATTTGCGGCCATTTGGGGTCAATTTTCAAGTAAAAAAGTGACCCCAAATGACCTTTGCTAAGAATAAGGTGACTCGAGGTCATTTGAGGTTGATTTGATTTGAGGGCCCAAAATCACATCTAGAATAGCCGTAAAGGGGCTCAGAGTTGCCAAAAGATAGATAAAAATACTGACCTAGCGATAAAAGTACTTCTCTCTTTGTAAAGATCGTTTAGGAATGCTACTTTTTTATTGATTCCTGATTGAGTGGCACGTGTCATGATTACTCTGTTTTGGTATTTGCGAGAAAGAAAAAAATGTGGCTCAATAAATCACTTTTGTCTTTCACGTGAGTTGTGATTTTGAATTTCAATAGTGCCTGGGTAAACGAGGCTAATAAAAATAAAAGTTGGATACCTTCAATTTGTCGCTTGAGGTCGTGGTTCTCTTTCATCGTCTTTTGGTACTCGCCAACGATCGTGCAGAATTGGTTGTCTAAATAAAAGGATAGTTCGAATTCTCTTCCTTGATTTCAAAATGTCTTCAGCGGTCGAAAAAAAATGTCATTATTTCTCTATTGCTTCTTACCTAACTTAGACAAAGTCGCCCTAAAGTTGGCAATTAATCCGACGGTCGTCTCGTCTGGCGAGCTCCCATCACTGTCGGGCGCGTAGTGACTTTCGCCTCCATCCAGCCTGAAAATCATCATCATTCCACCAATTCCAATACGGTAATTAACGCAGCGACAGCGATTCTACGTCAATCTTTTTCGATATTCCCCCGTTTCTCGAGGGAAAAAGTTTGTCAAAAACTTGCGTGAATCGATCGTTTTGACAAATTATAGAATAATTCAGGGAGTTGGAGATTTATTGCTCACGCCTCGGGGGAATTAACATTTGAACTTTTTTTAAGAATGAAGCTAGAATTTACCTTGATAAACGGGCCTTTTTTGAGTTGCTTCTGTCCATCATCTTCTTTCTTTTTGATTTTTTCTATTTCATTGTTTCCTTTTTTCCTCTTCTCTGAAGCGAGTTAATAAAAAAGGGATGAAACGAGCACAGGAAAATCTTTAAAGAATAAACGCAGAAGAAAATGGACAACAGATGAGGAGCGAAGTGGAGGCAATAAATACTATTTACAACTGCTAAGAAAGGATAGTCGAGCAAGCGGAATCTCTCTTTTTTTTGTTCTTTTGTGTTTTTAAAGTTAAAGTTTTGTGAGTTTTTGTGTGCTAGAGTTGGAGATAGAAGGAAGTTGGGATGATTTTTGGATAGTAAAAAATAGAGGCGATTTATATTAGTGGCTAATAAGAAATTTGAAATTTCTTGATAAGGGGGCTAGAGTTTTAGTTCGTCTAAATAAGGGGGTCACTTTGAATGAGATCTAAATCATGAAGTTTTTTAACACTTGTTGGACAAAGAGTAAAAGGTTTATCAGTGATACCGTATCAATGTCGAATTGTTCTGGAATAAGACAAAGAAGCTCTTGAATGGAAAAAGAAACATCGACATTCATTAATGGATTTGAACATTTTCTCTTGTGTGTTTGGGGATGTATAAGATGTCGAAATGATTGATGCTGAAAATGGGGAAACATGTCAATTATTCAAATGGCATCTTTGAGAGCCGTTAAATTTTCAGGTTCCCGGTTGAGCAGCTCGATATCGGCCTTGATCCAGGCGATGCCGCTGCCTGCTCGAGCCAAATGCGTCTGTTCTAGGCTTTTAACATGACCTAAAAGGCCAATTACTAGCAATGCTGAACTAGGTCCGAAATCCCGCGTGTTTGGCTTGTGGCGCGTGAGTGGGGGCGCTCTTCACGCAGCAAAAATTTTGCGGCGTAAATTTTGCGCCGGGTTCGATTGTGGCCCAATTTTCCGCCCTCGCTTCAAGGGTTGATTACTAGCGCCAAGCGCTCAAGGCGTAGGCCCTAAGCTTGTGCTGGCAGCCTTGTATTCCCGTAAAGCCCCGGAACGCACCAATATTCGAGTGGTTCCTTTTACCTACCGCGCTAACACTGATGCAAATAACCCCGGGAGATTTGAACTAAAATTTTCAAGAAGTGTAAAGCTTCATAATTTTGCCAAGAGTAATAAAAAAAATTCTCGATCAGTCCCCGCAGATAATTTGAACACTGGTGAATGTCTTATTGACAATAAGTTATTGTCCTGATTATTCGTTATTAGCATTGCTGAATAAATTAGACCATAAGCAAAATAATTATTATTCTCTCCATAAATGAAAAGAACGAAAAAGTCTTTAAAAATTCAACAAATGACCCGAGCCCTCGGAATAATCAGCATATTCTGACGAACAGACAAACTGGAAATTAAGTTGATAATTAATTTGAAACTCGCTTGTCTGCCCATGTTTATCATAATTAATAAATTTCATATAATTAGTTATTATCTTCAACCTGCTTAAACCCCTTTTAAATTCGTTAAAAGCCATTCCGGAGGGCCTTGTTCCCAGGAATCCGTTTCAATGTCATAAATTTCAACGGACTTGAGATACTCTTTTCCATTGTGGCCTCCAACAGCAATCAGCTTTCCCGAGAGTGGGGCCAGTCCAACGCCACCCCGTGGAGAAGCCATTGGTCGGATACAAGTCCAGGGCTCGTCCTCGCTCAAAGGATTGTAGACTTCTACTGACGCTAAAGGCGCATTATCGTCTATATTTGGGCTCAAAAACAGCTTCATTATCAATGGCTACATGTAGCAAGACTAATCTTGTCATGATTTGAGCCCTGAACGAATCCGCCTGCGACAAAAATCTTTCCATTTGCGACTGTAGCTCCTGCACCAGCTCTTCTCTGTTTCATCGGCGGAATATCCTTCCATTTATCCAGCAAGGGAGAGTATTTCTCGCAGCATGCTTTGCTTTGAACACCATCATTTCCCCCTAATTTGTTTGAAATCAACGAAAAGAATCTAGAATCCTCTTACCTATCGCATAAACTTCATTATTCAAAGTAACGGCACAAACTCCACCACGATGAATGCTTAACATAGCTACGTTCGTCCAAGTATCGCTGCCTGGATCGTATCTTTCGACGTTGTTGTAGCACATTTGATCGTCGAGTCCGCCGATAGCAAAGATGCACTGGCTACCGAAGACTTCAACGACGGCTAGGGCGATTCCCCGACGAGGGGTGGACATTTCTTTCTTCAGGACCCATTGCTTTGTTTCTAAGTCGAAGCATTCAACGCTATTAGAGGTCTATGGAATTTTCGGAATCTAGATTATCACCGAATCCTCGAAAACGCAATCAACCTTCAATCAAGTCTTCAAAACCTCTTCCTAGAAAGATGATCTTTACCCGAATGTCCGCCAACAGCATATAAACACTTCCCAAGAGCAATTGCTCCAACATGTCTTCTCGCATTTCTCATGTCGGGCAAACTCTTCCACTCCATTTTCCACGATTTATGCGCTTCCAAATATTCAACCGACTTATAAGGGTCACCTTCGTTGCCTCTTCCTCCGACGCAGATCAAAACTCCAGCGTATGAGTTTCGCGGTCCACGAGAAACGGGAAGCGAAATTTGATTGTTGCCAGTTGCTAGGTGAAAGTTTTTCGTCTCCGAGATCATTTTGATCGCTTGAATCGAGTTGTTAAAAGGCGGGGTCTTTTCCAGCTCTAGAAGCTAGTATCGACAAATGCCCCCGAAATCCGGATCGGGTTTTCGTCGGGTTTTCTTGAAGTCGGAATTTTCCGATCGGGTTTTTGTCGGGTTTTCGTCGGGTTTTTGTCGGGTTTTTTATCGGGTTTTTGTAGGATATTTTTCGGGTTTTTGTCGGGTATTTTTCGGATTTTTATCGGGTTTTAATCGGGTTTTCATCGGGTTCTCGTTGGGTTTTCGCGACACTGAAATTGAATCAAATATAATGAATCCAAATAGGCGAAAATAGACATGATTTTTGGCTAACAGAATTCTGGGAGCTGTCTGTGAAGAAACTAATGAGTAGATCCGAAGAGAAACCCGACGAAAAAACCCTACATAAATCCGAAAAATGACCCTACAAAAACCCGATTTTATAGGGTCGTCACAATTTCACCGTCGGATTTTTGTAGGGTAGGCAGAGTCCAACAAAAACCCGACAAAAACGTCGGTTTTCTATCGGGTGTCGGGTGGGACTTGTCGATCCTAGTCTAGAAGTTCCGCAAGCGAGAGTTGGTCAAGTCGAACCGCGCGGAGGAGCGTCTCAAGGTGTTCAATTCGATTTTCAGTGTCTGTGTTGAGCCAGTTTTTCACCATTTCGACGACGATGACTTCGCTCTTTACGTTTAGCTCGTTAGTTTCAAGGATGCGGATGAGGAATTTTAAGGGGAGCTGAGCAAAAGGCTCTTGCCAGGACTCGTCGGAAAAGGTTGAAATGCAGAAGCTTTCGCAAGAGACTTTCAAAAGGTTCTTTCTTTTTGTTATCATTAGAATTTCTCAAGAATAAAGAAGGCAAAATATAGAACCAGACCCATGAGTCCAATACAATTAATACTCTCCGCGAACAACCAAACGGTCACCACATTCTCTTCCGACAAGTGAGAAGACATAAAATCCGAACAGGCTTCAATAATTTCATCTACTCCCAGAAGCGTCGCTGTTTGAAGCAAGTCCTAAACGATCGGATAAGGAAAGAACGCTGAAAAGATGCTTACCTGGACAGTGTCGACATTGAGAAGAATTTCTCTCGAGTAGACAAAGTCGACAATTGATTGAAGCGCCTCAGGATTGAGTGATCTTCCCGGGCCAAAGTCAAATTGAACATTAATCACTGAATATTAATTAAAAAGGCGGATTGGAAGACGAATCACTCACCTTCTTTCTTGACCTCGACCATTCCGGAGCAAAACATGCTTTGAAAATACGGAATCGTCGCCGCTAGAATCAGTTTATGCGCTCTGATCTCTTTGTCCCCGACTTTGACCGTCACATCCGTCAGTTGATCCCGATCACGAAAGTCCTTGCACAACTCGACTTGCGGAAACTTGGGGTTGGACTTGTAAAGCAGCGTTGGCTGGGGAAGGTTTTTAGAATCGCCACCAGAAATTGAATCGATCTCCATCTTTGGTTGAGCTTCCGCCGGGCCATCGGTAGTCGTTGTTGTTTCCATCGAAGTGTCACTCAAGTAACCGGCATTTTCCAGTGCCGAATTGACCGACCCACGGTTCAGGGCATTTCCTGGCGCAAAGTCCTCCATCCGAAAGTCTAAAAAACAGTTTTTCCCTTTTTGAAGACCGGCAGTGGCACATGTTCAAAAAAATGTAAAATTCAGTCGTCCAGGTTCAAATCAGTCATTTCATTTTCAAAGTCTCTTTCTTCTTCATCCCTGACTTTTACGTCCTGATCTTCTCCCCATTGAAGCATCGTATCGATAATTGCAAGGGCGTAGTTGATGCTCTCTTCGTCAGAACTATCCAGTGGTTGGAAATTTACAAGTGAGTAGTCATCTATTACTCTAAAAGAGCTGATAAGGAGAGGGGATGGAAAACAAGTGCTACCGGAAAAGGGAGTCGACGAGTTTGGCGTATCTTTTCGTGTATTTCGTTGCATTCTCGACTCTTTCATAACAACTTGGGTCCGTGTAATTGTCGATCTCTTCACGCGCCGATGGACTTTTACAGGATTCTCTAATTGTCAGTTAGTAATTTAGCATTTTCTCCCTTACGGCTCTATTTTTAGAAAATCAGAATGAGGACTGCACTAATCAAATTGCTCTCTTTCGCAACCTAATTACTCTGTTTCGTCACGAATAAATCAAATTCAAAATCCCAGTTCCTCAAAACATCTATCTTCGTCATAATGTTCATGTGCGGCACCTCCAGTTTCGTCATGCAACTGAGTGCAGCCATCGTTCCGGAAATGTACTTTCCCCGCTCGACCAAAAACTGCGAGTCCATCAGGAACACGGCGCCAATACGGAAGTCCCAAGATTTTAGCTTATCAACAATCACTTTCATCACGTCCAAATGAGTGTACAGCTCGATCTGACCAGGACAGTCGATTATGTAATAATCGTCTTCTTTCAAAAAGCTTCAGAAAGGGCACAAGAAAGATCAAAGGAGGTCCTTATTTTATTTTAATAAAATACAGAGTAAGTGTCATTTTGTCTCCGGAGTTCGAACTCTACTTTTCATCAAAACCGATCTCTTGAATCATTTTTGATCCTCGTCTTTATATCCGAAAATCAACCAACGGGTAGTTTATATGCGAGTTTATTAGGCGCTACACAAACCCGATTTTCGCGATCGGGTAAATATCCCGCATCGTGAATCTAGCGCAGAAGTCTCCTGCCTAACTTCATGTGTAATTGAATCGAACCAATTTTTGAAAAAAAATAATTTGAATTTTTTTATGACTGATTCTGAATAAAAAAAAACAAAAAGAATTAAAAATGATGCTTCTATGGCCTTTATTTGAAGCTCCTTTTCCTTGTGGGTCCATATTCTCCTTGAGCCATTCGAAATTCTCTGTCAAGTACTCCATACAAAAGACCAGACCTCCATTAGGACCTAGACGCAATTCCTCGTCGTCCATTACATCTTCAATCGATATCAATTCTCGTATATCGACTTCGGCTTCGTATTGATACTGCTCTGCCGCGGGATCCAAATTCACAACTAAAATTGAATGTTTATACAGGTGAAAGGGTGAATAATTACTGTACCTCTGCACGAACGGCCCAAAACTTGAAAGTGCTGCTGCATCATGTGACAGTAAGTGCTTTTTCCACTCCCCGCGGGACCGACGACCAATTGCGCATAAGCTGGCATTCTACAATCGCATTACAGTCATTCTAACAGCCGGAGAAATACAGAATGTTGAACTTTCCAGTTTTAGGCTTTCCAGGGAATCGGAAGAGAATTTTTTAAATAATACGTTTCCATCGCGTTTTTCCACTTCATGTTGCTTATCATCGATCCAGCATACCTACAGTCATAATTTAATAACCCAATCATTATTTTTAAATACAGTCAACCCTAAAAATTCCACTCAAAAGGCTCAAATTTTTCGAATAACTAGAAATTTAAACAGTTTTGTTTGTATTTTTGACCTTTTTTCTTGGCAAGTTTTGGCCATTTGATGGCCGTTGTTGGCTGAATCAAATTTGGCCGTGTTTTTCGCCGAAAAATTGGAGAAAACCTTGGAATTCTGAGGGAAAACCGCATGTTATCTTACGTTGGATCTTCAGCAACAGTATTTGCTTCTAACGCACAATCATATCCACTGAAGAAAACTGAATAAAGACCAAACGTCGCGAAGAAAACTCCAACAGTAGCTTGAAAAATCAATTGAGAAAACTTGATTCTGGCGATTTTGCGGCGCGTTTTTCTGTCGACTTCGCCGAGAGGGGGATTAAGACTGTTTCGATTGACGAAGTAATTTGTTCTCTATAAAAATTTCCTTCAATAAGAATCTATAAAAAGGGATGACTTACATTAGGGTCAACTTCTGATAGCAGCGGGTCGTTTAGATGAACATAATCAAGCCCCTTTTTTCAAGTCAAAAAAATAGTTTTTTGAAATTGTTAATAACAACAGACGACAATGTCGTTTTTTGACTCTTTCCTGATTTCCTCCGTCATTTTCGTATTCATCCTTTATCGCCCTCAATTCTCTAATCGTCTTCGCTTTTACAGTCCTTTCCATCGCAAGTGTTTCTTCTTCTCCATTTGGATTCAGACTCAGACGCGTAGAAGAGCTCGTGGAAAGAATTTGTGGCGATTTCTTGAGGTTTACCGCAAAGCTTCTTTTCAGTAAAATTATGCTATTACTGCACCTTGTAATCATCTACTCTGAATTTGTCCGGATCTGAAAGAAGGGGCTTTTGAGGGAGAGAAAGGGTTTAAATACATTCTATATGAACATTGAGACAGGTTTTAAATTGCAGTATATAGACGATATTGATGCAGCAGATTCTGAATGTGTGTATAAATCTTCATGCAACTCTCAAGCAGATTTGGCTGGAGCCGATCGCGGATTACATCATCCCCCGCATTCTGCCAAGTCCTCCGAGTCCGGGAATCGCTGATTGAGGAGTGAAATTTGCTATAATCGGCGTTAAACTTGGTTTATAGAAGCAAATAACTCCTAAAAATAGGGAATTCTTGAATAACTCACGATTGGCGGTGGCAAATTTGTGTCTCGTAATGAAAGTCGCAATAAGTTCAGCAACTTTCTGCGGCTGGTCTTCGTGAATCGCGTGGCCGGCAGTGGGCATCACCGAAAGTTGGAACTTCCCCTGCATTTGTCCGACTGTCAGCGCCGTGTCCAGCCTGTCCATTCCCGCTTTTTTTCTGGGTTAAGACCTGTTTCCCTCTTTCTCTAATTCTCTATCGTTGTTAACCCGTCCCTAGCAGGAGCATTTTCACAGGCGGCGCGGAGAGGAACTTTTCAGAAAGGCCCTCAAACCAACCTCGCCAATAATTCGCGGTTTCGCTCAAATTGATTCGCCAGATTTGATCCGTCGACTCTTCGTCAGTCGGTGATTTATCTAAACAAAGATTAAACAGCTCCAATTTCTGAATCAGAACTTTTTACCTTGGACTTGGCCAGGCATGGAAATTTTGGCAGAATTGATGTTTTTGATGTAATTTGTTCTGACGGCCCATTCTATTGCTTGATCCTTTGATTTGAATTTTCCAGGGCGGCCATTTAGGATGACTTCCATGCTTGGTAGGGCTTCCAGAGCTGTTCCTTCCACCACATCGATCACTGAAGACGAAATAAATATTTCATGCAGTTTCTGAATTTGTATGTACCTACAAGCCCAATACAAGGAGTTCGATGGGCGACGTGAACAGCGAGCGCTCCTCCCATCGAGTGTCCGATAATCACCGTCGGACGGGACTGAACCACTTCTTCATAGAAACTGACCAAATCTTCCGTCATGTTTTCGATGCTGAGATTTGATTCATCTGAGCATCGTGAATCTTTCCAGGGTTCAGAATTTGACCTTCAAAATACAGATTTTTCTATAAAAAATGACTGTCAATCTTCCTTCGAACCCGTGACCCTCCGTGCCCACGAATATCAGGAGCAATAATGAAGCAATCCGCCATTTCTCTCAACTTCTTTCCAAAAAGCGAAAAAGAAAGTCCCTAAAAACAGGTTTTTCAATTGGCATTTTGTGGCTTGTCTGACCGAGAAACCGCCGCCGTGGAGCACTAGAATGCAGCATTTCGATTCTTCGTTTCCCATCGTGTAGTAGTTGAAAAGATCGCTTTTTGAGTCTTTTACAAATTGACCTCAAACGGCCCCAAATGACCTCAAAATCGAGTAAAACACTTTCCTGTCCTTCTGAAACGTCTTCTTTTCCGCCCAGTAATCGCCCCAATCTGTTGGAGAATAATCTTTTGGTCGTCTTCCTGGCTTAAAACCACATTAACAGTCATTCTAGCGCTGTTTTTCGACTTACAGGGACCATTCTAGTGCCAGAATTCGACGGATGAGGCGGTCGAGGAGGAAGTGGATCCATATTATGACTCATTCTCTTTTATTGAAGGCTTCTATGTGTTTTTCTCTGAGAAGAATATTGAATGAGAAATCGAAAGGAGTTTCGAGAAAAAGTGGCTTTCCATTTTTCCATCGGCGGGTGATTGGTGCGCTGCGGAGGAGAGAGCGCTGGAAGAGATGCGCGCTGCTGGAAGAATGAGGATTTCGCTAGTAAGATTGATAAGAAGGGTTGAAACGAAAAATTTACAAATTGAATTCAATTTTTGAACACTTTTAAATTTTTCAAATGAGAAAAAAACTTTAAAATTTCAGGAAAATTTTTGAAAATTTTCTCTAGAAAAAGGAATTTCCTGCGATTATTGTTGATTCTAACGTTAGATTAACAAAAACCAGAGAAACTATGCAAGACTGGAATCCGCTTTCAGAAGAGTTTTATCAAAAAATCAAGTCGACAGATCCTCCTAAAGCTTGGCACCCGCTTCGCAACAGCATCATCGAATCTCTTCTAGTTCTGGTTCGGCAAAAAAAGGAACTTTTCATTCATTTGAACTTTTTCTCCTCTGAACCATCGCTCAGGCCCAGAATGGATCGCCTGCCCGTATTTAGACGAATCCTCCCTTTTTGAACCCTTTTCGGTGATCATCAAACGCAACAATCGGTTTAGAGTCGCCAACGATGCATTTGCGCACGAGATTTTCGCCAAGCCCAAGCTGTCTGAGAAGGAATTAGGCTCGCTACGGTTTCTTCTGATGATTTTTTAAAGCGAAAATCGTGCTTGAACCTTTGGAAAAGTATAAATTTGATGATTTACTGGATGGAAAATATACTCGAATTGTCGATAGCGTCAGAAAAACAGTCAAGTAAGGGTCCTGGGCTCGGCAACCTGTGTAGAAAGCCTGAGTCAGGTTCTAAGGCGCTAAAATTGAAAGCCGTGTAGCGGCTTTTTCTTAATTCAAGCCGCAAAGCGGCTTCGCAGTATAACAATTTCAATCTCTTACTACTGGCGAAGCCGCTTTGCGGCTTTGTTCTAAATAGAGCCGCTCCGCGGCTTTTCATTTTAGCTCTTTAGAACCTGACTCAGGTTTTCTTCAGAGCCAAGTAAGGATCCTCTAATCTCTATCAATCATCAATTTCTAGAGTGGAATTCCGCGAATCATCAGTTCAAGAAATCAACGAAGCCTTCAAAATTGGCGGCTTATGCTTGGACCTTGAAAATCATGAAATCGTTTCTTCATCACTTGATTCTTGCTATATCATCACAGGAAACATGTTTTATAACTGAAATTTTTTGCATGAAATTGTTTTGTAAAGCATGTTTTAGCCGTTGCTTATTGCGAGCTGAAGTTTTCAGTGAGCATTGGAGATTCAAAACGTCGCGGAAACTCGCTGCATGTTGAAAACGAAGTGTAAGGAAACTCGCCTCTAGAATTTTTAGGGAACATTTTTTAGCTTCAAAACGAATCAACAAGTTCCAGTCGCCTTCAAAGCAGATTTATTTCCTGTTGATCCCGAAACTGGCGAGCTTGGAATGAGAATGGTAGGAGTTTGGAATCAACGAGGACAACTGAAAAAAATCTAGCGCCACGATGGATCGGAATTGAGAGAGGGCCGATGGAAGAAACTTGTGAGAAAAGAAGAAAAAGCTCTGCGAGTTCCTGTTGACTACCAGTACACTGAAAGTAGCCGTGTTTAAAAATTAATGAACCGGAAATAAATCAATAAAGTTTTCTACCATAACTTTGGTACATAAGCACTCGATTATTTGATTTTCTTTATTTTAATTACTCAGAGCTACAGTAGTCAACCGGGGTGACGAAAAGCAAAGGGTTCCAAAGAAGGGTATCCCATAAACTTTTTCTGATCGCAACAACATCAGTTGAAGCAGTTTCTTCATCTGGATCTTATATAACATGTTTCAAAAGACGGGATAGATTTGCATAAAAGACCCCTACGGAAAACGCTCTGTTCGTGTACCAATTGGTATTCGAATACCAAATCTTCTCAAAAAGTCCAAATTTGGTGCACCCAAAGAGTGCCTGTCTTGAAGGAGTTCTTACGAGTGATAAAGTAGTAATTTTACGGAAAAAACTCTGATCAAAAATCTTGGATTTAGAAAATCAAAATTGGTATTCGAATACTAAAAAGGCTACTGAATCTTAAAACATTGACCTAGATATACTCTTTGAATTGAATTGTCCATCATATCGTCAATCACGAGTCCAGGAACTACGAATATACTGTTTTCAACAACAAGAGCAGTTGAACTTGTAAGGCCCTAAAGGAAGATAGTTATTCAATTTTATGTTTTTACTGTTCCTTTGCAAGATATCCGATCAATTGCCATCTATTTTCTTTCAATCGCCAAATATCACTAAGCCAATCAATACTTAGATAGTCATATCCTCCGAGAGTAAGAAGAGCTCCGGAAGAGAGTCCAACAACAGAAAAGCCCTCTATAAATCTGAAATCTCGTATTTTCAGAAGTCCACTTTCAAGTCTACCTGGGATGGTCTATAAGTGAAATCCAGCTATTTCTTGTCAATGTCTCGACTGCTCTATTTTGGTGTCGACCTCCAATCGCAGTCGGTTGACCATTATATATTCCAAGATAACCTTGGTATATTTTCTCTGGCCCAGCAGTTTTTCTTACAGTGTTTCCGTCAAAATCAGCACAGCTTTCTTCAGAGTTCGGGAAACAAATTAGTGCTATAATTATTTCTTTACAAACATAATAATTAAAATATATTAAGGGGGTAGAAACAGCTTTCTTGATTTTCGACTGTCGCTACAAATAAGAAAATCTTAGATGTATTTATGATAGCGAAATGTCTTATGAAATGATCCTAGAATAGTGATTGAAACTCACAAAAATGTAAATGGAATTTTTTTAGCTATCACGTGACTCGAGATATTCGAGGTTGAAAATTCGCCAAAATTGGCAGTTTAGATGAGTTGCTTCTGAGCCAACTTACTCAAAAATCTGTTGACTAAAACAAATTTCGAGGAAGATGTTCTTAGATCTAAGATGGATCTATCTAAACTAGTAGAGAAAATGTGTAAATCTAAAGTTCTCTTATCTTTAGCGCCAGTCAAAAACCGCCCTTTTTCGAAAAAAGCTATTTCTACCACCTTGATATAATTGTCATAAATATCTTTTAAACCTTTTAAACCCTCCTCAAAAGCTACAACAGAAGGAAAAGTCGCATTGAATGGTAGTTTGACAGAGAGCTCTTTAAACTTGCATTTGTCAAGTCTGGCGATCTATAAACTCTTATCTTTTATCAATTGTGTTATTTTTACTTTTTTCCTATTAATATCTCCTCCGAAAATGTGAATCTGATTCTTGACGAGGGCATAATCCGAGTACATAATATATTCTGCAATCGTCACATTAATTTGCTCATCTGGAGATTTGATGGACAGATTTTCTCTAACTGATCCATCCCCAAGAAAAGCAAAAGGAGGACTCAAGGGAACTATCTTCAATATCCTCAACTTTAGGCTTGAATAAATTCGAACTTATGAATGACAGTGGACCCCATATGTAAATAACCCTAACTAAAGACACCAATGATGATTTTTGTGCAAATTATTTTTTTTTCAAACCTTCAAGAATATCTCAAGATATATTATAAAGTTTGAATAGTTGTATATAAGTTATAACTTATAAGTTATAACCATGAAATTTTATGAAAAATCTATTTCTTATGATCGTTTCTTGTAAAAATTTTTATAAGACGCTGGAATTTTCTGGAAATTGAAGATAGAACCCTTGTACTATGGGTAAACGGAAAAATGACGTTTAATTGAGTCGGCTGCCCTGTGGAATAAATGAAATTTTTAATTTCAGTCCATTGATCGTATTTGAAAACTCTTATTCTCTTGTCATCAATAGTTTCAAACCCAGTCAAACTCGACATTCCGATAATATTTTTGCACATTTGTATATCACACTCATTTTCCTCGATAATTTCAAGAGATGCTGACTTAGTCGTCAAGGTGAAATTAAATTTGAACTCAAGAACTTTTGACTCCGATAAACTTGAGTTCAGAGCAAATTTCCCCGGAAAAAAATGAGAATCAATCCATAGTGAGCGATTTTTGAAATTTCCAAGCCTCAAAAACAAATTTCCGTCGAAGAATTTGAGATCAACAATTTTTGCCTCATTATTTTCAGCTTTCTTAAAATTGATATTGAAAAATAAGAATTATTATTGATAAATAATGGCTCATTCGGTAGGACTTATACGGTATAATTTATACCTTTATTTGAATTTTTAAGCTTTCCGGGCCATTAAATTTCATAACGAAAGTCGAAACGTGTTGAAGTTCCTTTAGCAAAGTGAAGAAATTGTTCGGTACAATAGTATTAGGATACGGTCGTGTCAGAGAGCTAGCACCTTGTGGAAATCGTGGCTGCGAAACGGCATTTTTTACAAAACCAGGAAATACATCGTCGTGAAATGAAAAATATGGATTGCTTGTTACATGCATTTTCTTTATTATTTGAAGTTGAGTGAAATCAAGCTCGATTTTGTCTTTTATTTTGGATCTATAATAAACTGACTTTTAAAAAGAGCTTCCATGATAAAAATCCTTTCCGAAATTAAATTGGATCTGAAACGTTGAGTCAAAAACATAGTTTTGAATAAAGAGATTCTCATTATTGTTGATTCCGTTGATAAAGTATTCGCACTCGTCATTGTTTGTCCCCATCAGATTTGTATAGTGAACGTCATCTGAGGAAAATTGATTTGAAAAACAGACTGATCGTTCCTCATAATTGACAAGTGACCCGATCCACTCACTCCCCAGAGTTAAAAATTTTCCATTAGCTTCCAACAATAACGAGTACAGCGTATTTGAGAGATGAATACTTCTTGTCACTAGAACTAGCAAAAGCCGCCCCAGGTCAATCTTTATTAGTTTAAAAATTAATTTCGTAATAGAATAAGCATTTAAGATATTTGCATAATATAATATTATTAATATTAAACCGTTTACAAGGGAACAACATGTGCAAGATTCAAGTCTGTAAACTCAACAGGTAGCGCGATTTCATCCTTTTTCCAACCTTTCTCTAGTTCTTCGCTTTTTCGTATTCTATTCAAAGCCTTCGTTGTTGATAATTTGATCCATTTTTCACCAAGTCTTGCACTCATCAGATAGAATACTCCCTTGAAGCTCACAGAAGACGTTTTCGCGTTAAAATGGTTACTAGCGATAAAGCCCTGTGCTTCCTCGAAACGATTGAGATTATATTCTGGTGCGTAGAAAAAGCACTTGTCTGGTCTTCCGGATGGTGAGCTTTTGTAGATCCAAATTTGAAAATATTGGATAATTTATATAAAAAAATCTGATTTTAAACTAATAAATTAAGAAACAAGTCTCTTGCTTTTTCTTAGACCTTTTTCAAATAACAACAACGGGAAAAACCTTCTTTTCTTTTTCTTCCAGACGAATTTCAATAAAATGAGTCCCAATGGACGAACCGTAATGAAAAACAAAGAAATCCCTTTATATTTGTAAATATTTATACCGTGGGCGAGAGATTTCACGACGGAGGGGGAAATAGATTGGAATAGATTGGAAATAGATTAAATTCAAAAATCATGGAACGGGGCTGAATTTTAAGGGTCTTCCAGGAAGGCCGGTCTTCCACCAGAAAAGGTCCTCCAGGGGTCCTCCAAGAGTCACATGACCAAGATTTTCTAAAAATATTATCTATTTATAAGTTAAAGATTAATTTATCTTAAATAGTCTAGGTTAGACCTATCTTCCATCAATTGGGTCTTCCACCAGGTAAAAGTCCTCCATCAGGCATGGGAAAATACTTGAATGTGCGCGAAATATTCAAAACCCCGCCCCGGGCCCTCAGACTCCGTCGTGATATCTCTCGCCCACAGTATATAGAACCAGTCTACTCGAAACAGAAGAAGATACTTACAATCCAACTAGTCGATTTTTGATAAAAATCAAATCATTCCCATTTTCCTTGAGTCTTATTAAATTGCCAATCGCATCGACTAGATAGTGCTCTCCATCAAGAAAAGTGGCACCCGTTGACTTTTCCGCTTTTCGTTTTTGTATTATTTACGATTGAAAGTAACAATCGAAAAACATTCATATGAGTAGAAAGAGTCAGGAGCGTCAACTTCAACGTCAGCTTTGATGCCTGTTAAATCTGCTAAAATCAATGGAAAATTCTTATTCATATCTTTTTTCATCTTTCGATCTTCCCACCGACGATTTATCCATATTTTTGAATTCTCTTCAACTTTTTCTTGTTCAGAATTTATCGTCCGATTTTTCCCCAGATTGAAGACTGGAGTTAGTTTTTGTTGTGACAATTTTTCGCATGCATAGAATAAACAAGGACATCCATTTTTGCAAAACTTTTCGGTTGGGCAAATTTCTCCAGCAGAATCAGATGATCTCGTGAGCTGAAAGCACATCGACTCACAAGGAGAAATCGGGTTAGTCCTTGTTGTTTTCAACACCAGTGTTTTCGAGCAAAGATGACGGCAGACTTTTTGGTCATAGAACTTTTTCTTCTTGCATCGAAGGAGATTGACTTCATTTTCTTTTTCAGAGAAAACATGTGGCTCAGCTTTTTTATCAGCGATTTTGGAGACGGGTCCCGGAAGTGTAAATGTCTTTGTTTCATAACATTGCTTCATAAGATGACCGCAGTAGTCCATTGACTCGATTCGGATGCATTTTTTGTAGTTACGATTGCAAGTAGAAGTCAAAAAAGTTGTTACGCCGCGCGATTTTTCCAGAGAGTGTATGTTGGCTTTAGTATTAAATAATTTAAATAATATTTTATCAGACTAATCTACCAATGAGCATGACCGTTATCCAGAACAGGGAACCGATTACAAGATAGGAGTTCATTTGAGGCATTGTAGAAAATCCGTGTTGAGCAAAGCTCATTTTTGCTACTACCTTTTTCTTCCATGTTTTCTCCTTTTTGAAATCTTGTCTTTGAGTATGAATACTTCGCGTTGTTAAAATTTCTTCGGGAAATAAATAAACCTTCTCCCCTTTTTGTTTCAAAACACCAACACAATCACAATCAAGACACTATTTATAAAGTTAAGCTTGAATAAGTACGTTCTCACTAAAATACCCGGACTCTAGTTTTTGTAATCGCATCTTCGTTTAATTGGTTATCTTCTTGAATAACCATAGCTCTCTTTAGAAGAAGAAATTCTTCTGAAAAAAGGAAGTCGCTATGAGACTGCTCTTCGCTACCAGCTTGACAGTTTTACAGTTTTTACCGGCTTTTGCGTCTTCTTAAATATCAAAGTTCTGAGTTGCCTGGTGAAGTTTTCAACATCCAAAATGGGTGTAGGGCGCCCAGGTTCACAATTGTGAACCCGGTTCACAATTTTGTGAACCCGGTTCACAATCTGTGTGAACCCGGTTCACAAAATTTTTAAAAGTATAAAATCAGGGGTCTGTATGCGCTCCGCGCCTGATTTCAAAGAGAAACTCATTTTTGACGTTATAAACTTTCTCTACAGCCGCGCCTTTAGTCAGTTTGAGTCACTTTTTTGACCGAAATTGTGAACCAGGTTCACAAAATTGTGAACCGGGTTCACAAAATTGTGAACCAACCGATTGTGAACCTAGGCGCCCGCCACCCTCCAAAATGGTAAATTTCGTAAAAATGATGGTTCTGAATCAATGAAAAAAAACAAGATCTGAAGCTTTATCCTTATCAATGATAAGTTATCATTCTTGTCCAGTTTTATCTGATCAAAAGTACATTGATTCAATGTTGTAGTTTATGTGAGTAATTTTAATAAAATTAAAAAAAAATCGAATCAATGCGATAAATCAGGAATCTGAGCTGATAACTTCATTCAGCAGTTTTTGATTCTTTTAAGCATTCTGACTTGTTTTTACTGTCACGCAAAGTTAAACAGAAACATCTGGCTTGTGCGAGCCCTTGGTACATAGCAACTTTTTGATGTAGCGACTTGACTTTGTCTCCAATTCAGAAGTGGCATTTTGACGCTTTCAAGAATTCCGCCACGTCATTTTTGTTCCCTTCAAATTTGAAAGTGGAGAATTTGAACTTTCAAAATCAAACTTTCATTTCTGACTACTGTCTCCCACTACGTCACGTGGAATCTTAAAACAAGCGAAACGAAAACAGTGGGAGGTGAAATTTTGAAATCATAAAATGGCGAAATCAGTCGCCACTTTTGACATTTCGGTGTTTTTATTATGGAGAGTATCCAGAACTACCATCAGCAAATGCCAGAAAGGTACATAGCAACGAGAAGCATTTGTTGCCTTTTCTCACCTAGGCCGGGTGCGCAAATGTCGAAAATTTTCTCACCGCAAAACCAAAGAAAAAATATGACCAAGAACAAGTGCGGATATTGCCACTTGGACAAAATCTGAATGGTCATCAATTTCTCAGAAATCACATCTTTCATAAAATTCTCAAAAGAAGACTCTTGTCTCTCGCGTTTAAGAACTGTATATGAGACTGTATTAAAGCCATAACATCAGATTATCAAAAATACTCCTTCTTGTCCAATAAGAACTTTCAAAATTGGTCTTCAGCCAATCAGAAATCCGAAAAATTCCCGTTGCAATATGAAGTTGATTGTATCACTCTTCCCTAATAGGGAATCCCTATTTCTGAAGAGCCCAATAATACAGTGACTAGAAGTACAGTCCCTCAAATAGCTGAGCGGCGCATCAGATGATTAACAGCTCCGGAAAGTGATCGATCATTTGACGAACGAGTTCTCACTCCTTCCAAAACACTTCTCCCAAAACTAGAGCAAAATGCTTTCCTTTTGAGCTGCCAAGTTGAACCCAGGCCAGACGCAATTTACCGACGCGATGAATATAAATGCCCGTAATTACTATGTCGCCAAAGCAAAAAGGAAAAAATCACGCCATTTTGTCAAGAGAAATGATAAAAATCAAGGAAGAAAAAATTAAACCATATATCAACATATGCGATAAGAACAAGAGCTCAGTAAATTGACTTACTGTATTTTGATAGTTTTGCTTACAGTAATGTCAATCAAGTCAGATCCAGTTTTCGATAATAAAGTTCATCAAATGACGCTTATTTTAGACCGGAAGCAGAGTTGACATTTTTCTCCCTCAGATCATTTCATTCAGTATTGACAAAAAGTCCTTTTCGACAGAGGAAACGAGAGATATCTGACTGTAACTCTTACACTTTTCTAGCGTAAAAACGACCTCGTAGTCTTAGACTTGACCCCTGTCATTTTGTTTTCATAGAAAGTTGCCCCTTCTTGGATTGTTGTCCCACAATTGGGAACGAAATGGTAGTCGTAGCAACAAAAATGATGATACAGATATATAGGAAACGGTCTGGGCACACGAGCGCCCAGTAGTAGACTAGTACAGTCACTCGCACAAAAAAATTTATAAAGAGAGAAAATGTTTTTTCTGTTGAAAAACTTCAAAATCTGTTTAGGAAAGAGCCGAGCCCTGGGGTTGATTTTGACCTGGTTTGAGGGGAGTGCTTATTTTTAATTTTATTTGAGAAAGGAATTTGTTATCTACGAGACAAGATAAACAAGAATGGCAGCTCGTCAGGAATTTATCTGTTTCTGTGACGGGTTTTATCATCCCCAGTTTGTCTCAACAGCGTCTCCAAGATAGGATAAAAATGAAACTAGTAACAAACAGAGCTCAGAAATGACTGTAGCGGATAGAGAAACAGAGAGATTTTTGATTTTTTAAATGTCCTCGGGCAAGTTTTGCCTTTGCCCGAGGCGAGTGTCGAGTAAAATTGGGATTTTTTACCCGTTTTTTGTGCCAAAAATCGCGTCAAAAGACAAATACACCTGAACCGCGGTAAATTTAGAACCAGCCCGGAGAAGCGTGACATTTTCCTATCTAGCGCTGAATTAGTTTATGAGCAATTTCTTACAGCATTTCTTCATGCTCGCATTTCCGGAATCCTGGCTGCTGCATGGCCAGCGGAAGCGCCACCCGCTCGTTAGCTGCAATTTTCTAGCCCTCTCGCAGGGCAATAAATTTTTGCCGCCCGCGGATGTCGACCCCGGCTACCGGCAGTCAGATTTGAGTAAATCAAATTCTTTTCTGAAAAATTAATTTTTATGAAAAAAGAGCTCCAACATTTTTTAAAGAGAATCGGCTTTTGAAATTTTGAAATCAAGGAAGAAAATTAGTTTTTTGAAAGATCCAAATCTTCACCTTGACGGTGCAATTTGCCATCTTTATAAATTCAAGAATAGAAGGTAATTGAATTCTCCAGTAATTTGTGTATTCACCGCGAGAGACAAAGGAGAGGGTCTAGCGTTTTTGCTAGGGGGCTAAATTATGCAAAAACTCAATGACCCCGCTGGGCACTCGCCTTGATGCATTTATTGAGGAAATCTGGCCCGCGGTCTGGCCCTTATTTTCCCACAGAGAATTCCAAACTGGCGTGTTTGATTTTCTAATTTTTGATTTACTCAAAGTTCATTTCGCTTCAGAGATTTTCAGATAAAAAGAAAAACTAAGTTCAATGATCAATTTTTTTTTCTACAGAGACATCGCTCAATAAGGCTTCCTTCTATCAAGCTCCTGATTGGTCAATCAAGAGCTCCCCCACTTTACCTTACCCCTAACCCTAACGGAGGGGCCAATAGCAAAATCTGACTGTACATAAAACCGAGTTCAAGCACCCCCTCTTCCATAAAAACCCCATTGTCCCTTTCACTTCCCATAGAAATTCAAATTTCAAGTTGCAACAACGTAACAAAGCCACCAGTGTCGTATCTACTGCTAGTATTTGCACTCTACTCAAGTTATAGCCCCTCAGAAAAGAACAAATTCTGTTTGCTCGCTACTTTTGCTACAGTATATTTAAATATGCTCACTTTCACTGCTGGTGGATTTTTTCTTCACCGGCAATAGTTGCTAAGGAACTGAAAACGGAATGTTTAGATTGTCAGTTTTGTAACTTTTCTCTCAAATCTCTTCGCTGTGGACAACGCCAGAACACACACACACACGCACTCGATCACACTACACGCTACCCCAGAGGAGCTACAGTCAGCTTTCAGTACTACTTCCCAGAGGATAGAAAAACAACACCTAGAACATGGGCTGCAACGGTTCCAAAAGCGCCGAGGTAACTGAAAACCAGAAGCCAGAGGAGCAACCAAAAGGTACTGTACTTTCTTTACTGTAGTTACGGGTGATTTTGTTTATCGAGTTGTTTGACAAGGGAGATTTTCTTCCGAGGAGGTCAACATCAGATAACAAGCTTGTTAGTTCGTAGAAGAATCAATATTTAACTGGATAATACCCGGTAGATACTGTACTACGAAGTTGAACTTTGAAATCAAGGAAGAAAACCATTGATCCAGGTCTTTTGACCAAGCCTAGCTGTGAGTTGAACTCTTACTACAGTGACTTACAGACAGTATGAACTGGCTTCAGTTTGCCCTATCAATTAAGCGAAATGAGTGAACTTATTTGCGCACTAGCCAACACTTCTATTACCGAGTTCAAGTGTATTTGACCAACCTATTTTCTATCCACTTTCTTTCAGCTATTTCTCACGTGGCTATCCATACGGCCTTCTATACAAGCAGATCATTAGTTATTCATAAATGGGCGCTTATTTTAGTACTCGGAATGAAAAGTGCTTTCTTTCGATTTGAATAAACAGTGGATTTTTTAGCTGAAGAAGCTGCACCAGCTGAGCCTGAAGCGATTGAGGTAAAGCCCGAGGAACCCGCCGCTGAGGAAGAAGAAGAAGCACCAGCACCAGCTGCGTCTCCCGAGCCAGAGAAGGAAGCCACCCCTGAGGCTGAGGCTGAGCCAGAAAAGGAGGCAACTCCTGAGGCCGAGGAAGCTCCAGCCAAGGAAGACTCCCCAGCACCCGCCGAAGAGGCCCCAGCAGAGGAGGAAGCCGCCCCAGAAGCCGCAGAAGAGCCAGCCCAGGAGGAAAGCAATGATGAATAAAGAAAAAAGATTCGGAAAACGTAAAAGCCAGACGTGAAAACTACTCGTATAATATTTTTCAATGTTAGTCCGAAAATCCTCCAATCACTTTCTTACAGTCTCCTTTTCAGATATTCCCGCAAACCAGAAACCAAAAAAACATCGGAAAAAATTTGTCACTGACTCGGAAAATTTTGTGCCTCCCTCCCTTTCTCCATTTCTCTATCTTTTTATCACCTCTTTGCTCGCACTTTCTTAGCTAATCAAAACTGTATCAACAACATTTTTATATGAATAAAAAATAGACTATAAACCCTTTTGTTTACGAAAAATAGAATAAATATATTGTCAATATTGATAAATAAATAAATACAGTAAGAATGAAGCAAGAAAAAGAGGATCAGTAGACGGCATGGCGAGCATTTCTGACGGGAGTGCTTCTTCTTGGCATTCTTGGCTGACCGCTTCGTAGTTGAGCTCGTTTTTTCTCGCGGTGAAGTTGGGTAAAGGATTTTGTCATCCAATCGAGTCCGTGTTCCAGGCCATCGCCAGTGATTGCACAGGAAGGTTGAACAAGCCAATTTACGTTTTGCATCGTGTCGAGCCCAAGAAACTCTGGCAAATCTTCTGGCTGCACTGCGTTTTTCGCGTCCTGAGAAGTTAGAAGCGGGATTCTAGAGTGGTTTTGGGTACCTGTTTGTTGGCAAAGACGAGTACTTGGCTACAGTCTTTCATCGCGCGATCGTTCATAATTTTTATGAACTCTTTTCGAGCAACATCGTAACGTTCATCGTCGGAAGAGTCGAATACAAAGATCACTCCCTAAAAGATATTTCTCAAATCAAGAAAAACTACGTAAATGGAGTTTTCTTAATAAAAAAGGAAATCATTCATTATCCAAGAGATTTAGTGTAGCTCAGTAGAAAAGTATGAAGATAATTTATTCCAACCGACAATACGGTAAAACTGTCAAGATTCGGTAACGATAAATTGAAGAATCATTTTAACAAGACAGAAGTATGTAAAATATCGGGTTACTATAAAAAAATATATATTTAGTATTTGCGAAAATTAAACTCAATTTTAAACCATGCGAAAATTTAGCAACAAATATAGGTGTAGATTCATTTTAATTCATGACATAAGAAAATCCAAATTCTTTCTTTTACGTACTTTAGCAGATGTTTTTAGTTAGCGCCATCTTGCCTCTTACCTACCTCGATCAAGATAAGATTTTAAACCGCTGCAAGCACCTGACTTGCTTTAAATTCCAGACTCTCTTTTCAACTCATAGGAGAGAAATTCTCTCTCAGAGAAAAATCGTTTATGAATGTAAACTTTTTATATATCTTTCTTTTTGAAGTCTTTTCTTACCTGAGTTCCAGGATAATAATGTCGCCAAAGTCGTCTGAGATGCTTCTTTCCGCCCAGATCCCAAATGTTCATCGAGATTTTACCGTTTTGATTGGAGAACTCTTCAACGTTGAATCCGATCGTCGGCTCGGTCTTATACGTTTCATACATCTTCAGTCGGTAAAGAATCGTCGTTTTGCCAGATTCGTCCAGGCCGACCATCAAAACGCGGAACTTGTTCTTGCTTTTTTTGCCCAGCGTTTTTGCCGAAATGTTGCCCATTTTAGTTTCTATCAAAAAATAGTAAAAAGAAAACTTCAATGACGGTTTTACGATTTGATTTAGTTTGCTCTGACCTGTAAGTCAGCTAAAACTCAACTGAGGAATCGCTCTTTTTATCTTTCACAACAATCAGATGTTCTAGAGATCCAAAACCAAGCAAAACTCACAAAATTCATTAATAAACTCATATCGTTGATAATATCTGTATTTGATATCATGGAGGAGAGCCTCAAAATATCAGTTTGACATCAAAAAACAATGAAAATAGGGGTTAAGCCAATTTATGGAAATGATTTAATTTCCAGGGTTTTGATTGGTCGGTAGACCAAATACAGCAATCTTATTGGTAGTCCAAAAATCCCGTTCCATAAATTGGTTGAGTCCGAAAATAGAGTGATTTTATATTTTCAGTTATAATTAGACAATTGCAGGTTTCTTTTCGTTACGTAACGAATCGTTCGATGGGTACAAAATTTCGAAAGAAAGGTGTGCATTCCTGCCCCCTCTGCACTTTCTGTCACTTATTTTGTGAACATTGACCCCGACTCTCAGGCGTTTATCTTCTCATGAGAAGATTTCCAGCTTGTGGGCGAAGACCTGTTGTATTTTATTTTTCTTTTCTCGTCAACGCGTGTTTCAGGTTCCGCCACGGTCTCAGCTAATCAGAAAAAACTCGGAACCTACCTTCGCTTCATAAAAAGGAGGGCGCAGCGCGAAATCAACTCATTTTTAATTAACTTTTCAACTTTTTCCAAGAAACACTTTCGCTCGATTTTATAGAGATGGGATTTCCGGTCGATGTTCCTATGGTAAGAAAAGATGCTCATCTTTGTTTTCAACTGTGATTTAAGCCAAGTACGATGGAAGATTTAGTAGCAGGGATCAATTTTTTGATTGCAAAAGATGCTTCGCCAGAAATTATGGTCCAGTACTTTCAGAATTACAAGAATGATGACTGGAAAAAATATGCAATGTGGGATCCTTACAGGTGCTTTTTCAGGAGATTGAATACTTACAGTAGTGAAAACAGCTCTGAAAGGGTTTAAATTACCAATTTATTGGCTTTCTATTAAATTAAATCCATCAAAGAAGTCATATTTTTGAAGATCAATACGATTTTGTTGAGCTGAAATCTCAAAATTAATCCTCAAATTCATCCACTTCTAGATACACTCGAAATTTAATCGAAGAAGTCGACGGAAAATATTCATTGATCCTCCTCTGCTGGCCCGAATCCAACGCCAGCGCCATCCACGACCACCCAAACTCCGACTGCATCATGAAATGCCTCTCTGGAACTGTCAAAGAAACCCGCTTCGCCTGGCCAGAAAAGAAGAAGACGAAAATGACGGAGACTGGCTACACTGTAGGAACAGAGGGAGATGTTATTCACATAAATGGTGAGTTGAGCTCTGGATCAGACTGGACTACAAGGGGCCTCGAGGGATCACCTGACCAAGTTAACATTTTCCACTTTGGAGGTGGGGCAGGAGGCTCGGCTCTCAGCCTATTGCGTAATCGTAATAATGAAACATTATGTATTTTCGTGAGATAAACCCACATGGCCGAAAACATCACGTGGAAGCAGAATTGCTACGGGGAAATTTGCGTCACAAATAACATTTTGGAATAACATCTTGCTCAATCATTTTTTGATGGGTGGGGCGGATGAGTTCAAATCGATCTCATAATGATTAAGACGAAAGAAATAAATCATTTAAGTTAAATTACTTCACGAGAAAGGGCGGGGCGTCACGTGTAGTCCAAAAATCAAAGGTTCTTTCAGATGACCTGGGACTCCACCGCGTTGAAAATCCTTCATCTTCAGAAGGCGCTGTTACTCTCCACTTCTACTTTCCCTGCATTCATGAATGTCTTGTTTTCGACGAAGAAACTGGCAAGGCTCGACGAGTGAAGATGACCTACACTTCCATCCGAGGCGTCAAGCAGACCCCACAACAGAAGATTCAGAGAGCAACAGAATGCAAATAAGCTACAAGAAGATTGGTGCAGGATGCTTTTGTTTTGATACATGTTCATTTTACGTGCTCGCCTGTTATACAAGAATGACTGCATTTGATTGAAGACTGTTCATAAATAAATTCACTGAAACAGAGTCATTGAGAAGGATTTTGGTTTGATAAGTTATTGGGATTGAAAATCATTTAGTTAGTTTTGCAAAATTCTCGCGAAGAATATCAGAAATCTCATCGATTCGCCGATTGTTTTTCAGTTCTTCGGTGAGTTCTTGTATCTTCGACATCAGATCTGAGGACTCGAAGAACTGAGCTTTTGTTTTAATGTCCTTGAAAATTTTGATTATCAATAGCTGTTTAATAAGTTTTACTTCGATTTCAGTTTTTAATTTGTTTATCGTTTTATTTTGATTTTGCGCAAGATCTCTTAGCTCTTCATTATTTTTTTGCAACTCTTCGATTTTTTCTTCGAGTTTGCATTGATCGCCTTCTAGTATTTTTATTTTTCTCTTCATTTTACCGACTCGCGCATTAATTAGCATATTGACTTCAGTCTCTGTCATGCCTGAAAATTTTTTCTTGAGGTTGATTTCTCTCTTACTTTAGGAGTCTAACAGTCTATTTCATTTTAGAAAAAACCTGTATCGACCGCATTAAGAGTCTCTGTAGACACAGAAACATCCGAAAAAGATATTTGAGACATGCTATTGACTCTTGGAAGCTCAGACATTCCGACGGAGAAAAGTTATTACTTTTTTGCGTATACGGAGATTTATCTTGGAAGAGGCTGTCTTTTAAAAATCGCTTCATATATTTGCTAAGCTAACATGGCCATTTTATTCGAGAAGTGACGAAAAAAAAATTGATGATTTTGGGACGTTTTTTATAAGTCTTTGTTGATTTCACTTTCTTTAATCATTTATTAATTATGTCGCAGTACATAAAACCAATCAGAAAATCTACTCGGCAGAAAAGTTGTTACAAGAGATCTGAGCTTCCAGTATCGTTCCATCGGTTGATATCGAGACAGAGGCCATTTCGCAAAAAGAGCATCTTTGTAATCTTCAATCACAGGAGTCAAGTCCACATTTCCATCTCCTCTGTAAGCTTTTCCAGTTCCAAGAAAAGGTACCCTGGGTTCATTGTTCTCGAGAATTCTGACACGACCCTGTGAGCTCTTGAACTCTTTTTTCAAAGACATCTCTTGGGTAGTATTTCCTCGTGCGGTCATCTACACCGCTCCAGAGCTTTTCGGTTAGTTCCTTGATCCGCTCCGGGTTCAAAATTTGGGTTCCTCCCAAATAGTTACCCGGCTCCAGAATCGACACCTTTCAACACAATTTCAAATCCATTATACCTTTTCAAAGCTTACATCAATACTGTATTTATGCAGTTCTAGCCTTAGGGCTTCCCCGAGCGCTTCGACAGCCCACTTTGAAATAGCTTGAATTTTGGTTCGAATTTGATTTTTTGGTCAGAAAAGAGGGTCTAACTTGAACCATTCCGTAAGGAGATCTGCTCGGTTGCATAATTCTGCCGAGCCCAGACGCCATGACCACAATTCTGCCGCCTTCATTCCGCATCAAGGGTATCAGGGCCTTGGAGACACGCGCTACTCCCCACACGTTTACATCCATGAGCTGAAAAGATTCCTTACGTAACTTGATTCTCAAGAAAAAAGAGAGACTGTCTCCAAAGGGACTTGAACGAGAACCAGCACCCGTAGATTTTCTTCTTTTTAAATTTTAGACAAAAAGAAGGCAAGATATAGGAGCACGTGACTAAGTATGGAAAGCGGGCTGAGTTGGCATGAAATCGGCTAAAACCGGCTGCATCGGCGTGGATTACATTCGGCCCTGCTCTAAGCTCATCCCTTTCACACCGATGCAAATCCATCATGTTAGGGCACGAAAATCTTGCGCCGCCGATTATGGCCCGTGATCCAATACTTCATCATTTTCTTTCTTTTACGAACCTTTTTGTAAATTTCAATCGAGGTCCATTCTACATCGCCGAATGCAGAAATGCCAGCATTGTTCACGATACCCTTAAAATTTTCTCAAATCTCTTTTCAACCTCATTTTTCTTACCCAAAGCGGTTTACCGTCCAATTCCTTTTCGATAACTTCGATGAGTTTTTCGATATCTTGATCTTTTGAAACATCGCATTGAAATACAGTGATTCCATTACCCTTCAGGGTTTTTGCACTGTCGCCTTTTTCATTGATTACTGAGGCGAAAACTTTGCACCCCATGTTTTTCAAATCCTGAAGAAAAAATTAAGGGCGCCATAGTCAATACAATTTCTGTAGAAAACGCTTTTAGCAAGGGCATACCCTTAAGAAAAAACATCAAAAACTACCTTTGCAAGAATAAATCCGAATCCACTATCGCATCCAGTCACTAGAATCGCCTTTCCTTTAGCGTCAAGCATTCTGGTCCTCCAGCACGAGGCGCAAAAATAAACAAAAATCAAGCTCCAGCACGGTACGATCGGAAACAATTTGCTCAAAAGCACATTGAAGACGAACAAGATGATGAACATGACATTGAAGTCGGTTCTCTTGCAGTGATTCCCAGCATAGTTGCGGATAAAATTGAAGACTAGATGCAGTACCATCTCTGAAGTGAACTAAAAACGACAGAAAAAGGGGTGGTGTCTCCTTACGCACATAACAAATCGCCGAAATCGGTGACCTTTCAAAAATCAAACAAATTTGTCTTCAAATCAAAGTCATACAAACTTTTCGACCAAGTGTACATTTTTAATTCCAGGAAATTATTTCAATCAGGCTCGGCGATGTTTTCACACGAGTTTTTAATAAAAACAGGCTAAGCTCTCCAAGCTTTCTTCCAAATCAGTTTTACTCATCTCAATTTGATTCAAATTCGACAACGGAAAAATGCGGTAGAATAACAATTCATAGATAGAATGAGTTTTTGAAAAACTAAAAAGAATATTTCGATTTATTTCCGCAAACTAAAAAATGTAAAAGATTAAAAGACACAGTAGTCGGATGAGACTTGAATAAGCACATATGCAGGCGTTCTGTAAATTCGAGATGGCCCGGAACTGTCAATTTGTTCGGTCTTGATCACTTGATCGCCGTCAAGCTCGATCCGTTGTATTTGTAATTCTGGTTGAATATACGAAGAATGGTAAACAAGAAATATATATTTGTCGACCATAATTGTAAGTTCCGAGACTCCTGTCTAAATTCGTATTTTGAAAAATAGAGAGAAAAAATAGTTTTTGATAATAAAACTTCATTCGAATTTTTAATTTCAAATAGAATCTTTGTTAGAATAAACTGCTATGAAAAGTGCAGATTGAAACACAAACTATGATTATTAAATGATGTTGCATGTCATGCTCTGTATGACTAAAAATATCAAACTCAATGTCTTACTTCGTTATTTGTGATTGAATTTTGAGATTGAAGATGTCCAATTAAGCTCCAAATATTGTCTCGAAGAAGCCAGATTTCTGTTGATAGAAGGCTTTTCCGTTTCATTTCGTTATAATGAAACCCTCCAATAGCCAAAAGATTTCCACTTGGGAGACCAACAAGTGAAACTGAGTGAGTCTTGCTACAAAAAAAATAAGCTTCAATTTCTTATCATAATGGCAAACTAAGGAAAGTCGGCCAACGAAAACCATCCAAAAGATGAGTATGTTTCGACTTTGGCTCTAAGATCACTGCTCCAGTCATTTTGGTAGGTACCAACTGTTGTTGGCTGTCCTTGATAAAATCCAAGGGTGGTGCCACTATGGGGAAAGTTTGAAGTATGTGTCGAATAAGTACGTGTTCCATCAAATATTTCACATTTTTTATGTTCGTCATCGCGTGGAAAACAAATTAATCCTAGACTGCCCTGTTCAATTGTAAGTATCGCAGAAAGACTCGTTATATAATTAATAAGCTGCATTGATTGTTTCACAAAAGAACATCCGTCAAGTTTTGAAATCTAATCACATTTTTTTTTAAATTTTTGTGATGTAATTACTTCATGATATCCGAAAAGGTACGCTTCGCCTTTAACAAGTGCATGTTATTTGAATCGCGGGTAGTTTGAAGCAGGTCCTTCGATTTCTGCTTCTGATTTTGTAGATCCATCTCCAGAAAAAATAAAAGCTTCACGGAGATTATTGCCAATCATGAGTATATTAATGTCACTCTAATAAAAAAAAAGTAAATGTTTATTATAAAATATAAAAACCAGCGTAAGTCCTGAAGGGTCCATTATTTGAGAAGGACCAGTTGGTGGTTGAGTTTTTCGCTGACCAGACATGCAGAGCGCATGAGACTTCGCATTACAATCAGCATTTTCAAAAAACATAAACAGCTTATGACCGATTTTTGCGCAGGCTTCCGGTCGACGACGATCAAACCAGTAGATTTTACTCTCGTCGTAATTCGACTTGATCTATTAATTTTATTTATAAACTTATATTACTCTACAGTACCAGTTCGTACTCCTCCCTGAAGTAGGGATCGGCGAGCCAACCATTTTCAAGATGACAGTAAGCTGCTGCTTCAGTAAATTCAAGTTCATCTCGTGAAGTAAAAATTGAGAGATCTCGGTTGATAAACTCATTAACTGCTGCCAAATTTTTCAATCTGGTCAAAAATTTGAGAGATCTTTTCAAAATTTTATTATGGCGGCTGGTTTTAGTGCAAGCATATGACTTTTTGTGTTCATGCACATGAATTTTCGATGAGAATTAAATCACAGAAATTAATAGAACACGTTTCCTGAATCCAATCATTAATCATCTCCCCGAGAATCTCGATGTTCTCACTTGGAGTTTTTGTCTCATCGAATTCGTGCATTTCAACAAGCTCAAAAATCGGAGAAGATTCGCAAGGACCTTCATTTTGATAGAGTTGCATGACTTTTCTTGTGGCTTCATATCTGTTGATGAGTTTTCGCCTCATTTTCCATGGAACTCTCGATCGCAAATCGAAGGCTTCGAAGACAAAGCTGTCAAGATCATCCCAGAAGTCCAAAAATTGTTGATGCGGGGCAGCAGTTTGGCTAAGCCCGATCAAAAAGCTGATCAAAAATGGCTCTCTCATTTTGGATTCAAAACCAGCCTCTGTAGGTCCTACGGTCTTCGATCATTGTTTTTATAGTTTTTAAGTTTTCATTGTTAATTATTCTGACTTCCTACCAGAAGCTGGAATTAAATGGTCTCAACGGAAGCGCTTTTCCTTTTCTTTTTCTGTACAAATAAGGGGATAATTCGTTCGAATCCGTTAGTAAGTACTGTAAACGCAGTATTTCTTCGGCAATAATTGACTCGGCCATCATTGCTTGCCAAAGAAAAGATGGTTGTTCTGGGCGTGGATTGTAATTTCCATCGAATTGTCATTAGAGGGAACCGCAGCCGCGCTCGTCGCGTCGCGGCAAGGACGATTTCACGGCGCCAAACCGAGCAGTGCAAAATGCAATTAAAGATTGCACCACCACCGCCGCCCGCCTCATTAAGGAGCAACCGACGCCGATACTGACTAAAACCAACAACGACATCGGACATCAACTCAAAACTCCACCCGCCACCGCCGCCAAAACCGCCAAAAGCCCCGTTGGACGAGTAAAATATTCACACCACGCATAAAAGTCCAATTCACCTTCTTTTATGAATCGAAATCGAGGATAATTTTTGACAATGCTCGAATTTTTTCCAGCAGAATTTGCACGACCCATTTTCTGTTTGAATCAAGAGTCTCAAGCTGAAAATTGCTTATTTGAATAATGAGAACCGAACCAACCTGAACTTGGCTCGATCTTACTGTATAAAACTGAAGGCCTCAAATCGTTTTCTACCTCATTTACGATTTTGAAGAGAAAGACTCTTTTTTTTTGAAAAAATGGAAAAGAACATAAAATGAAAACTAAATCCTCTGCAATTTTTATTTGATCGAAAGCTTTTTTATAAAAAAATAATTGTTATACATTTCTTTTAATAATTTAAAAACCGAACCAACCTTAACTTGGGTCGATCTTACTGTATAAAACTGATGCTTTCAGATATTTTACTATTTCAATTACGATTTTGATGAGAAAGACTCTCTTTTCGAAAAAAAAAAATGAAAGAGAGCATCAAATGAAAACTAGATTTTGTGTACCTTGTTATATTCTTGATCCATAAAATTATTTTATAAAAAATAATTTCTTTTTAAAATGAAAATCATCACTCCCCATCCAGTCTTCAACTGCGTCGTTTTCATTTGTAATCACTTTGGCTTTAAAAAAAGTTACAAATTTATTATTCAAAATTAAACTGTTTTGAAATGTCATTAAAATACATTCTGTAAGCAGCAAAAAAAAAATGAACGTGAGAGTCTGAATTGCTTGGAATTGTCTGAGATTGAGCGTGAAACGTTTCGAAACATTGAATTTAGCAGCGTTGAGCGAGGCGACTTCTGCGTAACCATAAAGTGAAATAAGCGGAAAATCGAATCTGGGAAGTAAAGAACTAGCGGTCAAGGTGGCCTCATTATCTAACAATTTATTACTCATTTTGCGTGACATTATCGAGGAAAGAAGAGTTTTTGGAGAGATCGGCGCTTTTCTTTCAGGAGTAGAGGCGGAGGATGTTGTCTACCGTGAATTCTTGGGCGCAAGATGGACACTTCTTTGGAACTAGCTCCGTCAAGCAGTGAGAGCAGTACTTTCAAAGGTTAATTAATCCAGGGCCGATAGAATTTTATTGAAATTTGAACCTTGGCTTGTGACCGCATGGGGTGATAGCAGATTCGAATCGATCATCAGTGTTAAACTCATTGAAGCAAATCTTGCAAGATGAATTGCCAGAATGTTCTTCATTGAGACTCGGAGGGTTTTTGAAATTCAAGTATCGATCTCGCGCTGCCGTCAGATTCCGCAAACTATGCTCACCCTCATTCAATTCAGCTTGGTTCATTTCAAGCCTTGTCAAAATGTCTCTATTGCGTTGTTCCTGATTTTTTATTTTCTCGTTCAAATGACCCAACACAATTTCCTCAGAACACTTCTGAACCTTCTTCATAGCATCATTACAGCATGTGGAAAAGTAGTAATCAGCGAAGGAAATTGATCGACTCTCGCAAGAATTCACGCGGCATTTGAATTCTGGATACCACATACGTCCGCCATACTTCTTGTGAAATGAGCAGTAAGTGTTTCTCCCGTCCTCGTACATTTGATGAGTTATTCTTGAATAACGTTATATAATCGCTAATAAAATCAAATATTGATAAACCTCTGGCAATCTTTACACGCCGTCTTAGTAGTATAGCGATGATTAAGAAATGAAAGATGGGAACTAGAGAGTGAGAACCATTTAACATCCTCAGTCATTTGAATATTCTCATAACAAAACTTCATTTTTCTCTTTTGAAAGTCTGATTTCTTTAGCAATAAATTATTGACAATAATTCTTCACATCCTTGTACGTTATGCAAAGAGACAGAGACACCACTGCCACACAAAAAAAAAACGTTTGCTCGCACACGCGCGTTGTGCAAAGAGGGATGATGATGGCTGTTGCTATCCGATAATTTGCGCGCAGCTGAGTCGCCTCCCTAAACCGCTCATTTTCGAAGCTTTTTGATTTCTCGTTGAATTTACTTTCCTCCCTGTTTTTGCTCTCCTCTTCACCTGACATAAGTTAGAATCATTTTTACTTTACGTCTGAGTCAGAATTGTAAACGAAAAGTCTGCCTTTTTGAAATCGATGAACTCTGGAATTCGCGTTTTTGGGAGAATGATTAACATGGAAGTAGGAAACATATTCATGGCTTGTTCTGCCTCTTTCTTTCTGAACAACTTTTTGAACAAGAGTGTCGGTTTCTCGGACAAGCGCCCCGCTCGCCCCAAATTAACCGCAGCAGACCAAGCGCTTCCTCGAAACATGCGCCGACAATAAACCTCGTTATGGTTAGATTTTCTTCTTCAGCTTCATTTTTTCCTTCGTTTTTTTCTTCATTTTTCGTCTTTGAAAATCCGATAATTGCTTCTCCCGAAAACTCCAGGGCGAAAAATGCACGCTCCCAGAGCTGATCCTAGCTATATCAGTGTCCTGTGTTTTGATTTTGTGCGCTGGGCAGCTTGGGCTTATTGGACTCTCATTTCAACTCTCTGTTTTCCAAAAGCGGCGATAATCTTCCAACGAGCCAGAAAAAGTTGTAAAATTAGACTCGGCCACGAAACTTGAGCATTTTTCAACACCAGGTTAGCACTGTCCGACGGTCAACAAAGCGGACTTCATTAACCTGTTTGGTAAATTCTGACCAACAGGGTGGTAAGGCGCTAATTGTCAGGCAGACAATTTATTTGTCTCGCAGACGAAAATCCTCTCGAAAAAACACCTTCTTGATAAAAATTTATCTGGTAGACGAAAATTCGTCTGGTAGACAAAAGTTCGTCTGGTAGACCAAAAAACGTCTGGTAGACAAAAATTCGTCTGGTAGACAAAAATTTGTCTGGTAGACAAAAATTCGTCTTGTAGACAGAAACTCGTCTAGTAGACAAAAATCTGTCTGGTAGACAAAAATCTGCCTAACAGACAATCATTTGTCTAGCAGACAAGATCTCTGTCTCGTGACGAGACTCTCGTCGACAAAGGCCTTGTCTGATAGACAGAGGAGAAAAAATATATATTTATCTCCAAATCGAATAGAACATCTCCATGTCACAGTTTATTTGGTCTGGGAAAGAATCAGCATTTCAGGTGTTCATTAATCACTTCCGTTTATTGCTTTACCGAGAAAGCAATCCGTGTTCTGCATTGTTTCGCTACATTCGTCGAAAACACGGAAAAGCGGAATACACCGCGAAAACTTCCGGATTAGTGGAGAACTCGCCGGCTAGAGCAACAACCTGGACTTAATCCGACGCTCTCCGCTGATCTGGAAAAAATAGCTCCGACGGTTTTATGCTGCTCATTGCTAATTCGGCTATCACGTGCCAGATGCTTGTAACTCTACTGTTTACTTGTAATGAGATGGCTTTACGAGCGGTTGAAATACACAAGTTCGAAAAATCGGACTTTTCAATATCCAAAAATGCCTCAAAAGTGAATCAACTGAAAGAAACCGAGGAGAAGGTAAAATTAGCTGCCAAAATAGCGGATCATCCGCGATAAAGTAACTTGGACAAGTGGAAACGAAAAGTTGCGATTTGAAAATGTCACCACGCTCTAAGGAAATACTGACATTTCAAACTTCCTGTTTTGCGGCTCAATCCACAACCGCACATTTCGAGGTTTGAATACTTTTTGAGCACGTTTTTTGGAATTTTTATTTCTTGAACAAGATCGCAGCAAATTCAAAAGCAATTGTTGTTCCGGCAATAACTCGGGTCAGGGTGTCAATGTTTTCAGCAAGAGCCTTATCTTCTTCAGCATTATTGTTGTTCTCAAGCTGTGATTCTTCTGTACTGGTAGTTTGTCCATCAGACAAAGATATATTCGATCGAAGATCATGAAGATTTTTCTCCATCTTCCTCATTCGATCATTCAACCTGCGATCTTCCTGTTCTTTCTCAAGTTTATCATTTGCTGATTAAGGGTATCCCTCTCTAAACCTCTCTTTTCAAGGAAAAAGGATACCAATCCTGAGTTAACCTGCAGCTCAAATATTTTTCGATTCAAACTTGTGATTTCATCCCTCAAATCATCAGCTTCCGATTTTTTCTTTTGCGACTCTCTTGAATAAGAAACGTCCGAAAAACTTATTTCAGAGCTTGACGCATTTGAGCTGAGCATCTTTTCGTTTTTCAACAAAAATGAGCAGCTTATTATCTGATTGTAAAACAGGTCTTTTGCGAAGAGAACAATAAAAAAGTGATTTTGAGCTTTAGATTTTTAATTGATGCTTGCGACGAATGTAAAACGCGAAAACAAACACAAACAGCTTCCAGTACGCAAGTAGCCCGCAACGAGCTTCTTTAGCATCTCCGTGGCGAATCGGGATTTGTTGTAACACATTCACAAATTCTCTTGTTACAGCTTTTTGAACACGGTTTCCTTTCCCAAGACTGAAGCTAGAAAAACTCAAGAGTAAAAAAATAAATTTATTTAAAAAAAATTACAATTAACAGAAAACTCATCAAATGAGTGCCATTCCAAGACTTCCAAGAAACCGTCCAATGTAATAAAGAACATTCATCAGAATCGCCACTAAAAAACCTTATTTCAAATAAATTGAATAAAGAATACCAAAAACGAGCCATTCAACAAACATCAGCACACATGATAAAATCAACTTGATGTGGCCAAGTCGCGATCGAGGAGCAATATCGTCGAATTCTTCCAAATCCATGGTCAGGTTCAGCTTTTCTTACAGTAAGAATACAGTTGTGTTCTTATCAACTTACCTTCGAGGCAACATTTCGGCTCAAAGAGCTAAATTTCTCACTGACGAGGATGCTTCCTCGAGAAAGGGTGGACTGCCTGAAAGAGGAAAAATTAAGGGGGAGGTCGTCGAGAAAATTTTTTTCGCCTTTTCAAAATTTTGATTATATTTTTGGATTCCTCGATAAAAATGGAGTATTTTTGGTCTCTAGCCTTTTCTCAATTTGTTAACTTTTTAATGTAAAATTTTCGATTTTAAGTCTCGAACTTGAAATTTCTTGAAAATTATAAGTTGATGATTTCGTCGAAAAACTATCTGAAATTGATTATTATTTACTAAGCATTGTTTTAAAATGATTTCTGACTAATTATTTTTAAAAAAATCCTAGTCTTTGTAATTCTTGTAGAATTCTCCATGAAAAAATGGCTAAAAATGTCGATTTTGACGAAAATCGAATATTTTTAATCAATAAGAAAAAAATTTTTATGAAAGTTACCCTTAATTTTTTTATCGCCGGTTAATTTTTAAGGGTCTAAACTATTTATAAATTATATTTGATGAAGAAAAAAAAAACTCGGTTTTCAAGATTTTTTGGTCACGAGACACCCCCACTTCAGTCCTAATTTTTGAAAAATTAAAAAAAAAATTTTTTTTCTGCTTTTCGCCGGTTAATTTTTCAAACCCTTTTCTTTCAATCTGAAAAGTCAGAATTTTCCTATCTAATCGGGTTTCTCCGCATTTTTGGTCACGGAAATCCCGATTCTCGTCGACCTCCCCCTTAAGGGTCTACCCAAGCTTAATTTTCAACCGCGAAAACGGCCAATAAGAACCTCTAAACGTCATTTTTACCTTGATGGCTGCTTTTCTAGCGGTTGCATGGCACTAAGATCCAACTCTATTTTCTTCCACAACCGCCTGAGAATTCTAGAGATGAAGAGCTCCTTACTTCTAAATTTTCAACTTTCCCAAAATCGCCTTTTCAAAATTTGGTGCTATAATCACCCGCCTTGCTGTATCCGCTCATCCCGGGGGATCAACCGGATTCCTCAAATGATCGGTCATTATCTCCAACCTGCTCTTTTTTTGCAAGAAAAAAAATGAGATGGATTAAATATTTTATCGTTTTTATTTAATATTTTTGTCCTCGTAACACATTTTGCGACAGAATTCAGTTTTTCGTTTTTTTGTACAGATATTTTTGTGATTGAAGTGTTTTTCAAAATAGAGAAGTCGAAAGCATTTGCTAGTAGCAGAATCTTGATGATTTAAAATTGTAAAATATGTACAGTTAGAAACTCTGTAAATAAAATAGTTTTTGGCACATGAAAGGTTGATTCTTCTTTTTTTAATTTTAGGCAAAATTCAAGCTTGGTTCTTCTTATTGGCTTGAATAAATATTATTGTACGGGTTGTAATGTCCTCCGAGAGGATCCAAAGTCGGGACGTATCCATATTGTGGCTGGTAGAAGCTCGTCTGCGCCGCGTAGGGAGTGAAAGTCAGCGGATTGGCGGAAGAGTCGCCGAAGCCGGAAGAATTGTTGCTCGAATTTGGGCTGGAAGAATTCTGATCGGAGCCAGGCGAGCGGGCGTCGTGGCCAGAATCGGAGCCGGAGTTTTCTTCGATTTTCGTGATTGCTTCGACGGGAGCGACTGGGGTTTGCTCGGCTGTTGGGATTGGCGGGGAGGCCAGGGCTGGCGGCGCTGGTGTTTCGGTCGAAGGGGTTTCGAGTGAAGGAGTATGCGAGGAAAGGAAACTCGTCGCGGAAGGGAGCTCACTCGGCATCGAGGAGGTGGTTGAGATTGAGGAGTAGTTGAAGTTCTAGAGAGGAAGGTTAGTTGATGAATGATGTAAGGTAAGAAAATTGATAATATTAGCGTTTTTTGTCCATGTTATTTTTGTTGACTTACCGGTTGGCCATAGTTGGGAGTAGGAGCAAATTCAACACTTGGCTGATACGGGGATGAGAATTCTGGGATCGTGGAATACATCGATGTCACTGGAGGAGCCACAGGAGTCGAAGCATAGCTCTGCATGGAGACCATTGGTGGTGGGGGAGCCCCGGAAGGAGTCGATGCTCCCATCATTGGAGAGTGAGAAGAGGGGAAGGGAGGAAGAGGACCGGTGATTTGAGAAGCGGTCATTTGTTTTCGCCAGCGAGCGCGTCGATTCGAGAACCAAACCTGAAATTGGAGTTGAGAAGAAGATTTCTTGAAAATGGGGAATTGTTAAGCCGTTCCTAGAACAAGCTGTGGGTCAGGCCGCGTTTGCGGAAGTGGCTTCTGCCGATTTTGGCGCCCTGTTGTGGCGAGTTTAGTGGCTTGTGTAATCACTACAAAGCTAATTTTACGGCTGCGGTGGGCCCCGGCCCCCCAAGACCCAGGTACGGTCCAGTCAGTTTTCTCGTTTTCTTTCTAGTTGTCGGACCGCTTTTTTGTGACCGCCACTTATTTGTCAGCCTGACCGCGAAAGACCACTCTATATTCATAAGCAGAAATAATCTTGTTTGTCTTTTCAGGTTCATGTTAAAAAAGAAGGCGATCTGATAAGACAGTCTCCCGCCGAGCAAAATGGCTAGCCACAATGAAATATTCTCGGCGTGGTTTTTATGTTTACATTAAAATACTGGCTCCCCGCTGTGCCTATTTTTCCACCTGCGCGCTGTGTCGCCAAGAGTTAATCACTGGTGATAACCTGCTGGTTGAAAATATTGTGATCACCCGCCGCGCGAAAATTGAAAAATAAGCACCTCGAGGAAAATGGACCTAAAGATCCATCCCTACAGCGAAGACTCTATAATCCGAAAAAATAATTATTTCTGATTGGCTATCGCAAAAAAACCTCGCTTTTTATTCGCTAATCATTCGAAAGGGGCCTCAAAATATAGTTTTTTTTACCTGAACTCTTGCTTCAGAAAGACCAGTTCTTCCGGCGAGTTCTTCTCTTGTGTAGATATCTGGATAGTGCGTCCTTTCAAAGCACTTTTCCAGCTCGTCCAGCTGATTGGCAGAAAAGGTAGTTCTCGATCTTCGTTGTTTTCGTTTCAGCGGCAAGTTGACTCCATCTTCATCCTCTGATCCGTCAGATTTGTCGCTTCCCGGGTCGATTTGTCCTTCCTGTCCAGGTTCTTTCTTGACATCAGCTGGTTCAGGAACGCCATGAGCTCGAAGAGTCCGAGAAATTGTCGAAACCGATGGTGCCGCGGATCGCTCGCAATCGCCGTTTTTGATGAGCATTTCACGCAGCTCCCATGAGAAGATTCCGGCGTTTTCTCGCGAGTATTGGAGGATCTTTTCTTCGATCTCGGGCGCGGTTCCTTTCGTCTTGTTGCCGCCGATGGAACCGGGTTTGATCGAACCGGTTTCTTGGTATCTAAAGAAAAGTTTATTAGCTTGGCTTGTGTTTTGACCTTGATTTCAACAAGGCGTGAAATTCGTGTCTTAATCCCTTCCCGCCCAGGTGCAACCTTGTAACTGAAACTAACTGCAAGGATATCAGTGCTCTCCTCTGCACGGGTATTAAATAATGCGTAAAATTCTGATCGCAGATTACGAGGTGTCAAACCCAGTCCCAATTTACAAACAACGATTTCGTCACGCTCCTATCGGTATTATCGTTGGCACCCGAATTAAGGAGTCATCCCATGAAGGGATTAGAGAAAACCGCAAAATATACATTTAGAAAACAGGACCTGAGTTTTGAGTATTCTGAGATTTCAGAAAAACACGCGATTTTTATAAGAAAATATTGTTTTTCAATGACTTATTCTTCAGTAAAATCAATTAGGAGGCCCTGCACCTTAATTTCTAACACACTTTTCGACTATTTTTAACATTTTGACACCCTTATTTTATCATTATAATCGGAAGTTTAGACGATTATTAGGAAAATTTAGCCAGAAAAAGCGACTTTCGAATTGACTCCCTTAACAAAAAATGGCTGATAAATGCCAGACAAAGTAGAAAAACTACGATAGGAAAGAAAAAACCTTGCCGTGGCCTTTTTTTCTCAGGTCGGAAAGAGAGCTGGACAGGCTCAAATGTCGGCCTCTATTTAGCCTTTTTGTCCTTAGCTAGCTGGCTTTTGGAAACGCAACTCGCGGCGCCTCAGCGGCGGTGGTGCTCACCATTCACCACCAATTGACAATTGTTGCACCATGTCATGAGAAAGAACGCGAGCAGATTTTATTATTAGGGGTGGTGCTAAGCCTGCCGACTGGCATTTAACTTGAATGGTACTTTTTTGGCTCTTTTATAAAACAGTTCAAAAGACCGGTTTCTTGAAAAGATTTTAAGGGTGTCAACGAAATAATCAATTTTTGAAAGTTCCAAAAAGTTCTTTTTTGAAACCTAACGATTTTTTTCTTGAGAAAAAGTTCCATATTTTCTCGCGGGTGTCAAAACTAAAAGCTCGAGTTTTAGTAACGACGCGTGCGTACAAACTAGTGCCCGATCGGCTGGTGTTTTTCAGGTAACGGGGGATCACTGGGGGTGATGAATCCATTCAACAAAAATAACCACCCACTGCAGCTGAGCTTTTTAATAAAAATAATAATGGGTCGGGTCCTTGTGGGGAGTCATGGGAAAGAAATGCTAGAATCGATACTGTAGCTCTTTTAATTTGTTCAATTGTAGGTCAAAGGGACTGTCTGACAGACAAAAGGTTTGACATCAAAGAAATCAATCAAACTTGAAAACTCTAGAATTCTCGAAAGTTGAAAGTTACCTGCAAAGAATCTTCGATACGCATCCATGTGAGACCCTCAGTTGTCTTGAGATCACACAGGGTCTGACGCCCATTGCAGCCATTTCTACGATTTTGTGTCGAATATGCGTCGGCAAAGGTCGACCGTTGATGAAGACTCCGCCGAGTTGATTCATTCTTCCTTGCCCTAAAAGAAATCATCGTTAGATAGAATCATCCCTTTTTTCATAAAATTTGGCCGGCAAAAAGAGAAAATTGCGCTCTAAAATTACAGAATAGGAGTTTGATCCCCTTAATCTCCGCCTCTTTCTTCAATTTCTTACCTTCCATAGGAAAGGGAGCCGGGCGAAACGGCTGGGCCGCTCCTAGATTTGGCGCTTGCATCGTTTTTTTTTGGAGTTTTTTTAGTTTTCTTCCTTGATTTCACTCGATTTTTTCAATATCTCTCAGACAAGTATCCTCTTTTTACGATCAAAGTTTTAAAAAACAGGGATTGCTCCACTTTGGAATGAAATTCGATGTTTTGAGTAAAGCTAGAAGCTGGTGGCTTGAGCTCTGGGCTCACGATGCAGCCAGTCCTTGGCTCTTGCGTTCCGCTAGGCGGCGCGCTATTTTTAGTGCGACACGAGATCGCTCCCCGGCGCGCTGCGGGACTGAGTTTTTTTCTGGCTCCCGAGCGCCCCGGTAAAGGGTTTACTTTTCCTTAGTTTATTAATAAAATAGCTGTTTGATTAAAAAAATAGACATGACTTTGGACAAAGATCATTTTCTGGTTTAAAATCGACCGCCTGAACAAACAGAACAACTCGTCAGCAGGTGCGTTTCGTTTCTTTCTTTTAAATGATGTGTGTTGAGCTACTTCTTGAAATTTTTGAAACAGTAGCGAAGACTAACTTTTTACGAGGCCAAATGCCAACTCAGTTATTTCCACATTTGGGGCCAATTCGCGAAATTGCGCGTTCTTAGATCTTCAAATGGCGCAGGCAGATTATTTGTTCCGCATTGATACTCTGTACTTTTGTATTTTGATTAAGGCCCTCCCTTGGAAACTAAAAAAAATAATTCATCAGAAAGGATAATCTAAAATCAGGGCATAAAAGTCATCTTGAAATTTTAACCCCCTTCTGCGTGAAAACCATTTTACTGGAAACGCTCTTTTTAGCGAATATCGAAGCGAGACCCTTAAATTTTCTGTTGATTTATAAGTTTTACATCAAATTTAAGGGTGTCTCGAAGATATCGTTGTTTGAAAAAGAGGCGATTTTATTGGGAAAATTTCGAATTCTGAGCTTTTCCAAAACCAAAAGCCCAAATTTCATCCCCTTTGATGTGTTCGATCTTGCATTAAACTTGGATTGAACGGTCAGGATCGGGTTAACCCGGCTGAGCGCAATCTTGGGTCGGTAATGGGTGTGTAACGTGGTGTGCCATTGGCGGAACTAAATGAATAAAACGCCACTTTGGTTCCATTTCAAAATCCCCTCATCCGATCTCCCAAGGCCAATCCAACTAACTAGGCACTGCTCTAGCCAGACTCGAAGACGTCACCCGAGATCACTCGCGAAAGCCGCGCAAATATACCGTGAACAAATGTTATATAAAACTAAACAGCTTTAAGATAAAATTCAATCAAATCAAATGCAAAATTAACCCTTTTCTTCCAAGTCACCCGAAAAAATGGTCATTTTTACCTCCTCAAAATACGGTATAATGTTAATTTAAGGCTACTGCGTCTTTTTTTCTTACTTTTAACAATTTAGGACATTAGGGGTGAGGTTTTACGGACAATTTAGGGAGAAAAATGATGGTTTTTTTCTCAAAAATGATGAAAAAAAAGGCCACACTGCCGCGCGAAAACAGAGATAATCCCTTTTCAAGTGCCTTGGTGGCGTATTTTAACCACTTGAGATTTTCCTCAACCCTTTTTCAGCCAATCATCGTTTCTCATTTCTTTCTTTCTTATGAAATTTAGTCGAGGAGACAGGGAAAAATTGTCCGGAATGAATTATTATTGGTGGATTTCACGGGCTAACTTGCCCGAGCTTCGGCCGTAATTTGGATGACATGACGTTCGTCACAATTTTACGCAGTCCAAGAATAATCAAACAGAAGACTTAAAACTCACGTAAAAGAAGTCTTCGCGGAATCTCGCGATTTTAGAAATTTTAGAAAATTTCTTCATTTTTTTCTTTAAATTTTTTGCAGCTCAAAAATAAGATTTTATTTAATAAATTTTTTTATTAAAATTAATCATTCGAATAATCGCAGCTGTCAGTTTTTCCTTGTTTAAAAAAGTGAAGGTTGTTTAGCGGGGATTTCCGGATTCGCCCTTCCCCCGTTGCCAGGAAGTGTAACGGTTACATCTGTGACCGAGAAAACTCAACCAAAACCATTTTCATTTTGCGCGAGACAGCTCTACAGACAGCGTGAAATTCAAAAGCCAGCATTTGTTGTTGATATTTTCCAAAATAGTGGACTTGCCACTTCCGGCTCAAAAAAGGAGTCGAAGGTGCAAGTTTAAAACAAAACTGTCACCCCAGCATTGATACAGTAGCTAAGCTCTATCCGAGGCCGAAGGCCGAGGGAGGGGGCGAAGCCCCCCTCAACATAAGAAATTGGCGGAACTCTCTTATTATCGCAGATACCTCCAGATAAGGGTCTCTCTATCTTATTTGGGGACTCTTTACTGGAGGATCTCCCCAAATATCTTTCGATGAGGGGGGCCTCCGATCATGTGGGACCCTAGGAGGGGGGGGGGCTTCGCCCCCTCCCTCGGCCTTCGGCCTCGGATAGAGTTGAGCCTTACAACATTACTGTAATTACTAATATATTATCCCTTCCTGCCCTCCTCAAAGACCTCTTGGTGTGATAACACGGTATATATCTAAGTCTGACTTTTATCAAATGAAAGTCCTCTCCCCCCGCGCTTTCCAGAGCTCCGACCTTTGTAGCGATATTTTCAATGAAAATTCAACTGTCGGCGATTTAATCCGAGACATTCACCACGTTATACAAGCCAAGCTCAGCCGATCGCCGCGGCGGATTAAAGCACCAAATTTACACAAAAAATGGTAAAGCAAAATATTAAGCGCCTTTTTCAGAAGATAGAAAAAAAGTTCTGTAAAAATACAAAATATAAAGTCAAAATCGAAAGAAAAGCAAGAAATCCTTGAAGAAAAAATACAAAAAAAAGCTCGAAGCTTAGAAAATCGCGCGAGGGATAAGTTACTCAAATGTTTATTGAAATGATTTCCGGCCAAGTCCGAAAATGCGATTTCCGTTTTTGCGCCTCCCGTGCCCATTGAAGGCGACTTCCTCTTTCTCGGGGCGGAAGGTCTTACACGGGGATCTTCTGGCTCTAGAATCGAAACTTCGAAAAATGTGGGTGCGTAAATTGGCGCAAATTGAATAACCCCACCGCGGTGGCAATTTTCGCAGCACGGAGGGATAATCAAAAGCCAAATAATCGGCAACTCTAGAATCAAACTTAGAGAGCAAAGCATCTTTTAAAATAGAAAAAGTACAGTAATGAAGTCACATTGATGCAAGACTACAGTTATTCAGGCTTTTTTTCTTCATCGAATTTTTGACTACTGTATGAAACTGTATTTTAACTGCAACTCAACTGTAAATCGACTAGCTGTCATGATGAACTACTGCCAATACAGCTCCGATAGTTACAGTGTCGATTTCCTGCTCAGCTCGATTCGCTACTTCCGGACGATGTTCTCCCTGGAAACATCTGTTTTCGTACTAAAATTCAAGTACCAGTGTACTTCAGTGTTGCCCCCAGCTGAGAGTGCCTGTAGTAAACAGCATGGGTCCAATGGGAAGTCCATATGGCTCGTGTGCCCGGAGGCGAGTGTACTGCTAATTACCGTGTAAGGCTCTCTTTACAAGTTAATTAATCACGGATGAGCCGCGGAACTCGCCCCGGGGCAGATCAAAGCCGCCGACTTCTCTTTTTTTCGAGTCATATGCGCCGCTACAGTAAAAATGACAGAACAAGGGATGGATAGCTACTTCGCCCGTTCGACTTTTTTTTCGCCTGAGCGGCATCTAAAGTAATTATACAGTAATTCAAACAGAAGCCCTTATGGTCGAAGAATGAGGCTCAATCAAACTGTCATGTTCTGAGACATTACAGTAACTTCCGAAATCGAAGAAAAACGATGATCGATGGTCGAAAATATCCGATTTTTTTTCAAGAAGAACGTCTTTTATTTACAATTTTTACAGTTAAAAAAATACAGTTTCAAACCTCGACTTCAAAATCGCTCAAATTCAAAAGGGTTGAAAATCGCTTCGGCTTGAAATTCAACGTTCCAATGAGGGTATTGCCGTCGAGGTAGGGATTTCGAACTTCTCTTTCCGGCGAATACCAGATGAACTGCTCCTCGGTTCTGCTTGAAAATGGCGATTTCTTTTCTTCGGTGAAATGGAAAAATTGATGATCGAAGAGCATGCTTTCCACGGGGATTTTCTTCAAGTCTTTTTGTTCTTTTTTGATGCTTCTGTAGAGGAAGACTGTTGCGAGAATGAAAAGGGCGACGAGGAAGCAGAGGACGAAGGTGAGGGATAAAAGAAGAGTGTTCATGTTTTTTGCTTTTTTGTTGTATTGGTTGTTCGATTGGTTAATGGTTTCAGGAAGAAAGGGATGGGATTATATACCAGGAAGGAAGAGATTCTAGCGCCAGTAGCACCTGTAGGAGATTTGATGAAGACATCAGATGGATTGAGATTGTAATGGCGCTCAGAATGCCTGTAAATTGGCGACTACAGGTGCTCAACAACGACGTTGAAAAAGAAAAATGGGAAAGGAATTGAATATCAGAAAGTATATATTTCTGCAAATGGGAGACCACAAAAGGGTTTTTCATATATTTTGGCTATCTTTTTTTATGATTATTAAATTTGGCAGTTGTTCTGACTGTTTCCGTGGTGACGGAAGAGATACACTAATATTATAAATAATGTTTAGTAATTTTTGCAGCCCCAGACGGGGCACTTATCAAAAAACCCTTCAACACTCTGACAAGTACAGTGGCTACAGTATTTATTTAAATACGAGACTCGAAATAGTATTTTCATCCCACTTTCTTCCTAAACACTGACTGACATTCTTCTGGGCTTCTTCCAAAGTCGATTCTTTCCAAAAGTCGAGGAGGAAAGGAGTCATGATCTTCGGCAATACAGTAAGATCTGGGATTTGAACATACAGGGATTCAAGGGGCAGGTTCAATTGATGATGAAAGGCGGTAAGGGTGGACTCGCAAATTTTCCGGAAGCCGTAAATTCGATCTGATTCGAAGTCCTTGTGCAGTGGGCCGCTTTCTTTTTGATTTTGCTAATCAATAAACAATTGGTAAAAAGATTGTCTCCTCGCAAAAACATGCCCTTATGAAAAGTAAAGAAATCTTCAGTGTACCACACCATGGCTGTCATTACTTTCGTTATTGCCTCTTCATGATCCTGTAATTTTGAGTCTTCAGCGAATTCTTGATAGAAATCTTTCAGATTTTCCAGCTTGCTCATTTCTCTAGAATTTTTCTTTTCATTTCAAAGTGCTAAGAACATACAGTAATCGCCTGTTTCTCTCCTGGCTCTCCATGTTTTTGGAAATTTGAAATTTTGAAAGCTAAAATTGAAGATCAATGAAGTGGGAAAAGCAAGTAGTCGCTCATGGAGAATTCGATTTTACAAGTTTCCCTTTTTACTATAACTGCAAATAAAGACGCTCTTTCCTACAGTTTTGTGAAAGCAATAGAGCAGTAGGATCGTGTCTTTTTGAAAAGCACAAGAAAAAAAAAGAAGAAGGAGCAAATTAAATTCGATTTTTTTGTGTTTCTAACACAAGAACGAGCAACCGCGACACGTCAACATTGCTTCTTGTTCAATTTCGCCCGATTCCGAAATTTGATTTTCGCGCTTGTCAACCGAGCTTGCATTCGCGCGTTTGTGATTTTAGCGAGGTGACTGGGCGACCTGTCCGCATCTACATAACACTTTTCCTTTTAAATCGAACCTTTCAAAAGGCGAATTTATTAATTTCTTCACCAAAATGGCCAAAAACGGCCCCCTGGACTTGAACAGGTTAAAATTGTTTTTCATTCCAAATCTCATCAAAAGAACTCCTCGAAGTTGTTGCTCAAGTGGTGCTTCAGGAAATTTAACAGTAGTAGTGGTGCATTCCTATTATTTATTTTCGACCTTATTTATTATTTTTTCTATTTTGTGAAGAGAGATTTTCGTATGCTGAATTGAAGCTGTGTAAAACGCGTAGAAAATGGGATCGGCGCGATTATTTCTCATTTTCACGGCTCTGGCTGCGGCTTACCCAGATATAGCGATGGTGATAGTCACGGTGCCTCACACGTAACACACGTGACACCAGCACCAAATGCACCTTGCTTTTATTATAGGTTAAGTTCAGATGAGAAGGCTCAGAAAATGTCTGACAGGCATTTTTTCACGAAATCCAAATTTTGAAATGAAATTTTCTGGTTTAAAAATTGTGAGCACTAAGAAAGAGACTCCCCTTATTGACAGGCCCGGTCACAAATCATTAACCCTAACCCTAGCTTTGACCCGATTTTTGACCATTGAAAAGAGAAAATGGCGAAGTGATCATCAACTGCATTTCCGACTTCCCCGACAGTCCGGAAATGAACACTGCCCCTGGCCCCTTTTCAATCAAAGCCAACGCCGATGGAAATCTGGAAAACCAACTTGGAACTGAACTCGGCCCGGCGCAGATCTCCGCGTTTATCGGAGCCCAACCTGTTGGCGACAATAATCGTCTGGGAAAACAAATGAGGATGAATCGGGGAAACTGGCGCATTGGCGTTTTTGTCTGCTCGAATCCGACTTTAGGAACGAGCGCGACAAATCGAACACCTTTCACTTCATTAGCGCCGCTGAAAAAGGGCTCGATCGAGCGCGAAATAATAATTCGCATGATCGAAATTTCGAAATTTCGCCGCCCGTGAAATTTTTCACAAGGCAAGATGTGAATTGTAAAGTTGTAGTTTTCAATATCGGTGATGGATTAGTAATTGTAAGATCCTACTCAATTGAGCGCTAGAAAAAAGATCCGAGGGCAAAAGTGGAAGGAATTGTCATGTCGGAATCCGCTTCTTTGAGGCCCCTTAGATTTACGCCAAGGTAAAATAAACTCTTGAAATCAAGGAAGAAAACGTGTTCTTCAGACTCCGTCTTGGGGATCCCAGTGCGATTCTAGAGGTCGAGCTGACTGAAGAAAATTCAAATCGAGATCAAGAAAACATTCGCTGGGGCCACACAATCGTCTGCGATCCCCTTGATACTTCTCCAACAATGCAGCTTCTTTGCAACTTTCCGATTCCAGAGACGTTCAATCAGGAAGATAGCACTGGATTGACTCACACCATCGATGATGTCGGGACGAGAAGTGGCGGCCAGTGGATCACTTGGTTTGATGATGAGCGTATTAACGGTCCGATCGATCAAATTTGGGACGAAGCGATCATGGCACCAGTCGTGCAAAAATGCCCTGAGGGCACGTGGGGACTCCCCAACGGCGTGGACGGCAACGAACTCGCCCCAGGCAGCTGCGAAAACGAATGCCCTCCGTGTCGGAATGGCGGGGTCTGTAATGAAGATCTCGGAGAATGCGTCTGTCCCCCTGGCTTTACTGGAGAAACATGCGAAGAATTCTGCCCTCAGTTCAGATGGGGGCAGAACTGCGAGCTGTTTTGTGATCAAAATGCTTTCAACTTTTTCCCATGCCGAGGCAAAGTCTTTTGCTTGTTTCATCCTTATGGCTGCTCTTGTATGACTGGCTTTAGGGGACTCGACTGTCGAAGAGGTAAGGAAGTTTTAACCCGCTGATGCAATTTTCCAAAGGCTGTGGCGACGGAACCTTCGGTGCTGATTGCGCGCAAGAATGTCACTGTGCCGAGGGCGGTTGCAATTCTCAAACTGGCATTTGCAATCAAGGCAATTGCGCACCTGGCTGGACTGGGCCAAACTGTCAGCAGCCATGCGAAGATGGATTCTACGGAGAGTTCTGCGCCGAGACTTGTGGATTTTGCGAAGGAGGGGAGCCATGTGATAAAGAAACGGGAGAGTGTCAAGTTTGCGAGATTGGATTTCAAGCGCGTCTCTGTCAGGTTCGATTTTTCGTTCCGTCAAAATCGAGGTCATTTTCAGGACGAATGTGAGCTCAATTCCTGGGGCCTCCACTGCATCTACGAATGCCACTGCGATGGAGATATCCAGTGCGATCAGGCAACAGGCTCTTGCCCTGGAATCTGCGCTGCCGGCTGGTCCGGGCCAAGTTGCAATTCGACCTGTCCAGCTGGCCAATACGGAAACAATTGCCAAGAGTTCTGCGGCTTTTGCGAAAACGACGAAGGCTGCAGGAATCAGTTTCTTTTCTCCCTTTTTGAAATCATGGAAGAGTACATAAATGAAAAACTGAAAAAGTCAAATTGACGGAGCTTGTGAAAGATGCGAAGTTGGATTCCAGCCGCCCCTGTGTGTCGAAGTTTGCGATTTCGGAAAATGGGGGGACCAATGTGAACAAGACTGCCACTGTGCTGTTGGAGAATGCGACCTGATTACTGGCATTTGTGACAGTAAACTGGGAGGAAATGAATATGGCTGTGCACCAGGATGGCTCGGAGAAAACTGCCAGGTACGTTGATAGCTCTAGAAAAGACCATAAAATGAATTTTTTGATCGTAAGTTTATATTTTCTCAAAATATTAAGTTCAGTTTCTGCGATGGCAGAAATGATAATAGAGTTATTCCAATAAATAGGGCTTGATTGATTGCCCCAATTTTTGCCGCCCGAAAGCTGGGCTCATACCGTATTTTTACCAAATGGATACTTTGAGTTGTGTCCTAGTGGCATGTGCGTAGAAAAGACCATAATAGCCGTTTTTCGACCGCCAATAATTTTTTTCTAGCGATGGTTTTAATCAGTATCCGTGATGACGGAGGTTAACATATGCCGAGTTAGCATATAATGTGTGAAATATGCCGTTTTTCGTAATTTTTGTCGCCCGAAAGCCGGGCTCGTTTTTACTCAAAATAATTCTAGGAGCCGTGCCCTAGTGGCATGTGCGGGCATAACTGCGAAACTCACTGCGGTGCTTGTGCTTCTGGAACTTGCGAAACAACCGACTGCTCTTGCAACGGCCCATGTGTTCCTTTATGGAGTGGGGAGTTCTGCGAGATCGGACGTCTCTGTCAACCGGGAGTGTCTCCTTGCGTCAACAATGCGACCTGCCGGCAAACTCCTGGGACGGAGATTCGAGAATGCATCTGCGTCTTTCCCTGGGAAGGCGAGTTCTGCAACCGGGGCGGATGCAAACTTCAGCCTTGCCAGAACTTTGGACGATGCCAGGATCTGGAAGAACTGGACGAATTCGGCAAGGATTACGAATGCATTTGCCCGATGAATTACAACGGCACAAACTGCGAATTTTACTCTGGCCCGGCGATTGGAGTTACTCTTGGGATTATTTTCTCGATCTTTGTCACGCTCTTGGTGATGTCGACGATGACGACGATGATGCTGAGGAGGAGAAATCAAAATTATATTTCGACCTCGATCGGTTTGGGCGAAAAAGGGGAGAGGAATGAGTTGTTTTTAGGAAACTCGCCAGAAGCGATGAAAAAAGGACGACCGCTGATGATTCCGAGAAATGATGGAATTTTGCTCAGGCTCGTTTTTACTGGAAAAATGCTGATCGTGTGACTTCTGTAAAAACGAACGTAAAGTGATCAAAAGAGCGGGATGCACGATCCTTACCGAAATTCGAATCGAGCATCGCGCTCTAGAATTCAACGATTACCGCCAATGTACGATGGAGATCCCGTGGAAGACTTCGAGTGGCATGACAAAGGTTTTACGCGCGAAATTCAAAATGGTTCTTTGAGCGAAAAATTTAAGCAAAACGAGCTGCGGAAAAAATCGAAAACTCACGCGATCTTGGCGCCCAAAGAATTCGTCAAATCATTGAAAATGAGTTCAACACCTGATTTTTCTTTGAATAAAAAGCTGTTTGTATATAAAATAATCTGCCTATTTATTCATACAGCTCTGAACAAAGTCCATTGAAAGCTCATAAAGTTGATTCTTGATCAGATTCAAGTCTTTCGAGCCGCGGATTCGTATCCTTTTCGGCTTGTTGTCAGAGTAGTATTGACCTTGAACAATGTCTTTTGAGCAGATACAGTAAATGCTCGTTTGGCAGCCTGAAATATCGATGACTGATGATCAAAGCGGACTTTGAAATACCTTGATAAGGAGTTTTGATGCAGGGTTTCCAGGAAAACGAAAGAGTTCTTACAAAACATAAATAGCACTTATTTTCAATTCCAGACTTCCATTTGTCAGCAAAACTTGTATTAACGACGCCTAAAAATACATATTTGCTTATTCAACCGAAAAAATAAATGCCCATCTGATGAATAGTTTGACTATAGTAATCCAGGTACTAAAATTAAATCCCCAGCTTAGAAAATTGGTGTCTATTTTTTTACCTGGATGGACGGAGACAAAATTGATGTGGGGGTGATGCTCGGCCATTGATTTCATGTGGAGGATGTTGGCGAGTTTTGATTCTGCGTAAGCACCAGAAATGTCGCTTCCGGTTCCGAGTTCTTTAGTCGCGATTTCTTCGGATGCGTATTTTTGCCAGAACTTTCCGGAGCCGTTCGCAAGTGTATGGGCCTGAAATCGCATTTCTCATGACCTGATTCAGATATATCCAGTAATACCTCGCTGGAAAGGGCGACAACTCTAGCTGGTTCAGATTCTGAGCCAACAAGATGGTCCAAAAGAAGATGAAGGAGTAGGAAATGCGAGAAATGGTTGATAACTTGGACCGAAAAACGGAACTTGAGAATGAACCTTTGAATATCTTCGATAAAATCAAGGAAGAGAACTGAATTTTCAAGTCCGACCCTGAGTTGATTCCATAAAGCAATTCTGGTTTGTAATGCGCTAGGCCCGCGTTGAGCACTAGAATGTTGATTCTGAAGCCCCCTTTGATAAGATTTTTTGCTGCGTTCTTGACAGAATCAACATCGGAGAGGTCAAGTTTGACCAAGTCGATTTCACTGTCGTTCACTTCTTGTTCGATCATTTTCTTTGCTCTTTCCATTTTCTCCTGAAAATGACTGTAAATCAAAGTAAAGGTTGTTTTATGAGCGGCCTGGGAATGGAAAAAAGACCTGATTTCTAGATAGAAGAATCAAATGAGCGCCTCGATGAGCACATTCTAGCGCCGTAGCCAATCCGATTCCATCTGTAGCTCCTGTTATCGCTACAGTCTTTCCATCCAGGCGATTTTTACGTTTTCTATCATAATCTTCGATTGGCTTTTTATACAAAAAATACTCAACACTCAATTTATAAAAGAAAGCCGTTCATGAAGTGCAACAATTCATCGTATTTCCGGTCTAACTCAGTACTTTTTTCTGACTCTTTCTTTCTCTCGTAAAATCTCTGTTTACGTAATGACGCGTTCTTCCAAGTTGTGACTCTCGACTTCTAGAATCTGGACCCTCCGTTCTTGCGCAAACTCGTAAGGTCGTTGCCCTGGTGAACTTTTCTCTCGATTCTCCTACCAGAAATCAATGGCCGAAAAAAGACAGTTCTGAACTTTAAACGGAGAGAAAGTCAAGTTATCTTTCGTGATCAGTTCATCTTATTGCTAATAAAAAAGTTTATTCTTCTGAGTCTTTTTTATATTAGGAGGGCGGGAGAGGTTACGGCCTGAAATTACGACTTTAGCTTTCTGGCACCATCTTTATTTAGTTATAGTTACGCATCGCTTTTTTAATGATAAATCTTTCCTGTCCTCAAATAATTAACTAAAATTAAACATAAAAATAGCCCGTTTTATTCATTTTAGTGCTTATTGCGAAAGGAAAACCCTTCGTTTTAGTACAGTGAAAACCCAAATATTGGCCGGTTTTTAGATATATATTTCCGAAAAAAGCGGCCAAATTTTGGTTTTTTTTGCCGGGTAGCCAAGTTTTCCCTTCAAAAAGCAAAATTTCGAAATTTTCGAAAATCGGCATGATTTTCACATTTTTGATGAATTTTATTCAAATGTTTGGTTATTTGAAGACATAATTATTAGAATTTAATCATTTTAAATGATTAAAACATTTTTAGAAAAGATAAAAATGATCAGAAATGGCGTCATTTGGGCCCGATTCTGATGGAAAATTTCTTATTTTTGAAAAAGCGGCCAAATTTTGGGTTGATTTCAGGTTCCGAAAAAGCAAATTTAGACAAAAAGCGGCCAAATTTTGGGTGGGCGATTTTTGGGTTTTCACTGTAAAAGGGGGGGGGGGGGTATTTTTCTTAAGGGGGGTTATAAGAACTTTGGGATTATTCAATCCTGGCTTGGTATAATACCGCCGGAAAAAATATAAATTTTTCGCCTTCGGACAGCCATAACTCACGTTATACTTTATAAAACCAAGTGATGAAGGTATTTATCGAAAGCTCAGATTCTGAGGATTGGGGTAACGTAAAAATCATTTTGTAAAATCGACTTTTCTGATTGGCCGAAAATTTGAAATAATTATTTTTGCCAGTCAACATGAATTTTTTTCAAATGTTTTTTCTTTCCCCCAATCCTCAGAAGCTAAGCTTTTTAAAAATATATAAATCACGTGATTTCATCAGCTGTCACGTGAGATATGGCGGTTCGTAGGAAATTCATAAAAATGGTCTCAGAATCGCCCCAGGCGATGAAAAAAGGTTTTTTCCAGGTGATTTCTAGGGTTTAGACAATGACAAAAACGGTCGATATAATGATTTCCCCCTAGTTGAAATTTTTGTCAAAATCGAAAATTTATATTTTTTCCAACCATTGACGAAAAAAACGCGGCATCTTTTATCACTCATTCTTCGGTTTATGCCGAAGAATCAGTGTTCTTACACGCATCAATCCTTCGGCCTCCAAGCCGAAGAATTAGGCCGTATCACCATCATGTACAGTCAGGTCTTGCAATTGCGCGAACTGCAATTGCGCGGTTTTTGGCAAAAATCCTGAAAATTTTTGCATTTTCCTAAAATGCTTTCTTTGATAGTAAAAAGAAAAGAGGCGAAAAAGGTCAATAAAATTGTCCCACTTTCAAAAAAAAATTGATGGCTTGCAATAACGTTGTTTTTTGCGAAAATCCCGAAAAATAATACCGCGCATTTGCAAGACCTGACTGTATTAAATATCTAAACACAGACATCTGACGAAACTTGCTGAATAACTGGCCATCCATTCCAAGAAGTGGCTGCGATACCTAACAGTTTTGTATTGGTAATTTGATCTTTGTCAAGGTCGACACGTTGAATTCGCCATGGTTCTGTAGATCCCGAGACCACATAGATAGAGTTTTCGATCATTATTGATGACATTTCTGTGTCTTTCTACAAAAAATAAATGTGGTTATTCATAATATTAATTATTTTCTAGTGAATGCTGTACCGTAAAGCCTGTACGTACTTCAATAAGATTTCCAATTAAAGTCCACTTATTGTCGCGCAAAAGCATAATTTCTGATGAACGCAAACTCGAATCACTGTTGGGAAAACCTCCAAGAACCAATAAGTTTCCATTTGGAAGGCCAACCAAAGAAGCGTAACAAATTGACCTTCAATAACTTGTAAAATAAGACAACGATCCATAAATACTTAGGAAAGCTAGTAAGTGACGACCAACCAGTCGAAGAAAATGTTTCCACGCTTGTTTGAAAGTCGCCATAGTAAGAACCAACTGACGTTGGTTTTCCATGATAAACCCCAAGATTGCCACCACGATGAGAATAATCAGATGAATAAGTGGAGATCGAAGACGATCCATCGAAAATTTCGCATTTTTTATATTCTTCGTCATGAGGGAAGCAAACCAATGCTTTTCTACCGTTCTCTGTTGTCAAGGCAGCAGATCTATACGATATATTTTGATTTAGTCGGGCTGATTCTTCAACAAATGAGCATCCTTCGAGCCTGGCAATCTTATATTATTTGAGTTTGTATAAAAATATGAAGATATCGCGGTACTTTTTTTGAATCAGTTTCTCCACCGAATATGAACATTTTGCCGAGAACAAGAGCATGCTGAACGTACTTAAAGTAGTTCTTAGAAGGTTCGCTGATTGTTGCTGCAGTTTTTGTTTCTCCATCACCGGAAAAAAGATAAGCACCACTGTACTCGGAACCGGTGGGGATGACGAGAATATTGATGTCGCTCTCGAAAAAGATTCTTTATTTTCAAAAATATTAACCTTTACCGGCATTGTCCCTCTTGTAGTTGTTGTCGTCGTCGATGTAGTTGTTGTCGTTGTTGTTGTTGCTTGAAGCTCATCTATTTGCGACGAAAGTAATTCAATTTGAGCAGTAAGTGACTTAATATGTATTTGCGAAATTAATGCATTTGTAAACCTTTTTTTCTTCTTCAAAATTCATATAGGCTTCTTCGGTTGTCTTATCAAACTCATACTTTGCCAGATGCATTTTGCCGTTAAGAAGATCAATAATTTCATCTTTTTGCTGTGAACCTTCTTGAAGATGTTTAATTTCGGCTTCTTTTTCTGCAAGCTTTGAAACCAAAGAGGAAATTTTCCTCCCAAGCTTTCCACAACTTGAGCTTGTTAGTGGATTTCGTTCAAGCCTTGTATTAAAATTACATTATTAAAGTAAAATAATTTTTTTTCTTTTACCTCTGTGCAAAATTGATTTTTCCAAGCAACTCTGCAACTGAAATTTCCATTGATAACAGCAAATTTCTTTAAATATTTTGAGTATTTGCAAGACAAAAATCAGACCTGTAATTTTTCAACTGAAGATAAGCATCTTCAGTATTGGAGTTCGAGGATTCTCTCTGAGGCTGACATTTATTAATTTCCGAAGTCAGAGTTCTTCTGAAAATGGGCTCTCAAATCTCAAACGACAAAAAACATCCTAGGTCTTGAAGAACCCGTTTCTGCACTTGTTGACGCATTCCAAGTCCACACACTCTGCAGAACAACGATTGAAAACTCTTTTCGCAATATTTTTACATTCATCAAGGAGTGTTGCAGATCTTGAATCAACGAGAGACTCAACCTGATTGCACGTAAATTGAAGTCCGATTCTTGAAGACTACAATTCTAATGACGATAAATTCAAATTTGCATATTTACAACGTCGGCAACCGTTGCTCTAAGCCTCGTCCATATAATCACAAAAAGTGAAAAACACTTCATTTTCGATGAATATTCCTTTTTTCTATCTTGGTCAAAGAAGTAAGTAGAATCAATTTCCGCTGAAGCGCAAAGCCTCTCACTTCTCAAAATGGACAGCGAGAAAGTACTCCGAGAAGCGACAAAATTCTTCGAAAGAGATGAAACCGATCCCATCACCACTTTCGCTATCGACGAGTACCTCACTTCCGTTTCCATTTCTCTTCCAGCGCTAATTCTAGCCGTAGCCATCTTTCTCGGAGGAGATATGTATTCCGTCGACGGACTGCAAGTTTTCAACCCGAATCGTTATTTCGGATCCTCGCCGCCTTACAAAAGCTATCATTTTGAGACCTGGAATCAAATTCCGTTTTTGAGGAAGTACTGTTGGGCAAAACTCAGGTGCAGTAATGCAATTAAGTGCAAAAACTAAATGTTAATGCAGTAATATGGAGTGCGGCGTCGAAACAATCCTGGGAAACTGCGAAGAAAGCCAGAATTTATGGCATTACGCGATTCTCCCTAAATTTTTATTCCTCATCATTGTTCTCATGTACACCACGAAAATCATCTGGAACACAAATGTCGCCAAAGACCTTGCAAATATTCTCAACTTCATCATTGGCGCTACAGAAGAGAGCATAAGAGACTTGGTGGGCGACTTGGCGAAAGAAGCGGAAGTTGAAGACAACGAAGAAAACAAGAAAAAAGACCCAGCTTTAAAATATCAACAAACCAATCTCATTCTCCACCGACTCAACAATACCAACTCGCTCGCGCTGAAATTCGTTTTTCGCCGACTGTATTTCATTCTGTAAGAAACAAGACGCCCTTTCGGATTCATTTTTTTAGTCTTGTGGCTGTGGCGGTCTATTTGACGTACTTTTTCTACATCGATCCAGCTAGAAATCCCGTCGAATTCGAATGCGGCTTGCCAGAATGGCTTCACTTTCAAGATTTTCCAAGTCGACCGACAGATGAAGAGCACAGGAATCTGACTGGACTGAAGATAATCAAGACGATTCATGCAGTTTACGAGCCCGTCAATAGAAGAACTATTCTTATGGTCATATTAGGACTTTGTTTTAACTTGAGTTAATCTCGGTTTTATCGAAAAAATGAAATTTTTTGTTGAACCAGAGCAAGCAATTTTGTACATCATCGTTGGAATAACCGCCGTCGTCTCCTGGCTCGTCGAATCATCGGAAAACCAAGGCGCTCATTTGCTCAAAATGCTCCCTGGACTCAAAATTCCACAAGTCAAGCGCTACAGCGACCTGGATTTCATCCTTTTGCTTCTGCATACTAATCGCTCTCTCTCTCAGTATCTGAAGCTCTCCTTCGACATCATGATCAGTTCCAATGGCAAAAAGACCCAATCAACCTTCGAGAAGCATCAGAAATTCATTTCTTCCTTGAGAGAAATCACCGTCTGGAAAACTACGACGGAAAATGATGATGCGATAGAACAACTGCTCAAGAAAAGAAATTAAGAGATTTTACGCTTAATTTAATAAATGTTTCATTCAAGCGAGTCAGGCTTTGATTTCTGGGCACTCCAGATTCCCTTCGTAGACAATCGGATGCATGACATTGTCCAACGACAATTCTCCGCCTGTCAGCAGCGCTCTATTTTCTTCAATTTGCTCTCCATTCCAAATTGTTCGATACGCTGCCTTTCCATATTTTCCTGGGAACATCATGATCGTGTTATTGTCCAGCTTTGCCGCGGTAAACCCATACGCTGACTTAGAAAATTCTCCTATTTGCTGCCATTCCAAATTTTGAAAGAGCCAAACTTTAGAGCGACTCCCAGCTGAGCTTTTATTGGAATCGGCAATTTTTTTCAATCAAAAATTCGTTTTGATTCTATCCTTTCTTGCGGAGAATAGTATAACTCCTTCATCAACACTGACGCAGGGCGCATAATTGACCCTTTCCGGATGCTCCGTGGTGTAATTCCACTCCCAGTTGAAAATCTCCACCTTTTGCGAGTAGCTATTGATTCCGCCAATGGCCAAAAGCTCGTTCCCGTAGACACACATCGCCGCACTTTGATGGTCCGTATTCGTGCTGGCGATTCGCTCGGAAGAGGTTCCATTGAAGCGCTCGCAATATTTTCGATAATCGTAAGTCCCGAAACAGATGTAAACTCCTTCTTCTTCAAAATCTCCACCATCCCAGACGCTTGAAAAATAAATCTCCCCTTTTTATCTGATATAAACTCACGCAATAGATCCGTAGGTAGAATGAAATGGCCGGACAAGACTGAATGGGTGCACCTTGAATTCGCAACCTTCAAGTTTCAGAATTCTCGTTTTATAGGAATCTCGAACTTCTCCGCCAAAAGCGAAGATTTCATTCCTGAAAACAGCGAATCCGGCGTTTCTCAACGAAGTATTTGATGAAAGCCCGGAATCTTAAAATTTTCTTTGGAAAAAAACGATTTCATCCCTTACCTGGAAGTGCAAGAAAAAGCTTTTCAAACAACTCGCCAAATTCATCAGTAACAAAAAATGCCGTGTTCCCTTCTCCTCCAGCATCGCCCAGATGAACGAGTCGTCTCGCTGTTTCTCCTCCTCCGCCGCCGCAAACTTCATTCTCACAGCCTTCGCAGCCATTCGGGCAGAAGATATTACAGGGGCATCGAAACGAGCAGTTGTTGAAGCCGATAAAACAGTTCTCCTGGCAACTTGGGTCGGAACACTGATTCAGGCAATACTCAAGTGTCTCTGAGCATTTTGCTTCGCATTCGTCAGCGAGATTCTGGTCGGGGCAGGTGTCGTCGGGGCAGATTTCGTTTTCGCAATCTTTGCACCCGTCCGGGCAGAAAATATTACAAGGGCATCGGAAGGAACAATTGTTGAAGGAGGTATAGCACTGCTCCTGACACCCGGCATCAGAGAGGCAGTCAGAAAGGCAGGAGCTTAGACCATCAAGGCAGTTTGATTCGCAAAGATCTCCCAATTCCTGATCACTGAAATTTTTTGTCAAAAAATCCATGATTTCTATGGTCATTTACGGGCAATTAGCTCTGAAAGCTTCGGATGCTCTGATCACTGATAAAAATGCAAAAGTCTTCATTCAAGAATTTCGAGACAAAAGTTCGAGAACGATATTTCTGCTTCTGAGTTGTCTGCCAGATGCTCCGGTCTCATGTTTGTTGGTCAAGGAACGTATCGCGTTTTTGAATCAGTTTTTTGGTTTATTGAACTTTGAATACATTTTATTGAAAATAATGAAAAGCGGGCACATTTACACCGTAAACGACTCTACTCGGCCTTCGAGATTTTCTCTTATCGCCAGGTGTAAATTTGTAATTTTCGATTTTTTGGCGAGAATTGTGAGAAAAAATCGAGTGGCGAGCGTTGTCATTTCTGACAGATTCTACCAACTTTGTACATAAAAAGTGAAACGCCTGTAAATCAATCTTGTGGAGCAGGACAGAATGAAACTGGAGCCGCAACTGGGGAAAGACAATTACTGTATGTTACGCGAATATACACAACGAAGGGATAAGAAGAAACAAGTGGGATTAAGAACTGACGGACGGTTTTGGAAGGTAACGAGACGGGGTGAAAAAATTTTGCGGGGGCTTTTTTGGCCAAAAAGGATTTTTTAACCCATTGGCGTGGGCTGACCAATTTTTCGGAAAAAGCCTCAGATCTCTTAATTTTCAAACAAGGCATTGAAAAAAGCCGCATTCGGCTGATAAATGACCAAGAAAAGAATGCCAATTAATTGGTCATTCCGCATCAAAGGGTTAAATTTCTTAACCCGTTTGACTTTGACGACCAAAAATTTGGAAGGAGCTTACGATTTCGTATTCTTTGAATTGCCGCCTTTGAAATCGCAAAACAAGGAAGAGCCAATCAATTGGTCATCCCGCGTCGATGGGTTAAAATCGAAAAACAACGCATGGATAAAAATATATACAGTGAGAAGAAGAAAGCACAGTGGGGGAGACAAATTAAGAAGACTTGAAAAACCAGCCTGGTTTCTGAAGAAGTTGCCCTAGTAGAATAAATTATTTGTAAGAAACGACGTGAAGAACTCCGTAGAGTGATTTTTCGAAATGCTGCGCGTCCAAAAGTCGATCCTTGACTTCCTGGCATGGGTATCGCTGGAAAAGTGTTTGAAGATTTTTGAGGACCCATCGATTGCGAGAAGAGGTGTAGAAACTGAAGCCTTCGGGAGAAGCGATTTGTTGGAGCTCGTCAATTTTCGCCTTCGCGTGAGCTCGGGCGATGATCAAAAGAACTTGCTCAGCCAGCTGAGCGAAAATGTCCATGTCGTGGCGGTCGGAAAACTCGCTCATGCCAGTTCGGATGTGGAAAGCGATGATTTCTGAAAAGGAAAGGGAATAAAGATCAATCAGAGACAGGTGATGAGAATTTATACAAGACCCTTCCTTGGTCAAATGTCATTTCCTCGCTGCATTTATGGACATCCGCAAATCAATCAAAAAATCAACGAGGAGAATTTTCACCTCCGCTTTTAAACTATCATTTACCTTCTAGTCTGAAGAGCGCTTTTCTTCCCAAAATCTTCCGCTTACATTTCAGCCGATAATGTTCCGCTGCAGTCGAAATCGCCTGCAACTTCGTCCCGACATCGGCAGCTCCTCTAGGCATCGCTTTCGGCATCGCCTGTTGATTCTGGTTGTAGCTTGTTTGATTTTTCGAGCCATTTCCGTAGGCAAAAGTTTGATTTTGAGTTCTGGCCGCCTGCTGAGTTGAAGCGGATGATCCCCAGCCGGTTGAAGTCGCGCCGGCCATTGGGACGCTTCCGTAGCTGTTTTTGTTTGAAGCTTTTGTTGTTGTCTTGGAGGAGCCATAAGAGCCGTAGCCTGTGGATTTTGGCTCTTGCTAGAGGAAAGATATGAATAACGGATAATTAAGGGTGTACCATCCATAGGGTTAGGGTTAGGGAAAGGATTGGGTGAACACCAAAAGAAAGCCAATTAATTGGTCATTCCGCATCAAAGGGTTAAATTACTTAACCCGTTTGACTTTGACGACCAAAAATTTGGAAGGAGCTTACGATTACGTATTCTATCAAGAAATTAGTCAAAAAATAGTAATCTCTTGTATTACAAGTTAAACTCCTTGGGCTTTTTGACCGCCGTGGGAAGTCAAATGCTTTTTGGCAAGATATATCTGTATCGTAAAATAGCAAGAAGATAAGTTCAAGGCCAACTTTATCTTCTGATTCGAGCGGATATCATAAATTGACAACTCAATTTATTGATGTCGTTTTACGCATTTTCTACTTTCAAGCACGTCAATAAAAAAATATTTTCTGGCTTGCTGTCATTAAAAATAAATCGTACTTACGGACAAAAAGCTAATCAAATTCACCATTTTTCTCTTTGATTTATGAATAAAAAAGGGGCCTGAGCGGTTTCAAGATTTCAGATTTATCTCACCTTGATGCTAGATCCATATTCCTTCTTTGTCGTGGCTTGCGATTTTGTTTTGGAACCAGGATCGGCGAACGATTTCGCAGAACCGCCTAACATCGCGTCTAATCCTGCAGTGCCGCCTGAGTTCGGTTTTCAATTTTATAGAATAATTTTTGGTCTATTCTATTTTAAATGAAAAAATTAAAAAATTCAGAGTACAAAACGCACAAAATATTCTAAAAATCCAATAAATGACCATTTAAAGATGTAGCCAATAAGATTTGACCATTTTTAAAGCTCGTTTCTTATTGGTCAACCAATGAAAACGCTCCATTTCCCCCGGCCACGCCCCTTTTTTCTGAGAAAAGTTCAAAAGTCACCCTGAATCGGCCAAATGAGTCTCTATTTGACCTTTTCTATTTTGACATCAACAAAGAATGCCCCGATAATTACTGACTTTTACTAGCTGACGGCACTTGTGCGGGCGAAATTCAAACACTTTGAGCTTATCGTTCCCGATAGCTTCATCTGTCAAGTGGAAACTTTCTTGCCTGAGTCGCCCAAGCCTTGGGTCCAATTGAGTATACAAATGTAGTCAGATAGATAGATACAGAACTAAAGCCTGTAACTTGTTACAGTGATAAAAGACAGCTCCTGTCGCCAGTAAATTGCCGAAATATTCAGGAAAATCCAAGTTTGACCCAAATTTATTGGCTAAAACCGCAGTAACTTTGTTCCAGTATAACAGCGTCATTGAAATTTCTGACTGTAATTACAGTAACTTGGCTCAGAAAATCTCCCCTTTGTCCATTTTAATTCTCAAAGGATTTATCTCCCGCGCTTCCTGTTTTTGAACGACAATACAAAATCAAATAGCACGCGAATTTATCCAAACAAGTCTAAGCCCCAATAAGCCAAGTACACCCTTATGTTTCAACACAAAGAAAGTAGAAGTTTTCCAGTGACCTTGAAATCCAGTCGCCAAGGCAAATTACCTTATGGGGAAAAAGGGCAATTCAAACCATCTGTGGCGAGAATTTCCACCCGCCAAAATCAAATTTACTTTTGGCTGACCTCGGATCCTTTGAAGTACCAACGTAATTATTCAATTAAGGGTATAGCCCCCTTAATTTTCAAACTAATTCCCAATCATTTTCGCCCGTAAAAATGATGACTACTTTCGTCAATAAATCCTCGTAAATGGTATACAACTCATTTTTTCCTCATCTATAATTTCAAGCCTCGATACCCTTAAAAAAGAGACTTCCATATTGAGACTCAAATTAAGCACTTTATCGTACCATAAATAGGCCTCGGACGTAAAAAAGACGATTTTCACCATCCGGTCATCGTACGGGAACATGAGAGGGCTCATTCGAAAGGTCTTGATAAGGGCTTTCTATTTGACCGATAAAAAAACTGGGCCCTCCCTTTCTGTTACGAGTTATTTTGAAAAATATTTTTCGAAGCTTACCTTCAAAATCAAATATCTCGAAAAAGAAGGACAGGGCCCAGTTTTTTTATAAGCCCAACAGATAGCCCGGTTCAAGAGCTTTCGAATGAGCCTACTCTTGTTACCGTACGACGACCGGCTGGTGGTGATGATTTTTTACGTCCGAGGCCTAACCATAAATCAAAAAAGGCCCTATTCTTTATGATTATAGAAGAGAAATAAAACCAAACAATTTACAAGAATCTACAGCAAAATCTCTTCGGAAGTTATTTACAAAGCACTTGTTTAACGACGCTTTTAGACATTTTACGAAACGATATCTTTTTGACTATCGTCACTAAAATCTCATTTAGAACCACCAGCTGAGAATTAATTAATAAAAGCAATTTTTAATAGGATCGGAAACCACATGACTTGATCCATCAAAATCATTGTCAGTGTAATAAAGATTTATTGTGTGTTTTGTGTGAAGAAAATTAAGGCTCTCCCGGTCACTAGAATCAAATTGAGATGAAAATTTTTGAGAATTATTAAAAAAAAAACCGATAAAAACTCAGCAAAAGTCTCTTTTATTCGGAAAATCTTAAGGGGACAGGGCCCGATAGTCAAAAATGCTTCTTTAGAGCTTTGATGGTGATACCCTTAATCTCAAAATCAACTGAAAACCTCTTTCCTGTACCAAACATCTGAGCCAGCATTCTTTCATCGAATCCTTGAGCAAGTAAGCTATCCATATTTCTTCTTTCCTCTTCTTCGTTTCACAAAAATCTCTCAGAAAAATTTTCTTCTGATCTTCAGGTTTTGTTCAAGTGGTGGTCGAGACGTTCGAATGTGGGACCAGCATCGCCGCGGGAGTAAAATTCAAACGATGCTTTGGCAAGAATTGTTTGACTCCGTCCGACTGAGGCGCTCTCCGCGATCGACCAAATGGACTCAGAAATAAAACCACCTCGACGATTTTCAATTGACAACGGGGAGAATCTGAAGATGAGTTTCAAAATTGATCATGTCGGTTTTATAACTTCAAATAAAAAGAATAAAATGATTGTTTATTATTATTGAAAGAGCTTTTCATCAAGATTTTTTAACATTTTATGAAGTAAAGGGTCTCCCTCAGAAAACTTTATTCAGATAAAAGGGCAAAATCGAGAAAAAAAATATCTTTGATACCCTTAATATCTTGGGATTTATCAACAGTTGTCAATTGATAATTATTCTTGATTAAAATAAGGGTTAACTTAAGGATATATCGGCAACTTAAGGGGGTAACGGGCAAAAAAAGATTCGAAACGAATAGAATCTATCGCTAAATCATCGATTTTTGGCAAAAAAATAGCTGAAAAATTAGTCAAATTGTGAATATTCAACCCTAACCCTTCTATCGACTGGTATACCCTTAATTCATGAAAGAAAAAGCTGCTTTCTCACCTCCTTGATTCAATAAATCTCTTTTTCAACCGCCCAATTTCCTCTTAGATTTCCTCTGTTCTCAGAGAACTCGAAAAAGTACCCTTCTCCGCTCAATTTTTAACTTGTGACTGGAGTCCGATGATTAGGCCTCCTCCTCCTTTTTTCTCTTGGTTTTAAATAAATCTCTAAATTTAGTCACGCGGCGTCAGAGTTAGGTGAAAACCGCTCCACCAAGGATAAAAATACGCGGCTTATTATGTATTTTGAGTTATTCAATTCAGATTTGGAATCGTTTTGGAATGGATGGGAAACGGTAGAAAAGAGTATCAAAAGAATACGTTTGTTGAGGGACAAAGCATGCTCACTCAACTGGATCATATCGGTGTTGATAGCCAGAATTCTACCATAGAAATAATATACCGTATATAATTTTGCATTTGTATAAATATATTATTAATCAATGATTTAAGATAGTGACACCCTTATTTTTTGGGCAGAAATTTGAGTTGAATTATCCAAGATGACGGTCAGAATAAGGGTCTCACAATGATAAAATAACCTTTGTTTATGATTACTAATGAATATACACAAAGATTATTTTATCATTGTGAGACCCTTATTCTGATCTTTATCTATGATAAGTCATCTCGAATTTCTGCTCAAAAAATAAGGGTGTCACCATCTAAAAAGTAAAGCTTCTTTGACGAAGAGATATCAGTTATATATATTTTTTTTAAGAGTGACGCCCTTAAATGACCCAAAATTTGTGCAAAAGGAGCATTTTCCAGCATTTGAAATCCTCATTTTCTTTCAAAAAATGCTCAAAATTTTAGAGTGCGTTGGATTCTTTACGCTTGATATTTTCAAACGATGCGGGTTGGGGTGAAATTACGTTTTGTTGACTAGGGATGGAATTTGGATTCTAATCACGCGAAAGCCCTGGGGGACAAAATCGTAATCAGCCAGAATTGAACATGCTGAGCTAAGGGTTTCCTTACCTTGGAGTTGTCTGAATTGCGGTTTTTCTAGCGCAAGGCGCCTGAAAGTCTCTTTTTTCTTCGCTTCCAATTTTCGTCTTTTTTGTTTTTTTTGAAACAGCGAAAACAACTGTTTATTCGGTTTTATCTTGAAACAAGTTCTGGGAAGCTGTGAGAAGAAGCGTGTGGACTGATACGAGGCCCAGAGGCTAGATTAGACGCAATTTTTGCAAGGAAGGAGAAAATCTCTAAGCTGCTGGAAGTGTTGAAAATTTTGGTAAGAAGCTACAATTCCATTAAATTAAAACGATTTGCACGGGCGAGTCAATTAGTGGCCGAGGATCCGCGTAATCGAGTTGCCGAATTTCCGACACAAGATGCACATTATCTAACGTGTTCTAGCGCTGATTTTCGAGCCAAAACCAAGGTCGAAACCAACGCCAAATAAGGGGGTACCCTTCGCTTTCAGAAATAAATTTATGATGGTAAAGGAGGGTACCCCCTTATTTTCAAAATTAGCTTTTGAATTTGATGATAAGTTTAACTGCTGACGTTTTGAAAATGTCACGATTGTCAGCAGTCGCGTTTGATAAGGGACAGCATCGACCTTTGCGCGTGGTCATGGGACGAGTGCATAAGTTACTTATTGATTTAGCGCACATATAAAACTGTCATTACAAAGCATGTTTCCCAAGTACCTCCTGTGTTTAACACTTTTCCAAGCGTGCGTAAATACTTATTTAATTGTGAATCAGAAAGAACATGCAGTGAGTTCGGTCGCTGATTAGAAAAGTGCTTCTTTTAACGTTGAATTTCAAAAAATTTTATTGAAAAAGAAAAGAAGAGATAAGAATATTATGTATTTGTATCTTCATGATCTGTTGACCAATTTGTCGTTTTTGTTTGATGATCCGGTCCTAAAAATATTGATTATTTTTGAATGCAAGTACTGAGTGAAGACTTACACTGATGATTCAATTTTCTGAGCGCTTGTATAAAAATACATCCTAACTTTTCCTTCAACTGGCTGGGTATTGTAAAGGTGTAATTCTAAAGGTTCTCCTGCACCACCAAGCTCAACATTGAAGAAGTTTTCGTAGCCAGAAGAGTAGAAATCGTCGTCGCCGCACAATCTTTTTCCATTGATTGAGAAGTAGTTATCGCCACAGGAAGTCATATCAGTCACGATATCTTTAAATAAATTGATAATCTGTGATAATAAAATTTCAATTTATATCATTATTCTGATGTTTCTTCATTATCAACATTTCCTGTTAAAACTTGGCCGTCATCTTTGTTAATTTCGATTGTTGCCTCTTTCACAAAAATTTTTTCGTCATCGTTTTTGGGGATGAGTTTTATTTTGCAGTCACTGGCAGGATAAGTATCAGGACGAGAAAAGGGCATCGCGATATATTCTCCTTCAGCCGTGAAAGTGTTTGGCGAGCTAAAAATTGTGACTTTTTTTGCCTGCGTGTTTCTTCTTCATTTTTTAACCAAAAATCAAAAATAAGTTTAAAATCGTATTTTTACATGTAGAACCGATTTCTTTCTTGTTAACGAAAATTATTGACGAGGGGGGAAGGAATCAAATAATCAAATTAATAATCGACTTACAAAAAAGCAAAATGACCTTCAGGATAACCGTCTCCTTCCCATTTTTCGTCTCCAACAATGAATTCTTTATACCCATTCTCCTGGCATAAATTATTGAAGTTCTTTTTGTTTGTTTTCGATTCCATTTTAATCTTATGATTGAGATTGTTAAATGAATATTTTTTTTATTATAAAACAATTCCTTTTTCAATCGTTGCGAACGATAATTTGCTACCAGAACAGAAAGGCCGATGACGACGACAACGACGGTACAGCAGCAACCTCCGACAATTTTCAGCGCTTTGCCTGCCATTGTCGTGTAGAATCGTAATCTGACGAAAATGACCAAAACCCGCCTTATATACTGTAGTAGAAACATTTCCTGGAAAAATGTGTTCTAGAATGCACTAAATTACAGTATTTTTAGATTTACAAATTTTCAATGTTCAAAAAAACAAACTGTATTCTAGTAATGACGTTTCGATAACGTCACGATAATAAAATTTAATTTTGATGAGAAACGTTTGATCATCATTTTTTGAGTTAAGCCAAACAAAAACTTATAAAGAAACTTTCCCACTTTGATGCTCAAACTCCAACATGCTCTCCTATTCAAGAAACCGCGATCAGAAGACTTTCTTTTCAACAAAAGAATCGGCGGAAGTTCAAGTCAAATCTTCTTTCAATTTTTTAATTTTGTATTTTCAGCTACAACAAGTTTTTGACCACGATTGTCCTCCAGATGTCTTTTTACGTCAATTTTTGTAAAAAAAGACGACTCATTCAAAAATGAAAGGAATCCACATTAAAGTCATTTTTTGTTGCAAACTTTTATTGTTAAAAAATGCATGATTTAGCGCTCAGATCTGGCAGAAATGAAAATTGAAGATTTGCCAAAGTCTCTGTGGCTCGCGCGTGTATCCAAAAATTGATCTCTTCATCGTTCCAAAACACACAAAAGGCCAGAAACACGCGATTCTCCTCTCTCTCTCTTTCTTTTTCCTATTTTATTTTTGAAAATGCTGCGTCGATTCGGTCCTCTGAGAGGGTTTTCTGCAAGTTTTAATTTGAATAATGGGATTATTACGATAAAAGAATTGGAAAATGCGATGAGTGGGAAAATTAACGATTTCGAGAGAGAAAATTTGAGAAAAATTTTGGATAGAAATAATGATGGATCTGTTCAGACGAAAGAACTAGGCGTTATGGTTGAAGGTAAAAAAACGATAAAATGAGCGGAATTTGAGCGGCTTAAAAGCTCTTTTGAAACATTCCGCCCGATTTCCGCTCATGTACATTATCATCGAATACAGTATTCGAGTTGCTAGTAAAGCTTTTTTTAAATCGCCCGATTGCCACTCGAAAGAATGAGCGGGATTCGAGCGGACCAAAGACCAACCGCTTAAAAATATCAGGATCGCTCGAGCGCCCCATCTTCTTATCGAAAATTTTAGGCTCGATTCTTGAGTTGGAAAAGATCATAATCGAAACAATCGACGACGTTTTCATCGACCTGCCGACTCGAAATTTCGCCGAATTCATGATCATCCTCGCCCGCCGAAAAACCGGAGAAAACAAGATCAGAGTTTTGTTCGAAGAATACGACTCTGATGGAAGTGGATCTGGTAAAATAAAGCGCTAGAAATCACTCAAATAACCATTAATTTTTTAAGTTCAAAAAGAAGAGATCAAAAAGTGGCTGGATCAACACGGAAAACCAGTTTCAAAAGCTCAAGCTGGCAAGATTTCCGACGCAATGGACGTTTCTGGAGACGATAGAATTTCGTATGAAGAATTTTTGACGATGATCGCGGCGAGACTCCTTGTTTTGAATCTGCAATAAATGATAACTAACATTTCACAAAATTGATGAATCAGTTACTCCCATGATGAGAAAAATCAGGTTTTTTCGAGATTTGATTGGAGAATCAATGGTTACTCATAAAAGTTGCTTCTTGACGGAAATTCTTCTCTTTTTTGGCAGTTGACTTCAATCGAGATTTTCAGTTTTGAGAGATGGCGGGAGACTTCATTTTTAGCCGATATTTTGAGGACACCCTCTACGACGAGTTTATCAGAGCAGAAAGCGAAGGAATGGTCAACAGGTACAGTAACAATTCATAAAGGAAGAGCAGTAATGGTTATGAAAATTTTTGAAGTTACGAGCGAATGGCAATTTGGGTCCAGGACAACCTCGGTCTCAGAAATCTCGACGAAGATGCTAAAGAAAGAGTTCAAATTTGAGTATATTTTTCATTTCCGAGCATTTTTTGAACTTGAAAGAAGCGGGGCTGATCGAGAAGGTGGAGCAAGTCATCGAAATGCAGTGCTTTGAATGGCGGCTCTATCAGCACTGTGTTCACAACAAAGGTACAGTCACAGAACGAAAAAGTCCAATTTTTTTTTCTTCTAGTGATCGACAGAGTCAATATTCTTCGGGAAGCAGAGCATCTTCGGACGACAATTTACAGGAAAGATGCGATTTATAGCTTTGAAAAAGAAAAGACATGTTTTTCATCAATAAACAGCGATCACAAGACTCTGAAAAAGATGCGACTTGGACAACAACAGAAGTGGTACTTGGAGTTTCGCAACAACTTCGACTTGCGAGAATTCGACGAAGAAGAGCGACAGTCAATCTGCGAGAAACTCCTGAACAAATCGACCAAGTGCTGCTGCCATGTGAATGGAAATCCCTTCCAACAGGTAAGAATCGTCCAGGAAACGTTTAATAACATAGGTCATCCCCTTGTTACCAGGATAAACGTTGGCGAAAATCTGAATTTAGCAGGATAAACCCCAGGCAAACTTGCCCCCATGTTAGCAGGATAAACTTTGGCAAAAGGGCTCATTGTTAGCAGGGTAAACTTTGGCACTCAATTAACAGGGTAGCGTGAATCATCAGCGCTCGCCCAGGGCGTGACGTAACAGTTAGCCCGAGGAGGACTCAACCTGCTGGAAGAAAATGCCAATGAAAAATATCTTCATAAAATCTGCTTGAAAATTTCAATATATATTTATAAATTCAGTATTTAATACAAGTTAACGATTTTATCATTATTAATTTTAATTTTGATATTTATTCATATTTTTAAATTATTTATTTTTAGGGCTTAGGAGGGTAGGCACCAGAGTTGCAAATTTGGCTTTATTTTCGCTGAGCTGAGTGAGCTGAGTTGAGCTATTTTTTACTGTATTTTAGTAGTAAAATTGTGTTGAAATCATTGAGCTGAGCTGAATGATTATCGACGATAATTTATCGTCTGAGCTGAGGAGATCAGTTCACTTTTGAAAATCACTGAGCAGTCTCAACTCACTTAACTCAGCAAATTTGAAACTCTGGTAGGCACATTATACAGTATTACTAATACTGTATTAGAAAGCTCAGAAGCTGAGCTTTACTTTGACTATTGATAACGGGGTGATCTCGTACCTGGCCCTTTTCGGACTCTAACCATCTTTCAAGAAGAAAAATCTCCAAAGTTGATCCCGAGTGATCCCAGGTAACCCCAACTTGACCTCAGGTCAGCAATGATGCAGATATTATATCCAATATTAGATATATAAGATATTAGTCCCTATATTCTATAATGATATGGGCTATACTTCACCGAAGTCGCTTGATCTAATGAATGGCCTCGGAATCCTGTAAACAGGAACAGAGACAGGAACAGGGATTTTATTTTTTGGCCCATTTTGATTTAAAAAAATTATATATTAAAATTAAAATTAAAAACATAAAATTGTTCACTTGTATTTCAAGCAGATTTGCTTCATTCGCATTTTCTTCCAGCAGGTTGAGTCCTCCTCGGGCTAACAGTTACGTCACGCCCTGGGCGAGCGCTGATGATTCACGCTACCCTGTTAATTGAGTGCCAAAGTTTACCCTGCTAACAATGAGCCCTTTTGCCAAAGTTTATCCTGCTAACATGGGGGCAAGTTTGCCTGGGGTTTATCCTGCTAAATTCAGATTTTCGCCAACGTTTATCCTGGTAACAAGGGGATGACCTATGTTAATTCGTGTCTGGTAGACAGATGAAGACGAAGATGTGAAGACAGAAGATACCGACGATGAAATTATTGATCTGTAAACAGGCTTGCAAAGAAGGACCCATTGTGTTCAAATAATTATTATTTCCGCTCTAAAAATTGACGCTATTTCAAAACTGAGTTACGCTTTTTATTCTCAAAATGTATACTTTTTCTGACCTGGCTGTCGATACAGGCGATGCAACTGATGATATCAAAAATTTTATCACGACTCAAACAAGAGTCGTTCAAGAGCGAGTTTGTTATGAGTTTAATAATGAGAAAATGGACGAAAAGTGAGTTGAGAAGTTTTATATTCTGTTTACGGCAATTTTTTAAAGAAACATAGCTTCTATGAAGAAAATTAACGAAGCGATCCGCTTCAATCGGTTTGACGATTTGTCGAATTTGGAAGAGGTCTGGGTTTTCGGCTACGGGTCGCTGATTTGGCGCCCCGTTTTTCGTCACTCAGAGAAAATTGTCGGCAAAATTAATGGCTTTCATCGACGGTTCTACCAATCAGACATGACGTACAGGGGCACGCCGGAATATCCAGCACGAGTTGCGACGCTTCTGAAAGATCCAACTGGAAAAGCAGAGACCTACGGCTGCGCGTTTAAATTGTTCGGAAAGAATGAGATTTCTGCGGGGATAAAGTATCTCAACACGCGAGAAGGAGAAAACGGAGGCTATAGCTTGATCGTGGAGGAGTTTCACAGTTGCGAGAGGTCTCCTATTCCAGTCTTGGTGTACACCGCGACGAGGGAAAACTACTATTTCACAGGAAAACAGCCCTTGGAAGAACTCTCTGACATTATTGCGAATGCTAGCGGATTGACTGGACCGAATACAGAATATCTCTTTCGAGTGGCTGAATGGCAACGGGAGTTTTTACCACTCGTTGAGGACGATCATCTTTACGAACTGACGCGAATGACGAAAGAGAAGGTCGTGAAAATCGAGAAATAAAAATTTATTCTGCTCTGTGATTTTTTTATTAATTCTTTGAGCATTGCCAATTTTTGAAAAAATCAGGCGTTGACGACGCAGGAAGCATAGTTGACGTCGTTGTTGACGGCTTCGGCATAGGCGGTGGCGTCTTTTTCGAAACCGATTCGTGCTTTTTCGAAGCACATTTCGATGTCTTTGCCTTGCCAGTCAACAATGTCGATTCCGTGGATCTGGACGAAGACAATGTCGACCCAGGAATGTTTTCCAACTCCCCAAATAGCGGCGTCAGAACCTCGGGCGCTAGAAAAAATACATGAAAAAAAATTATATACAGAAAAAAATTATGAAAAGAGTAGAACTTACATGAACTGAAGAGTCTTCTTGGAAAAGTTTCCGTTCTCCTTGTAGGCGGTCTGGCCAGAATAAGCGTAGACAGGTCGATTGTCCGTAAAATCAATGCGGAGTCGTCCATCATCGATGGCTTTTAGAAAATCGGAGCCACAGAAGAACTGGCCAAAGGTCAAGAAACCGAGGTACTCGGTCTTGTGGAGATTCCACTGCTTAATCAGGTACTTGATCTGAAATAGTAGCGTTGTGAGTAATGAATCATTATGATACTGTATGTATCAGATGTTGACTCGAAGCGGCAAGAGAATTTTTCAGTCGTATCACAAGGAGCATCAACCCAGTCGAATCGTCCACTGTAGCCAGTTAGGACACAAGGCTGAGAGTCGCTATTTGGTTGGATAGACCCAAAACTTCATGTATCCCATTCAATAAATGTCACATTTGATCCGTCCGCATTTAGCCACTGCAAAGTGTCGCCATTTTGCTGCTCGTAGCCGAGCCATTCCCGCCTTGGCCAGACTTGGCGACGATAAATTCGATACTCTCGCTCATTTCTAAAGAAGGACGGAAAGCCTGAGGCTCCTGGAAAGTATACTTCGGCAATTTTTCGGCACATATCTTTAGCCTCAACGTAATCGGTAATCATTTCGTACTGGACGAACCAAACTGTTCCTTCGGAAGAAATCGTCGTTGTTGTCGATGGCGTCGTCGTTGGCCGAGGAATACAAGTGAAGGAGGATCCATCTTCATTGTTAGAACAGAACTCATTGTCGGAGCAATCGTGGCTGGCGCAGGGTTGTAGTTTCTCGATTGAGCCTTCGTGTCGTAGATAAAGCTCTAGCTGCTCACCTCCCCAAGGAAAAAACCTTCTGAGTTCCCCATTATCACCAAGACAAAGCAGTTCGGTATCAGCGGTGTTGCTCCACGCGTACTTGTTGCTGTCAGTTGCATGTGCCGTCCATCCGCGATCGCCAAAAGCAATTCGTTCTATAGTCCACCCATCGCACCAGTAAACGTCGCGGCCATTTTCAAGTCCATCAGCGGTGCAAGAATGGCCTCCCCATTTCATGACCACAGTTTTGAAACAACCAAGCGGCGTTTTTTCGAATTCCGATTGGCCGGTACAGATTGCGAGGCTTCCATCTTCATCAGATCCGTCGTAGCGTACCCAAGAAAACAGATCGAACGAGTGGCCAACCCGAACTATGACGAAACCAAGCCCTCTTCCCCTAAAAATCTCCAATATCATGAAGTAGAATTCAGAGATTTTAAAGGTAAAAATTGAAAAAAAACCAAGCTTATTTATTTTGAGATTTTCGACTTTACTGGAATCCCTCCGCCTGGTGTACAAGACCGATATTTATTCTGGAGCTGACTCGTCTTTCGACTTTTTGAAAGAAAAAATCCATCGCAGCGTTATTTGATGTATATCGATAACTGCCCTGCTCACAAGCTTCTTCCAAAGTTCAAAAATCTGGACTTGTGTTTTTTCGACCAGGGACTACAGGAAAAGTTTGATCAGTGTTATTTTTATCTTTGCGCGAAAAATATAAAATTTATTTTCAAACAAAAGAAGGTGTATACCAACCCTGCGATAATCTTGTTTTTGTAATTTTAAGAAGAAAATCCGCTGCTTCCTCGATGATTTTATTGTCGATCACGATCATCTGAATATCAAGGAGGAAGAGCTCGTGAAAAAGCCAACGAAATCTTCATGAACATGAACCCTGGAATCTTCAAGCGAAGTTGGATCAATACGGGATTGATCAAAGAAGAAGAATACAAGGATACTGTTGAAGAAGTCGAGGGCTTGGACGTTTTGGAAAGTATCTTGGAGAAACAAGATGAAGAAGAATTGATCGAGCATTTCCTGGCGCTTCAAATCGATGAAACACAAGCTGCAACCCCGATAGATATTGAGGAAGAACCGCAAATTCAAGTTTCAGATGAAGCTGACATTGCAAAGCCATCGACTTCAAAATGGCCAGAAAAGCAGTCAAAGATTTCTAGCTTTTTTACTGCTAAAAAAAATTTCAATCGATTCACTGTTAGCAGAAAAATTTTCTAAAAATTAATAAAAATTATCGAGAAAGTCCTCTTAAGTTGGAATTTTTCAGGGTGACAAAATCGGCCAAATTGACGCAAAAGTCCTCTTAAGTTGGGGCCTCTTAAGATGGAAAAAAACTGTATCAGAAAAAAATTATGAAAAGAGTAGAACTTACATGAACTGAAGAGTCTTCTTGGAAAAGTTTCCGTTCTCCTTGTAGGCGGTCTGGCCAGAATAAGCGTAGACAGGTCGATTGTCCGTAAAATCAATGCGGAGTCGTCCATCATCGATGGCTTTTAGAAAATCGGAGCCACAGAAGAACTGGCCAAAGGTCAAGAAACCGAGGTACTCGGTCTTGTGGAGATTCCACTGCTTAATCAGGTACTTGATCTGAAATAGTAGCGTTGTGAGTAATGAATCATTATGATACTGTATGTATCAGATGTTGACTCGAAGCGGCAAGAGAATTTTTCAGTCGTATCACAAGGAGCATCAACCCAGTCGAATCGTCCACTGTAGCCAGTTAGGACACAAGGCTGAGAGTCGCTATTTGGTTGGATAGACCCAAAACTTCATGTATCCCATTCAATAAATGTCACATTTGATCCGTCCGCATTTAGCCACTGCAAAGTGTCGCCATTTTGCTGCTCGTAGCCGAGCCATTCCCGCCTTGGCCAGACTTGGCGACGATAAATTCGATACTCTCGCTCATTTCTAAAGAAGGACGGAAAGCCTGAGGCTCCTGGAAAGTATACTTCGGCAATTTTTCGGCACATATCTTTAGCCTCAACGTAATCGGTAATCATTTCGTACTGGACGAACCAAACTGTTCCTTCGGAAGAAATCGTCGTTGTTGTCGATGGCGTCGTCGTTGGCCGAGGAATACAAGTGAAGGAGGATCCATCTTCATTGTTAGAACAGAACTCATTGTCGGAGCAATCGTGGCTGGCGCAGGGTTGTAGTTTCTCGATTGAGCCTTCGTGTCGTAGATAAAGCTCTAGCTGCTCACCTCCCCAAGGAAAAAACCTTCTGAGTTCCCCATTATCACCAAGACAAAGCAGTTCGGTATCAGCGGTGTTGCTCCACGCGTACTTGTTGCTGTCAGTTGCATGTGCCGTCCATCCGCGATCGCCAAAAGCAATTCGTTCTATAGTCCACCCATCGCACCAGTAAACGTCGCGGCCATTTTCAAGTCCATCAGCGGTGCAAGAATGGCCTCCCCATTTCATGACCACAGTTTTGAAACAACCAAGCGGCGTTTTTTCGAATTCCGATTGGCCGGTACAGATTGCGAGGCTTCCATCTTCATCAGATCCGTCGTAGCAATCTTGAACGTTGTCGCAGACTTTGTTGTGCAAAATCGGCCGCATGTAGCCAAGGACATCAGGACCAATACACATCGACGTAGGAGGCATTGGATGATGCGAGGCCCCATTGTTCGGGTCTTACGCGAAAAGGAGATTTAAAGAAGAAGAAAACATGGAAGGAAAAAGTGAGCCTGACTGAGCATGGATTCGCCACCAACAAGCAGCAATACACTTACCTCGGACTTGGATCGCTTTTCTGGATTACAATCATGCTCATTGGTAAATATGCGGAAACTTTTCTTTCTTAAAAATTTTAGCGAATTTCGCCTCTTTGGAGAAATCAAAAATGGCAACAACTTTTCTAACATCGACTTGCCACAGAAGCTACAAAAAATGCGTTCAAATCGAATCCATGGACATCTGTGGCCATCTGATGAAGCAATGCTACGGGAGCAAAGAATTTATTCTTCCAAAGCCAATTTCGCCAATTTATCTTCAAAAAACCCAGCTGATTTTTTTCTCTGAAGAAGTAAACAAAGTGAATTTGCGCCGTTGCAAAAAGAAAAAGTTTCTCGACCAAAAAATCTGCCGCCATCTTTGCTCGAACACTCTGATTTTGAAATCAACGAGAACTCATCCAATAACGCCCTGCGAGTCCCTTTGCTTTGAAATAACGAGATCTTCTGATTCCGCGGGAGATGTTTGTCCAACCGAGAAATATTGCAAAAGAGGGTGCCCATGTCCTTTTTATGAATGCGAGAAAACGGATAATGACCAGAAATACGTTCCTGTCTTTGATTTGAAAAAGAGTGACTACAGTCGTTCAAAAAATCAGAAAAAAGATCCAGGAAAAGTGAACAAAGACGTTATTCAGTTGATTGATCTTTCAGAAACTCAAAGAGCAAAGAAAAAAAGCATCGTGTTCCCTGAAGGCGAAGAGTTTAACCATTATGAATGTTTTTATAACTAATTGCAATTGCAATCAATTTAATCAGTGCAGCCGGGATAGACGTGACCTTTATAAAAACGTAAAAGGCGATTGGTGCAACTTTTCTCAACGGAGAACACTACTTGGTTGATAAAAAAGGAAGTTTGATGCGAGTGAGGGAAAATGGAACAGCTTCTTTATTTATTAAAAATCGTCTTTTTGAAAGGTTCGTTGATTTATATTGATACTAGCTCATCATATTTTTCGCAGAACTGGTCATTTTGCGTTTCATTTTCAATCCTCTATCGGAACACACGAAATAACGATCAGAAATGAAGAAAAAAACAGAACGGTGTTTCCCGTCGTTGTTATCTGAAAACGGTACAAAATATAGAGGAAAAATTCGATTCCTTAAAAAATTTGATAAATAAAAATTCATCATCGTAAAAAAAACTTTTTAACCGATGAAAGCTCTCCCGAAGAAAGGCCAGACAAATGTTATTATTACGCACCCGACTACAATCTGAACAGATTTGAAACTGCCCAAGGTACACTACTGTAATTAAAGTCCGCCAATCATTGAAATCAATTCAAGGCTACATTGCAAGCAACCACTTCAACGCAAAAACGTCTTCGATCAGTTTTAGTGGAACATTCTTCCTGATGAGCTTGAGACTCGACAGAAGCTGGATTACGCTTTCCAAGACAGTCGCTTTAAACTCGATCAGATCAACCGAAGAGTTGGAAAAAGGCTGGCGTAAAGACGAAATCACGGTTCCGGCTATGTTCCGCGACTTCGATCCTGTCCACGTGATCCCTCTGGAACGGATTCGAGAAAAAAAAATTTTTTTCTTCAATTTTTTCTCAAATCTAAACAAGATCGACCTTGGCCATTTGATGCTGATTCTCGTTACAAGAAGCATTGATCTTTCAAATATGCAGTATTCATTGTTGCTCGAGAAAGAAGGCAAATTCATCATGCTTGGCAACGAATGGATCGGATCTCTGGTCAAGTACGAGGAAGACGCGCGTTGTTTCTCTCGCATATTTGCTCCATTCGATTTCGCTTACTCGAATGAATTCGGAACTAACAACGATGAGTGCGAGTACTTCATCAACGCCTTTTTGAACAATGATCGAATCTACCTGCAAAACGTTGTTTTCGAAACACTTTTTGAGATTCATTTCGATTTCGGAGAGGATCTCGCATTATCTACTATATCGTTAATTTTTGATGCTTCATTTGATCCTCAAAAAAGCTAAAATCGAGCTTGATTTCCAACAGCAAAAAAGTGCGAACAAAATGCACGTGACGAGCAACCCATATTTTAAATTTCATGATGATGTCTTTCCTAATTTCGCCAAAAACGCAGTTGATAAAATTCGTGAATTTCCTCAATCAGCTAGGGCTCTGAAGAAGAAATAGACTGATGTACCGTAAAACGCCGAAAAATCCCAAAATTTTCTTAATCAGTAAGGGGCAATTTTGAGCCCAGTAAAGCAAGTAGTTTGTCCCCACCGTATCCATTGGCGATTATTCCGGATTCGCCTTTTGCATCTTTCGACGAGTCGTTATTTCATATTTCTTCATTTGAATTGGACTTTTACGAAAAGCGAAGGCTCAATCTTGAAATAAAGGAAATAGTCTCAAAAGAAATGCTCAGTTTTAGTGAATTACAAGGAAGAAAATTGATTTTGACTCTCTGAAGAAAAAGAAATCTTTCAAAAAAGCAACGAAAATATTGGAATTTCGATCATTTAACGAAAAGTCGATCTTTAAAATTGAACTTTTGAAGAATAGCTCGTTTGCAATTTCATCCGATTTTTTTGAAGAAACAATCGTTTTGGAGGATCTTTTTAACTTCCGGTGGACAACGATCGAAGTCGTGTTTGAAACGAAAAGAGACCTTTATCTTACTCTCAAGAAAAGCAAAAAGAAACTTGCTGAAAGAAAAATCAGTGGTCTCAAAAAGATGGAAGAAAAAAGAATAAAAGTATATAAATTTGACGACGAAACCGTTATCAAAAATGTCTTTTTCTTTCAAAACCCACCGAGTCAAATTTTCGGTATGTTAGCGGAAAAGTATAAATATCCGAAATTATTTGCACTGTCTGGAGATGGTTCTAAAAGATGGTACGACAATAGTAAAGTATCTATTCCGACAAATCTTGCGTATAATTTCTATCTGTCTATATTTGCTGTTGTGAGTGGTAAACTGCATATTTTTGGCGGCTGGATGGATAGAACAATAGTAGGATTGCTTCATAGAAACTCATTTATTAACTGTTTTCGAGATTGTGAGGCTTGATAAATGCGACCTAGAGGCTCTTCGAACTCGTTTTCAAAGGGATTATTATTCTGGAAGCTCTGCTTTGTCTATTACAAGTGGAACTGAAGGTATGAACGAAGGTTCTGAATAGCGCCGCCTTGCGCCACCTTGGGCCGTCTTGCGCCGCCCTGCGCCGCCCGGTCCGGCTCAAACTGGGTCTCGTCTGGGCGGCGCAAGGTGGCGCTTTTCAGTTACTCCCGTATCATCCGCAATTAAAGTATTTTTATGATTGTTTGAAGCACTTGTATGTTTTGATGGCGACCGTAATAATAAGTTTAAAAAATGCGAAATATTTGATGGTACTGCTGTTCGAGATCTCCCATTCCCGGCAAATCAAGGGCACTGGAAAGGTGGACTTGCTTTTTATAAAGGATTGCCAACAGTAATCGGCGGTCAAAATTGGCCCAATACGAATTATGGGTACACAGAAACCTACACAGAAAATGGTTGGGAAAAACTCCCCTCTCACGAAAGGTCTTTTCAAAAAAAAATCTTTTGCTGAGCAGGATTTTAGATATTTAAACAGTCATTCTGTTGTTGGATTGCCGTCTGGATCGATCGCTACCTTGGGAGGTTATGATTGGAAGGAAGGTGAATATCTAAATGAGATTTGGGTGCTTGGGGAGGTTGAGTGGAGGATAATTGGTAATTTACTGCAGGTAAGAAAAAAAATGGAAAAATATTTGTATTATTTATATTTTCAGTTTAATAATTACGGATCCGTCATTCTCGCGGACAATTCTTTGTATCTTTTCCCTGGTGAAAGCAGGGACTTTACAAAAATGATACAGAGAATCAGACTAGGAAAGGTTGACCGCTTTTTGGCAAAAAGCTTTTTGAAAATCGAACTCAATGGTCAATTCCGGAAAAGACGGCGATGAGGTCGTTGGCGTCGAGACTATTGGATATAATGACAAATATTACGATAAACCAATTTTATTCCTCGCGCCCATGAATTATTGCACTGTAAAATATCATTTTAGAAAATAATAAATTTTTTTAGCCAACGTATTTTTGAAAATTTCAGTCATTTCCGGCTAGAGTTTTACCTCAGTCAATTAATATTTATTTTTTCTTTGTATGAAAAATGTTAGAGGAAGAGAAAGCTCAATTAATTTCAGCAAAAGAAAAACGAGGAATTGATTATTTATGGGAAAAATTGCCGCATTTCTCCTGGTACCAACTCCGCATTACAGCCATGGCGGGCTACAGTGCTGTTATAGGTGGTTTCATGGCGGTTTATCCTGTTTTTGCGCAGCTCAAGCCTCCTCATCGATGTCAGACAGAGTTGGATAAGAGAGATGGATTCAGTTGGCTCTCGTGGGAGGAGATAAAAGCGTTGACTACAGGTGGGTCTACCTGTAATCGGGCGGAAATGAATGATGGATGCGGGCACTGTATTTTTGACTCAACAGTTCTCGAATCATGTAACCATCAGGAGAGTTTTGAGAGCCTTAAAACCTGTCTTGGAAATTCAAGCGCGACTTGGTCAGAATCATGCAACGGGCAATTCAATTTCGACCGGTCCTTGAGCAACATGACGAATAAGTTCTTTAACAAGGGCGAGCCGTGGGAAACCGCGGTGACGGAGTTCAAGCTCATCTGCGGCGACGAGTGGTTTGACTCGCTTTCAACAAGTCTTGCGCTTCTGATGCTGGCTGCGGGCGCTTTTATAGCTGGAATTTACGGTGATAGATTCGGGCGGAAAAATGCGATTCAAGTGTGGAACTTTATAACTGCTATTTGTCTCACAATCCATGCTTTTGCTCCGAATAAATACGTATTTATGATCATGCGAGCTCTGGGCAACGGTTTCGGGCACATCTCCTACTTGGCTCAGAAAACTTATGCAATGGAACTTACTGGCCCCTCGAAGCGACACATAACTGGACCTCTTGGAAGCGTGTATTTTGCTCTTGGGTATGTTTTGTCCGGAACCGTGGCTTATTTTTTCCCGAGCTGGAGAGATTTGACCTTGGTTTATGCCTTCATTGCTTTTGCTACTCTTTTGACCCTTCCTTTCTATCCTGAGTCGCCGATGTTTTTGTACTCCCGTGGGAAGACGGAAGAAGCCAGGAAAATATTTCGGGAAATGGGGAGAAGAACTGGGACGAGGATATCAGATGAGTTGCTGGAAAAGGTTGAAGGAGACATTCTGAAGAACGATCAAAAGGAGAGGGATGATGAAGCGATTGCAGAGCAGTATTCGATTCTGGATCTTTTCAGGAAATGAATTTGACCAATAAGATTGCAGAAATGAGTTTTTTGGCCAATAAGAAGCTCTTTGAATACCGATGAAAGTTGGGTTTGACCCTTGACCAAATCCCGATTAAGCGACACCTTGTGAGCGTATTTCGCTTTTTCATGAAGGGCGGAGGACCCCGCCTGCTGGAAGACTCCCTCTGTATGAGAAGGAATCTCTTCTCGGTATATAAAATTGAAATCGGCCAAGATTAAAAATTCATTTGAAGACATCGGAATTTATCGATAGTCTCGATTCTTGTCGGTGTTGCTTTTGTTGCAAACACCCTTGTCTACTACGGTCTCGTTTTCAACGTCGCCCGCTTTGCTGGAAATCTTTACGTCAACAACACGATCAACGGCAGCGTGGAAGTTCTAGCTTATGTTGTTCTAGGATTGACTCTCGATAGATTTGGAAGAAGATGGATCGCGGGTGGGTTTTTAGTCCTCGGCGGAATCGCTTGTTTGGCTTGTATGGCGCTGGAAGAAGTGGCGAAGAATGCGGCTGATCCTTCAAATGCTTTGGAGCTGCAAAGATGGATGGCTTTTTTGGGGCATTTGTTCATTTCGGGATCGTTTGGGGCGATGTACATTTACGGAGTGGAGTTGTTTCCGACTCCCCTGAGAAGTACTGGAATTGGCTTTGGTTCCATTTGCGGGAGATTCGGGTCGGTTCTAGCGCCTTTTATCATTCAAATTAAAAACCGATCGATTGTGTATTTGGTAATTTTTTTCAAAATTAATCAAACCGAGCAATTTTGAGATTTTCGGAGCTGTTGGAGTCATTGGAGGAGCATTTGTCTTTTTACTCCCAGAAACTGCGGTAAAAACATTCATCAAAAGGGTTTTCTGTCTTATAGACATTTTAAGGGCGTGCCTCTCTGTCAAACTTTGGAAGAATCGCTCGATTTTTACGAGAAATCGAACAAAAAATTGGGAAGCTATTTTTACAAACGAAGAAGGAAACTGTCAGAAACGAGCAAAAAAGAAACCGATTTGTGATACTTCTGCAATAAAAAGGGTTTTGATTGCTTTCACCTTGAGTCAGAATTAAACTTTTGCTCATGTTTCATCTCATAATTCGGCCGAAATCAGCTTTGTTTTGTCTCTTTCACCTAAGGATCTTTTGATAACCCTCTTAACAGAAGAAGTCTAAGATGAGATTAGCTTCAATTTTTGTTCATTGTTCAACTTGATTTCAATGAAACTAACTTCTACTTTTTACATCACAGGAGGCAAAGAAGGCAGCTTGAATTGCAAGTTTATCGTATTTTAGAAGCAGGGTGCAAATGATGGCCTGTTACGCCACATGCGCTGTTTCCAAAGCAACTTTAAATGTCACGAGAAAATCATATTATGGTTACTTTAATCCTTTTTGATCGAGTTACTGGGACGAGCTGTAGCACGTGTGATCTAATTTTCCATCTTTTCATCATCGTCAAAAAATCAGCATTTTTTTGTTAATAACCGTAATGCTTATGTTTACAATCTGTCAATTCTGATGTTGATCCACAAGTTTTTGTCACTTCGGAATGCTCATTGACCGAAATTCGCGAGTGCTTTTAGTGCAAATTTGCTCTGTACCAAAACGGATTTTCTATCGCTCATTTATTGCCCTCAGAATGTAAAAATCTTGGCAAGAGATGGCGGGAGAAGAAGCTAACGGGTCGAAATTGATAATAAGTTGATAAATTTTCGTGGAAAATTTTGCTATTTCCGGAAAAGAGAAACGCGGAATCGACTTTTTATGGGAAAAACTGCCGCATATCTCGCTGTACCAGATGAGAATCACTGGCATGGCGAGCTATGCTGGGATTTTAGGGGGCTTTATGGCGATGTATCCGGTTTTTGCGCAGTACACGCCTCCTTATCGATGCGAATCGGTGTTCGACAATAATGATGATTTCAGCTGGCTGACGTGGAAGCAGATTGAGAACCTGACTACTACTGACACGCCATACTGTAGGAATAGCTTGAGATTGACGAAACTATAGCTATTTTCTTCAAAATCGTCAATCTTCAAAAAGCGGTTTTGATTCTAGCGACCTTTCTTCTGGCTGCGGTCATTGCGTTTTCGACCCAATTTCCATCGATTCTTGCGACCATCAACAAAGCTTCGAAGCCCTCAAAACCTGTCTCGGAAAACCCGCTCAAGAAATCGCCAACTGGACAAATTGCAACGACCAATTCAACTTTGACTGTTCTCTTCGAAATAGAACAAATTTGTTGTTTGACGCGGGCGAACCGTGGGAAACCGCCGTTACTCAGTTCAAGCTCATCTGCGGCGACGAGTGGTTTGACTCGCTTTCAACTGCTCTTGGATTACTGTCGCTCATGATTGGCGCGTATATTGCCGGAATTTATGTGGATAGATTTGGGAGAAAAAATGCGATCATGGTTTGGAACGTGATCACTGGCATTTGCTTGACGATCCATGCGTTTATGCCGAACCAATACGGTTTTCTTGCGATGCGAGTGCTTGGAAATGGGCTTGGTCACGTGTCCTATCTTTCTCAAAAAGCTTATTCGATGGAACTTCTTGGTCCTTCCCGCCGAGCTATTTCTGGAGCTCTCGCTAGTGGGTACTATTCGATCGGATACATCAGTTCTGGTCTCGTTGCTTTCTTTCTTCCTGATTGGAGAGGTTTTACTCTGGCATACGCTGGCATTGCTTTTGCCACTTTACTGACTCATCCCTTCTATCCAGAGTCCCCGCTGTTTCTCTATTCTAGAGGGAGGAAAGAAGAAGCCAGGAAGGTCTACAAAGAAATGGGAAAAAAGACCAACACGGAGATTTCTGATGATTTGCTCGAAAAAGTCGAGCGGGATATTTTGAAGAGAAATGACGATAAAGAGGCGGAAGAAGTAAATGCCGAGCAATATACGATTTTGGACCTGTTTCGGCATCGAGATTTGGCGCTTGTTTCATTAAACGTGGGTTTTGCTTTTTTGGTCAATACTCTTGTCTACTACGGGCTATCTTTCAACGTCGCTTCGTTTGCTGGAAGCATTTATGTGAACAATACGATCAATGGTGTTGTGGAGCTTCTGGGGTACGTTCTAGTGGCCTTATCGCTGGACAAGTTTGGGAGAAGATGGATAAACGGAGGTTTCATGATCTTCGGCGGCGTGGCTTGTTTAATCTGCATGGCGCTAGAAGAAGCAGCAAGAAAGGCAGACGATCCGGCAACTCTTCTTGAGGCGCAGAGATGGATGGCCTTCGCGGGCAAATTTTTCATCTCAGGCTCCTTTGGTGCGATTTATGTCTATGGAGCTGAACTGTTCCCAACTCCACTAAGAAGTACTGGAATCGGATTTGGTTCGATGTTTGGTCGAATAGGTGGATTTCTAGCGCCGTTTATTATTCAGATCAAGAAAGTGTATATTTTCTACCTCGTAAGAATCATTAAAAGAGACATGGAATTAATGATTATTTTAAGATATTTGGTGCTTTTGGTGTTATTGGAGGACTTCTTGTTTTTCTTTTGCCAGAGACAGCTGTATGTCTCAAAGATTGAAAATAAATGTTCATTAAGATTTTCAGGGACAACCGATTTGCCAAACGCTTGATGAAGCACTAGAATTCTACGCTAGGAATAAGAAATCACGAAAATCTGTCAACGTGGAGGAAAACAAATCTGATGAAGAGAATGATTCTTCGACTTATTTTTAGACTATTTTTGCAATAAAAATTCTCATGAAGATCATTTTTTGTCAGGGGTCTAGTTTATTGAGTGAAGGATAAAAAATTATTCTTGAGGAAGAATGGTGATATTCCATCTGATGAAAAATTCAGCATTTGTATCGCCAGGGTTTTCTTTCATGCGTCGTTTTTGGTCCTTCTCGTCTTCGGCGCATTTCAGCATGCCGTCTTCGTCGGGCTCAATGTTTTTGAAGGAGTAGAGAATCTTGCCATCTCGTCTCATGCAGTCAGCGTTCGCTCGGCAAGGTACTGGATTACCTGAAGAAAAAAATTGAAAAAGGAAATATTTTCTAAGTCCTACCGTTTTTGGTTAGCCAGAGCTTCCACTCTTCTTTTTTCTCGCTGTCAAAGCAGTTCATATTCAGATAGTAGTCGCCGTAGCTTTCTCCATATTCTTGATGCCTCGTAAATTTGAAATTGGCACTTTCCATGCCACTGTTAATCGCGCTCAGAACATTCGACACGTATCCTGAAGAAAAGCCATCGTCCCATCTGACTCTTTCGCCATCAAAGTCATAGAAGCTGCCATATCCATAAGTGGGAGTCCCATGATCGCGAGCTTTGAGTTGTCGTTTCAAATCCGCGTTTTGTTCTGCAAGAGTGTTGTTAACAACTTCAAGGGTTTCCATCTCATCAAGAGAAAACTGCAATTCGGCCGGTTCAACTCCGCTCTTCAGCTGGCTAACAAGACTCTTAATCGACTCGTGGTCGATCAAAGCAGAAGCGCTATCAACCCGATCATCGAGCTCGTCGACCAAACAGCATTTGATGAGCTCCTCCATCGCTTCTTCTGGAACCTCTTCTCTCTCGACTTGCATGATGTTGTTGAAAGTCTCCATTTTATGAGCGCCGACAAAGGGGTTGACGAAAGTACAGAGCATATGGAAAATCACGCCCATAGACCAAGTATCTCGCTTGAAGGTCACATCATCGGTATCAAGAGATTTCAACGTCTCGGGTGGGTAAAAATAGTCGGTAGTTCCACCATTTCCGCCAGCAATTTGAAGGTCAAGAATTTTGATCTTAAGAAAATTTTCACATGTTAATTTCTCATGTTAATCTTACCTTCTTTCCATCAGCGGAGATCAAGATGTTTTCAGGGTTGAGCTCTTTGTGAACTTTTTCTTTCTTGCCATGCAAATAATCTGGAAACAAATGTTATGTTTACATTCCAGCAACAATCTTACCCATTGCAAAGACAATCTGACTAGCAAGTCTTAACGCGTCATCTTCCGACCAATTTGCTATGAGTTTTAGACCAGTTGGTTCTTCATCCTCCTCCTCCTCCTCGCCGGGCTCTTCTCCTTCCTCAGCAGCCGCTTCTTCACCTTCTTCTGCAGCATCTTCTTGAGCATCGTCATCTTTCCCTTCATCATCTTTTTCTCCGTCGTCCTCTCCTTCTTTTCCCCCATCGTCTTCTTCCTCTTTTTCTAAAAGCTCGAATTAGCATAGAATTTTTGATACAAAATTCACCATCTTTCTCTTCTTTATCTTCTTTCTCGTCTTCCTTCTTTTCCTCAGCATCATCTTCCTTCACTGGAATTATTGCTGGAGCAACAGCTAAAAATTCCAAATCGACCTCAAAGGCAAAACACTACTCCTTACCATTTTTCTGCAGATTCGCCAAGAATTCACCGAGATCTCCTCCCGTAAGATACTCGAGAATGAGTCCTCTGTATTCGACGTTATTGGGACCAGTGAACCTGACATCATCGAGGAGCTTGGCGAAGAAATCGTTCTTCATGTTGCTCAGGCGCTTAATTTCCTCCTCAGCCTCCTCATGAGCTTCATCGCTCAAAAGAGGGATTGCTTTCAGGATTTTTTGCTCATAAGCTGAAAATAATCGGAATAATCTTTACACCCTGCTTTACCGAATTGATCATCCTCGACGATCCAGTAAAGAGTTGGATCGCTCGTCTTTCTAAACTCCCTGATGCATCTGTAGCGAGAGCCAGAGCCAAAGTAAAAATCTTGCATGTTCTCTTTTTGCCTTGATGACTGCGCAAAAATGCACTCCGAGGCTGCGCGGCATCGTTATTTAAAGTGTTAGTGTCAATAGTGCTATTTGCTTTTAGAATAGGCATAACGACAGGACGAAGTTCGATCCTGAATCATGATTTATTGAGGCCGGGAGTGGCCGACAAAATTAAATAACATCAATGCATCGGAATTCTTATGTATGATACAGTAGATTCTCTCCTTGGCTTTATGATTCATGTTTTCAAAGAAAAATTACAGTAATAGAAGAAGGAGTACGGGAGAGTTACAAAGTGGCGCAATGATTTCGGAATTTGGCAATCAAGCACTGCCATCCAAATTTCTTCTTTAGAAACGCTTCTTACCCTCCATCTGCTTTTCATGGAAAATGAGTCCCTTTTTGAAAAAAGATTGCGCTAGAATGCCGACTGCGCGTTAGATCAAAGTTGGATCGAACTTGTAAAAGTGGTCGGTCGGTTGTCGGCGAGTTGGGTCAGCAAATCAAAGAGGCCCACAATCGCGCCGTCGCGGGTGGAGAACGCATTCTTCGGACTCGTAATCAACGATTCTTACAGCACTCACTTGACGATCCTCCTCCTCGTCAAAAAACTACTCTTAATTTTGAAATTTGATGAAAAATCTCTTCGTTGATTTCCATTAAAAATCACCGAAATAACTCGATGACTAGAAGTAGGAACAAGAAGCTAATCATCATGTTGGAGCTCTTAATTCTCATGTTATTCATCGCTAATTTGCAGGGTTGGATTGGTGCTTGTGCAAAGTGGTGGTGCTGCCTGCGGCCGTGCGCCGCGATCGGGCCCCCCTTAGACTTGACCCTCCATAAGCACTCTGCACAGCTTGCGCGCAATTTATTCTGAGCAAAACACAATTTGAAGGTAGAGAGACCCTTAAGACACGACCAAAGAAGCCGTCTTTCTTACCAGCGCTTCCATAAAAAAGGTATGAAAAGAGGAAAGAAAAATTCGAGGCGGGGACAAAAGGGATAAGCGTAGTAAAAAAATTTCAAAAAAAATTCTGCTCTCCGGATCGCTCAGAGGGCGCTCGCGATCCAACGCGCGCGAAGTCGGACAATCGGGGACGAAAATACCGCGCGGGGGCTCCTTAGCGCCACTTAGCGCCGCGCGCACCACCTGTTATTTCGCCACCAAGCAAGATCTTCTGAAAAAAAGCTTGTCAAGCTTTTTAAAATTTAAGAAAAGTGATTGAATTTTTTGCTGAGTTTCTGGATTCCTTAGAGATCAACAAAGATTATAAGAGATTTTGAGGATCGAAGAAAAAATCCAAAATTTTGAGCTTATTAATGCCCAATCCGGACAAACGGTATGGTGTAGCCGTACGTTTGTCCGACGATACTGCCAGAAATAAACCCGCGAAAAAGGGGTTTTTCTCGCATTTTGCTACTTTGCCGAGAAAAAAGAAAAATCAGGTACATTTTTGGACTCATCAAATAAGAAAAAGAGGCCATTCTTCTGGACCCAAAATTTGACCAAGTTTTTTTTCGATCAAAAGTCTTTGCCCTCACTTTCTTAGGACTCGAAATAACACAAATTTTTATGACCAAAAAATGAGTTTTGGAGCAAAAATTTGAGTCGAAACCCGGAATTTTCGGAATTTGACAATTTTTTTTTTGGTCAAAAATAATATTTTGAGTAAAATTTTGAACCCTAACCCTTACCCTCGAATTGAATTTTTTTCCTTTTTTTGACTCAGAACTGATTTAAATTTTGAAGCACGTGTTGAATTAGATCTTGCGCCTTTGAAATTTAATGTCAAATTGTATAAGTTTTTCAATAGGATTTACTCATTGCACCTTTTTTCCTCCCTTCTCAGCTTGGCGGTCTCTATCTCTCAAAATATTTACAATATCTTCATCCCTTTTTGTCTTGTTTCAAACGTGTTTTGGCTCAATCAAAAGAAAAAAAAACCAACCGGTTATCTTATTTTTTCAAAAATAAAAAATAAAAAACCTCGTTTTTTTTCTATTATTCTTTGCGATTTTTACAGTCAATTCAATTGGAATCGACTCAATTGGGTAAACAAGAAGCTTGATTAATCGATTTATTTTGTATTATTAAGAAACATTCTAGCACTTGATTTTTAATCGGCCATAATCACAAGATCAAGCGGGAAAAAACGTGGCAATTAAAGGTGTGAGACTCAAGCACCGCGAAAAAAAAAACTGAAAATTGCCATCTTTCGAAAAGTGTGTTAGTTTAAAGATTTAGAAACTCGTAAACAGATAATTAAAAAAAAGAGCAAGAAAACTGAATCTTTAAATTTCAGTTTTTGGCTGTCTAAAGCGGGTTTTGAGCGTTTTTGCACGGAAACGCCCATGCTTTGCTAAACGGGTTAAAATTTGAATATGCAAAAAAGTGTTCTTTTGAGTCATTTTTGAGTGGTAAACGGGTGGCAAATTAAGGGTCTAGCGATCGCTTAAAGTGATTTTTCAAACAGATGTTCAGCAAGAGCTAACACTGTGACACCCTTATTTTCTTTCAGAATTGGAGACCTTTAACCCTCTCCTAGTGAAAACATATTTCAGTGCATAAAGATTAAGGGTGTCACTAGCATAAAAATAAGCAGACAAATATCCATTTTAAAACCGGTTCTCGATGACTACTCCCTTAAGATTTTCGAGACCCCTTTTAATTTCGTGAAAAATGCGTTAATTGACCAAAACTCGTAGAATAATTCGAAAATTACAACCACGTGACTTGTAAGAAGCCCACTTTCTAACTGTATTTTGAATAGGACGTAATGAAAAATGTTCACCGACCGGTGACGCCGAGCCAAGCCAAGCATCGAAACGCGAGCAACGGAACATGGAGCAGAAACTTCGACGCTCAAAAGAGCCGCTCCCAATCGCTTCCTCGAAACATTCGCTCTGAAGATCTCGAGCGCAATGATTCCGACATGAGCTACGATCTGCTGGAAAGAACGATCTTCCAACGTGCTCGTCAGACATCCCAAGAAGTCGACAGACAAACTCGGCAAGGACGACAGGCTGAGAGAAGATCTGGCAATTCTACTCCTCGATTTTCTCGACCAAGAAGCGTTGGGGCCACCCTTAATCGATCTGGCCATCTTTCTGGCTCTGATGGAAACAGATATCACTCGAATATCTCTTCTTCTGGACCTGATACAGACAGGCGGACAGACACCGAGTCCTATGACAGGCGAAAGATGAATAGAAGTCAACCTGGAGGCGCCAGGAGGAATGTGGAGTATGTCAGTGTTACGAATGTGTCGCGAGATGGAACTATTGGAAATACGAGCATGCTGAGAATGGATGATTCCAAAACCGGGGAGACCAGGTAAAAACCCGTTTTTTTACAATTTTCTCCCTCAATAAGGATTTCTTTTATATATCATTCATCCTATCTGATTAATCGAGCTTGGGGGTTTGTTTTAACTTTTGAAAGATCAACCAATCAGAGAGCTTGATGGAAAAAATCGCTATCAGAAGAGACTGATGTAGGAATTTTTTTACGATTATGATTTTTCGATCAAGGTCGCTGATTGGTCGAGCTTAAAACTTGAATTTGGATAGTTTAAGATCTACCAATCAGAAAGCTTGATGGGGAAAATTTTAACTCGTTGATGATAAATGGTTCATTTTCGGCAATATTTGAATTGGACTGTTTGAAATTCTTCGACGCTGGAATTTTTTGACAATGTTTTGTAAAATTTATTTTACGAGTGCGAATTAACCTTCACCACGTTTTCTGTGGACCGGAAGCCTCGCTTTGAAATAATATTTAGAATTGATGAGATGAGCTCGGGCAAAGAAATCAAGCGACAATTGATTCGTGCAATGAAAGAGGTAAGGTTACATTCTTCAAAATTCAATTTCTCGGCCAAGTCCTTTAGAAAATTTTCTGTTTTTGGGAAAATTAGCGAACAGACAGCTGCGAGATTATTAATCTCGCTCATTAGACTAGGAGCTCTAATCCCAGATTCCTGAAATTCCAAAAATTCGTTACGTAAAAAAAATAATCCGATTTTAGCTGAAAGATCTTGGATCCGTCGCCAGAGTCATTGACGAAATCGATGATGAAGAATGGCTACTTATGTTCGTTCAAGGAATGAGTTTTCTTTTTTTAGACAAATAAGAACCATAATTTATGAACCATAAATCAGATTTTTTCTTAGGAAATATGAATTTTTCATTACAGATTCGAACGATTCTTCATCATCATCTTTTTTCTCTATTGTGCGACATTTTGTCACGTCTGATTGTTGCTCCCCTCTATTCAAAATCTCTCTTATAAAAACTCGTATGTCAGAGCTAGAAGTGCAAGTAAAACAAATTATCCAAATCGAGCGCAAGATCAAGCAGCTCATCCATCAAGCTCGCGAGGGCCGGACCGACTCCTACAACGAGCTCATAAAAGGGATGACGGTTCAGCTCAAGTCCAAGAAGCAAACCTTACTCGACTGCCTCAACGACATCTTGTCCTACTTCCATGATCGTCTTCGAAGCAAAGACACTAGAACCTTCAAATCAAAGCACGTCCACGGGATGTTAAAAGCGATGTCTGATGCTGAAGGAGAAAACTCGGATTACGGTACTTTCGGGCGAATAAACCGACGACTGAAGAAACTGGCCCTCAATCGCCCTGAAGTTCTCCAAGGAAATCAATCAAAATGGCAATTCGAACTGCAGCGCGTCTCAAGGACCGTGGATGAATATCTTCGGATGGCGATGCCGCCGACCATGAGCGGCTCGGAACTAAACGACTCGATGAGCAGCATGGGAACGTTGCCTCGCGGTGGAGGAACATTAAATAGGGCTGGCCAGAGTGCTAATGGCGGCCACGTGCGTCAGCATAGCGGCTTTTCCAGCGATGATTTCAGCAGAAATAACTCAAGCGTAAGTTCTTCTCTTCATCAGAACCTCTTTCTTCTTATAAAAATATCGACGGATATACCCTTAATTCTGCTTCTAAAAATAACCAACCGTAACTTCGCTGCGTTTTGACCTCATAAGAAATACCTGGAGCCAACTTGCCAGAGCAAAAACCTCCTACCGCGCTATTTCCTTCCATAATCATCCTTTTAATATTCTAGTTTTCGTCGCAGACTCTGGATCGCCGTCGCGGTCGGCCACAGCGGGGCGGCTGGGATCCCAACCGGTCCAGATCGCTGGAGCGGGGAAAGAAGGGCGAGATGGACTCGAACTTGAGGAACGCCGATTCGGGGCTGGATTTGGACGACTCTGGGTCAGGAGGTGACACTTTGCCAGGCAGAGGTGGCGGTGGTCACACGACGAGAGGTAAGAACATGCATTTATACGGGGATCTCGCTGTTTTATACAGAAACAAGGGTAGTTTTGAATAAGAACATGAAACATGGCTGTTAGAAAAGATTCGGGGGTTGCATAACTTTCCCCTCAAAAGTTTCCAACTAAGGGTATCTCCCCAAAAACAGAATAGAAGGGCACCTCTATCCTTCATTTTATTTGATGGCACAGGTTGTCAGGGCGTAATCGACCTTTGATGACATTTAACACCTGTGAAGCTGGCTACCCAGATCCGAGCTAATCTAATTTCCGGTCTAAACCTGTACGAGCACCTTTTTACTGTAGCCTCGAGAGAATATTTTGACTTTGAGTCTTTGAAAAAACACGACGTGCAAGTGTGGCAGGCGATAATTTCGTCGCCAGTGACATGTCTCGCATGTCGCACCTGTGAATCCAGGAAAAGACGAGTATTGGTGTGAACGGCCAGTCCCATGACCTGATTTGCGGGAAAACTAATCAAGGGAGAATTCTAGCACTGAGCTTCTTCCCCTTTTTGAGGCAAGAAAAGCTTCCTTTTGACCAAGTTTTCAAGGATTTTTTGCTGACAGAAGCGAAATCGATCTGTTTAAAAATGCGGATTGAAAATTCCATAATCGCGTCAGTCCAAAAACTCTCACCGACCGGAAGTGAGGAAAATATTTAGAAATATCAATTTAACTCGTTAGAACCCGCTTCCCGAATTCTTGTAGGAATTCCACTCCAGAAGCCGGTCGGTTATTTGAAAATCACGGATGAGCAAAATGCTTCTGGTGCTGTTTGCGGCTGGGCGGTATTTGAAGTTGAAAATATCAAATCAAACCTTCGAAACTAGCTTCTTTTTTGATCATTCTTTGAATTATGCAATTTCGCTTTTCTAAAAAACTCAGAAATTATAATTTCCAATTGGGATTTTGTCGATTCTTTATCGATAAAAAAAGATATATTTCTTGGCTAAGATGGTTTGATCGGGAAAAGCCTTTACTATTCAACTGAGAACAAAAATGAATTGCAAAGGAATAATATTTTTGCTGGAATAGGAGTTCTTCTGTTGCTTGGCTCGGCAACATGTGTAGAAAACCTGAGTCAGGGTTCTGAAAAGGTTTTCGTAAAAGCCGCTTTTTCCGAATTCTGACTCAGGTTTCCTGATCACGAGTTGCCGAGCCTAGTCTGTTGCTTCTTCTGTTGCTGACGATTTTTTACTTAACCCCTGATCGTACTGTATTCTTCATACCATTTGACGTAAAAAGACCATTTTTAGGCTCCTAGATTTTTGAATAAAAAAACTTTTGGTACAGATTTAGGGCATTTTTGATTATCCAATCGTAAAACAGTCTAAAATACAGTGATAACCCATTTTAAGGCCGGCCCTTTTAAGGGGCGGGTCGACGAGAATCGGAATTTTTAAACCAATTTTCCCGAAAAACCCGATTCTGTAAACATATTTTGACTTATCAGGTGAGAACAGAAGGGTATTAAGAAGACAGCGGCAAGGAGTTTCACGAGTTTTTGCAGGAATTTCGTGCACTTCATTACCAAATGTGGCATGAAAAAAATAGCGAAAAAGTCGCAAAATTGCCAAAATTGCGATTTGGGGTCCACTTCGAGACACGATTACGCCCATTTTTTCTAGACAAATTTTTTTCTAGTTTTCGCCGCTGTATTTTTCAAACCCTTTTCTACCCACCTGACCAATCAGAATTTTTCATTCAAAGCTAGTTTTTCCGGAATTTTGGTTGAAAAAATCCCGATTCTCGTCGACCCCCCCCTTAAGGCCACTTTTTCGGTAACCGGTGAAAATAATTCGTTGGAACGAATAATTCGTTAGAAAAACGAATAATTCGTTATATAACGAGTCAAAGTCCTATAAAATCAGAATCTATATGCGCTCCGCGCCTGATTTGATAGAGAAACTCATTTTTGAGGATGTTATCTTTCCACCTAACCGCGCAGACAGTCAGTAAAAAACATTTTTTTACGGAGGAAAACGAATAATTCGTTGCAACGAATTATTTTCACCGGCGACGCACTTTTTCGGAAAATCCCCAAAATCTGTCATCCTCAAAAAATCCATTTTAAGGCCACTTTCTTTCGATTTTTATTCGAAATTCGAAAATTGCAGTATTACTGAAAAAGGCTTTTTTTATCTTCGACTGCGTGATGCCTCGTGGTTTTAGCTTTATTTTTCTTGTTTGGTACTCTTCGACGATTTTTTCTCGAATTTTTCAATTGACGATGATTTCTTACGGTCCTGTTTGAATTTACACTAAGATTTTGAGTCCAATAGTTTCAATCTATCACTATATAGGCGTGCAAAAATACGCAGAGGAATGTCTTTCGAAAAATCTCAGTGATTGTCTTCACAACACTATTCTTTGACGTCTTCATTCGAATCTCTTTACATCTTTTTTTCTAAGCATTTGTCATGTTGATCCTTTTTCAGACGTGTTTTTAGAATATTATTTTTGATATAATTTTTGATATAAAAAGGCCACGATTCAAACATTTTTCGGGCAAAAGAAATATGCGATAATTCTATGAACCCTCATTCATCATTTTTTATCCCAAGAAAGGAAAAAATTTGTTGTCATCCGACTCGAGACAAAAAATATCCATTTTAAGGCCACTTTCGAAACTCGCTGTCATCCAAAAATCGGCCTTAAAATGGGTTTTCACTGTACCCGATCAGACTCAGAAATTATTTATTCCGACAGACGGCAATACGGTATCAAATTGAGGCCGCATATTGTCCGCTTTGGTCGAATGTTACTAAATTGAAAAATCGGCTAAAGAGATGGATTGTCAGGGGATAATTTTTTCGCTGGATTTGGCATCCTGCTTCTTGCGATGAGCTTACTGTTACTCCTTACTTTTCATCTCAAATTCGGAATCTGATTCTCACCAAATAAAATTGATATAGAAGTGGACAAACAAAAAAGTTTGTTGGGGCTTAAAACAGACTATTAGAGTACTAGCTAGGAGATTGTGGCTAATCCAGGTTCCGGCGAAACAATAAACGGCGGTAAAATAATACGTAAGATGAAGAAAAGGGCGATTAGCAGCAACTTGTAAAAGGATAACATTCTGGTTTATCGACAACCTCCGCATTTTTCGCCTCGTAAGAGTATTTTAAACACCCTTTTGATTATTGCTGTCCACGTTTGAAATAACAGCATTAGTTGGAAAAGACAGAAATTTGGGAGATAAACAGTTGGGGGTAAGGGGAGTTAGGAAGGGATAGAATGGATTTGATGTCAGTCAGGTTTATCGCTGTTATGCGAAAAACTGATTCATCCCTTTTTAGAAAGATATCAATGATCGGATCATTTGAGGGTGGATTTCTTTTTCTTGTGATTTTTTGATTGTTAAACTTCGGCTGGCTACCATAGACAGAATTATTCGTGGTGATTTTATTTCATTCCATTAAAATATCAAGAAAAAATATTCTCTGTTTCTTCTCTTTAGATGTTATGGTTATTTTTTTATTGTTTCTAGCGTGCACGAAATTCTATATTGGAGCCCCAAGTAATGTTCCCTAGTCACGTTACACTCGTCTTTTCAAGGGTTTATGAGAATCTCGATGTAATCTGTGTGGCTCTACTCACTAGTAAGTAGCAGTAGCGTCCGGGAGTGTCAAACATGGTACGCATGCTCGTTTCCTACTTCTGAGTGTCTGGCGGCGTTGATATGCATCTCGGTGACGGAATGGCCCCTTGGGATGAGTCTTTTATCCCAAGTGCGTCCAGCCCGCACAGGAAACGAAATAGAAGGCGATTTCTCAAGTCGGTAATTTTTTTTGTTCAGGACGGCCGCGAGAACGCGCCTCGATCAAGCTGTACGTCACAACGAGCTCAGACGACGATGGCGGATACCGCGCTAATCAACGACTTCGCGGTGAGTTTTTCTCTAAGCCCATTTACAGGATCAACGGATGGATTTTCTTCTAAAAAAACCGTGCCTCGCCGATAAATTAGAATCCTCACACTTGGCTTTGCGTTCATTAGTGACTGGGGAGGACTCAATTTTGCGAAAACCAAAGTGTTTTCAAGTGTAGTTTACTCGTCAAATTAACATAGTGACACCCTTATTTTATTTCACCAAAAAAAAGCTACCCTCATAAATAAGATTCTAAAATAAAAAAAATTAAAAAAAAAAATTAATTTAATTAATTTTAAAAATTTTAAAAATAAAAATTTCTAAAAAACCTTTTCTTTGTCTAACATTATAATTCAATTAAAATTTCTTGAATAAAATTTAATTAATATTTTTCGTTAAATAAATAAAATAATTAATTAATCAAAGAATGAATCGATAAATGAAATAAGGGTGTCATTATAATAATTTCAGCGGGCAAAAACAATAAGAAAATCGCTTTAACGATGTCTACCCCCTTAAATCCTTGTAAAACATAAATCAAAATCTCAATACTTTGGCTGTCAAATCAACCCTTTTTCAGAACAACCAACGGAACTTCAACGCAAAACGGAAGAAACCAAACAAATGAAAAAACATCTCGAAAAACTGCAACGCGAAATTCAAGAGACGCGAAGTTCCAAGTCGGATAAAGAGCGACAATTGAATCAAGAACGAGCCCGTATTCAGGTAAAAAAGAACGCGCTCTTTAGCCGAGAAATTTTTAATTTGAAGAAACAACCAAGCGTCAATTTGGCCTCGTTTAATTTGAACCTCGGCAGATAGGCTAAGTCACCAAAATTGGTGGCTCGGGGGGTGTTTTTTCTAGAAAGAAAAGCAAAAAGCTGTGATAGAAGTGACAGTCCAGCGATAAGACTGTTTTCTAAAAAGGGGATTATACAAGTTGACATAAGAAACAGTAGTTTTAGACGAGAAATTCCATTATTTCGACATATTTTTTGACTTTTACGACTAAAATTTTGATTTTTTTGACAAAAATTTTGATTTTTTCGACTAAAATTTTGATTTTTTTTGACTAAAATTTTGATTTTTTCGATTAAAATTTTGATTTTTTCGAGCAAAATTTTGATTTTTTCGACCTGATTTTGGATGTGTTTTTTGACAAAATCTTCGTACCCCTAACAGCACCTTAAAAATTCTCTTCAGAAAATGCAGCGGGCGATGGCAAACGGCCTGAGCGAAAAAGCCGACTTGGAAGCAGAACTGATGCGTCTCCGCGAACAACTTCGATCTGGCGAAAGTGGCCGATCCAGAAACGTCGCAACGCTCCAAACTAGAATCTCCGAAATGTCCCAGCGAATCCACGACGATAAAAGAGAAATTGACTTTGCGAACGAAAAGATTGCCCAAATCACTGCGGAGCTCAATGGAAACAGAAGAACTAGCGAGCGACTAGAAAGAGCAAAGCACGAACTTGAAGAGCAGCTGAATCAGTTGACGATTCAGCTGATGGCGGAGAGGAAGGAACTGAGATCGCTGCAGATGGAGAACCACAGATTGGAGAACGAACTGAGCGAGGCGAGCCAAAGATTGGAGACTGAAACGGAAAGGTCGAAAAGGACGGAAAATGATCTTCAGAAAGAAATGTCCAAGTTGATCGACAGTCTCAAGGATGAACAGGTAAGAGCATCAAGATCCATTCCTGAAGGTGAAATAAGGGGCTGGCGTCAGGAACCAACAAAAAAAATTCGACAAATTTTGCGTGGGCGGCTACTCGGCTGCAGATCTGACTGCGAGCCGAATCCGGGATTCTGATTGGTTTAAAATTTCCACGCAAAATTTGTCGAGATTTTTCGTCGGTTCCGGACACCTCCCCGAAATAAGGGGGTAACAATGATAACAGTGAAAAATTTTGCAGAGAATTTTGAAAAGCACTTGATGACTTGAGAGTCACGTGTTTGAGTATACAGTAGCAGAGGAATTAAACTGATTCGAATTCCTGAATAAATTGACCTTTTGAAACATCTAAACAAAATAATCGCTGAAAACAATGCGCGGGTAATTTAATTAGCACATTGCGCCTCGAAATAGAATCCTTCCAAAAATGCGATGACCAAAATACTGAATTGCTCGTTTTAGAACAAGAATCGAACTTTGAAGAAGAAGGGCGGCTCGGCTGGGCGGGAAGTGAGCTCGCTAAAGGCGCAAGTTGAAGGGCAGAAAGTCAGACTTGATGAGCTGCAGAGCGAGAATACCGAGCTACAGTCGCAGAAAAGGAAGTTGCAAGAGCTTCTCAATGGAGAAAAACAGGTAAATTTGAGTTTTACCGCGTTTTTCAAAGGCGGTATTTTTTAACCACGGTTAACCACGGTTGAATGGTAATTAAGAATAAGGGAGTTACCCCCTTATTCCTGAAAATATTAATTCAGAAAGACATTCCCTATAACAAACCGTGGTTAACCGCGGTTAACCACTTTTTTAGATTTTTCTATTAAAAAAAATACGGGTGTACCTTTCTTAATCCACGTATATCCGAATAAATGGATTAAGAAAGGTGTCCCCCTTATTTTATTTCATAATGATAAGCAACTGATAAGCGCCATTCTAGCTGTCCGGATAACGGTCACTAATTACTTGCTGAGACGCAAGTTTATTTTTTGAAAAGGACCTTTATTTGAGAAAAGGACGGTATCAAACGTCGGGTCGTTTCGTCAGAAGTGGCTGCTCGTGCGGCCATGTTGCGTGTTATCACGAAATTCTGCAGTTACTCCATTTTCATTTTCAGTTTACTTCCTCGACGCTCGATTGCATCAAGAAAGAGCTGGAATACACGACTCAAGAACTGCAAATCTCCCGCGACAACGTTCAAAACCAAAAGCAGGAGTTTGAAAAGGAAATCCAGCGCCTCTTGTTTGATAACAGGTGAGTCCAAGATTATCCCTAGCTACACGTTTGATTTTAAACAAAGAAACTCTCAAGAAGGATAGGCAATAAACAGAGTGTTCATCTGGCATGAGTAACCATTATCAATAATAATAATTAAATTCTTAATAAAAATTTAAACTCAAATATTCAATGCGAGTTGTGTATTTATGGGCAAAAATACAGCATTTGAAAAATAGACATAAAAAACTAAATTGTCGAATTAAGAATTAGTTTTTTATCTATAGTTTTAAGGTAAAAAAAAGGCTGGGGAATATCCCTCAAAATCGACTTTCCAGTATCCGATTGAGAAAGACGCTCTCCAGTCATAAAGAGAATAGTCTTTTAAAATGGAGTCGGCATGATAAAAGATTAGTCTCCTTGAAATGATATTGAACTTGCAGAAAAAATCACAAAAAAACATTGGCTGAAATTTGAAATTACATCTGGACTACTCATAAAAACGGTTCCCTAAAATTTACCTAACATGTAAATTCACCTAGCGTAGTCCAAAGAAAAATGAGAACTTAAATTTTGAAAGGATTTAACAGCGTTTGGAATTTTTCCTAGCGCGGCTTGAAGAAACTTGTGAAAAAAAATCAGAACAGAAACATGAAAAGAATTTCAAAAGCGCTAGCCCGATATTTTTAAAAATCTCGCGATAATGCTTTTTGACAGGAATATTGGAATGTATGGCAGAATTTAGGCAAGAAAGAGTTTGAATTGAAGAAAATCATTTTTTATAGAACATAAGTTATGGAACATATCCTCCATAACTTATGGTCTATTAGCTGTCTATGGACTCTTCGATAGTAACATACTTTTCAGAAGTATGCTCAAAAGAAAAGCAACCATGAATAAAATGATCACTAGAAGGCTATAAACTGCAATTTTCTCTCCGTCACTCATCCTTAAAGATTTAAATTAAATTTTAATAAAAAAATTTTTTTGGCGGTGAATCACCTTAAATAAGCGCAGACAGACATCACCCCGAGAAATATCCATGGTTTCTCGAGTACAGATTTCACTTCTTGCGCAAATTCTGCTATATCTTTGAAAATTTTCCTAACGTTCGTTAGCATGCTAAATAAAAATTACCATTGCTAGCCAAATTTCAAATCGGGAACCCATCATTTCTCAAATTATTCGACTCGTCCTTTAATTTATATTTCTCTACCTGATAATAATTGTCGAATTGTGTATGCTTCAATTCGAATCAACGCCTGATATGTATAGAATGAATATTTGCTCCCAATGTATATCTACCGGTTGAAACAATGACCATTCCATGAGCCGTCTTTTCGGCCACGTGGAATTAAGCTTTGTCACTAAGCATAAATTTCTGGTACCTCCCTCATTGTTTCTTTCAGAGAAATCAAGGACCAATCGCGCAAAACCCAGCGAGAATTGAGCAAAGAAATCAACTCCCTGACCGACGAGCTGAAGGACGAACGCGACCGAATCCACGAGCTCCAGAAAGAAAACAGAAAGCTCCGCCAAGAGGTGAGAAAAAGACCCCTATTCAAAGGTTCTTTATCATAATTTTTCCTTAGAACATCGAGCTGCAAACGAAGCTGACAAAGTTGGAGACCACGCGGGGGCGCATTCGCCCCGAGAATGTTGTCGATAACGGAACGCAGGTGGAGGATAATGTAAGTACCACACCCTTAAAAGGCCCCTGGACCCCACTTTGATTGTTTCTAGCGCGCTCTAATGATCATTTTTGGGTTCTTCAGAAAAGGAGCAATTTTCTTAAGGCTCTCCCTATCCAAAAATGACTAAAGTAGGACCACTTATTCTTACGGAACTCATGGTTATTCATCGATTAGTTGCGTGGTCCGGAAATTATTTAGAACTCTCGCCACTCCAAATGACTCATTCTTGAGCACTTTAGCGTTCTTGAGCCGTTCCAAGTGTTCCAGTTTCCGCTGATTTAGAAATTTTCGAAGCTGACTAATCTTTCTTCCGCTAGTCCTTCACGAGAAAACGAGCTTTCGACTTTTACATCGACGAGGTTCAACGAGATGCGCATAAACTTCTAGGTAAGCAAATGCTTAAGAAAAAAATTCTATTCGTTTAATAAAGAACCATATATAGGGGTTGCACAGAAGGACGGTAGTGTAGTTTACCAATATTTATCGAGTAATTCTCGAAAAATAATTTTTATAAAGAAATTTTAATTAACCATTTTATGGTCTTCTTATTTTTAATAGTTAAAAACTCTAGAGATAGAGCAGTTTCGAAAATAGCAGACCCTGATCTGGACAGTAGACACATCAATTGGCCCTCTCAACCGGAGCCAACCGCGGACTATCTGATTCCGTGACCGCGTTCAATATCATATTTTTTCAAGCGCGGGGTTGAGATATTTGATGATACCGTTGAGTGCTCCAAATAAAACGCAACTATCATTTTTCCATCTTCAAAAACTCGCTTCATCATCGTTCCATCCCCTTAACCTCCTTTTCTAGAGCGAGGCCGAAACATGGAGCGAGAAGTCAGCGCAAAAGCCATGGAAGCCGAGAGACGCATCGTCTCCCAATCCTCCAGCGCGATCAGCCCAATGAGTCCTCCAACTTCCCGCCGCGCTCAGCCGCCAGTTTCAGACGAGCCGCCAAGTGCAACGAGCAATACGAAGCGAAAATTCAGCTTCAAAAAGCTCTCGATGACAAAGAAATGATTCCGATACAATTGATGTCCTCAAGCTCAAAGAAAAACGACACCTTCAAGACACCTCAGTTCAATGCAGTTTCATTCCTAAAAAATATATAATTTAATTTATTCATGTGTTAAAAATCTTTCTTCGGCTTCAAAAAAGCCGCGTAAAAGCCGCTTGCGGCTTTTTTTGAAGAAAAAATTTCGCTTCCAAAAAAGCCGCGTGCGGCTTTTTCTTTTTATTGACTTTCTAATATTATTGAATTAAAAGCCGCGCGCGGCTTTTTTTATAAAATCATCTTTTATCTTAATAATAAGGGCTGAAAATTCGAAATTCTAAATCAAAAGAACCCGATTGAAAATCGATGATTACAGAATTCACTGTAATTATGGAAATAAGTCGACCAATCCTAATTTATGCAAAATTCTATTAAAAAAAAGAAAGACCAACGCAAAAAATCGCCGCCGAAAGAAAAACACACATTTGAATAAACGCAAATTTTGTAAATAAATTTCTTCTGTACAAAAACGAATAAAAATCAAATTTAAAAGATCTTTAGATAGATGAGTTTCTAAATGAGGTTCGTAACGTGAAGTTTTTGAGGTTTCCGGAGATCTGGTTTTATGTTCGCAACAAAGCACGTGAGCGATCGAACATTGATTTCAAAACGGCGGCGCTTTCTTTGATCTTGGAAGCGGGATTTGGAATCGAGTCTAAATTCGAATGCAGGAGTCGATTTAGGGCGGTTCTAAAATGATGTTTATAGAAATTCATGTTCCTGGGCGTTTACGGCCAACGTGGTTTAAATTTAAGAATGCTAGAGTTATTTGGATTACATAAAAGCTCAGGCGATTATCAAACTCTCTCTCCTGCATAAATTTCATGCTCTTTTCAAAGAATTCGATTTCAGTGAAAACATTTATTTCTTTTGAACAAAAATCTCAAATAATTTCTTCGATTTGCATTCAATTTACAACAAAACATGGGGGCTTAAGATTTGGAGTTTGGATTCCTTATTGAAATTGGCCCAAGTGTTCTTAGTTAAATTGTTGCATTTCAAAATGATTTCAGTCAAAAAAAGAAGAAGGCGTTTTATATCATTCTCGATGTTAGATTTTATCCAGGTCATCTTTCCAGTTCATCAGTGATCAGCAAAATCCGAAAAATCAGATAGAAAGAATCAGCTCTTGTCAAGCTCTATTTACTTCAGCTTTCACGGTCGAGCCTCCTCTTCGCTTTAAAAAGCAGCTTCACTGGTATTTATAAATGGAAATTGTTCTCAAACTTTTTAAAGAGAGAATCTTCTGATGGAATGAATATTTTTATTAACTGATGATCAAAAATAGTTTCCGCGTGGTAGAGTTTATGATGAGTCCGATCCGAGAAAATTTGTGAACAAACATGTGATTAACTTACACTTTCTTCAAATGAAGATCAGAAATATCAGTGTAGAATTTTTTTATGTCTTATGGAAAATTAGTAAAAATAAATGAAAACTATCTGGCTCCTTCTTTTTGACTTCAAATTTACCGCGACGCAAATTTATCATGGACACCTTTTCATCAGATTAAGATTTTTCATCAAATCAGCGAAGCAGTAAGGTCTTATCTGCCCCTATTTTCACGGTTGCGCTAGAACTCAGTATAAAATGGACGCAGCACTACTATGAACTCACTCATTTCTAAAATGAAATCATCACTATTTATATGTCAGAATTTAAAATTCTCAAAAATATTTTTTTATAAAATGAAAATCAACAGTATTAGTGTAAAATTCTTTGATGTCTTCTTGCAAATCAATAAATAGATGAATCAAAATTATTGTACTTTGTGACCCTTCCAGCTTCGAACTTTCTGTCGCCCTCGATTACCGCGTTTGTTTTATGACGTTTGGGCTTGTAGATGTTTGACTGTTTGCATTCGCCTATGCATCACACAGATTCGCTCTTCTGTGACTTCTATTTTGGAAACACTATCGGCGTTTATTTCCAAAATCGAAAAAGTCGAAAATGAAGTAAATTCTGCTTTTTATATAATAAATATTGAGAGAGATAACGGAAAATATAAGAAGAAGAAAAAGATAGAGAACGATGAAACTGGGACTGCTGATATGGAAAAATTTCCTGATAAGGATTCGGCATCCAGTTCGGACGATTTTTGAGATAATTTGGCCGCTCCTTATTTTTGTCATTTTGATAAGGGATTTTGAATGAAGAAAATGGCAATTTTCGACTCGAAAAAAATTTTTTCAATAATAATTTTGATTTTCAAAACGAAAAACTGTCGGTTTTGTCGGCCTTCGAACCCACGCCCTTTTCTTCCGCAGCTTTTTTTAATCCCTGAAAAGATTTCGATTCGCCTGAGCATCGATTTAAAAACCACTCCCGAATGTCATTTTCCGGCGCGGGCGCTTCCCAGCGCCGGTGTTTTTCCTTGGCTCCAGTCAATGTTCTGCAACTTAGGCCCGTGTTAAACATCGTGTTGATTAAATTCTACTTTTCCGCGTTTTCGCGAACACAGTGGGATAACACGTTGAAGGGACGGATTGAACCGGAATCTTTATTACTGTTTTTGTTCGTAAAATAAGACTCTATCAGCCTTAAATTCTAGCTGAATCGACCCGAATATAAAATTAACCGGTCAGTGGATCGGATTTACAGAGACGTAGCGTAGGAACTCAAAAACTACCGCTTCACCTTTGCAAATTAAATATGATTTGCACGTGGATTATAGCTCTCTACCGGAGGTTCCCCGGAGGACCCGTCCAGCACACACTTCTGTAAACCCGTTAATCCTTGTTTCGCGTCTAAAAAAGAGATGACCAGGCAAATCACTGATTTGTTGAATACTGTATCAGGGAGTAGGACGTTCAAGAGAGTTGGAAAACTCGTGGATTTGCTTTGGCGAGATAGGATCTCCCACGAAAATCCGCAATAAGACAGAAATACGACTTGCTTACAGCACGAAGTTCCATCTGAAGTACCAGGTAAAACTCAGTCTAACAGACATTTCGGCCGTTTCTGAGCAATCTTTTCTCCTTTGATCTTGACAGAGAGACGTTTCTGAAGCATCTGCAACAGAGAACATTCGACACATTTGTGTTTTCCTGATACATTCATCGTTATTTTTTGCTGATTCAAGGAGTTGATGATTCGATCAAGGATTTTTTTATTGAGAAATTATTCGAGAACAAGACGGAAGCCTGTTATTCCAATAAGAATCCACAGTCTTATGCAAGAAAAAAACGCACTGATTCCAGGGCTGCACAATTGGATTGGAATCCGATTGGTTTCCAATTCCAATTGGATTGGATTGGTAAATTGGTTGGAAAAGGGGCGGGAAAATCAGGGTCTGTCCAATTGGATCGCCATTCCAATTGAAAAATGGGGGTCCAATTGGCAAGTGGTCGCCAATTGGTAAATTGGCAAAATGATTGGATCAAACCACCTCCATCCACATCGGAAACCGAATTTCCGAACGCCCTTAAATTTAAAAATTAAGGAACGGGGCTGAGACGGCTCGAAGACTGCCTACAACCGTCCCGAAGACTGCCCAGCACCACCCACTACCCACTATTTCCACCACTTTTTGCCAACCTCAGCTTTTTTTATCAAAACGCATATGGGGGGTCGGGGACTCCCAGCACCAAAGCTTTTTGGTAGTACCAGGTAGTGCCAGAACAAATTTTGACTATTCGATTGATATTTTAACGAAATATTTCATTGGGAACAATAGTAGGCGGGTAAATAGAAGTGTATCCTGTCCGAATCTGTAAGTTTCCTACCACAGAACCCGCGCAGCGGGCGTTTTTGGCTGACTAAAATTGGTGAACTCATTATAAAAACTGAATTTTCCAATTAGAATCCGATTACTAATTAGAATTTGGCTGTCCAATTGGAAAACTCGTGCCAATTGGAAGCTTGATTCCAATTGCCGATTGGACAGCCAAATTTCCAATTGGAATTGGCATTGGATTGGAATTTGGTTGGATTGGCAAAATTTGGGTTGGATTGGATTGGCAGTTGGTTGGAAAAATCCAATTTTTTTGCCAATTGTGCAGCCCTGCTGATTCCTCGCCTCTTGGACAGTCAGTTCTTGAGACTGTGCTCTCCCCGGATAAGGGAAATCATCGATCAGTGCAATATGCTTGTTACCGCAATCTTGCGTAAGAACCGTAAAATAAAACTCGTCGCCGTTTTTCCTCGACCCATCATACTCGGAAACACAATCAAACCATGAAGCCTTCCTTCATCACTCTAGCACTCTCATCAACACTCGTCTATGCCGATTTGATTGGTTACAACAGACTAGGAAACAATGTCGCGTACCGAAGAAAATCAAGCTCAAAAAGTAGCTTCAGAAAAAGGATGATTTTCGAGAGGCGCTACAAGAAAGCAGTGCTGAAATTTTTCGCAGAAAAAGAACTGTAGATCACTCTGTATAATCACCAATTTATTCCACTTTGTCATTTGGCGACTGTAACTGTTTAGTTTCAATAAAGAAATATCAGGGGCAGTCAATACAGGCTTATTTATCATCTTATAGGAAAAGGGCATTTTCTATTACAAAATTTGCAAATTAATAATTTCCTACTAGGACAAATTCGCCCAGAAAATTCCATGCTCGACGATTTGCTCACTCTTTGGATCAATTCGGAGGAAGATGATTCCACTCTTCTTCGAAATTTCAACAGCGAGGTCGAATCTCTTCGGCGAATAACGAGGCTCACTGGGAGGAGAATTTCTACAAATGAAACCGAGGCGAATAGTTGCGAGGGATGAGGGGCTAGATCCGATTCAAACTCGAATTCCAGTTTGAATTCAAATTGTTGTGAGAAAGAGACAAGCCCCGTTGAAAGGAAACGTGTGATCTTGAATGCCTCTTGAACGAGGAATGCTCATTCGAGCAGATGCAGGAAAAAGGGTTGAAATTCTTATGCAGCTCCCGTTGAGAGAAGGGAGAAAACATTGACGGATAGAGTCGGAAAGATGGTGAATTTAAAGTTTTATATTTTTTTTTTAATTTTAATAAAAACCATAAAGTTAAGAGTTTTTTTCATAAAATGTATTATTGAAAATTCAGAACATCGACTGTAGATTTACAACCCCTATCCCAAAAGCACCGGTTGCGAATAGTATCACACAAAAATAATTAAATGTCAACTAATATAAAAACCCTTCCAAAGCAACTTTTCAACGAATTCGCCCAGCTGGTCTGCCCATTTCACAATCATAACCTCTCCGAACTCCCAACCGAGCCAGAAGTTCGAGCGATTCTCAAATCGATCCGACCACTTCTTACTTCAGATCTTCAAAAATCTCTTTGAAAAACTCGACAGAAGAATGGACGTGTGAGAAATTTCTGTACAACATTTCCCACGAAAGAATTATGTTGAAATTCTGGGAGACGTTCAAAGGACTGATCGCTGGAGAGATAATTTATTACCCAAAGACGTCTTTGACTCAGGAAATAATGAAAAATGCTAATCAGACGTTTGAAGCTCTCGAAGATTTTGCCCAATTTACGAGGAGCGAGGAATTTCACAGATTCGCGGAAAAACTCGAAAGGAAAAGCGGGTTCAACGGCGCTAGAATTGTATCTTGCTTCTTTGGTTTGTTAAATGTCAAATTTGAACCCTGAATAAAGTGTCCTTGGCGCCGCAAATCTGGCGGACTTGGGCGAGAACTTGGGCCGCATCGTAGCCACGGGTCACCATTTTCGATTTTCGAGCCGGAAGGGATCATCCATTTTAGAAGGCATCCCTTCTGCGTTTTCATAAATTTCATAAACATACAAGCAAATACACGCTGACCCAGAGTTGAAAGGATGCTTCAAATTGGACAAAATTCGAGGGTTTGAGGATAAAGAAGCTCTAGGAAATGATGAAAATAAGAAGAAAGAGAATCTTTTTCTCGATAATTTTCAATTAAAATAAGGGGGTTTGCGTCGATAAACCGAATTTTAAAGATGATCATTGTTGAAAACAGGCGACGATAAGGGTATTCCGACTTTATTCATAGGTATAAATGAAGCATGAAAAATGTGATAAAACGGGATCTACCCCCTTAATTTTTCTTTCGAATAGAATATGGAGACCCTTATCATCGCCTATTATCAGAAATGAGCATCTTGAAAAATCAATTTAATGACGTTTATCCCCTTATTTTAATTGAAATGATTTAACTGAAATTAAGGTGCTACCCCCTTAATTCATCTTATAGGATATTAACACGATTCTTTAATTGCGCTTAGCGTTTCGACACCCTTATTTTTCTTGAAAATCATCAATTTTCATCATCATCTAAGAATCGGAACTGGACGAGTTAATGTGCAGTACACCAGATTTGGTCAACGACAAGAACTGCACCCCCTCACTCTGGGCAAGTCCTTCCTAAAAATAACCTCGCTGTCGTGTAAATTATTGTGCGAAAAGCCCGGCAATTAGTCGAGTTTACCAAACAGTTGGTTATTCTATTTTGTTTTTGTCACGTTCTAAAATACGCGCTCACGTGACTCTTCGCCGCTTCATTTAAATTTTGAATAGTACCCCCGAAATTCCGAAATTCGTAATTACGCGGCAATCAAAATACGGTGGCTTGGAAAGTTATGACTGGGAGATTCCGATCATTCAAATTTTCATCTCGCGGGGGATGATATCGCAAAGGCCGCGGTGCTTGAACTGAAGCTATCTCAACTATCTGACACCACACGTCGAGGGTCACATCTCTTACCCAAGCAGCACTAGAATAATTATGCCAGAAGTGGAGTTTGTTGTTCATAGCACGCGACCGCGCGGTTTTTATATTTTTATCTGATCGACCTAGTAATACAGGCATTATTGGAGGAAAAAGGGTTGAGAATTTTTTTCAATCGAAAAATTTCTAGAACAAATTTGTTTTTTCTTAAAAAAATATTTTTTAATTCTTTTAAATTCCCAACCCGGGATAATAAAAAAAAGGAATTTTATAAATTAGTAAAAATAAACAAATATGTTCTAGAAATTTTCTAGAACCATTTTAAATAAACAAAGGAAACCAGAATTTTTAAATTGACCAATATAAATAATTTTTTTTTCAATTCTTGGGGGCCCGAAGATCTAACCGAAACATCACTTATTCGTATCTTTCATTTGCCCAACGATTAATTTAAATAAATTAATTAATTGGCAATAAACCTCTCATTTCTGCTCAAAATTCATTCTTCAGGGCTATGTCGAGTTCCAAACCCAAGATGGCGCTCCAGTCTCCCCTGATCTCCTAGATCTCGACATCATCAAATACACAATTCGCATCACCCGCGACACCGTCACCTCAACCCTTTCTACGGCTCCGCTGTGGTGGACGTCCGGGTCTAAAAACGGCGGCAGGTGCTGTTTTTGGCGATACAAGATTTTAATGATTTCAACGAGTTTGATAACTCGTTTTGAGATTTCTATTTTGAGATATTTATGATTTTTGTTTCAGCCGAATGAAATATTTCTCCGGCGGCTTTATCTACATCCAAAACATGATCGACAACGGGATAATTTTGACAAAATCGAATCTTGAAACGGGCTGGAATTTTTCTTCGCTAAAGCAGCGCTAGAAAGGTAGAAAATTCCAGCTTCAGACAAAGTTCCCATGGGCGCTTACCTACAGATGTTTTCCTACCAGTGCTACACTTCCGATTCCTTCCTCGGTATGCCATTTTTTCTTCGTCCACTTTGCTCCGCCTCGTGGAACGGACGCGCTACTGTATTTGTTCAGATGTGATTTCTGGAATGATGCCGATTCTGCTGAGTTTGAGTTGGGTTTTTACCGTCGCAATTACTGTCAAAAACATTGTCTGGGAAAAGGAGTCGAGGCAGAAGGAACTGATGAAGATGATGGGTCTATCAGGTTAAAAAGAAGATTGGAATTTTAACCCACTGGCGCATGGCTGGCATATTTTTGGACACTAATTTTTTTTTCGAGTTTTTTTTTTGAGCGTTAAAAATCGGGTTTTTAATTAAAAAACTCAATTTTTGTGGTAATTATGGCCAATTTTTTGCCAGTCATGCGCCAGGGGGTTAAAATTCAAAAATCTTTTATAACAAAAAAAATTTTAGGCGGCACGTTGTGGGGCTCGTGGTGGCTGGACACAATGTCTATGATGATCCTATCGTGCACTGGGGAGGTTTATCCGACATTAAAATTCACCGAGCCGACATCTTCCAAGAGCTCCTTGAATATTCACCTCTTTAGAAACTTTAGAGCACCTAATTTTTATAACCAAATTGCAAATTGACAGAACGTGGACTAGAAGAGGGGGGAATCAGATAAACCTCTTGAAAAAGATTGACTATCATTATTAAATATGGAGATATATTCCACCACTCGGATGGATTCATCACGTTTTTATTCCTCTTTGGCTACGCTTTTGCCTCAGGAACGGCTCTAGAATTCCCTAAACAACAAATTTTTCGACCAAAAAGAGCCAAAAACAAGCTTCAATTGCTTTCCTGATTTCGACCTTTTTCTCTAGCGCGAATCTATCAGGCCAATTTTCTAAAAAAATCCGTGTTCCGTGGAGATTCGGTCTTTGAACCTCTAATTAGCTAGAATTTTGTGGAATTTCCTGCTCTTATCGAATTTGGAAGGACTGATTTTTGAACTTTGAATTAGCCGCCTGCGGTGGGATAATTTACTTCTTCTTGTACCTGCCGTATAATATGTGCGCGATTTGGGAGTTCAAAATTCCGAGATGGTTGAAGTTTATTGCTAGTTTGATACCTACAGGATTGGAACTAATCATTTTCCTAATCAGAGGAAAAAATCAAATTCTCAGAAAGCATAGAATGACATTTTTTAAGAATTCTCCATGAGGCAATTTAGTTCGCAACTTGTATTGCGTTGTTTTTTCATCGACCTTTTCCCATTGAGCCTCGACAGAAGGAAGGTGTCTAAGAATTTTGACATGTCCTTCCGAAGCGGGAGAATTTTCCGACAGTACTGAAAATGGCACGAATGGCACGAACGGCACGAATGGCACGAAAACATGTCTTTTCATCGTGCCATTTTCAGTAAAATTCTAGAGACTTTTTTGTTATTGTTTTTCAACCCTTGAATTTCCTACCACTAAACCCGCGGAGCGGGCATTTATAACATGAATATTCAATGAAAAATTGCTCATTTATGCTTAAATCACTATTATTTCGATTTTTAATCAATAACAATGGCAAAATTGAGGAATTTCACTCAAAAAAAATCTTTTTTAGGCCTGAATTCGTGGTCAATTTAAAAAAGTTTCAAATTATTTTTTTTTTGTTTTTTATCATAATTAATGAACTTTTCAAGTTGTTAAATAACTATCGTTTCTACTTAATCCGTTAATTTCTCATTTTAATTCGAGATTTCCCTCAAGGTTAATTCGCAAAAAAATGTGTCTCTGTTTTCGTGCCATTTTCAGTGAATTCGTGCCATTCGTGCCATTCGTGCCATTCGTGCCATTTTCAGTATTGACCGAATTTTCCGGATCATAAGCATATTCAGAACTTTGGTTAGTAGCATCACTCTTTCGGTATAAAGATATATATGAAACATCGCAGTCATATGTAAGCTCTTCGTTATGTGTTATACAGAGAACCATAGATAAATAGAATTCTGTCTTATTGAAAGGAGTACGTTCTTTCTCAATGGTCACTTCAAGGTAACAGTTTCGAAAGCTGACTGACTTTTTTTGCGTTGTTTTTCCTGGTCTTGACATTGTCTCAAAATTATAGCTGTCATCTTATTTATAAAATTAGAATATAATTATGACTCATAATTTATGAGGCCCTTCCTACAATCAAATATAAAAGCAAGATTAATATGGTAAATACCACAGCTTATAGCTTTAAGAAATCGCCGTATATCTTCGTTATCATGGTAGTCCTTGAAGTCTCTTGATAAAAGGTCATTTTCAGCTATAACAGTTAAATTTTTTAAGAATCGAAATCTTACTTGCATTGATCATTTTCGACTCAGTAAGCAGTTTAAAATCGAGCGATGTCAGTTCGTAAACTGATTTTAATGAACGTTCAATTGTCTTGAGATCAGCTGACCGCTCATTTAAAATATCAATTCCAGTATCACATTTATCAAGAACCGCTAGAAAATTTTCTGTTCTTCCTCTTATGTCTTCAATTTCTCCATCTTGTTCTCGATTTGCAAGCAGCATATTTTCATGATATACTTCAAGATCAGAGACCTTCTCCTCCAACGTCTCATTTTTTAATCTTAGCTTCTCATAATTCGATTCTTAATTATCGTTTTGTACTTCCAGATCAAAATTTAACATTTACTAAGACGCAAATTTTCTTCTTCCAGTTTTTGTATTCTTTCGATGATCGGTTTGAGCTGCTCATTTGCCACATTTTTCTGACTATCGAGTATCATGTTCCTATAACTACCAAGTGAGCTCTCGGAAAAAAAGGTTCGACTGGTAGATGTAGCATCATCATTCATTTTTTTTTTTTGAATTCTCGTAGAGAACCAAGAAATAAATCGCTCTGATCAAATATGATCGGTGGAAAGTGATATTTAATTTTATTTTTACGATAGTTCCATTGCAGTTCCCCTTGGATACGGGTCGTGGCAATTCTCAGATCTGGAAAAAGAAGGAACCGGTGCACAGTGGGGTAATCTCAACACGGAATTTGGAATTAATCAGGATCGGATAAAGCCCCTTCCACGCCCAATTCTTTTCCCAAAATGACTGCTCAAAAACGAATATCCTCAAATAAAGCGCTACATGAACATTGCCGAATGCACGCTAATGTTGTACTTTGACGGCGTTTTCTACTACTTCCTCGCTTGGTACATCGACAACGTTTTCCCAGGCGAATTCGGCGTTCCGCGAAAATGGTACTTTTTCATTCAGGCACGTTGGGAATCGAAAATTTCTTCTTGTACGCCACTTTGTCAAAATCATTTTCCGCGATTTCAAAAGTTTGTCGCGAATCATTCCCTTTCTAACAGCCTTCGTTTTGGACAGGAAAATCAAAGCGAAATACGAGCGAGGAAATTAGCAAAGGATCAGTAGAATCAGACAAAACGGTGAAACAAGAGGCCGTCTCTGAAGAATTGAATACTGGAGTGGAATTGCAAGGACTCACAAAAATTTATAAAGTAAAGATTCAACTAGAAGCTACTAAAAGACGCTCTTGAAAATCAATGAGATCTGCGGCCTCTAGAACCGTTTTAGGCTAGGATAAATATATCCACGAGTCGCCATTTTAGGCGAAATTAGCCACGCAATCTTCTATCTTTTTGTCTATTATTGAATTTTAAATAGCTTCCGGCTGTCGGTCTGGCGAAGATAAACTAGCTGTGGATGATTTATCGCTCAAGCTTTACTCAAATCAGATTACTTCGTTTCTGGGTCATAATGGCGCTGGTAAAACAACAACGATGAGATTTGGGTTCTATTTTTTCTTTCAATTTTCATCGTTTTTAAGGGTGTCAGAGGCTGTTAAACAGTCTCAGAGTCTAAAAAGAACGGTTATGCGTCGATGGGTTAAAATTTTTATGGAATTGATAAGCTCGAAGTTGATCGAAAACGCTGATAAAAAATAGAACCCGTGGTCCAGTATGCTAACTGGAATCTACACACCGAGCGGTGGAACGGCGCTTATTGACGGATACGATATCTGGACTCAGATGGATCAGGTCCGGACGGTGCTCGGCTTTTGTCCACAGCACAACGTACTTTTTGAAGATCTCACTTGCGCAGAGCATATCGAATTCTTCTGCTCTCTCAAAGGTCAAAACAAAACCAAAACGAAGGTGGAAATCGACGAGCTTTTGGAAAAATGCGGATTGATGGCCAAAAAGCACCTGAAAGTTCCGACTCTTTCTGGTGGAATGAAACGCAAGTTGTCTGTAGCTTTGGCTTTTTGCGGCGGATCGAAAATTGTCCTCTTGGACGAGGAACGGAGATGGAAAAAATATTCCCAGTCGTGATTTGTATCCAAAACTTCGGTACGTGGCCACCCGTTTAAATTGCTTATCCCGTGGCCTAAATAGGACCTTCCGAACCGCGATTACGCGCCTCGAATGGTTCTAAATTGCGTTCCAAAAGATTACATAATTTTATACGTAGACACTAGATTAGGGAAATTCAACGACATTCAACGACATTGTTACAAGCCTTTGATGACTTTTTCTGGAGCTGGTGATTTATTCAACCAAAAAATTTACTTATGCGCATGCTCAAAAAGAGACGTAGAAAGCTGGTGATTATCGACCCCTATCTCCTTAATCTTACTGTAACCATGCGTTTTCAATGAAACAGGGGTTCTTTGAAGCTTTAGTTAAGTTTTAAATCGAGAAGCCGCTTGCGGCTTCGAGAACATACTCTGAAAGCCGCGCTTTGCGCGGCTTTTCTCATGTTTCAGCTCGAAGCCGCAAGCGGCTTCTCGATTTGATACTTAACTGAAGCTACAGAGGAACCTTGTTTCCATAAAAACGCATCGCTACAGTAAAATTAAGGAGATAGGGGTCGATAATCACCAGCGTTTTCCGTCTTTTTTGAGTAGAAAGAGCAAGAAAACAGTAATTAAGCTCAAAAACCTACTTGTAGTCAGTTGTCTAATCTCCGCCGTAAGCCCACAGCGGGGGTAGACCCTTACGCCAGGCGTGGAATTTGGGACTTGCTCACAGGATTCAAAACGGGCCGGACGATCCTCTTATCGACCCACCACATGGACGAAGCGGACGTGTTGGGTGACCGCATCGCTATCATCGCGGCAGGTATGCTACTTTCTATTTTCGTGAAGCTCATTTTTCAAAATTTTTGACTTATAAAAAATCTCTAGGGCGGCTAAAATGTGTCGGCAGCTCGCTTTGGCTGAAGAGTAATTACGGCGAAGGGTACTATCTGACAGTAAATACGCGTTTTCACGATGAAACGCGCGATGCTATCAACTCCTGCGGAAACGAACACTTAGATGTGGTCGAGACAAAGCTCAATAGTATCTCGTTTCGGGTACCTTATCATTTTGTCGAGCAGGCTCGGTTATCAAACTTTCTAACTTAATCAAATATCAGCGCTTCAAATACAAAAAAATCTCCCCTAAATTGATAATTTCGTGCTTGACGGCTAAAATTGTTAATAAAACATTGTCTTTAGGGCCAAAGATGGTCGATTATCAGGTTGAAAATGAGTTTTTCTTGCTTCTATTGGCTGATTTTTCGATATTTTTTCATAAAATTGAGAATTTCTCCTCCCTTTCCGATGTATTTTTGACAAACTTGGGCCCTCAAAGTCGATATTAAGCCGACAATCTTGGATTTCCGAGCCAAAAAAAGGACTTGATGTCAAAAATCCTCGACAAGCTCGAATCCAAAGAGCTTAATGGCATCCACTCTTACGGCATCCGCGACTCCAGCCTCGAAGAAATCTTCATCAAAATCGCCAGCCAGGAAAAGGCATTTTCTCTTTCTAAGGAGCTCTAAATTCAACAGAAAACCACGTGAGATAAACTTCCCGCTGACCCTAAATATACACAGCGCCAAAAAGCCTTTTAAAAAGGATGAAAAAGAAAAAGGCAAAAATTCGGAAGAGGAGGAGCCGGAAGGAAGGAAGAGCCTGTCGCTTTCTAGTAGTACTATTGAAGGGACCGGGAATAAAATCCACCCAGAATTAATCGACAAAGGAAGGAATGTGCAGGGCACGTTGGTCGGCGGCGCGCTCAGGAGGCAGCAGTTTGGGGCGATTTTTGAGAAACGAGCAATTACGGTTTCCAGGAGTATCAAGATTGGGTGCATTTTTTCATAGAAGAAATTTTTTTGATTGAAAATAGCTTTGCTTTACATTTTTATTTAATGGTATATGTCGAATAAAATTTTCTGACAGGAAATACTACTATTAGTATTTGAAGGACATTTCATTATTTTTTTAACACAGAGAAATATTTTTCAACTGATACTTTTCAGGTTTTTCTTCAGCGTAAAGACGTCGAGCCAAACACGGGTTCAAACAAGAGTTGTAAGGGCATTTTATTCTCTGCATAACTTCATTTTTTTCTTTTTCACAACTGATTTTTTTCGCTTTTCGATCATCTTGAAAACCAAATACGAAATTTCCCTTTTCCTTTCTAAAAAATAACAACAACGCAGTTTCATACAGTAATGGTTTATTACGACCTGAATTTTTAAGTATTATCACGACGGTTTAGGTTAACATTTTAAAATTCAAACAGCTACGGTATTATATTTTTGATATCTTCTTTTGTTCATGGAGGAGAATGACGATCAAGTTTCCGCTTATAACGATTTCATTTTCAAATATATTTTATCTCTTTTTCCATATTTAATTCAACAATTTATCCTGTCGCATATCGAAAGAACCAAAAAGAAAATTTCCCTTTCCGTCGCCAAAAACAACACCCTTATTACAGTCATTCTTCGCCTCAATCGTCGTCCCTCCACTTTTTATCGCGCTGGCTTTAGCGATGACTTTACTAGGCAGAGTTTAAAGAATTGGATGTTTCATAACAAAAGAGGCTCAAGCAGCTTCTCTTCCTTGTTGGAGGATAAACTCTTTAGAACTTTTATCCAAGTTCCGGACGTATCTGAGTCAACCCCTTTGGAGATGGAAGCGATGATGTACGAGGGCGGGGGTCACCTTAGCCTCTAATCAGTAAAGCTAGAAAGGCAAGACGCCACGTGCGGCCCGATAAAAAAAGAGGAGCCGAGCGTTGATCCTCGATCAGAATAAATCCGAAGCTCGGGCTTATGGTGTTAACACTTTCACGTCGCTGGACATTGACGCAGACCCAGTTTATTCGAAGCTGTATAATTCGCGAATTTGGTTTCAAAAAAAGTTCAAATCAATTTTTTATTCAAAAATTTCTTATTGGCTGAAATAAACCAATAAGATAATGCAAAATTTTCTTGTTGAATAACCAACAAATCTGATTGGGGAAACGTAGATTTTGCGTAATTTGATTGGTCGATCTCTAAAAATCGATTTCAGCCAATAAGAATCACTTTCTTAACCCAAACTCTAACCCTAATTTTCGATATTGAAAAGCTTCCTTCGTATTGGTTAAAAAGACCCTTGAACAAACCTGATTGGCCCTCCTTCTTGAAACCAAAAAAGCTCCTGTCAAAGCCGGGTTTCGGTACTTGGTGCCTAAACACTACTTCCAGCGCCGAAAAACGCAAGTGGACGATCGACTACGCGAAGGAAAAAGGCTTCGACTTATCTGATCGATATTGTTCGGACGCTAATGTTGATCCGGAAGAGTACTTATTGCCAAACGCTTCATGGAGTTTATCCCGCCCGGTGGGAAGTGAGACTAACGACGCTTGCGCCTGTACATACGGTGAGCAGTTAAAAACATCCTGAGCAGCTTTTTCAATTAAAAAAATATTAAGGGGACTATATTAATCCACTCATGGACTGCGGAAGATATCCAAACGACCATCCAAACTACCCTGGTCAGAAAAAGTTTGCTGGAGGAGAAAATACGCCGATTTTCGAGCTTTACAGTGGAATGCATAATTATAATATGAACGGGAGAAATATCACTGACTGGGTTCAGAAAACTGTCGACAAGGATCAGAGTTTAAATTTCCATCAATACAGAAACATAACATTTAATTTTCAAATAATATAATAGATTTTTATTAACAAGTAATCAATTTTTATATCTGAATTTCAAAGTCTTTCAATACATTTTGATGTTCATTTTATGTTTTCTTTACATTTCTCTCTCGTTTGGGATTTTCAAATACCCGATTTTTCTTCTTCATAAAAAGAATATTCATTTTATAACGAAATTTTCGAAGACCATGGTACGCAAAAAATATCAATTTCCTTTTATAAACAACTCGCTAAATAAATTTTTTAACAACATAAAAATTTGAAACTCTTGAAAGGATACCTTCGTCTTCCAACGATACGGAGGCTTTAGCATTGGAGCCAATGCTTTGAATGAAAGTTTATTGAACTTGCAACCCGGATTGGAGGACCGTTTGGATCCATTCATTCGCCACCGGAATTCAAAAATATGGTTCAATAATGTTGGCTACCACGCCTCTGTTGCTTATTACAATATTTTCGCCAACTCTCTCCTCCGCTCCTCCATGCCGGATAGGAACCCGGAGGAACTTGGGATTGATGTGGTGAATTATCCACTCGACTTCGATCTGAATAACATTGACGCTGCTGCTTTTCAACAAGCGTCTACGGATGTTATTATTGCAATTTGCGTGGTGTTCGCACTCAGTTTTATTCCTGCGTCTTTTGTGGTTTTTCTCATTGAAGAACGAGCATCTGGAGCGAAGCACCTTCAGTTGGACTCGGCAACTTGTGTGTAAAACCTGAGTCAGGCTCTAAAAGAGAATGAACGGAAAGCCGCGTAGCGGCTTTTTAACAAACGAAGCCGCGAAGCGGCTTCGAAGAATCACTATTTCAATTTGTTTTGAAATAATTATGAAGCCGCTCCGCGGCTTTGTTGAAAAAAACCGCAAGCGGCTTTTCATTTCTGTTGGTTCAGAGCCTGATTGAGGCTTTTTACACAGGTTTTCGAGCCCAGAACTTTAGTTTTTGAGCGGAATGAACCCGAATATCTACTGGATCGCCAACTACTGCTGGGACATCCTTATCTTTCTCTTCCCAACTGCCCTCTCAATCGCGATCTTCGCCCTGTTCCAGAGCAATGCTTATACAGGCAAAGATAATATTGGAAGCTTGGTTCTTTTGTTTATCCTTTTTGGCCTGGCTGCGACCCCGCTGATGTACCCAGCTACGTATCTGTTTGATAAGGAGGGTGTTCTTATCGGCAAGTTCTTATCGAACATGTTTCTTGAAGCGTTTTTAGTTATGTTCATTCGAGGAAAATATTTAGGGATAAGTTGATGGAGCGGGAGATAGGAGATTCTTATTCATATCGCTGCGTAAATATACTAAGCTGAGGGTTCTCCTTAGATTTTCGACGAAAAATGGACAAGGGTAGGCCCAAGATTGTAGAAAAAACTTCGTTCATCGTGCCCAAGATTGTCAAATTTTGAATTTTCGCGTTCTAATTGGACAATTTCGTGCAGAAAATCGACTATCTAGAGCTAGAATTCGATAAGCTCGAGAAAGAATCGCAATGTTTAGCCAACAATCTTGGGGATGACCTTAATTTTGTATATGTATGGCACTTAATTCTGCTGTTTTTGTGATCAGAATTCAAGTGCTGAATATTTCGCATTACAAAATAATTGAAATTATTTATTTTGAAAACCATCATCACTTTTTTCACTAACTCAGTTACACGCTTGACCTAAATTCGAAATTTCGGAACACTTACTATAAGCCTGCTACTGCATACGTCGCCCTAACCGCGTTCAACCTGTTTATCGGAATCAACACAACGATTGCGGTTTCCGTCATGATGAGCATCGCTGAAAGGTCAGTACCTGCCCCATTAGTGCATCGAAGTTTATTTTGCATCTCATTTTATTTTTGGCGTTTTTTCAGTGATCCGGATTTGGAAGATATCTACATAATTCTCGACAACGTGTTTTTGATATTTCCGCATTTCTGCCTCGGCCGGGGCTTGATGGAAATGGCCATACAACAGGCTTACCTGGACGCGTACGCCGAACTCGGGTTTGAACAAGAACGAAAGGAGCCGATTTTAGGCACGATTGGCTTTCCAAAATGCATTCGTCGAAACTCGGCCCAGACCATAATTTTTAATTGAGCCACTCACTTCCGAAAAGGGTAATCCTTTTTCAACACGGTTTTTTCTATTACCTAATGCTCAAGAAAGAAGCAGAAAACTTGAATAATTGAGTATAAATATGTAAGAAAAGGATGTAAGAGGCTTTCTAAATGGTTTATTCCTGAATGTCTAATAGATTTATTTTACAGTTGAAAAGGGTCTTGCTTCCGTTAAGGGTAACCCACAAAAAACAGCTTCTTCTGCTTTAGACGGTCTGGCTTTATTTAATGCCAACTTACTTCATTTTTGGCAAGAAAATTTTATTATATGATTCAAAAAACACTTAAACAGACTGTTCTGGTACTGTACCAAGATGAATATCCACGGCCCATGGGCCATATTATTTATTTGAATTCAAAAAGACTAACAGCGGACTAATTCTTAAGTCAAATTTTGTGTCATTTTAAACAAAAGTAATGCATAAAATTGATGAAAAGTAGACTAATTCACAGAATCAAATTAATTGTAACACAGTTTTCAAAATTTTCATAACTACTCGGAAAGCTTCATAGTATTTGAAGTAATTATGGAAACATCATTTAGAGAAGATATTGAAAAGGTCAATAAAGTGACAATTTAACGAAAGCCAAAATCAGCATTTGAGTACAACGGTCGCTGCTGCCTGGCCATGGCGATCCAAACTATCGTTTTCTTCTCTTTGGTGCTCTTTATTCAACATCGTTCTACGGCGAAATCAACATCAAAAATAGTCACCCATAGCAGTGGAAAACTGGAAGAATCGGACGTGGCAGCAGAGACCGCCCGCGCGCACGATGAAAACAACAAAGACTTACTCAGGATTAAAAAGCTGACAAAGCTTTTCCAACAAAAGGGAGGAAGCGGGACTTTCACGGCTGTTGATGGGATTTCTTTGTCCGTACCGAAGGGCGAGTGCTTCGGCCTTTTGGGAGTTAATGGAGCGGGAAAGATAAGGGACAAAGATAGATATGAATGAACGAGAAGCTTGAGATGGTGGAAAGTTTGACAGCTTTGGCGACTAGTTTTGACAACTTCGAATTACCACGGCTCAAACTTCATCTTTCATCGAAAATCTTTGATCCTTTTTGAAGACCACCACTTTCAAAATGCTCACCACCGACTTGGCCCCCTCCTCCGGCGATGCCTTCATCAACGACTTATCCCTCGTCCAAAGTCCCGACAAAACCCGTCGCTTCATCGGCTACTGCCCCCAATTCGACGGCCTCAATTCCGTCCTCACCTCCGCCGAACACATTCGCTACTACGCCAAGATCCGCGGCATCAAGAAAAACGAGCTGAAGGACATGGTCGAATGGGCTCTCCACGAGCTGAATCTGACGGAATATCGGAACATTCCAGCAGGAGAATATTCCGGCGGGAACAAGCGAAAACTCTCCACTGCCATTGCCTTCACTGGAGCTCCGGAGGTGATTTTGTTGGATGAGCCAACAGCTGGTGTGGATCCAAAAGCACGGCGATTTTTATGGGACGTGATAAAGCGCATGGTAAAATTTGCTTTCAAAATATGATGATTACTCTTCGTTCCTTTTTTTAGGTTCAAAAGGGCCATGCAATTGTACTCACTTCACACAGGTACTGTCCAAAAAAAAGATTTATTGGTGCTTTCGGAACAAATAGAGAGAGAGACCCTTAACCCAATTTTTTAGCATGGAAGAATGCGAGATCCTCTGCGGGCGATTGGCGATCATGGTGAATGGGAGCTTCGAGTGCCTCGGCCAAGGGTCCGAAATGAACACACTTAGCCACGGTTAATCTCACTCGATCCAACTCGTGAGGAGTGTCAAGTGGATCTTTCTTTTCTGAAGGATGAGTAACATTAGTGAAATTCCCTGATTTTCTGACTAACTACCAGTAGTTGTTCATTCGGTAAATCAAGCTCCTCTCAGCACTTGAAAGCCAAATACGGGGAAGGATACATTGTTGCCATACAAGGAGAAAGAAGCAAGCATGACAGTATCATCAACGGCCTGAGCGAGCATTTCGCTGATGTGAAAGTAACTGAACAAAGATCCAACAACCTTCAGGTACCAATCCCGGGAGGTGTCTGGAACCGACAAAAAAATTTCGACAAATTTTGCGTGGAAATTTTCAACCAATCAGAAGCCTAGATTCGGAAAACTGGCCAATCCCCAGCCGAGTAGCCGCCCACGCAAATTTTGTCGAAATTTTTTTGTCGGTTCCAGACACCATCCCACAAATCCATCCCCAAAGCCGATTCTCCAACCTCCCACTTCAGCTTCAACTGGTAGAAATGAACAGCCTGAAAACCCTGTTCTCATCCCTCCAAGAGATGAAAAAACAAGACCTTTTGACCGACTACAGAATCTCCCAAACCACCCTTGACGACGTTTTCATCTCTTTCGCCAAGCGACAAGGGAATGAAAAGACCAAAGCTGAAATCAACGAAGAGGATTTCCAAGTCGTAGAAATTCCGCCGAAAATTTCGGAAGCTGAGAAATCCGGGAGTCAAGAAACCAATTTCTAGCGCTTCGGAGCTCTCTCATTTCTAGTCTAGTTCAATTTTAATTCTTCAAAAAACGACCTGTACATGTGTGTGAATAAAACGATCATTTTTCTAGATTCTCGAAATAGCCAATTTCTTCCAGACGAATCAAATCATTTCGAAAAAAATGAAAAAAGCAGATTTGTCAATTTCATTTTTTAAGAAAGAGAGAGATGGAAAATAAGAAGATTTATCTGAAGATTACCGGAAGTCGTAAAAGTAAGAAAGGGTTTTGCTATTGAAGTCTTTATCTTGTAAAAATTGATTAACGAGGTCGAAAAGAACAAAATTCTTGAATTCTTAATTTGCTTTTTGTTTTTTCACTTCGTTTATTGATTCTTGAAAGTACTCGACTAAATTAATAAATTTTAAAATCCAATTTTTTGTGAGGAAATGCGATTAAAATGAAAAGCGTGGGCGTTTATCACAAAAAAGGCGCGCTCACGTGACTTTATTTCGAGAAATAAACGTGACGGGTCACTTCCGCTTTTCACTATTTTACGAGTGCGCGTTTTTTGAAGAAAAAACTGGGCAGCGTCGGCAGATCGCCCGGGGGCGGACGGGTTCTGCCCCGCGGCGCGAGAGAATGATAATTGATAGAACGAGAAATCATCAATTCAAAAGAGAGATTTTTTTCTGGGTCGAAATTTGGGCACACGGCTCTCTCTCTCTCTCTATACTTTTTCCGTGTAAATATTTGAGCACTCGCTACTAACTGGACCGGCGCACTCGCCCCAGGCAACAGCTTTTTCGTATTTTTGATGATTTTTTCAAAAATCTTGGATCTCCACATTCCTGGGCGATTGCGCGCGGCTGAGAGAGAGACGCTGATTCGCCCATTTGTAAATTTAACCGTTTATAATAACTCAATAGTAACTTCATTCATTAGTTGCCCCATTTTTACGAGTCGACAGTTTACGAATCGTAGCAGACTCGATTTGGACTCGCACCAGTGCCCTTAGAGAGAGCGTTTATTCCTAAAGAAGAGAGATTTATTCATAGAAAAACCCATTTTTAACAAAGAACTCGATAATTAACGAATTATATTTTACTATTTCCTACATTTGAGGAGCATTTTACGGTCATTTTTCATTAAAACCGACCCTTTTCGACCTTTTTTCGGTATTTTTTCCATAAAAACGGCCTTTTTTAATGAAAAAATAGTTTAAAATTGATAGCTTTTATGATAAGCCATGGACTTTCAGTCGAAAAGGGGCAGGTTTTTGTCAAAATGACCGTAAAAACTCCCGGATTTAAGAAAAGCGGACAGATTTAACTTCAATAAAACCCATTTTCCGGCGATCTTTATTTGCCGAAATCCCGGAAATCCAAGGATTGAAGTAACTAAAGATCGCCGGAAATCAGGGTAAAACAGTTCTAGATGAATTTCCTTTTTGGAAATTTTTTTCTAGAATTGTTGTCGTTGAGTTGGATCCAAGAGAGGATTCAGTTCAGTTCGACTTTTTCGGTTTTGTCGATTTTCGATTTTGAGAATTTTAAATTTGAGATGATTTCCGTTGAGTTTCTTTAGAACTCCCCATAATGAAAGCTCTTTGTTATACGCAAACAACGGGCGTGTAAAGAGAGAGAAGGGCCCTATTTGGCTAACTGGCCCTGTGCTACTCTACCCCCTCCCTCTATCATCTCAGCAACTCACTTCTTCGCTGCTCCTGCCCCCCGCTCAGAATTTTTCCCATTTTTTTTGAAGAGACTTTCGCCAAACATTCTTCACTCGCCGCGGGGAGAGAGAGGCATGCCCTGAGGCATGAGAGCTTAGCTAAGGGTCGAGAGGAGACAATCGCGGCCACCAGGTGAGGTCAGTTGCCAAATCCTGTCCACAAAGGCACCTTGCCAGTACAACTAAGAAGAAAATTGCGCATGTAAAGCGCTATTTACAGAAAGAGATGGACTTTCTTACTGTCACTGGCGGAGGGAAGAAAGCCTAGACGGGTGTTTGGGCACACTTTTTAATCATCCAAAGACCTTAACATCCGCTTGGTTTCTTCACACCGCCTGTTGACTCGAACGACGAAAACGAACTGGAAAATAAGGGTATCAACTTCGAGAGAAATCAAAAAAGAGAGACATTTTTCCCACTATCTAAGAGTAGTACTACGCCTCGTTGTCAATCTATTTGGAGGCACTTTTTCCCTCGGGGCCAGCTCGCTTCACAATTTCACCAATCGCCACCCACGCCATTTTCTAACCGACTCACCCGCCGCAGGCCCAGACAGCAGCATCGGCCCAAGGCGCGTAGTAGCGAAACTAACGCATGTTTTTCCATTTTCTTTTCGGCGCTTTGTGAACAGAAATCCAAAGAAGTGGTTCTAGCTGTGTGATCGTGAGCGCCCGAGGCGAGAGCCCCTTCTGATTTCTGTTTCAAAAGCGTCGTCAACTCGACGATAAATTTGAAGCTCAAAAGAATCATCACTCGATTTACGGCCTTTGTTTGATTTCGAAAATAAGGGACTCCCAAACCAAGAGCCCGAGCGCACCCGTTTCCGCCGAACAATGACAATAGGGGGCAGCGAGCATTGTCCCCATAAGTGGTTTGTCCCGAATAAAGAACGAAAAATGGCCAGAGAAGAAAGCGAGATAGAGAGAGAGCGGGCCGTTTATCTCGCTGGCCGGCGACTAAGGGTGTCTCTCCTAGTCGATATTATCGATCGTAAAAACTTTCGTTTTTTTTTATCCACCTTTTTTTCAACTCAAATTCCCACCTTGGGAAAAGAGGGGGAAGCACGCTTTTCTTCCTTCACCTTTCTCCATCACCTGAGGTATCTACGAATTACGATTCTAGAGCCGGACTAGGTAAACCACGGATTGCTTAGGGGCCGATTCGAGCTTCCAACTCGCAAATCGATAATTATAAAAATGCCCATCCTAAGCAAAACGGAAATTACCTGCTTCGCCCTCAGGTGCACTCGACGCAGAAAGCGTGCTTCACTCGCCTTGGGCGGTTTTTTTTTCTGTAGAAGGGGAAGTGGGGCCACCCACTGAGAGATGAGAAGATGGAATTTCCTCCGCCGGTGGAAGCGCTCCCGGATGGAGCGGTATGCAAATGGAATTTGCAGAGTCTGATAGTGAGATAAAAACCCGATCAATCTCACTAGACAGAAAACGAGAGAGGCGAGTACAGTCAGTTCTTCGATGTGTTAGCTTAACCCGTCGTAGTCAGGGCGACGGAACCGCGTCAAAGGGCGGTTGAGGCAGAACCCTGCCTCCTGATAAATGCCTTTTCATTGACTAGACAACAAAAGTTGGGACTGGTTGTAAATTGGAATGGATGGATCGCTAGAGTCTCAATTTTACGGACAATCAGCGTTTTAACGAGCTAGATCTTTTATTAATTCCTTTTTCATTTTTATTGTCAAAATAAAATGCTTCTCACAAGCTTGATCGGGCATAAAATTACCAGACGACCCATTGATGCTCTGACTGTCGAAGGAACGCCCTGCTTTACTGTAATTTACTGCAAGAAAAACGAAAACGAAGGTTCTCTTCTGAAATGTTTATTATTTATCTTTACTGAAATGAGTTTCATTCATTTTTTCTTCTTTATATACAGGAAGTTCGTGGAATAGTTTTTTTTTCGCAAATATTTTTTCTTGGTACACGAAAAAGTTACAATGTGGCAGTTACAGTTGGGCATGTTTCTTATTTAATCTTTGTAGAGATAATAAATTGGATAAAAATTAAATGAAAAGAGGAAAGGTTTGGAGGGAGAGTTACAGTATTTCTTGTTTTGGGCTACCTGTAGTTTCGTTTTTGAAATTAGCTACTGTTTATATTTTAATATCAACTGCGTTTTATCGACTTGTTTTTTGGTTAATCCGACTTCCTGTGGAGCTGTGGATACAGTGAGTTTTACTAGCTGACTGTATGTTCGTAAACATCAAGAAAGCAGGTTCTTGAGCAGATTTTTCTCCAAGAATTAACAAGGAAAAACCCAGAGAGTAAAATTTAAGGGTGTCACTTTGTAAAGTCTTGAAGAAAATGCTGCACTAGAATCTGAACCTTGATGTTTACCCTCTTATTAGCAAATAAAGGTAGGCTAGGATTCATATTTTTAGGTTCATGTATTACGCATTTTGAAATATTTCAATGATGAAGTCTGATAAAAAATGAAATGAGAATAAAAAGCGTTATGGAATGAATGCGAGTAAGCGTGCGAGCACTGGCGACGCATCCTGACGAGAGGCGGCCATTAACGAAAGCCGATCTTCGAAGCGGCTGATCATTGGGACGATGTCTTTTTCGCCGTGGGAAACGGATTGTTCTGTCAGGCAGAGGAGGATCGTTGCGGCGTTGATTCGGACGGCGCGGGTGAGGCAGTCCTCCCGATCGTCGGTGAAATCGTCGAAGAGGAAGTGACCGGCGTTTTGGAGGAGAACTCGGAGACCTGCAGGAGGCTGGGGAGGACCGGCAGCGATCATCACTCGCTTAGCGACGGGCTGGTTTGGCTCGGTCTTTGCAGCTCCTAGGACTCATGAAAAGGCTGAAAGATTGAGCGTTATTTTACCTTCTTCAGTCGTGCGTTTCTGAGGCAAGAGTTTTCCGTTGACAGGAGTTCCATTTTTCTGCAAAGATTCCTAAAAAAACGAGTTTTTCCGTGGCTGAAATCAAGGAAGAGTACCTTTTTCTGACTCTCGTCATTTTCTTTGTCCGAGTGGCTTTCGGATCCGTTTTCCACGGGCAGAGCTTTCTCTGCTTCTGACTGTGATTTCGACTGTAAAACTGCTGATGCTTCTTTTTCCTGAGAGGACGTTCCGTTGACGGTTTTTTCGGGAATGGGCTCGAGTTTTGGCTCCATTTTTGGTTTCACTTTCCCGACGCCGCCACCAACCGAGTCTAAGCTGTGGTTTGAGTCTGAAGTTGAGTCTATAATAAGTGATCTACACGGGACATCCTCGCTAGAAAAATTACCTTCGTCGACTTCCGAGATGCCATTTGCCACTCCGTTGGAGATTGGAGAGGCCACGCCATTGGAGGGGGTCGAATTGCCGTTCGAAGAGGGACTGGGGCTTGTAGCATGGCCATTGGAAATTGGGGGGACAATCGGTTCATCCTTGAAATCCCCTTTTTTCATGCGAATGCCGACGAAGCTCTGTCGATTGTGGCTGTCGTTTAGCACCTGGGTAGTAGGAAAAATCTCCCTCACGAGTCGGGTAAAGCCGGAAACGTCGAGAACGGGGGTTCCATTCACGCCTGCAATTTTCAATTCTTGCGTGGCTTTGGTTGTGTATTCAGTGAAGACGCCCGAGCGGGAGAGCAGCTCGTTTTCGTCGCCGAGTTCGATGCGTTTTCTGATGAAAGCACGGGCGAAATTGGCAGATGCGGCTTGGATTTGGGATTGGTCTTCTTTCAGGCCATTTGCGACTAGAAAAGGTAGAAATAGAATTGGGAAAATGAAGTGGGAAAAGCTACCTTGTCCTACAGGTCGCAGTTTTTGAGGAGTTTGGGACTTGGTAGCATTACTGTGAACTTCTTGTTGTTGGGGACGGAGAGCGGCTTGCTTGGCAGGAGAGGAGTGAACAGAGTTGTGAGGAGTTGCGGGATGGGGAGTTTGAGCTTGAGGTTTTTGAGAATTCGGAGCGGAGGAGTTGGCTCCTTGGAGCGGCGCGGAGGTGGCGCGAAGAAGACGCGGCAGACGAGGAGTCACGATCAAAGGATAGTGAGTTACTTCGCCGTGCCGAGGGCCGAAGAATTTTAACTTGCTGAAAAAAGAAATGGGGCTCGATGAGAGGGAAACTGAGCTACCTGAAGTCGCAATTTCGACTTGAAAAGGAGAGCAAATCGACGAGGACAGCGATGTTCTCTGCTTTGACCATCGATCTGGCCATTGGACTCCTGGCAATAGCGACTAATGCCTCTAGCGTCGCCACCAGCAAATCGCAGTCAGGAAGTGTCAAGTTCGGAATGATCATTTCCGACATATCTGGCAAGTACTCCAGCAAAAGTTCGGCTTTTTTCTGAAGAGTCTCGAGCGTTTGCGTTTCTTCCTCTGCCGGATCGGGGGTTTCTTCGTATTCTTTGCCGTTGTCGTAGACTGTTTGCTCGAGAAGAGAGGAGTAGATTTCCAACACGCGGATTTGAATGACTTTATCGGAGCGACGCATCAATCGGACGAGCATTTCGAGGATTAGGGACATGTATGGTTCGTCGATCCAAACTGAAGAAGAAAATTGAGAAACTATCCTATGAGAAGCTGCTTTTTACCTGGGAGTTGGACGTTCTTATCAGTCTTATCGCTCTCCAGCAGCATCGACAGCGTCTCGAGAGCTTGCTCAATCAATCCAGTATTCTCCGAACTCAGGGCACAGCGAAGAAGAAAGCAGAAAACTCGCTCGTTTCGTCGGATAATATGCGTGTCGAGGCGATCCTGGACGATGTTTCTGAGGATGACCAGGACTTGTCGGATTCGCTGGCCTTCGCGGTCCTTTTCTCCGAGAAGGAAGGGCTCCTCTGATTTCAGATGAGGGGGAATAAAGTCGGAGTAGATGCCGAGGAGGGGTTTTAGGTCGTCGTTTTCGCTCAAAACTTCGTCCCAGTAATGCGTCAAGCTACAATTTTAAAAATTATGCTGATATTTCATCAAATTTTTCCTCAATAAATGACTGAAAAACATCTATTACTCACAATAGTTTGGAATTGGCCTGCCATCGTTGGCTCAACTCGCAATCGTGATCTTCTGGGACTCCTACATGAAGCATCAGAGCATCGAGAAGGTGTGGGCAGCGCTCAAGACGCAGTCGTTTTTGTCTGTGATCGGAGCAGTAGAGCAGAAGAGTGTTGAGGATGAAGTTGACTTCGTTGGGTAAGCAAGAGTGGAGGGAATTGATGATTTTCCATTCTGGCGGGTCAGGTTTGTACTGAAAAGGAGGCTCAAAAGGGGGCGTAGAAGATACGCTTACCAAGGACTGAAAATTCGGGTCGAAAGACGAAGCCTGCTCTTGGAACATCCTCCTCCTCACGTGACGATCGTAAGACTGCGAGTACGAGTCTTCCCTGACCTTCCTCGGTTCGGAAAGAAAATCAAGCGCTCCTCTATTCGGATTCTGCTCTTCTTCGTCATCATCTGCTGGATCTTCTCCGTAAAGTTGCAGTCGTTCGAATGACTAAAAATGCTCGTTATATAAAACCTTTTATCAATCCTGATCAAAAATGTGATTAACATGATTGTAAAATCGAATTTGCGACCGGCGGGTATGTAAATGTAAATTCGTAATTGAATAAAATGTAAATTGCGCATTAGATGAAAGTGAATTTGTTTTACCTCCAAATATTGCTTGTAGATTTTTCTGAGGCCATAAGCAAGCGTTGCGGATGGTGGAGTCAGATTAAATGCTAAAAATGGAAAGCATAAATACAAAATTAAATGATTCAAAAATAGAAAAAGGAATGAAGGAATGGTTGTTTTTACCTTGAAGAATATCTTGCCACTTATCTTCTTGGCTGAGCGTGTGACTACCACCTGTTTCGGGTTAAAAATTGGGGAGAAAAATTCTAGATACAGAATTGAAAACCAAAAGACAATTAAAATAAAAAAGTCTTATAAATTATTTTTGAAAAAATTAAGGGAACAGAACAACTTATCAGTGTTATCTTTTGTGAATTACATGTTAGGCCAATATATAATCAATTTGATGAATAAAGTATAAGCGCTTAATTTTTCTTGACCGAAAGTAGCCTTACTGCTGTCCTATATTTTTCAGCGCGCGTTTGAACTTTTTTTATCTGGGTGTCAGAAAGTTCAACTCCGAACGCAGCGCGCTCCACTATTTTAACCCTTTTCCTAATTTGGTGACTCTTTCAAACAACAAGTACAGGCTCACGGGCTTTCCCGCCAAATTCGGGTCCCTCGGCGGCGGCATCTTCCCCCGATCACGATAGTACGCATCTAGGCTTCTTGCGAACTCTGTCCGATCCATCCTTGCAGTAACTGCCACTCCAGTTGTTGATGTTTTTTGTTGATGCTCGGTCGAAAGAAGATTGAATCTCCAAGGGTTGAATTTTTTAATTTTTGCGTTTTTGTTTGAGTTTTGTTCAAATCATTACCGATTTCGTCAGTCTTAATCTTCAAAGTTCTGTTAGTTACTGTAGTTCACAGGGGATCAAATTGCGAACATCGCATAAATAAGGGAGTGAGAGTTGAAATGAGTTCGAGGGTACTTCCTGTAAGAACAACTCATCCTACAAGCAACTACAGTACCCTAAATGGACTAGTACATAAGTTAACATAATTCAGTATAATTATGAATCATCAAAAACAAGATTAATCAGTAATAGGGTCAAATTAACAAAACAGAACTTTGGATAAAGAAACTAAGTTTTTCTACTGATAAATGACTGTAAATCAAAAAAAGAACAGTATTCTTCCATCTGATAGCCTTAACCCTAAACTTGGGATTTTAAACTATTTTTCTTCCGCCCTAAGTTTTCTTTTAAACTATAACTTCTACTGCTAGTTCGATTCTTTGCGCTAGTAAATCAAGTTTTTTCGTTAATTTTTTTGCATTTTTACGCGGCGGCGCGCTATGTTCTTCCTCGGATGAGTTGAGATAGCCTCATTCTCTCCAGTCTCGCCTTCGTCTCTCTCTCGGTATCGTCTCGCGCTCTGGGCTCGCGCCCCTTACGCTCACTACTCTTAGCTCCGCTCCGTCAAGGGAAGCACGGAAGAAGACAAAAATTTGTAGCCCTCGCTCTCGATGGAGAGGGGCGATTCAGCGGCAGGTTCAGGCAGCGCGCCAACCCTCGATCCTGATTGGTCGCACGCTGCAACGGCGCACGAGCTCAGCGGCGTCGCTCATTGGACAAGGGGAAATGAATACCCAGGGGGAACTAGGGTGCGCCAAGGGTTTCCCGCGGTAATTCATTTCCCCGGGGTTCAACGTTCAAATAACCGGCCGGAAGCCAAGGATTCTTGAAAATTTTCAAAAAGAAAATTTTCTGCAAGAAGTCCTTGAGCTTTTAGGTCGGGTTATTTCACCGGAAAAGCGGCGAAAACGCTCAGAAATTTATTTTCTGCTTGTTTCCACGCGAAATTTTGATTTCAGAAGACCTTCCTTGCGAAAAATTAATGTTTTCCGTACTTTCAATCCGTTTTTACAGCTTTCACTGTAAGAAAATGGCGACAATCAGATCAAATTGTCATTAATTGCCCTCATTACCGCCTTGTTCTTACAGTCAAATCTGTAAGGACAGTTTGAAAGTGTGGAAATCATCCATTTTTCGTAAATGAATTGCTTTGGAAATCAAAATTTCGCGTGAAAACATTCAGAAGATTAAATTTCTGAGCGATCGAATTGATCTTGAGTAAACATGTGACTACGCTGGATGATCCGCGCGCGCCCTACTCCACCACACTTACTAGACAGGCAACTGTCAAACGGCTTCGAACGCCACGAAGATTACCTGACAAGAGCCCAGGCTCTCAAAATCAACTCAACTAAGGCCTCGTCTCTTTCCTGCTCAATTCCAGCTAAAATTGCCTTTCAAAATTCATTTCACGTTCTTAATCCAATTTCCTGCTAAAACCTAAATTTCGTCTTCAATTTCGCTAATAAAACGGCCCCTGGGCCACTTTCAATTGAAACACGCTCAATTCAACGATGCAGGAGGCCATTTTAAAGCGCTCAGGAATGCTCGAGTTCATCCAGCAGTGGGAGAGGCAGAGGGAGGACTCCACGACATATAAAATAGGGGGGTTCTCCGGCGCGCGAGAGCTCTTTTTCATCGCAAAAGTTCGAAGTTTTGAGATAATCGCAAAACGCTAACAGCCACCAACTTCCTCTACTCTTTTTTCGAGGGATTCTACAGTGAAACTGCGTCTTACAGGACGAGAAACTGTAGCTAACCTAACGAAAGTCTCAATCCTAATTTGACTATCATCATCAATGGAAGGCTTTTTTCCTAGATTCAAGTTTATTCATTTCTATCTCCATGTTGTGCTGTTTCAGGGCAGTGTAGTGCGAACTGTGGGAAGGAGATTTAAAAATAATGCTTTGTTGAGTGTAGAATTGAAGCTAAAAATCTTTTTCTGTTGAACTATCAAGTATCAAGTCAGGAATGCCCAGCAGTAGCCTCGGTCTAACTTTCCATTCCGTCGAGTCGTTCGGCGTGAAACTCGATTGCTGCGCTGAGGATATACGAGAGCACAGGCTGAAGGGCGTTTTGACACGAGGAAAGAGGGACGAAGAGGTTACCTGATCGGCGTAATTACATAACTCCGGGTGAGATATGACCTCGTTCGCGATTGGAAGTTGCTCGGAATTTGTGCAGAATCGGAGCAACTGGTCGACTAGTGTATCTTCTATCGCTTCCAATGGTTGATGCGCGTTTTCCAGCGCTCGCTAAAGAGAATCAAAAGGGATAAGAGGGCTTGTTTCTATACCTTCCAAGAAGGATGCTCTATTTCGGAGCTTATGAGGCGAGCCCAGATCAGCGTGTTTAACTCGTTTCGTTCCCTGGGTTCGGCTAGGTCGTACACTTGCATCGCGTTTTCAACATCATCTGAAGAGATGCAGTTGCAATCAAGGAGGAAAATGGACTTACCGATAGTTATTTGTCGAATATTTTGATTGGTAAGAGCGTCGATGATGTCATACACGTCGAGAGCTGAAGAGGTGTTGGAAACGCGCAACTGTGGATCCGGAATTGTGTCTTGGAAATCCAGAAGTTTTTCTTCCTTGATCGCTTGAGTCTCATCCGGAGGAGGAGCCCCTCCCGCGATGGAGGCAAGTTTAGCGAGGCTGATGAGTGTTCGTCTTCCATACGCATTCGAATCGTCCTTTGCTTGCTCGACCAGTCGCTCTCCCGCTTGGTCAAAGTTGTTCTCGCGGATCATCAGCATCCAGCCGTGATCGCTGTCTTCTCTGACGAGCTCGGCGATTCTGCCGCCGAATTGGACAGCAATGTCGACAAGTTCTTTCCCAACGAATTTGCTTTTGATGAACTCTGGAAATTCTGGAATAAGGAGGTAGCGAGCGAAATCCTTTTCATTCTTCGTCGCTAGAAAGAAAGAATATGCTGGGAGTTTAGGTTTGATAAGAGGTTGCTTTTGATTTGCTAGAGTATGAAATACTCGTTTCTGATTGGGTCGATGAAAGAATAAGGGTTTTTGATTGGAAAAATAATGAAAAACTTGTATATAAAGAAACCCAAACCCCATAAAACCAACAATTACCTTGGTAAACCTCCAAAAGCCCACCAAAATCCTGAAATTGCTCGGCCAGCAATCCCGCTTCATTCCATCGTTTTCGCTCCGTAAAAATCGCTACGCATTTTTCGCGAATGCTGACAAACTCTTTCTGCGATTCTGAGTTTGAGTTTCCTGCTTTGACGTGAACCAATCTGTCCGAAAGAAGAAATTTCGACATGATGAAGAGTTGCTCGATGACTGTGGCACGCTGTTGCTCGAATTTTTTCATGCAAGAAACGTTGATTGTCGAGAGGAGGGTTTTCAACCAAAGTTGGGTCCAGAGGCGAGAGGTTTCTTGGTACAAATCGGCGTTGTCTTGGCGGAAAGAGGCTGAAAATGGACGTTAAGAAAGTTCTCTTCCTTGATTTCAAGATAGAAAGGTCATCTCCGTTACTTACTGATTGCGCCCAAAATCGAGCAAATCGTCTGATTCGAGTGATGAATCAAATCGAGCTCTTGAACTGTCGGCGTTCGTTGCTGAGTCTGGTTGACAATATTTTCGCAGAATTCAGAAAGCGCATTGACGATGTCTCCAACTTCCGTAACTTTTGCATAAAAAACGTCCTGTGGCGTGAGTCGCTGAGGAACTCGCGACCCGATTGTGGTCAAGACGCTTTGAATCGCGTGACCGATGACTGTTTGCAAATTCGCAGGGCTGGAACGAAGAGCAGCGGCGACGGCGAGTTTTTCAGCGTCCTGAGCGATGATGCCGAGGGCTTCTCCGTCGACGGAAGAGGCGACGAAGGAACGGAATACTCCGTGGGTAGCGATCTTTTCAGCGAGTTGCTTTTGGATCAGAAGTGGTTTTCCAGCTTTGAGGAAGGCTTTGTCTTTGATAATTAGCAGCTGCTCGTGATTAAACTTTTTTGTTCTTTAGGAAAGATGAAATATTCGGAAATGGGCTGATTAAATTATTTCCAGCTGTTTGTATTTTCGTGCAGATATAAATAGCTGCAAGAAAAGAAATTTTCATCAAATAAAATGAAGCAACAATGAAGACGAAATATCTTAATGTTTTATTTTTTAAAACTTCAAGATAACTATTTTTCATATTGAAAACCGACGAAAAACCTGAAAATATCAACAAGGGCAACAAGGGCAGCAAGGGCAACAAAAACAACAATGCTAGAGATGTTCGCGCGAAAGATGAGGAGTTTCCTAGAAGACAGGCGCGGAGCGCATACTCTCTTTGATTGATCTTCGTAACGCCCGGTTATTCTAGATGCTGTTAAGTTTTTTTTTGTTTTTTCATAAAAATAGATAGTTGCAATGACGAATCTTAACGATAAAATAGGTCGATTCATGCACTTTGGCTTGGAATCAAAGGCGTTGGAAAAAAAATTTCAATATGAAAATAAAAGGACTTTCGTTTTTCGTCTGTTCACTTTTGAGGAAGATATTGATCCAAGAACTTACTTTCATACTTATGCTGCATAAGTTATGCAAAATTTCTAAAACGCAGAAAATGCATTAAATCAACAATTCTAGAGACGCGCGCTCAAAAACAATAACAGAAGCCAACTCAAAAACAGCGCAACCTCTCAAAACCTGAAAATATCAACAAGGGCAACATTGTTGCCCTTGTTGCCCTTGCTGCCCTTGCTGCCCTTGTTGCCCTTGTTGATATTTTCAGGTTTTACCAAAACCGATAATCAATGAAACAAAAGCTCTTCCAGGCATTTTTGCGTGTCATTTTCCTGTATTACTTTTCTACAAATAAAAAACTTTAGCTAGTAAAAGATTCAAGTGTCAATAATTGTAAAAATAAAAAAGTTTTAGATAGATCAGGTCGATAGATGGTTTGATTGTGATAAAATGTAGCTATAAATCTGATTGTTTTTAAAATAAAAAGCGCTGAGAAAAGAATCTTTCACCACAAATTTGAAAATGAAGCAAAAATTAAAACGAAATTTCGATAATTTCTCTTGTGGATAAATTATCGAAAATTATTTTTATTCCTAAAAACGAAGTTTTAATCAACAGCAAAAAGGAAAATATTTTTAGAACTATTGAGACCATCAAATAAAATCTTTCATAAAACCAATGAGTATTATCTTTTCAGAATATCATTAGTAAAGCCTTTCCTTGAGGCGCCGCAGCGGCGCGACCAGTCTCCGACCATCTCGGATCATGAGTTGGAATTTCATTGATAAAATCGTGGCTCAATTGAATCGCAGTCGAGTTCACATCCCCCACAGTAGCGAGCAGTCCTTTCGCTTCATTTTTATTTCCCCGTGCAAACTGCAAAATCGCCGCCTGAAGTCGCAACTTTGGATTGTCAGATCCGGCCATTTGCTCCATCGACTCGATCGATCCCATCGACGAGATCTCTTCCGTGTAGCTTTTCGATCTTCCGATCATCGTTTCCGAGAGCGTCTCCGTGTTCAACTTTTGCATCGTATTTTTCATCACCAACCCTCTTTTCGTCAAAACCACCACTTTTCCGTCAAAAGCGCCGACCGACAAAATTTCATCGAGTTTTTCGACGTCGCAATCTTCGCCCAACCAAAGTCGACTGGCTGAAACAACCGCTGATTCAGTCATGTAAGGGAGGATTACGGAGGCTTGGTGGTTTTGAGGGAGGCTGATGATTTTCGAGTCGAATTCGTAGCTTTCGTTTAGCATTTCAGAAAGGCTAAAAGAGGGAGGAAAATGAGGCCTTCTTTTCAACCAAAAAATCCCGCTTTCTTATTGGTCAAAGCCTGTTTTTGAGCGTTTTGATTCGCCAACGGCATTTTCCCTCCCTAACCTGATAATCTTCAATTTCATCTTTTCGCCAAAAGAAGAAAGAAAGCCAATGTACTTGGAGTTCCCGTAAATGCTCAGCAAAGAATCAGAATCATCATCAATCACGTGTTCCTTCTCCATGGACGTTCGCAACTGCGCCTGGTCGCCCAAAACATCCCAAAGTTGAATTTCGTCTTTTTGAAAAATCAAAACTAATTCGTCGACCATCGTCGACAGCGGCGGGTGCTCAAAAGTCTCGCTGCTCGCCCAAAGCGAACTGATTGTTCTGCTCAAGAAGCCGGTTTGCTTCTGATTTCGGTGGATTCTAGCACTGACGGAGGAGTTGGAGATGGAAAGGCCGACGAGACCGGCTTTGGAGGTGACGGCGACGATGCGGTTTTTTGAAGAGTGGAGTTGTTGGACGATTTCGCCGGCTTTAATTGGATGAAAAAGGGGGTCCAAATTCGGGTCAGGAAAATATTGACAAATCTGTGCGATTGCAATAAATCGAAGCTATAAATCTGAGTGTTCAACATAAAAGCGCAAATCAGGGGTTCTTTTGCATGAACAGATAAAATGAAGCAAATAATGAAAGGATCTCGAAGAAAAATGTACCACTACGAATCTTGATTTACATCTCAGAACAAAAAATTGACTGTGTCACTTATCTTACCGGGAAAATAAAATTGTGTAAAAGTCAAACAAAATAATGATCTTATCTGTAGATAAAGATTGTTTAAAAATGATGATATCAATCTTATCTTTTCTGATAAGAAGAAACAGGCGCTGAAAGATTAAAAAAGTCGATTTTGCTTTATATTGATGCTATAAATCTGATCTTTTTTCGCATAAAAGCGAAAGCGAAAATTTGTACTCACCAAAAAATTTGAAAATGAAGCAAAAATTGAAAAGAAATTTCTGTAATTTAGTTTCTTGAATTCGAAATTAAATTATCGAAAATTTTTTTTGATGAATTTCAAGTTTAGGACCTGAAGTCCCGAATCATCAATTACGGCTGTCCTCGCGTGTGCGATTCACATTTTCTATGTTTCAAATGAAATAAATTTCAATTGTGATTGAAAAAAAATCAAGCTTTCGTTCATCCATTTCCTTCAACAGGCACTCTAAAATCAATCCACCTCGTTTCATCAGAATACTTCGGCCAAAACCGGCCAGATCCAGAAATAGAAATAAAACAAGCAGATTGCTCGACAATCGCAAAGTTCTTCGCCGAAACATTCGAATTGACCGGCGTCTGCACTCTGAAACTCGTCGTCTTTTGGTTCATTTTCCAGCAGTGGAGGCTCTCGCCCGCGGCGACGCAAGCCCAGCCATCGTTCAAAATCGCAGCGCTGGAAACGGACTGGTCTTTTAGCAGCTCGGCGATGTGTACGGGAACGCTAGAACCGCCCCCGAGGCGAGAAGCGGAGGGAGACGCCCGGGGCGAGTTGCCGAGTCGGAGGCGGGAGCGTTTTGAACTACTCCCTTTTGGAGTGAACATTCTGAAAGGAGGAAAGGGGTTAAATTTATAATGTTATGAAAATGAGAAAAGAAACGGTTTTCACGATTTTTACGACTTCATTGATTAATTTTTTTAGTCAAAATTCAAATATAAATTGATGAAGAACATTTTCTCTGTTTGGTAGAACAAGAATCATAATTGTGTTTCTCTTGAAAATTCCCTTTTTCTCTCCAAGCGCCTTTTCCGCCTCGACCAATCGGCGCGCGCGTCGAGATTCCCCTTCTCCCGCGCTGGAAATTCCTGCTAGTTTTTCGAATCCTTAGAGAAAGCCCAGAAGATCAAGAAAAATGGAATCGCTGGATGCTTGGGTTCATCAACAGCACTTTGAAAAATGGAGCGATAAATATTTTAAAACTCAAGGTCAGTTTTCTTAATTTTCCCTTTTTCTCCAACTTTTGTTCCAGAGAACCGAATGAACAACGCACTGGTGACCCAACTGATCACCACCACTCTTCGCCAGCAACAGCAAGCGAGAACAACAACAGCAGTCAACAATTTGCTTCAAAATGCGCGAAGAGCTCAAAATAACCTTCCAGACGTTTTCACCGCTCGAGTCACAATTCCTGCAGTTTTTCGAAGAATTCTAGCAGAACTCATAGGCAAGTCTTTCTTATATTCTTTATTTCTTATTTATCTCATTTTTCGATTTTAAAAGTCATTCGTAAACATTATCAGCAATCTTTTATCTTGAGACTCATTTTTTAAACCATATAAATTGCACCTATCGTAGTGAGTTACTTCCTAAACCAGTAAAAAGTTTCATTTTTCTGAGTTCTGAAATAATGAAAATGTGTCTTCTTATATAAGCCAAGCAAGGTGTGACATTCATCTTGCCTGAAAGCGAAGCAAATCATTCAGTCTTTTAGGCAAGAAACTCCAATATCTTGCCAGAAAACCCCTTTTTTCGACCGTCTCGGTATATTCCTACCCTAAAACTCTCTCCTCAGACTCCTGTTTCATCATGCTTGCAAAGATAATTTTCCTGCTGATCATCTACTCCGATTCCTTCGCCACGATATTTTCCCCTTCCCAAGAAGTGCTCGAAAACGTCATCGCCGATTTGACCTCAACTTTTCTCCTCCAAACGACTTTTATCGACGAAGTTTACTACGATGATATCGCACAAATGGACTTTTCAAACGGAATGGGCGACGATCTGCTTACTGTAAGTCAACTGATTCTTGAGAAAAGGGGTTGATAATGGTTTTAGTCTTGGCTGACGCTTCTCAACTTCAAAGTGATGGTGATTTTCTACGAGACGTACTGTACTTATCAATGGGAAGCCACTTTAGGTAAGACGCCGAAGATTTTGGAGGGTATCAAGAGTTTATTATGTTGATCAATTCTTTAGTAAGTTGTCAATAATTCGCAAGTTTTCATTAATCTCCCGGTAGTCGTCAGCTTCTTTTCGTTCTTTGGCACTGATGCAAGTCTGGCAAAGTTCTGAGTCTTTACTGAATCTAGCTTTTCTCGCCTCGTGCCCGAGAACATTCAAAGTTTGCATAACGCCTTTGAAAAACCAGTGGCGATCCGCAGGCTGAGGGCAGATGTGTTCAAAGAAATGGTCGAAGGAAAGACCTTGGCATTGCTTGTCCATGCACTTGAACAAAAGTCGCCAAAGATATTCATTCCTCTTTGGGACCTTACAAGCGCAATATCGTCCATGACTTTCGATATTATTTCGTGTCATGAGACAGCCAAAGCACTGTAAAAGATCAGCCTTGGTTTGGTCACAGGAGTTTTTGTACACATCCGCCGGAAACTCTCTTTGAAAATTTTAATTTGTTTTATAAGTAATTTTACCTGCAATAGTGGCAAAATCCGAGAGTAGGAGTCCTTATAAAAGAGGGTCCTAAATCTCCATCAGCAATGTCCACGGCAAATTCGAAAGGGATTTTTCTATGATCACACATTTCTGATTATTTTAAAGAGCGCCTTGACGCTGCCACTTTCGCAACTCTGGTATTGATCAAGCTCGGTTTCTGATTGTAAACTCAAGCCAGCAACACCAACGAATAAATACGGAAATCTTAGTCATTTGTTGATTCAACATCATATGCATTTTTCTCGCCCCAGGCTCTTTCTTGCGGAGTCACAGTATAATTACATCTGACTCAAGCTCATCATCATTTTCAGGAAAACTGATCTGCGGCATGAAAATCGTCCACGTCAAGTCACACAGCCACCTTCAATGGGAAGCAGACAACCGTCACGTGAAAATCCTCGAGTGCCAAAAAGTCGGATTGAAAGGCGCTTTCTGCCGCTCCTTATTCAAGAATCTCTCCGCTCTGCTCATGGTTCCAGGCCACATGACGCCGCTCTTCAACAAAATGAGAAGAGCGATTTATGACTCCGCTGCCTGTACAATCGTCGTTCGAAATCTTCAAAGAGTCTAACATTCAAGCTATCCTTTCTGTAGTAACTTTTCGTAGAAAAAAACATGTCAAAATTGAAATTTTAAAGTTTCTTTCTGTTCAAAATATGGCTTATTTTCTATAAAAGAATCACTGGTAAAAATATATTGATAATGTAACAAATTCAACAAAGAAAATTATTAAGATTGAATATTGAATTATCCTTAGATCAAAAGATGGAAAGCTCAAGAAAAATCGCGGTCGGTGAAACCAACTCAAGTGAGTCAAGCCATTTTCTCTAGTTCCCCCGGTTTTTCGTGATTTTTTCTCTAGATAACTTGAGAATTTTACTTTTCGGGAAACAATTTCCAACTAATGTTCTAGGACTATTCTATTCATTCACTTATGTACTAAATACATCCTCATTTTTTTGTCGATAAGAGACTCTCACACCCTTCTGTTTAGAGATTAACAATGGCGGAAACCGAAGCTGTTCCAAAAACCGAAGAAAACACCGTTGATTTGAACCCTACTGCGGATCAGTCCACCGAAATCGACCTTGAATACGACTTTGAGGTACCTCTTGCTCCTTCCTTATCTTCATTATTCAACCCTTCTTAGAACTACCCAGAAACTTTCTTCGAAAACTTCAGCAGCACAAAAGATCAGAAAGTCTTCAACAACGGCTCGCTAGTCTGCATTTCCAGCGAGAAACGAGTTCGATTTCCCTGTTGCATTTCCGCGCTTTCTATCAGAATTCCGAAGCTCAACCAGGAATTTCACAAGGCGAAGAAGAGAATGCTCGAAACTGGCTTTTTGAACACTTCTATTGATCTACAACTCCCCGATTTTCGACAGGTACAAGCTACTCGGATTTCCCTTCTCACTAAAAATTTAGGAAAATACGTCTTCTGCCGAAACCGCGCTGCGAATAATCTTCCAGTACGTCTTCCACGGTCACTTTAATGTCTCTCCGATGGCGATAAAAAACGTCGCCGTCCTCGCCGCCTATCTTGAAATCGACCCGATCCTCGAAGCTCTGCCGACCGCGGCGGAGAATTTGGACATTTCAGACTTTGACATCGAGGTTTACAAAAAGATCGCGAGTGGGTTGGGCGAAATGAGTGTGGTTGGACTCGAGAAGTTTACGAATGTCTTTGGCGGGCAAAAACGAAACAAGGTAGGGAAGACAACATCGCTTCTTTTCGATTTACGCCCACTTTTAGCCAGCCCAAAAGCGCACAGCCGCGAATACTGCCACTCTTCAAGAAGCAAAGAAAGAAAGCCCGCAGCCAAAGAAACAGCGGCCTTCCGAAGAACCCGTTCCAGATGAAAACTCGTTTGTCATCAGAGATTCCATGGCAGAAGAAGATAAAGAGGAGGACAAAATGGAGACGACGACAGATGCAGGAGAGATCCCGGGCTTGGAGGAGCCAAAAGAAGGAGAAAAAGAAGAGGAAAAGGCAGAAGAAAAGAAGGAAGAGGAAGCAGCAGCGGCGGAGGAATAGGCTGATATTTATTGAATCCATTTATCTTGCAAGTTAAAGTTACTACTGTCCAAAAATGATGCAACTTCAATTAGAATGAATAAAATTGTCTGATTATCAAATGAAAAATAAACGCTCAAGCTAAAGCTTTTCAAATGAAAAGAAATTTTTGATATATTGAAAGAGGTGGTTTAGAATGATAAAACTGCTGATTCGGAGAAAGAGCGAGAAGTTCTCGCTTGTTCCGAAAAATATCTTTCGAGATCGGAACCTGCCTGCGAGGTTTAGGAAGAAGGATGATCCGGTGAAGGAGATAAGGTCTGGTTTGGTTCACAAATGATTGGGCTTAGAGTTTTGTAAGAAATGGTTTATTTGGTGATACTTACGTACTAAAGTAGGCCGCTGGAAGAGTTGGAAGTTGCTTTCATTATCGTTTATTTCAATTACAATATTGATTCAATGAAGTGCCAAACCCATCACAGAATTCGTCGCACTCAAGAAACATGAACAACTTTTTGCCGACACAGGTGGAATGCGCAAGCTTCTTGGCACAGTCTCTCTCCTCATTTCCTCCTCCGTCGGTTATTGCTTGTACAAAACCTTCCTGTTCGAAGAACTCGAAGAAAACCTATCAAAATCGGAAGAAATTGCTTTACGAGCGGCTTATTTCAAATTTGGAACGTCTCATCTTGCTTATTTAATTTTCCTTTTTCCTGGGTTGAATTGTATCTTTCCTCGACTTTGTTTGAAAATTTGGGGAGTGCAGTTGCTTTCAAGAGCACCCAAGAAATCACCAGTTGTTTTGCTCCAGCTTTATCTGATCGTTTTCGCGTAAGGGGTTTTTTGATCGATTTTTATAAAGAAAATTCTAGAGCTCTTGCTTCTGCAACTTCTATCGACCCTTATTCCATCGCTTGGATCGATTCTTTGCCCGAAGAAAAACGCCAGGCCGCGGAGAGCTGTTTAATTCACCCAGCATCTGGAATTTACGATCACTTGCCGTACATTTATCGAGTTCTTCACGCTGGTACTTTAAGCTACAAACATTTTCAATGCGAAAATGGATTTTTGGATAGCAAAGTCTTCAGCTTTTTACTTGACGAAAACATGAAGGAATCTTTGAGAGTGTGGATTTATTCAAAAAGGTTTGAGTGAAAAATATGCCTTCAGTGGAGAATTACTTGTTTTACTAGACAAGTGCTCATTGGAATGTTTGGAAACAGCAAACAGATGTCATCCAGCGAGCCGTGAAAAATTGAAAGACGATTTAATTTATTGCTTCTCTCTGTAATATTACTGTACCGCTTCTTGTTGGATCGTGTTTTGTGCAAATGTGATGATTATACATAAAAATTTAACACTGTAAGTCAAGTTTTCTGCCGTTCTTAGTCATTTTTGGCCAAAAAGATAAAAAGAGCATTTGGCGGCTTCGGGACGGCTTTCGGACAGTCCAGATGTCGCCAGATGCGGGAGCATGATGCTCCGCGCGAGTGCTCTTCGCGCCGCACGTGCTACAACACTTTTTTGACTTCGCAAGCAAAAGAGAGAGAAAGGGGAAATAAAAATGAGCTTCTTTCAGACTTTCGAAAAAAGCGGTAAATCGAGAAAGATCGAGAAATGGAGGGTGAAAACAATGACGAATCTAGGTAAGCAATGAAAATGAAAGATCCGTTTGCTTGAGTGGTGCTTTTCAGTCAGGAAGTATCAGAGCAAGTTGTCGAGGAGACTGTAGTCGAAGAAACAGTAGTTGAGCAGGCGAGAACTGAGCAAGAGCCGGAAAAAATGGATACTGCGGAAGAAATCGTCCAAGAAACGGTGGAGGAAACTTCGGCTGCTGCGGAAGAGACCGTGGAAGAAACGGTAGAGGAAACAGTCGAAGAAACCGTCGAAGAAACCGTTGAGGAAACGGTGGAGGAGACTGTTCACGAGGAAACAGTGGAAGCGGAGGAAGCAATGACAAACGAGGAAACCGTGGAGGAAACTGTTGAAGAGACCGTCCACGAAGAAGTTGTTGAAGATTCCAATGATGGTACGTACCCGGATGGGTTCCTTTCGTGGCCAATTCGAGAAATGTTCCTCTCGTGGCCATGCACCTCTCGTAGCCATGTTCCCCGAGTGGCCATCAATTGACGCCAGATATGATTCAGAGGAATTCTGATATCAAATAGGGTCTGCCAATCCACCCTCTACTATTTCTTCTAACTCCATTTGAAAAACTCCACTAGAAATGTGACATTCGTTACATTTTCAGTACTGTCGGAATTCTGGTATCAAGAAGGGTCGATCTTTCTCTTAGAAAATTCAAAATAATGATAAATTTATGTTTAAAGCTATAAACGATTCATATGATCAGTTATTATAATAAAAAAAATAAATTTAACGAAGCATCTTTTCAAAAACTCCACTCTTCACTCTTCTGAAGCGAAAATAGCTATAAAAATGCTCGAAATTTTACTATCAATCATGCCGAACTTATGCCGATTATATTATACAGAGTGGAAAATGCAGAAATACTTGCCATTTTATATTTTAAATGGAGTAAGAAGAAATAGTAGAGGGCAGATTGGCAGACCCTACTTGATATCAGAATTCCTCTGAATCATATCTGGCGTCAATTGATGGCCACTCGGGGAACATGGCTACGAGAGGTGCATGGCCACGAGAGGAACATTTCTCGAATTGGCCACGAGGGGAACCCATCCTACGTACCCTGCTCTTTTCATTTTTCATCTCGTTTACCCTTTTTTCAGCTATTCCAGAGCCGATGGACGACGCAGCAGACCAAATCGTCGAGGGCGGCTACGAAGAAGTCGTTAACGAAGAGACCGTCGAGAATGCTGAAGCTGAGGATTCGAACTCTCAGGACGCTAATTCCGCCGACCAGATCAATCTTGAAAACGATGTGATGGAATCAACAACGAGCGTTCCTGTCGACAACGCGGACGACTCTGATTCCGACGACGATCAGGCGGATGATGACAACAAGCTAAACAAAGTAACCGATTCGGATTCAGGTAAAGCACTCACAAATCCTTTCACGATCAAAATCTGTCTGATAGACTCTGACAACGACGAGGGGCCAAAAGAAACCATCGCATCAGATGATGAAGAAGCTCCAGAGCGGCAATACGGAAAGACTGGTCTAGAATCGTCGGATGAAGAAGATGAGGGCGAAACCTCGAAGCCAGCACCTACCGGTACCATTTTTTTAAAGCTTGCAATTCTAAATCCTTCATTCTAGGGCTAGAATCGGACTCAGACGACGAAGGTCCAGTCGATAGAACACCAGCGCCAGAGAAAGCTCCCCCAGCTCCAGCTGCTGATTCTTCAGATGACGATATCGGCCCGGTTGATTCTGGCCCCGTCGTTTCTGACTTCGATCTGATGATGCAAAAGAGAAAAGAGGAAAATCGCATGAAGCGAATGAAAAACAAGAAGAACGAGGGCGCGTTTATTTCGGATGTTGATGACTCGATCAACTCGATGATGAATCGAATGAAAGAAGCTGCTGATGCTGATAAAGGTAACGAGAAAAAGAAAAGGGAATGTTGATTGGAATTTTAGAGGCAAATATCAACCGCCGCCCAGGATTCCGCAAAATGAAGATGCTGAAAGAAGTGGTCAAAAACATCTCAAAAAGCGACTTGAACGAGGTTCTCATCGAACACGGAATCATGAGTGCCCTTGCTGACTGGATCTCTCCGCTTCCTGACAAGTCACTGCCATCGTTGACGATTCGAACCGAGCTTCTCAAAGTCCTCAAGAGGAACTTCTTACATGTTTCCGCCGAGACTCTCAAATTGTCTGGAATCGGTAAGGCGATCATGCTGCTTTACAAGCATCCAAAAGAGCTCCGAGAAAACAAGGTAAAATAGGGTTGAAAAAGACGTGTTAAAGATTGTTCAGCAAATCTGCCGAGAGCTGGTTGCAAAATGGTCGCGCCCGATTTTCGGCCTCAACGACAACTTTACATCGATATCGCGCGAAGCTCGAGAACAGCGGGATTTTGAACTTTTGCCAAAAACCAAAAAGAAGCGGCTGAAGGAATCGACCGAGGGCAAAGATGAGAGTCAGATGGAAGAAGCTGCCGATGTAAGAGCACTCTTTCAAGCTTCTTTCTACCGTTTTTATTAGGAGGAAGCCCTGAAACCAGGAAGAAAAGGTTTTATCAATCGAGCTCGAGTTCCAGCGCCGAGTAATCAAGAATACGTCGTTAGACCCAAGGTAAGCCCTTTTAGCTTGGTTTTTACAGCTTTTCCGCTTTTTCAATTCGTCAAAACAATTTGTAGTGGAATGTCGACGATGACGATTCGGGCGACGATGACAACCCTCGTCCAAAGAAAAAGCGAAGAAATGTGCCACACAAGAAATCTGCCGCTGAGGATCGTCTAGATCGACAGCTCAAGGTACACTTAACTCTATTTCTTCCTAAATAACTCTTGAATTCCAGCGACAAATGGACGCAAAACGAAGCAAAAAGATCGCGCAGGGCGCAAAAGTCAATCTCCAGAAAATTTCCCTCTGAGCAACAGAAAAATAGCAACACTGCTTCATGTCTTTTATTTTCAAAATTAGTGTGCGCGTTTATTTTCTTCTCCACCCATTTTAAAGTTATAAATATCCACCGAATGCTGCCAACACCTAAAATTCTAGCTCTTCAATTTTAAACCATTCAGAATCCGGGCCACAGAAATGGCTATTTACGGCGATGATGTTGTTCTGTGCTTCATCTGTGGAGGGAAAACGCAGCCAGATGTAAACCTAGTTCTCTACTCAAGAAAGCGAAAAGACGACAGTCCCTACTACCCATTTCTCGAAGTACACGACCCAGCTCCAGGAGCGGAGCCGATGGCCGATGATGGATCGATTCAGGGATGCATCGTTTGTTTCAGTTTTCTTCAACAACAATGGCTTCATTTCAACAAAACAAGAACCGCCGTCAACAAGCGTCTTTACTGGCTGAAACGACCGCCAGGATGTGAGATCCGACAACCGGTCAATATTATTGAGCTTGAAGAAATTCTTTCAGAACAAGGTAAAAGATAAATTTGTACCGAGCTCGTGCAGGTCTTGTCCATTTAAAAGAGGGAGGTCGACGAAATAAAAAGCCGGTGAATTTTCTGAATGTCCCGCTTGTTAACCATTATTGCTGGTGATTGCGATGATGGGCCTTGGCGGGTCATCGATCAAGATTAAGTCGGAAAAAAGTAGTTATGGTCTGTTCTTTCCAAAATTTATGGTTTCAAGATAGGATTTTATTGACGGAAGGATTTATTTACCTAGGCATGGGGAAGTTGTTACGATTGCCGTTTCATTTTGTAATTCCTCAATAAGTTCAGCTTCTTCCTTTTAGCACAATCTTCCAAGAACGATGGTAGATTTTTGTGATCCTCGTGAAAACATTTTATTTGGTAATTTTTCAGTTGCCTCGTTCATTTTATACGGCTTATCGGATGATGAAATCATCAGATGTCAACCGTAATTGGAGCATTCAATCGAACCAAATAATGCTCCAGTAAATAATCAGTTCAAAGATGAACATCGATAAGAGTCGGTCTAAATCCTTCCTGTACTTTTCTAAAAAATAACATCGCCAGTTCACAACACCTCTCAACTATCATTCAGCTCGCGAAGATGACTTCCACTCAGGTTCCGACGAAGAACCAACTCCGAGCCCAGCCCCTGCTCGTCGAGAAAAGTCCGTTTCTCCCCCCGCTCCCGATCCATCCCCCCGAGAAACTGTCTGTTTTCTCTGCTCGATTCCAACTCAAAAAAGCCACATGCAGCGAATCGCGCTCGAGAAAAACTCCGAAACGATGAAAACCATTCCCGAAACTCCTGTTTTCTCCGTCTTATCCCGTCGAAAACCTCCCAAAGGAGCTGTCATGGACATTCCGCACACAACACATGTCTGCCAAAATTGCTTCACGGATCTTTGCCGCAAATACCCGCCAGAGGAGCAGATTCAAGAAGTTGATGAAATGGCGAAAGTTGCGCAGAGAAAGACAAGTTTCAAATGCTATCTTTGCAAATGCTCAATTCAAATGGCACCTAAAGTTCTTTACGCGAAACAAGTTCACAAGGGCGAACCATTTTATCCGTTTCTATCAACGCTTTCGAATTTTGGTAAGTTCTCTTCCTTGATTTCAGCTTTTTATGACCATTTTTAGACGCGAAAGACCTGATGAAACCGAGCGTTTACGGGTACACCTATTCCTGCCAAAACTGCCACGATGAGCTTTACAAGCAATGGTGCGTTTATGAACGAGAACGACTTCCGCAGTCGAAGAGAAAATATGAAAAGCAGATTGAAAGTCTTTTTGAATCGACAGATACGACTGAGGATCTTGATCGTCCATCGATGGTTGTTACCAATGATTCTTTGGCAAGTCACGTGGTGAAGTCAATGGAAACAGATAAATTTATGGAATGCTATATTTGCGCCAGGGAGTTGGTGGAAAAGTTCAAAGTCAATACCCACCCATGTTTGTTCAAAAACAGTTCTAACCGAGCCTTATCATAATTCTAGTGCCGAGCGATGAAAACCAACCGTTCTTCCCCGCCATTGCCAACATCATTCCTGCCACTAGAACCCAACAACTAAACCAGCATTCCTCAGGAGGAGCCGCGTTCGTTTGCAAGATCTGTGACAAAAATCTGAAGCACCAATGGCAGCAATACGAGCAAGGACGACTGCCGAATCTGAATCGATGGCTAAGACCGTATAATGTTCAAGAAATCAGCTGTGGCCAGTGTGGTTCCACGGTTCCCTCGGCGAACACGGTCGAAGCGTCGATTTCGGGAAGTAGTTTGCGGGATAATGCGATTACTTATGAAGACATGGTAAGTTTCTTGCTCAAGATCTTGTTCTTATTCCTAGACAATCATTTGCAAAACATGTGAAAAAGCCGGCCAGAGCCGCGAAAGCCCACAACCAATGGTCACCAGTATTCCACCTGTCACTTCTTCAGTTCAAACGCCCATCACTTCCATCACCAATCCTACTTCCAGCTGGGGCCATCCCCTTCGTAAGAACACTCAACAGTCTTCCTCTTACCCTGTCTCCCTAGATGGTTTCTCGCCAGATGTTCTTTCCCAACTCGCCAGTGCTCAAGTTTCACAACTGAGTCAACTTGGACTGCCGCCGTTTTATCCTCTTCTTCCGCAACTGTTGTCCGCCTACCAGAACCCAGCGAATTTAGCCGGGCTTAGCCATGGTAAGCCCTCGATTCTCTCCCTCTTTTTCATCTCTTTTCTAGCTCAACTCACTGCCGCAGCACTTACTCAACAAATGGCAACGTCTCAATTTGCGGGACAAAAACGACCAACAGATGAACAGGTACAAACCGACCCTCTCTTCGTTGATTTGAATGATTTTTAGGAGACACCGACGGAGACGAAGAAGGATAAAACGGATGACATCACCGAGCGAATCCGTCAACTGGAAGAAAAATACGAAAAACTTCAGAACTCTTCTCGCAAACTCGCTGAATCCGTAGTCAGTGGGGAGTTGTCAAAAGAAGAAGCAAAAAGTTTGCTGGACAAAATGGAAGAATAAAATTCCCTCCACTGTAAAAAAGCTCATTTTGGAAATAATCTGACTCTATAATTATTTGGTTCAACCTTGCGATTCGCAAAAAATGATTTAAATTTCTTACTTCTGTAAATTGATTCTCCGATTATCCCCGTTGCAGTAACAGACCACACGCCTACCTGTGCAAATATTCTCGCTCATGACAAAGAAAATTTCTCATTTCAGCTTTTCAACTCGCTCATTTCCTGATTCCGAAAAAGACCGTTTCTTATCAAAACTTTTTCTCGGCAAATTTCTTCAAGAGTTTTTTTAAGGCCAAGAGATGTGGAGAGTAACTCGTAGATTTGCGAGCGTAAGAGTCAATATTATCTACTGTGGCGTTTGAGACCACCGTCCAAAATTTGAGCTTGTTCAGGTACCTTCCTCACTCGTTATTTCTTCAAAGAGTTCTAGTCTCAAATTTTGGACGAATTCGGGTCCGAAAAAGTCTCCGTTTCCGGCAAAGCTCACATGAACCATTCCGGCATTTTCAACGTCCTCGTAAACGACCAGTTGGTTCATGAAAAACTCGCTGGAGATGGTCACGTGGACAACGATACAAAACTGAACAGAATCTTCCAAGCCATCGATGATGCTCTTGAATGAGCGGTCACTTCTTTTTCTTGTTTCTGAGCGAATGACGCTGAATGGATCAAAAGCTTTTTATAGCTGCATGAAGCTGAAGATTTCAGAAATTTAAAGGATGACTGTACTTATTCTGCTTCTATTTATTACACGAAAATATTTACTCGAATATCGTTGAAATCAACGAAGAGAACGATCGTCAATTTTCGACTTTCAGAATGGGAGTACTAGTTCATATTGAATTCTGTGGTATATGAAACCATCGTCCAAAATTTGAGCATCTCCAGGTACTTTTCATCGATCGAAAAAGACTCAATCGTTCGTAGACTCAAATTTTGGACGAATTCGGTGTCGAAAAAGTCACCGTTTCTGGCGAGGAAGTGTCCAAGAAAGACAACCCCGACGACCCAAAGCGTGGTACTTTCAAGGTCACTGTCAACGGAGCCGTTGTTCATTCCAAAAAGGATGGAGATGGTCATGTCGACAGCGATGCAAAGGTTGAGAAGATCTTCAACGCTATTCAGAAAGCGATGGAATAAATGTCTTCTCCCTATTCTTTCATGATTTGCCCCCACTTCCCTTTTTCAAAAGCGGACGAAATGAGTACGAGCGAATGATATCAAAAGAAAAAAGCTCGACCGAGACCTCTTTTGAAGGAAAAAAATCGGAAAACTTCTGAAGCGATTGAAAAAGTCCTGATTCTCCCCTCCTTCCAATCAATTGTTCTTCCACTCTTGTTCCAAAAATAAAGAAAAAACACTAAAAGCACACGGTTCAATCGAAAATCGAAGTACTAAGAGTATTACTCCTAGCCCAGTGCTCAGTCAAATATTTGAAGTGGTCATAAAATCGATTATAGAAAGGTCCAGCATCTTCGAGAATAAAGTCCACCAAAGCTAGATCGTCGATCTAAGATCGAGTTTGAGCTAGAGCGTTTATAAGAGACGGAAAGCTAATTCACTGGAAATTATTTTTTCTTTTCTTCAGAATGCCCATCGATTACAGTAAATGGAACAAAATTGAAATTTCGGATGACGAAGATGACACGCATCCAAACATTCACACTCCCTCACTTTTCAAGGTAGCTTTTTCTTCCTTGATTTCAATCAACTTTTCTCTCAGTGGCGGCATGAAGCGCGAGTCCAGCGAATGGAAGAAATGGCCAAAGAAAAAGAACAAATTTCAGAATCGAAAAAAGACGCGGAGCGAGCGCTCGCCGAAGCGAAGAAAAAAGGGTTGACAGACGCTGAGCTAGAGAAACAAGTCGAAGAGTGGAAAATCAAAGAACGCGAGTTCGAAAAGAAGGAAAAGTCGCAACCCCTGAATGTGGATACTATTGGAACTGTCGCTCAGTCCAGCTCAAGAATCAACAAAGCCAAAACAGAGCTAGAAATCAAATCGGAGGAAGAGCTGATGAGCGATTATCAAAGATTCACAAAGAAATGGGAGGCGGAAATCAAGAAGTTTGGAATGTTCAAAAGACTCGAGGACTCCCAGCAATATCTCAGGTATTCCTCCATCTTCCTTCTCATTCCTTCCTCAATTCTTTTAGCGAAAACACCTACCTGGTCAACGAGCATACAGCTTCCTTTCTCTGTATTTACTGTATCGACCTGTGCGTCGAAGAAAAGATGAGTTTGATGAACCAAGTTTCGCATCAAGCAGTCATTCTTCAATTCATTCTAGAGCTCGCCAAAACCCACAAGTAAGATCCTCCTCCTTGATTTCAGTTCTTTCTATTCAATTCAAGAATCGACCCAAGAGGCTGTTTCCGACAATTCTTCGACAAATACCGCAAAAATGAAAATCCAGAATACCAGGTTCGTTTCCCCTTTTTTTTACCAGACTGTAACTCATCTCAATTACAGAAAGCATTCGACGACGAACTTGCCGCCTTCCGCGAACGAGTAAAAGGCCGCGCTCAAGCTAGAATCGACGCGTATTTGGAAGAGCAGAAGCAAGAAGAAGAATCAGAAAGGCAAAAACGAATTGAAGCATCTCCTGGAGGAGTTGATCCTCAGGAAGTCTTTGAGTCGCTCCCAGAAGCCTGGCAAAAGTGCTTTGAAACGCAAGACATTCCCATGCTGCAAGTACGCCGTTTGTTTTAGATGATAGCTTAACTTCTGCTCTAGAAAGTGGTCTCGGAGACAGATCCCAAAGTCGCGTCAGAGCTTCTCGACAAATGCATAAAGAGCGGTCTCTGGGTTCCCGGGCCAGATGAAAAAGGAGATGAATCGCCTGCCAGTGCCGCCGCTGCCGAAAACACTAAGCCATCAACGACCTCAATAGAGGAACAGGATTAAGCTAGCTTTATTCTTGAATACATTATAGGTACGAAAACCTTCATTTACTATTTATCATCTGACTTTTCTAGCCATGCGATTGCGTCGACCAACTTACTTCTTCATTTAACTCCCTCACACCTTCAAGGAACAAAAATGATCGTTAGGAACAATTTCGACAACCAAAAACGCCAAAAATGAGCTTTCCGCATGTTCACAAAAACTTGAAATAAAACTTGATTCGTTCCCACCTTTTATCAAAATGCGGTTTTTTGGAAACGCATTTGAGTCCTGATTGTTGGCTTTCCGTTTCAGAGCTTGATGGATAAGTGTTATTAAGTCAGGGGATAGATCAAAACGTCGCGTTTATTCTTGAGCATATGAAAGGTAAGAATGCCACATATTTTGCCCCGACTGACCATGGTTACTCCAAACATTTCTCTAAAAGACTCTTTATTTCGGGTAAAACCTAAAAATATCAGCAAGGGCAACAAGGGCATCAATGCTGCCTCAGTCTTTGTTTGTAAAGTACCTAAGTCGAATAAAAACATGCCTACAACAAAACATTCTTGAACGTGGTCGTTGGCCGATCATTCATCATCGATCGATGGCCCATCATAATCATGGATCATGATCGACGATGGCAGAAACAAACGGGAACTGCTCGTTATCAGCATAAGGACCCTCTGACTTTCACGTTTCACAGACGCGTGGCATTGACAACGCTTGTTGACTTTCGCTTTAAAATCGATGCAGGTTCAACGTTTTGAAAAACAATAGACATGTTGTACACATGTCTCTATTCGAAACTTAAACTGCGCTCATTACAAGTGGGTTCAAAACATAAGGAAAACTTTGGCCCGTAGGAGTTCTTTGAGACACTTTTGCGTTTATCAAAAGGAAAAAATCAATTTGCTGCTCTGAATCAGTGACTCGGACTTTCCGACTCGGACAGTTGAAGTCAAAACTTAAAAAGTTCTTAAGTTAAGAACCCCTCCGTCAGCTTTTTTCTTCGAAAAATGGTAATTTAAAAAGTACCATCACTTGCTTCAAAAACTTGATAAGAGGAGTTTTTGACCAAGAAAAATCAATATTTTTGTAAAAATAATGGCAAACTCGTCAATTTTCGGTAGTAGAAAGAAAGAAAAGTAGAAAGAATTGTAATTACATTCAAAAAAAGGACTTAGGAAAGTATTAAGCATTTACCTGAGACCTGATAAAGGAAAGGTTTGTCCTCCGTAAGAAAAGGAGTCCGACCCTACTGTAGGTTCAAACACTTCTGAAAATCAATTTGCTGCTATCATAGCAGTGCTATAGTGGATCTCAATGTGCAATACGCGCTGCGTACGGAGTAACTCCTGCGCAAACAAACTCCTCCGCCCGGACAGACTTCCCTGCGCACGGACAGACTTCTCTGCGCGCGGACGAAACTATCTACGCCCGCAACAAAGAACGCTTGCTCCCTACGTATAGCCCTTTCTCCCTGTGCACAAACTTCTTTACAAACGTGATTATTCATTCTCCCTACGGAACACTCTTTCTTCTTACGCAGCTGTCATACTTCCGTACGGACAAAGCTCCGTCCGTACGCACAGAAAATTTCGCACAGAAATAGTATATAAGTCGCTCTGCTTCGCAACTCAATAATCACTCGACACTCACTTGGAAATCAGCTCACAATGTAAAACTGCTCACTTTTTACAAAACAACGTTCACTATTTTTATCCTGCTCGTGATAACAATAAACTACATTTTCAAACCAAACTTATGTTACATAAGTTATGTACATTGAGAAACACGTACAGTGCTATATATGAGAGCCTCTGATAGTTGCAGTCGCGAATTAAGCTTTTTTTTATTTGATTCTGAGTCGAAATTTTGCTAATTGAGTTGCGCTGGTCTTCCTCCGAAAACGACTGCTCAGGCAGCTCAGCTCAGCAAAACATCTTTTTTTTTCTTACGGGAAAAATTCTTATTACTCTTGTTCTTTTCTTGATTTAGTTTTACCAATGAATACGGTCATGACCGTCATAGTTTCTCCTGAAAGGTTTAGAGTTAAAAGTTTAAGCCTCGTGCGCCATCGCGCTCTCGCCTGCTCGTAGTGAGAAGTCACGAAAACTCATTATAAACTCGCCCTGACAAAAAAGCAACCAAGAAATAATCTTTTCGAAATGAAATTAGTATATTCTCTTTTGACAGTGTGTCTCGCAAAGCGCGGTAAACGCAATCGAGGAGGAGAGGCTGATGCACCACTAACACGACCTAATAACCCCTTGGCCGGGTACGTTGAGGGCGGAAAGAGCCATGGTGGCAGTTGCAAGAATTTCGCTGTTCCTCAATATTGCTGCGAAGAAGGCGAAATCGATCACTGCAAAACAGGATCATGCTGGTGCGACGTGGTCTGCTGCCACTACGGCGACTGTTGTTCAGACTACGACGATGGATTCTGCGCCGCTCAACTTGGCTCCTGCTTTGAGCAAACTGGCACGACAAGTTGCAAGAGCGGCTTCTTCTTTGACGGCAGCGGCTGTTCCGACATCGACGAGTGCGCCACTGGGACTCACAGTTGCAATACCGTCACTCAACAATGCGTAAACACGTCTGGGTCGCACACCTGCAACACAGTTGCCATCCCGTGCCCAGCGGGATTCACCGGAAATGAGCCCAATTGTGCAGACATAAACGAGTGCGCTGCTGGAACCCACACTTGCGCTGCCACCGTCGAAAGTTGCGTCAACACTGCTGGATCTTTTAACTGCATTTGCTCAAGCGGATACGAGCAAAACGATGCCGGAGTTTGCGTTGATATCGACGAGTGCGCCCGAGGTACGGACAGTTGCGCTGACACCGTCGAAACTTGTGTCAACAATGTGGGTTCTTTCACCTGCCCATGCTCCAGTGGATACGAAGAAAACGGTGCCGGAGTCTGCGTCAACATTGATGAGTGCGCTCGAGGCACTGATACATGCAACGCAGTCACAGAAGATTGCAACGACACTGCCGGCTCCTTCTTCTGCACCTGCGCCAAAGGCTTCGCCGCAGACTCTTCTGGAACATGCGTTGATGTAGATGAATGCGCTGATGGGACGGATACCTGTGCTGCCATTGTTGAAACCTGCGTTAACAACTTTGGTTCCTTCACTTGTCCATGCTCAACTGGATACGAACGAGATGGTGCGGGAGTTTGCGTTGATATCGACGAGTGCACCCGGGGTACGGACAGTTGCGCTGACACCGTCGAAACTTGCGTCAACAATGTCGGATCTTTCGACTGCCCCTGCTCAACTGGATACGAACGAGACGGTGCCGGAGTTTGTGTCAACATTGATGAGTGCGCTCGAGGCACTGATACATGCGATGATGTCACAGAAGTTTGCAACGATTCTGTAGGCTCCTTCTTCTGCACCTGCGCCACAGGCTACGCCGCAGACTCTACTGGAACATGCGTTGATGTAGATGAATGCGCTGATGGGACGGATACCTGTGCCGCCATTGTTGAAACCTGCGTAAACACTATTGGATCATACGACTGCCCATGCTCTAGCGGATACGAGCGAGGAGATGATGGTGTATGCGCCGATATCGACGAGTGCGCCCGAGAAATTGACACGTGCCACCCAACAAAAGAACGATGCGACAATTTGGCCGGCTCCTACGAATGCATCTGCTTGCCAATGTCTTACGACAAAGCAATTGGCACCATTCAAGAATGGATCGACATTACCTACGAAGTCGTCGCCGATCATGGTCGAGCCGGAAAATTCCAAATCCGAACTGACAAACTTCTTCGAAACGCGCTTCGCAGCTACGAAGTCAACTGCACTGCTCCCTACGACGCTGAGCGTATCGGGAAGAACGACTTCGCCATCTGGGAAAAACAAGCTGTCCGATCTGAAGACCACTGCACTCAGACTGAAACCATCAAAGCTGGCCTGTACGCCTGGGTTGACAACTACGCCTGCATGAGCAAGAAAACGAGTCGACAAACGAAACGAGTGACCAAGTTCATTGGAAAAATGACCAACCCTTACTGTTAAAACTTGGATTTTGCAATTTTATGTCAGTGAAACTCTTATTTTGCAAAATAAACAGACTTCGATCTTTAATCATATTCTTTCCTTTTTTTCTAAAAATAATCACATCAACCATCAATTATCATGTTCAAGCAATTCATTTTCTTTTCAGCTGCAAAAGCCAGCAGAAACTCCAAACAGGAAGGCGATTTTCATCAATACCCCAATAACTTCTTGACCAATCAATTGATATTTGACGCATTTCTGGTTGCTAGAGCAAATTTATGCCTTTTCGCTATTCTCGATCGAAAGTGCCGCGGTAGCGGACGTTATCAGGTTGATTAGCCGAAGTAAGATCCTCCTCGTTGATTTCACTTCTTTTTATTCAATTCAAGAATCGACCCAAGAGGCTGTTTCCGACATTTCTTCGATAAATACCGCAAAAACTCAAACCCAGAAAGTGGTCTCGGAGACAGATCCCAAAGTCGCGTCAGAGCTTCTCGACAAATGCATAAAAAGCGGGTTCCCGGGCCAGATGAAAAAGGAGACGGCTGCCAATACCGCCACTGCCGAAAACACGACGCCATCAACGACCTCAATCGAGGAACAGGATTAAGTCAGATATATTCTTGAGCACTCTATAGGTACGAAAACCTTCATTTACTGTCATTTATTATCTGACTTTTCTAGCCATGCGATTGCGTCGTCCAACTTTTTTCTTCATTTAACTCCCTCACACCTTCAAGGAACAAAAATGATCGTAAGGAACAATTTCGACAACCAAAAACGCCAAAAATGAGCTTTCCGCATGTTATTAATTCTCTTGAAGATGACACCTTGAATTAATTTCGTTTATTTTGTTTAAGGGCTACCGGGGACTCCCAGTACCAATTTTGGCAAGGCAAAATTTTAGTCAGCCAGGAACGCCCGCTCCGCGGGTTTTGTGGTAAGAAACTTACTGATTCGGACAGGCTGCACTTCTATTCACCTGTCTTCTATTGTTCCGACTGAAATATTTCGTTATAATATCACTCGGAAAGCCGGAATTGGTACTCCTAGTACCATAAATGGCTTGGGTACTGCGAGTCCCCGACGACAGTGTGCAAAATTGATATCTCTGCCACTCACTGTTTCTGAAGACGGACAAACCAAGTCCGAAAGCTTAAACAAAATAAACGAAATCAACTTCCGCATGTTCACAACAAACTCGAAATAAAACTTGTTTCTTTCCGACCATGCGGTTTCTAACACCCCTTGTTTTGAGCGGTTCCTAACAAACGCATCTTGTTTCTTTGATTGATTATTTTTTTTTCTCAAACAAACTGACCAAATATAATCGCAGTTTTTGCTTTATTAGAGGGAGATTTTTCAACCGCGAACATCAGCAGATACGTAGGACAGGGATAGGGTTCCTGATTTAATGCCGCCATTTTGGCACCAAAATTTCGAGAATCCGGCCTGAAATTGGAATCGTATGTTTGCCGATATTGGACTTTATTTGGTCGAGATTTTTTTGTTATTAAAGAGGGTCTTTTGTTTACTGCTGTTTAATTTGCTCCCTGCTCGCTGGAGGGAAATTTAGGCCAAGAAGAAAATGCCAAGCTGAACCCGGCTTATCAATTTGAACGAGCGTTGGAACTCATTGAAATCTACAATGCAAATCAGTGATTTGTGGGCTAACAAGACGTTCTGTTTATATTTTGTTATTGAGTCGACAGTTATTCTGAATAACTTATTATTATTATTCACACTCGTGAAGTTAAAGTGGCAGATTTTAGGATTAGGATTTGTGATGACATAAACACTTTTGTCATTATGATGCCAGTATGTAAGTAAAACAATTGCCCTTTGTAGATCCCTAAAATGAAGCCTCGAAATCGTTTTATGACTTGTAGAATCGATTTCCGGGGTGGAGAAAAGTTGACGGGGGTTAGAAAAAAACTTAACTAGCTGTTATACCGATGCATTATAGATAGATCGCGATTCACATTCCTAAATGACCAAAAATATAATTGCCAATAAGCCAATTAAAATTTCCGTCAAGCAAAACCCCAGTCAAGTTCCTCCTGTTTTTCTGATGAGGTTAAAATGTTATGCCTCTCGCGCCCCGGCGCTCTCGCCTGCTCGTAGCGAGAACTCATGAAAGTTCATGTTAAAATCGCTCTGACCCAAAAAAATGAAAACATAGTGATCTTCAAAATGAAAATATTTTATTTTTTGACAGTGAGTCTCGCAAAACGCAATCTGGGAAGAAACGCCGATGCACCACCTACACGACCTTTTAACCCCCTTTTGGCCGGGAACGTCGTGAGTAATAAAAACAGTGGTAGCAGTTGCAAGAATTTCGCTGTTCCTCAATTTTGCTGCGAAGAAGGCAACATCGGTGAATGCAACACAGGAATATGCTGGTGCGACGCGGTCTGCTGCAACTACAACGACTGTTGCTCAGACTACGACGAGGGATTCTGCGCCGCTCAACTTGGCTCCTGCTTTGAGCAAACAGGCACGACAAGTTGCCATAGCGGCTTTTCTTTTGACGGCAGCGGCTGTTCCGACATCGACGAGTGTGCCAACGGCTCTCACAGTTGCAATACCGTCACTCAACAATGCGTAAACACGTCTGGATCGCACACCTGCAACACAGTTGCCATCCCGTGCCCAGCTGGATTTAGCGGAAATGAGCCAAATTGTGTAGACATAGACGAGTGCGCTGGTGGAACCCACACTTGCGCTGCCACCGTCGAAACTTGCGTCAACACTGCAGGTTCTTTCACCTGCCCTTGCTCAAGTGGATACGAGCAAAACGGTGCCGGAGTTTGCGTTGATATCGACGAATGTGCCAGAGGTACGGACACTTGCGCTGACACCGTCGAAACTTGTGTCAACAATGCCGGATCTTTCACCTGCCCGTGCTCAACTGGATATGAGCAAAACGGTGGCGGAGTTTGCGTTGATATCGACGAGTGCGCCCGAGGTACAGATAGTTGCGCTGACACCATCGAAACTTGCGTCAACAATGTCGGATCTTTCACCTGCCCTTGCTCCATTGGATACGAGAGAGATGATGGGGGAGTTTGCGTTGATATCGACGAGTGTGCCCGAGGCACGGACACTTGCGCTGACATCGTCGAAACTTGCGTCAACAATATCGGATCTTTTGACTGCCCTTGCTCAACCGGATACGAGCGAGATGATACGGGAGTTTGCGTCAACATCGATGAGTGCGAACGAGGCACTGATACATGCGACCGAGTCACAGAAGTTTGCAACGACACTATAGGCTCCTTCTTCTGCACCTGCGCCGAAGGCTACGCCCCAGACTCAAATATATTGATATTCAACAATGTTCAAGTATGTGTTGATGTAGATGAATGTGTTCATAGGACTACCTGTGCCGTCCTTGCTGAAACCTGCGAAAACACCGTTGGTTCATTCACTTGTTCATGCTCAACTGGATACGAACGTAACGAAGCTGGAGTCTGCGTCGATATCGACGAGTGCGCCCGAGAAATCGACACGTGCCACGCAACAAAAGAACGATGCGAGAATCTGCCGGGCTCCTACGAATGCATCTGCTTGCCAATGTCTTTCGACGAATCCATGGACACCATTCGAGAATGGATCAACATTACCTCCGAAGTCCTTGCCGATCACCGTCGTGGAGGCAAATTTGGAAACCGGGCTGACAAACTTCTTCAAAACATGCTTCTCTGCCACGAAGTCAACTGCACTGCTCCCCACGATGCTGAGCGAGTCGGCGAGAACGACTTCGCCGTCTGGAACAAGGGGGCTGTCCGATTCGAAGACCACTGCTCTCAGACGAAAATCATCAAAGCTGGCCTGTACACGTGGCTTGACAACTACGCCTGCATGAGCAGCAAAACGAGCCGACACACTAAACGAGTGTCTAGGTTCATTGTAAAAATGACAAATCCTTACTGTTACAGTACCACTTACTACCGTAAACCCGCATTTTACATAATAAACTGAGCTCCATGATTTTCTTCCTTGATTCCAGACTTCATTCTTCTTTTTGTTTCAGTTGCATCTTGAGTCACAAATTCTTGAGTTTTACTTTGAATGCTCTGATGCACTCATTACTCCAACAAAATGTCAAAAGTAATCTCTTCATACATCAATTTTCGGTTGAGATACCAACTCGGCTTAAGATGATCCTACTTGAGACTTTTTTTCAGAAAAAAAAACAGAAAATATACGATGACGGTTTATTTTTCTTTTCCGCTGCAAAAGCCAGCAGAAACTCCCAAAAGAACAGGAAGACGATTTTCAACCATATTGCCAATAACTTCTTGATCGATCAATTGATCTCCTTCAAAATCCAGTCGTTCAATTGCATGCGGGCTTTTTGTACCAGAGACGATAAAGACTGAATTGTTGATCAAAATAGCCGATCCACACATGTCAACCTTAATTGAAGTGAAGCTCTTATTTGGAATTTTTTTCACTTGCATTTTTCAGATCCCCGATTTTCCTCCATTTGTCATTTTTAAAGAGCCAAATTGCTTTTTGCGGAATTTTATTTGTTGCTCCTCCAGCGAGAAGAAGATTTCCACTCGGTAGGCCGACCAGAAAATGATACGCTATCTGACTATGAACTTATTTTAATAAAGATAATTTCGGTAATTGGAAACCTCGGGAAATCAGTCAAAATCTCCCAGCCAGAAGAAGTGAGGCTTTCGACTTTATTTCCGCCAGGATTGAAGTTACTTCCCACCGTCATTGGTCTTCCTTCGTAAAAGGCAAGGTTGCCAGCCCAGTGACGAAAGTTCGGGGCAAACGATGGAGTGGAAGCTGTTCCGTTGAAGATTTCGCATTTTTGGCTTGCAGAGCAAAGTAATGCCTTTTCGCTATTTTCGATCGAAAGTGCTGCGGCAGCTGATATAATCTGGTTGATTAGCCGAGGAGACAGTTTTTTCCATTCGCAGCCGTCAAGTTTACCGATCTGAAAAATGAACAAAATGCATTTTGAAATCTTCGATTTTCCTTACTTTTCGATTGTCCGTGTATCCGCCGAAAATGAAGAGTTCGTCTCTTAAAAGAGCATTTTGCGCGTCTCTCAGGAAATTTCTTTTAGGAGCTTCAACTCGAGGTTCTGATTTTTGATCATTTATGACAGTTACGAAAAGTCGGAACCTTTCTTTCATTTTCGCTCGTTCGATTTTTGAACTAGCAAGAGAAATAGTTATAAAGTCGATATTACCATCGGGTCCGATTTGTCCAGAGCTATACATTACCAAAAGATGCTAAAGAAATTTTTGAAAGTCAATGAAAATTTGATGAATTTGGGTAAAAATTAGCTGGCTTCTTTCAATTACCGTTGTTCTTGGAGCTGTTGTTGTTAACGATTTCGTCGTAGTTATCGTAGTTGTCGTGGTTGTCGTAGTTGTTGTCGATGTCGTAGTAAATGTCGTTGTTTGATTGAATTCAGTGAAACTAAAATCGGTTTCTTCAGGCTCGGATTTCTCTATAAAAGCCAAGGCGACGATGAAGACAACGATCAAATTCAAGATGATGAGATTTTTACCGAATTTATTTACTTTCCAAACTGTCTCTGTCATTTTTGAACTTGTGCTGTCAGATACCGGCAATCCGAGGAACACTCCGAGTGTCATAAAACAAAGTCGTTAAATGTGGGAGCAAATGGAGTCGTTTCCAAATTATAGTTCAACTGGATACTGTCTAGGTACATGAGAAAGCGTAGACAGAGAGGTACAGATCTAGGTTCGGAAACCTGTGTAGAAAACCTGAGTCAGGTTGTGAAAGAGCCTGACAAAAGCCGCATATGCGTTTTTTTTATGATTTAAGCCGCAAAAACAACCATTTTAATCTATTAAAAATTCTGTAGAACCCTGACTCAGGTTTTTTCCAAAGGCTGCCGAATCAGATTCTCCACACCTGCTCGGAAAGCGGAGGAATCTCCCGCGCGCCCTGATTGGCCGCGCTCGCGAAAGTTGCCCTCCGCCAGTGGCCCGATTTTCTGAAAAACTCAAAGCCCAGAAATGTCGGTAGAAATAGAGCAAGTCGCTGACCAACCGGTAAAGAAAGAAGCAGAGAAAGCAGGAGAAGAAGAAAATGTTGAAAAGAAGAAAAGAGGAACGAATAGAATGCCCCCAACTTCAACAAATCCAAATACTCTTTTTAAAAAGGGTAGAATTTCAAGAGAAGAGTGGATTAAACTCACCAGGCAAAAGAAAAAGGTATTCTTTGGAAGAAAAACTAATTGTAACTCGTTTCTCTTCAGGAAAGAGCGGCAAAATGGCGAGAAGAAAACGGAATTCCAGAACCCGAGCGAAAATTTAACCTCAACAACGAAAAAATTTGGTTCAGAAACACTTACAGGCAGACTAAAGTTCATCTAGTCAATAATTTTGTCAACAAATTGAAAAGTAAGTCTCCCAACTCTGCAATTGAGGATTTCTGCGAAAGATTTAAGCCTATTTTGATGAATTATTGCCCTTTTAGAGCCGATTATGGCCGCAGAATAAGGTTTTTACGGCTCAAATAGGCAAAAAATCTGATAGAACTCGAAATTCTCCAGTTTTCTAGGGAAATAAAGGGCACTTTAGCTATTTTTATGCTATTTTAAACAGGTTTTAGCTGTTTCCTTGACCAAAATGTGCTAAAAAGGTAGTACATTGATGAAAAAGGCCAGAATTTCGGGTTCAAAACTTTGATTTTCCGGTAACTACTCCTGTTTGTTAAGAAATCTTCTTTAGAATATCGATATTCCCGCGAAAAATTAACGACAGAAGTCGACATAGCTAGTCTATCCGAGCAAAAGAAGAAGAACATCCAAAAAAAGCTCCTTCGATGTAAGAACGCAGAAGAATCGCTGCTCAAAGAAATGTACCTGATCAAGAGCTGGAAAGCAAACGACGTTTTCGAAATGTTGCTCAAAAACGAACCCGTCCCATTCGCCGATGCTTGTCAAATTGCTCACGACACGGGGAACTTGGATTTAAGAGCGAGAGAGAGGATAAGACAGTACAAACTGGTCCTGCCGGTTTGGGAAAAGCTCAATAAAGGTGAGTTCCAAAAAAAGACTTCCCTGTAGCAGAGTTTCTCTACAATAGAAATGAAAGACCATAATGATTTTTTCTGGAGGAGGATCCAAATTATCTCGATCTCTTCATCAGTCTGATTTTTAAATTGAATCTAGACTCATAGTACGCTGGTTTTCTGAATAAATGTGGCTTGAAGCTCAAAATATCGATTATCATTAAATAATAGTAATTACTACCTCTCATCAAAACATTCAGAATTGAAGCTCTTCGACTCTTCCCGGAGCCTGGAAGGCGCAAGTAAGGCTGCTGCTTTGGCAAAAACTGTCCTCGAAGAATCTGAAAAACAAACATCAAAAGAAAAAGTCTCTTCTGAAGTTTCAAAAGCTTCAATCAAAAAAGAATCATCAGAAAACCCAGATTCGCAACCCAGTTCAAAGAAGCAGGTTCTCCAGCCTTCTTTTTCTGCATTTATTCCATTTTGTGTCTTTTAGATTCAGAGGAAGATCGAGCCAGAATCGGACAACGACACGGATGGGAGCGAGGTGGACGAAGATGACATGCCAGAGGAAATTTCAAATGCAGATGCGGCGCGCTTCGATTTCAACAAGCTCGGAAAACTCGTGCAGAAAGCTGATGCCACGACGAAAGACGAAGAGGAGAAGGAAGCAGAGGAAGAGGAGGAAGACGAAGACGACTTCAAGGAGTATTCGAGTGATGAGGAATCGGAAGAAAGTGAAGAAGAGGAGGAGGAGCACGTCAAGGAAGCCCTAAAGGTACTCAAAATCTTAAATTTTGAATGCTATGTACCTGTAGAAGTCGTTTATAATCGTTGAGTTTTCAGGAAGATGAGCCGTTCGAGATCGAATTCGCCCTCCCAAAGAGTTTCCAAAACAAAACTACTGACGCAAAAGCAGAAGTAAAGCCAGAAATCGACGTCAAAACAGACGACTTTGATGCTGATTCGGAATCATCAGATGATGAAGGGGCAGAAAGCGATGACGAGAATGAATCAAGTGACGACGAAGGTCTGTTTTAAATGAAACGAAAATTGGGTAATTGATATTTTTAAAGGAGATGAAGAGAAAGAAACGTCGGCGACGAATGGGTTCTTTATGACTGCCGATCACAAGCCAGTCAAGGTGGCAAAGACGTCAAAGAAGGAAGTCAAGCGGTTCGCCAAAGACAATCGCGACGGGCAAAGGGAACGAAAAAGGCATGCCAAAGCTGTTTATGGCCAGAATCTAATAGGTAAAGAAATTTGAATCGATGCTTTATTGGAGATCATAAAACACTTGGAAATTGCCATAATTGTATTCAGCTGTATTTAATTTCTCTTTTAATTATCAGATAATTTGTCTTTCATTAAAAGAATTGGAAGGTTCATTCCATACTTTACAATTCGGGCTCTAAATTGTCGAACTTCTGGAAAGGGGTTAAAACTTTTCTTTCAGAAATGGAAAAACAAGCGCAGCAAAAACAGAAGCTCGCTGCGAAGAAAGAGCGAAAAGCCGAAAAGCGCAAATTGAAGGAAGAAAAGAAAAACCAACCTGCCGAACTCCACGGAAGTTGGGCAGCCAGTAAGCGAGCGAAAGAACAGACAGTAATCCAGAAGTTCGAGGGAAAGAAAATTACTTTCGACGATTCTGATTGACGCGTTTTTTTAATTAATTGCTAATTATATTTGGACTGAAAATGAAATACAAAGCTCTGGCCCTCGAAGCCAACTCATATTTTCGAGCTTGAAGAATCGAATTGGTTCCCAAGGACGAAAATATTTTCAAGATACAGATTTTTCTCATTCATAAAATCGAAGGTACAGTGCTTTAAACTCCCATTCTGGGAGATGCCAGACGAGTTCGTCGACGATTCTGAGCTTCAAAAACACCATGAGATATTTTCGTGAGAATCTACCGTACATCACGCATTCTTCTAGTGCTGTTCATGCTCCGATCTTGAAAACAATGATTTCATTCCGTTGTTATTAAACTTGACCGGGAGGCAGAGTGAGTGATCTTCCATGCTCTCAAGCTGCTCTGAAAGACAGTCAGCATGTCCCAATTCTGCTAGTCCTCTCAGTCTCTCAGACGATGGTCTTCTCTCGCTTCACTTTTTAGCTCATTTTATGCTCGGGAATATTCATATTCACCCTCCATCATGGGATTTTCCACAATTTTCCAACTGGAAAGCTCTGTCTCTGAGTCCTATCTCCTCAAGCGTATCACTCCGTCTCTCAGACAGCCCTACTTTAGAGCTTCAAAAAGGGTTGTTTGTAGGGTCATCTGAGGTCGCTGCGGTCAGGCAAAGAGGGTCAACTACATCTGGCATGGTAATGCCACTAGCATCGGGCGACATTTTGTTGTGTCTTGCGTCTTATCGTCCGTCTTGACTCTCGGTCTGTCAGGCATTCCCCTTCCTGATTGGCTTGTCTCTGCGAAGGTCGTCCCATCGAACTCGCAAATATGAGGGCGGACACAATCGTCCTCCGTTTTCATCGTAGAACCATCGCCAAAACAGAACCAGATCGAGAGCAGCTCCGTTTCAGACATTTCCAGCGAGAGAACGAGCTCCAGACATTTGAAAAAGCAGCTCAACTAAGCCGCGGCGGGGACCAACCACCAGAAGCGCGGTTATTTTGGTGAGTTGTCGAAAAATGAGAAAAAGAGTCGGGAATTGTGACTTTGAAACCGCTGATGTAGACAGTTTCTCGTCGCCCAGACAGGATGTGAGGCCACCTTCTGACAGACATTTTAGCTAATTACCATCGACTGACTGTAATTTACACGAATCGAGCATGGATATCGGCGATGTTCCCAATCACAACATTGAATTCATGTCCGACCAGGACGATATAGGAATCGGTTATGGAGATATTCAAGAAAAACGATAGCTTACGTAATAGTTAAAAAAGCTAGCCAGGCATAGCGCGGTATTTTTAAGCAAAACGCTCAATTTCAATTGTAAATTAAGCAATCTTTGGAGTTCAGTTTTTGAATTTTTTTCGTAATGAATAAATTTATGAAATTTTTTTCCAAAGAAATAGCTTTATGATGATTATAGCGTTCGAATTATTTTACTAGCAATAGTAATTAATTTCCCGTCTTCTGACCCATCAAAAAAGTCCTCCATGAAGCACCAACTGATTTGTTCGACTTTTCGAACCCGGACCCGTTTGTGGTCTTTGGTCAAAGCAGACCGGTCCGGGTCCAGTCCGCGGAAGTCGAGCAGCCAACTTCGACAATGCTTGACGATAGTTTCACGACTTTGGAGGAGAATCCTCGGCTACGCTCGCGCAGGTACACCGTCCCTTCATGGTACGCGTTTGTTTTTCCTCATTTTTCGTTTGAAAAATGAATAAAGAGATTAAACCCAAAATCATCCGGGTCTTTAGCCAGACGATACCGCAGCATCAGACTGGCAGAAATCCTATTCGCATGGCTTCTTCATCCTCTGCTCCTGATGGCCCTTTGCCAACCCTTCACGAAAATGACAATCATTCAAATACCGAAAATAGACAGCGTCACAGATACCTACCTTACATTCCGAGAAATGGAAGACGCGAACGAAAAGGTTAGTCCAATTTGTCCGATAGACTCTTGCGCTTGAGAATCTGAAGCTTGATGTGAGTCTAGCTCGGAAAGATGATTTTGTTTTTGAACATTCTTCAGGTGGAAATGCCTCGCCTGGGACAATCAACGGAGTGCATCATACTTACCAAGAACTCATCGTAATCGCCATCACTCAAAGTCCGAATCGCTGCTTGACCCTTGCCGGGATTTATCAATGGATGCTTGAGTAAGTCCCTCACCCATCTTCTTCCTCTTATTTTGCTCTAGAAATGTTCGGGAGTTCCAGCCAAACAGTACGACAGGACCGGCAATGAACTCCTGGAAAAATTCCATCAGGTACACTTTTCTTCAGAAAAACCTCTTCCTATCATTTATCCTATCAAAGGCATAATTTATCGCTCCACAAATGCTTCCAAAAACGAACGAACACACAGCCAGGAGAAAGCAGCCTCTGGGTTTACGTCCCCGACGAGCCAATGTGCAACCAGCAAGGTAAGTCCTCGGTGTTTTTGGTGTGCCTCTATCAATGCTTGTAACAATAGCTATGTATACAGATATCCGACCCAATTTCAACAACAACTTCGCTTCCGGAACAGTTTTGCCGACCCAGTCATTGCAGCGGCGAGAATCGCAAAGTAGCCAGATCAAAGTGGCGCCGAATTTCATCTATTCTCAGGACAAGAACTTGGAAAACATCGCTCAAGTCGTGTCAGAGGTACATTTCTCATTTCACCCCTTTTTCTATTCATCCCTTTTTTCAGTCGGATGCATCGATCAGAACAGACGAAAGCGTCGTGCTTCGCAAGTACCATATGCTCAACAACATAATCAGCACTGCAACGAAAGGTAGAATTAATCACCCTCCATCATCATCAATATAACTCTCAATTCTAGCGCAAAACTCGCAAAAGAAGAAAAAAGAAATTCCTCCACCAGACCGCGAGCTTCCTGAAATCTGGTAAGACCACCACCTTCAACCCTCTCTAACTCCCTTTTTTCTAGCGTCAACGGCAACTCGATTCCATACTCTGATGCTCCACCAAAGAAAAACAAGGGAAAAGCAACTTGCAATTGCCAAGCAATCAATAAGGAAAACAGGCCCGGCGGCGTCAACTTTCCAGGTATAGTACTGCTCATCATTTTTGTCGCATAAGTAAGCTGCCCCAGTTGCAAGTGTTTCAAAACTTCAGGCTTTGTGTGGTGCTTTTAACTGTCTCCCAACCTGTTTATCTTTAGAAATGCAGCCCGGCGAGATCAGCCCTATTTCCTCCGGGAGAGATTCTCCCGCAAGTCCTCCCAGCACCGCTGATCTCCAGCACATGTCGCCCTTCATTGTCGATTTTCCCTTCTCCGAAAACTATTTATCCGACGTCCAATCTCTCCAGATATGTCCCTAGAACTCCATCATCTTCTACTCAAAAACTTCTAAAAAGGTTCAAAAATGGTAAAAATCAAAACTTCTTGAAGCAAAAAACCGGTGCCATTTACAATTCAAACTCATTTACAATCATCTCCTTCAGCAATCAACTCCCCTTAACCCATTCATGCATAATCGCCAATATTTTGGCGAATCAAATTTTGCAAAAAAATTGAGCAGATAGCATTTTTCTGATTCAAAAACCATCATTTTTGAGCCAAAAGCTTGATTTGCCAAAATATTGGTCACAATGCGCTGATGGGTTAAAATCTCTGCAATATCTGTTCTTCAATAACACACAAAAACGCTACAAAGCAAAATTTTCTTTTACTAATTTCAAAAAGATAAAACGATGAGAAAATAATCTTCAATCGCCAAACCGCGAGTCTATTCTATAAAATGCGCTAAAAGCTCATTGAAAATATGTATTCTACTTTCCTTCAGCATCCCGATTAATTCTTTCCCCTTTGTTTCTCCCATCTCTCTTTTTGTACTTTTGTTTTATTGAATGTTTAACTGTATATTTTAGTCATTATCCCTAAAAGCTATTTTACTCCTATGAGATGTTCGACCCTACTTTTCCAAAAAATAAAAATCGTAACCCTGAGCGTTCTATTCTCTTCTATTCTCATATCAAACTGAATGTCTTCTTAAAAACAAAATAAATGAAGCAAAGTTGAGACAACTGGATTTACTGTTAATTATATAATTTATTCGACGCTTTTGAAAACTCTTGACTACAGTTACCAGTAGTCAAACAGAAATGTTGTACATGGCTCTCGATCTTCTCGGTGATTGTGGAGTTGAAATCGAGACTGAAAAAAATTGAAAACTGTAACAAACAATTTTATTTCTTTGTTCTTCTTTGTCGGTAGACATTTTTACTTAGTTAACATCTCGTAACAGAGTTTTCTTTTGTGTTAACATACCATTTCGTTACATTCCTTTCAACACATGTTTTCTTCGAGAAAATTCAAGTGAATGAAAGTTACTTTAGAATGTCTTCAATCAATGACTACCTATGGAAAAAAATGACTTACTAGCGGCTAATCTTGACTTGAACTTCCTCAGCTGATCTCTTGAAAAGTCCCCTGGGTCGCCGTATTTGAGCCCACTTTCGACCCGGAAATCGTATCGCTTCTTCTTTTGCTCGATTCCGTAGTTTTCCAGCTTGTGCATGGCGAACAAACAGGCACAGACGACGAAGGTCATTGTTAATGGCAGCCAGAACCAGACTAGAAAAAGAGCATCAAAGCATGATAGAATTTTTAACCCACCGATGTAAGTGGGGCCAGTGGCGCGGACGAAGTCAGGTCGCTCTTTGTTAGATCTGAAGATGAAGTTGAAGTCGACATTGTGATTGTGACTGTAGTCTTCCTTGATTCCAATCACCACTTCGGTATATCCGGATAGTGTCGTTTCGTAGTGGAAAGGTTCTTTGAGGTTGAAAGATTTTGTCGTCGCGCTTGAAACTTGCTCTAGAAATTCCCTTTCCTAATGTTTCCTTCATCAGTCTACCTGTAACATCGATTCTCGCCCATGTTTTTTCAGTATCAAGGTCGACCGCTTCGGCAGAAATGATCGTTTTTCCCGCCGAAAAGCCCCAGAGTGAGAACTTGCACCAACCCTGATTGCTTTTCTGAGGAAGGTGAATTGCGTCCATTGAAAATTCATAAAGAAGATCATCCTCGCTGGACTCATCAAGAGGAAGAATTCGCCTTCTCATAAGAACATTCTCCATCGGACATTGAATTTGATGGTTGAACTTGACTCTTCGGTAACCGGAAACTGCGAAAATTGTCCCTATAAGCCCTAGAACCATGTAAAAAAAAGCTGATTCCCTTCAAAATTAGACCGAATAAGATGATGTTCCTTTTAGTCTTCCACTTTTCACTGGCAGTTTTGCTATCTTCTTCTGAAACTTGATTGATGCGACTTGAATTTCGACTCGAATTTCTTGAAACTTCACATATAGATTCGTCTGGCTTCATCTATTCTTGGAATAAACTGACAAATGACTGTATTAAACAACCTTTCTTGAGTTCACCGTTCTAGAGAAGGTCACTTACTTTTAAATCCAAGGTCAACTTTGTTCGAAAGTTCGAATTTTGAGACTTTTTAGAGCCTTCTTTAGTAAGTGAAAACTGAAGATTAGGCGAGATTCTTATGGTTTTATATTTGGAATAAATATCTATATTCTCGAAAAACAGGTTTTCAAAGAGAGAGAGACTCCCTCTGCACCGCTTTTTGATCCTTTCCCGGAGCCACTCGAAGCGGGCCAAAGTGTCCAGCAATTGATTAATCTGTGTTTAACTGGTTTATAATGCTTGGCCAGCCCATTTTGCTTCAAAAAGCGGCCGCCCGCCACTGGGAATGATACCAATTACACAACTAATAATGCAATAAACAAAAGGGATGAAAGGAGAAGCAATTATTTCCATCTAATCCGCAAATTGACACAACCTTTGCTCGCCAAACGTTCCATCGAAATTAACCTATTCGGCCGCAGGAGCAATTTTAGTGCTCAAATGGAACTTATGCTCGTTGAAAAGCCGCTAGCGGCTTTTTCGAACCAAAAAATTTTTGAAAAAAAAAAATTATTGATAAAATTTTTTGTTGCTCTCTTCCTTGATTTCTTGCGAAAAAATGAGGCTGATTGAGGTTTTTTCTTTTTGAATAATTTATTTTTGGCAGGTGGTAAAAGCGTTTTTTGACTTTTCTAACATTTTTCACTTTTTGGAATGGTCAAATATATACAAAGGGATTTTTTTTAAACAGGCTCTTAAAAGTCAGGATGGAAGAAATTGCAAGAATTTTGATTATCAGTGGGCGGTGGTGTCGGATTCGGTGTCGGACGATTCGGATCGCTCCTCGGTGCTCTCGTTTTGGATTTTCTTTTGCTTTCGGCTCTTGATGCGGCGGTTTTGGAACCAGACTTTCACTTGCGTTTCGGAGAGGTCGAGGTCTTTGGCGAGTTCGACGCGGTCGGAGCCGACCATGTACTGGCTCTTGCTGAATTCAACTTCCAGCCGGTCGATTTGGCTTTGAGTGAAGATTGTTCGGACGCGCTTTGGTCGAGTGTCAAGTGGAGGAGATGTTTCTTGCTGAAGAGCGGCGTGGTGGTGGTGCTGGGCGAGGAGAGCTTGTTGGGCGTAGAGAGCATGGAGGTTTGGAGCGTAGTAGGGAGCGACTGGGAGTTGAGGAGCCATCTGATGGACGGGAGCGAGGGGGATCTGGATCTTTGGGATGTTGTGGACTGGAGAAATTGAGCCAGCAGAAGGAGGAGTTGCTGGAGGAGAAGGCTTTTCGTCTGGAGTCAAAATGTCAGCCATCGAAAAGCCGGTCTTTTTCTTCTGCGGTGGGGTGATCGTCTCAGAAGCTTCAGTTTTGATTCCGACGGTGATTGGTGGAGGAGAGAGGGATGGCTTCTGCTCTTCGTGAATCTCTGATTTTTGCTGGAGCTTCTGGTGGAGAATGCTCTTGGCGTAAAGCTGCTGGTACTGGATGAATTGGGTGTAGTTGGCGAGGAGGTTTTCCATCTTTTTCTTTTTTTTCTTTTTTGGTTATCTGAGTTTTGATAAGAAAAATTTTTGTGATTTGTGATTTGGTTGATATGGGATTCTCCGCTGCTGGGGGCATTTTATATGGGGCGGGAACAGCGCCACCGATCGAGGCTGGAGCAGAGGGACCTAGTGCGCCGCGGAGAGGACTAGTAGGACCGAGGACTAGCGCTCGTGTCCGGCTGGCCGCGCGCAGGCGAGATGCTTATCAAGATGGTGATTAATTAAATTTAAGTGCTAATGGGGAGTGATTTTCAGATTGGAGCCAGCTGTCTTCTCGGATCAAGATATCCAAACGGCCTAATTAGTAAAAAAAACCGAATATGTTTTAATTTAATTGGATAGTTAAGGATTTGCCTTAGTATCGACCTGCCAAGTCACGTGATTAATATATGATGATATAGCAGTGATCGATCAACGATTCAATTTGTCAATTTACTTAGAAATTATAATATGTTACATGTCAGCCAAAAATCAATTAGCCAAACAGATGAAAAACTAATCGAGCGCGAAAATTCGGCACTTACGGCACTTACAAGCAAAACTGTTCAACACTTGCCAAAAACGGACATTTGAATTAGCGCTCGAAAGTGGCCCATCCGGTGGCAGAAACTGGTAAATTGATAGGCCGCGAAATTGGAAATGCAGAAAGTGGATTTAATTGAGAGGGGCAATTTTGGAAATATTGATATTTTGAAAGGTGCATTCGTGCATTTTTAGCTGAAGGAGCAATTCCAGAGGCTGTTTCCGTTTTTGAGCCGAAAGGAGCGGAATTCTGACTCGTCGATTTTCGGCTAGAAAAGAGCTTATTTTGAGTCGAAAACAGCGGAATTCTGAATCGCAAAATTTCGGCTCGAAAAGGGCGAATTTTGAGTCGAAAAGCTAAAAAAGGGATAATCATCAATGAAGAGCTCAAAATTCTTTCAATTCTAGTGTAAAATTAGCGAGTCGCTAATAAACCCATTTTAGTGAGAAAAACAACGGAATTGATAACCGATTTATCAAAAGCGAGATAGAAAAATATATAAAAAAGAAAGTCAAGCAATTTAGTTCAAGAAATAATTATCCTATCTTTCTGAGCTTCTTTTATGTCTCAAGAAAGATTATCTTTGGATAAGCTGTTTCTGCTCAAGATACATTTTGTTTCAATCTTTGGGAAGAGCTTGCTAAATAGGCTGCGGAAGTGGCTAAGAGGATTATAATAAGTTTTCTGGGTCATAAACACATCTAAATTGACCTGTATTAGGACCCTTGACATGTCACAATATTTCCTCAATTTAGGTACCTACAAATTACACAAGGTACTTATTATAAGACCAGCTAGACTAAACATGTGATAATCTACAGGATTAGCTTACTGTAAAAGGTCTGCGCTCCTATTGGCTCATTTTCTAGCGAGAGAAAGAATTAAGGGATGATCTTAAAATAAGCATTTTCTGTAGAAAAAAACTCTTACAGAAAATGATCATTTTAAGACCACCCTGAATCCTCTCAAAACCTAAAAAATTAGCCAATAGGAGCTCAAGCCTTACAGTAAGCCCTAACTGTATATAATATAAAATTGAGGTCTGAGCCTGCTCTAGAAATTGCAATCTTATCAGCTCATCTGCCAATTAGTACTAATCCCTAATATACGTTCAACCCTTTTTTTCGATGTTATCACGTGACCCTCTCCATAATCCGTTCCGGGTTATTAAAAAATTACGAATTTGTCTCCTTGCAGACGGCCTGGATTCAAAATTGCCCGTCACGGACTCATACGCTTTATTATAAACAGGGAATTTTTAGGTACGAAAAAGCTCGCGCAGCTGCCGAATTCTTGCGGATTATAGCTCCGGATACAAATTTCTGAAATTGATGATGGGTGTAAAAAAACGGGAGTTGTTTACGTTGCGCGTTTATATGGCCACGGCCGGAAACTTAGCATCAGCCCGGGACTCTGGGCCATAAAGCTATAACTTATAGCCTATAAGGGGAGCTGGGCTCTAATCAAATCTAGCACGTCATTAATTTAGGATCATTAATTGGCAGATGGGTATGTATTGAGGGGCGATTGGGGGGAGCAGATGGGTGATAAAATTGTATTCCAGGTAGACTAAATTGATAGATTATTGACTACTTGCTGCCTGTATCTTATTTTACGAATGATGGGTTAGTCCCTTAGGGGTACCCCTTAATTTTTAGCCCATAATTCGCGTCATAACATTAAGCGAAAAATTTACAGACATAGTTTTGAAAATATACGGTATTCAGTTTGCTTTTCAGAGAAAATAATATCACAGTGACACCCTTATTTTTTTACTAAAGGGAAATTCGAAGCTTATTGACAGCTTACATTCAGCGCAGGAAAATTTTGATTTGTTAATATCACTTTTTGTTAAAAAAATATTTTATAAGTCGAAAATTTATTAAAATATATTTATTGTTTTTGAATCCTTTGTTCTGGAATTTTTTTTACTAGAGAATTATCAGAGGCGATTTCCTGGTGAGCTTAGATGCATCAATCTTGCATGATCTATTCACTAGGTCGCTCGATCAACGGGCCGCGTTGCGGGTACTGTTTGATCCAACAGGCATCCGTCTCGCCCAGAATGTCATGTCCTGCGGCGACATATTGCGTTGGGCACATCAAAGAGGAATTAAGACTAAATGCTTCGAGGAAGTGGGGAAAATCAGTTGTAGATGATGCATTATTGAGATGCTTTTTTTTTCAGACAAAAGATCACTTCAATCCGCATTCCGGAAATAAGGGGATTCACTAAGTGCGAATAAAATGTCCTGGAGCTCTTTTCTTCGGAAAATTCTTTCAGTAAGTCAAAAAACGGGCTTATTTTTGCAAAGATTTAACATTGTGACACCCTTATTTTCTTTGAGAGATATCGCTAAAAAGTTAAAATAAGGGTGTCTCTTTGTTAAATATAAGTTTTTCTTAGTTGATTTAACACAGTGACGCCCTTATTTTATCTCGACAGAGCAAAGCTTTAGCTATATTTTCGTCTGTAAAAAGTTAAAATAAGGGTGTCTCTTTGTTAAAAATAAGCCATTCTTGATGGATTGACTACTAGTTGATTATCGTTTTTTATATAAGATTTATTCTTTTCATCCTCGAAAAACACATGTTCTTTTGATTGATTTCGTGCCGCATCTTGGCAATTAAAAATTGTAATTATTTTAATTGAAGTAAATTAAAATTATCCTTCTTAATTCATCTCGTCCGGGTTGGAGGTTCATTTGTGATCAAGCTGCTTTTTAGCCATTCAAATTTGCATTCTACTGAAGAACTTCTGTTTCCTTCCCATTTTTGTTCCTCGCCGCGTAAATTTGGTAAAAAACGCGCCTTAGGGTTTTTTATTTTATTTGCGATCGGTCATCTCCCCGCTTTCGTCTTGCCCTGGTGCCCTAATACATTACGCCCGGGAGGCAAATAGAAGATGAGGCAAGGGGGATTCTTGTCATTTTGGGTTTATGGGGCGCATTATGGAAGGTAAATTAGGTCTTACAAGCTTGTAAATAACGCTCCACTCCCTTAACGGCCGCAATGATCAAAACAAGAACTCGTGACCTTCTTCTACTGTCACTGCTCGTTACTGTCACGTGCCAGATTTATTGCCAAATAGTACAGTTCTGAGCAGTCAAACTTTGATTACTTTAAGGACCCCCCCCCCGTCAACAATTTTCCTCGAAAAATCGAAAATTTCAAAAAAGCCATATTTTGGCTTCTTAGCGTGCCTGAAAGTTAAATTTATCTTTAAAACTTGTTCGGATCACTTTTTGACCAATAAAAATCTGAAATTCTAGCAAAATTGGGACTTTATCGTCATTTTTCGTCAAAAAGTCCTATTTTCAAACGCGATTTTGAGGGCCTTAGAGTTGAGATAGACCCCCAAAAAATGTAGCCTCAAAATCGTTTTTTGACCTGTAGAATCGATTTCCGGGGTCAGAATTCTGAATTTCCGAAAATAGATTTTTCGAAAATTGTTGACGGGGGTCCTTAATTGTGATTGGAATAATAAAACTGAGTTGTTAAAGGTTCAAATTAAATGTTATTATTTCTTAATTTAGCACTACAATTATCTGATCGCCTGAACTCAAATTTATTATCTTTGCCGATAATAAAACATTTTAGATTAGACAAAATTATTCCATTCCTATTATAATTGCCCCCTTTACTGTCTTTTTTTACCGATTTCGCCGTGAATAAACCCGTTTTTTTTGGAAAAATCTGATGATTTACGAGCCTAATTTTCCCCCAAATCAAGGTCATCTGCTTGTTGGTAGCTGAAAAAACGTATATTTTGGATTTACTCCCGCGTGATACGAGTCAGTGTCAAGCACATTTGCAAAGTCTGATTGCAACAAATCTGAAATGCAAACAGCGTAAATTTCAAACGGCGGGTGCTTTTACCATGAAAGCGCCCTGCTTAGGCTCCTTGTGTCAACAACTGAATATCGTGTTCTTCAATTTTCTCAAGGGCGAAATTTTCTACAGAAGTTTTTAGTCAAAATTTTGGTCAAAAAAAAAGTCGACTTTCTTTGCCCAAAATTGTCGATTAGATTATTGAAAAGGGGCCCTAAATTGTCGATTTTCGAGTCGAAAAATTTGATGGTCATTTTTTGATCTAAAAATCGACAATTTTGGGCCCCTTTTCAAAAGGTTTATCGACAATTTGGGCCAAAAAAGTCGCTGTTATGGATAAATATCGGAACGAAGCCTTTGGTTAGGAAATTTGCTGTGTGAACGGAAGCCGGTTAAATAGTCCAAAATGACTGGTAAACGGATGCAGTGCTAAAAAACATGAATGAACATGCCTCGGTTTTGATCCGGGCGCTTGTAACCGGCTAAATCGCCCGTGTCACCTTCAGCTACTTTCATGTTTACTGAAGTGCGCGGCGCTCAACCTCCAACGTGACCGAGGAATGTTACAAATCACGGAAATCCGTTTCCGATCCACGAGTTTTATGGTCCTCTCCTTCCGGTCGCACGAGGAATTGAGTTTGACGCGCGCAAAAAGAGGGATGAAAAAGGGGTTTGTTTCTCTGTTTAGATAAACAGGATTCGAATCTCGGAAGCTGTGTTTTTTGGATAGATAAGCTGCTTTATACAATATCTACCTCTTGCTTGAATTCGAATAAAAAAATGGGTTTCAGCTATTTTTATTCACCCTCGAAGGTTTAGTGAGTCTTGTAGACATTGTTATCAGTGAATTCGGCGCGGCAGTTTGGGCATTTTTTCTGTAAAAGAGACGAGATGCAGTAGAAGCAGAATTTGTGCGCGCAAGGGATGATGATCGCTTCTGGACGGTCGTCGTTGTAGGGACGGAGGCAGACCCTGCACTCATTATTTTCATTACCGCTTTCATTTAGCTTCACCTTCTTAGCTAGGGGCTCATCTAAAAAATCCGCATGCAGGTCTTGAAAATTACAAGTCTAAGAGTAAGATCATCATCATACCATGATCTCTAAAAGCAGCTTTTGTAATAATGAGCACTCGCTTTTCGCTTTTATCCTCCAATTGTCGCAAAAACTTTTGATTGTTCCTCGCCAATTGAACCTTCTTTTCAGCGGTTTTTACGTTCTCTTTTGCCTTTTTCAATGCTTCTTCCGCTGCGCGCACCTTTCCAACTGCAGAGTAAAATGCATCTTGAGCTTCGTAAAATTTCGAATTGGAAGAATAACGCTCTTTTTTAATTTTCATGTACATATTGCTCATCAAATTGCGCTCATTTCTTGCTTCTATTCTCAACAGCATTTGTTTCAAGCTTATTTTTCATAAAAAAAATTACCCCAAAGACTAGAAGGGGTTTTTCTTATAGCAGCCTCGCAGCAAGACCCAACAAGGACTTCACGGTAAGAGAGTTTATCCGCTCCGCAGCTTTCGGCACGGCACTTGAAAGTTGCGTCCGAGTCTTGAAATTCCACCACCTTTTTCGGATACTTTTCATCCTTGCACTCCTTGCAGAATCTCTTTCCTCTGATTAAACATGTTGACTCGCATGCGCTACGTTTATTTTAAATGCTTACGATAATTATAGAAAATCACCTTTCACATTCACTACATTGCCCAAGTTCACCATACGAGCTCACAAATTTGTCAAGAATCACATGCATCTTCAGAAAATACAACCTTCTCGCTCTAACAAGACCTCTTTAAAGTTGACCACTCAGAGCCTGCCCCGGAGAGCTTTGGTGAGTCAGAAGAATTGATAACCTATCAGCAAAATTTGCTCACTGGAACATAAGGGAAACAATAGTTGATAAACGCGATGGAAGACCTTCGGCTCAGTTTTCAATCATTTTTTTTTCTTATTGGGGCTCCACGATAGAAGATCGGAACTAAAACGGCAGGGATGACTTAGTGGGTTTTGTAGACATTGTTGTCAGTGAACTCGGCGCGGCAGTTGGGACATTTTTTATCTGGAGGGGATGAGATGCAGTTGAAGCAGAACATGTGCGCACAAGGGATGATGAGAGCCGACAAGGGCTTCCGCGGCTTCTCCCCCAATTTAGGCGCGCCCAGAATGAGCTTCTGAAAAAGTCAGTGCATTTTTCAGTAGCTCAGATTCTCGATCTCCCCTTAGAGCTCAAATCCATGGCAAATCTTATGACTTGGTGGCCACTGTAAATTAGTAAAAATTCAAATTTTCATAATTACGAAGAGCATTTCCATGATTTCTAGAAGCGAGCTTTTCCAACTGTTTTTATGGCGAAAATGCTCAGTTTGAAGCTGTGTGAAAATGAGCGCCCAGTTTCAGTTTTTGGAACATGGTAGCTTTTACGCTCATTATTTTGTGCTAAGATATTTTTAGAGACCCAATTCAAAGGTGTCATCAGTAACGAAATAATAAGCTTTGGCTATGGAACTGTCACAATTTACAACAGCCAAAATCAAGCTCTCGTCACTGTAACGGTTGAACATCAATGCTGTGATGGAAAAGGTCCTCAGTACGTTGCAACGCACCACGCTCTTGGAGAAGTCATTCGAACGAGCATCATCAAATCGGAGAAGTGCTGTTTTTGCTGCATGGTTAGATTTAATATTTAAGTTGTATTTTTTTAATCAGAAAGCAAAATTTTTAACATCGAGTTCAGAAAGAAGCTGACTATGGCGTTTTTGCAGGACAAGAACATCTTGGAAGCTTGAGGCAAGCAGACTTCGTAGGGTCAGTGTTTGATTCTGTTTTTAGATATCCAAGTATGAGTCAAGGGTACGTCCACACTCCAACAGAAATGCTGGATCCATCTGGAAACGTTTTCCTGAACTACCATCAGTCGACGTCGACTGGGACAGGCTTCATGGCCCAAATGGCGCACTCCGATCAAACGACTCAAACCATGATCAGCCAGGGCGGAAATCACGTGGCGACGCTCGATACTCACTATCAGCTTGGTGTTTTTCAAGGTGAAATGTCAGCGACGATGTCTGTCTCTCCCCAACTTCCAGTTCCTGTCAAACTCTGTAAGTGCTATTAGAATCACCGATTTCCAGAGTGTTGATTTTCAGGCTTGATGATCAATTTGGCAATTGTACTTTTCGACATGCGACAAGCTGATCGAAACCGACACAGCGGCTGAAATTCTGACCTACTTTTGATTACTATCTTCTCATAATAAACCTTATATCAGTTTCTAGATAAAAAGTTTTCATAGTGTTCTAGCACCGAAAATTTGCAGTTCAAAGCTGTGTACAAATGAGCGCACAGTTTCAATTCTTGCAAAATGGTTTTCTTACTTTGCTTGATCCATTTTTAGCATTTTTTAAGAGACTCAATTCAAAGCCGTTCTACAACATGCTGGAAGTGTCACATTTTTGAACAGCCAAAATCAAGTCCTCCTCACCGTCACGCACAAATTTGAATTCCTCGGAACCTGTGATGCTGAACCTCGTTATATTGCTCATCATCACGAGCTTGGAGATGTTATTCAAACACATCGAGTCAAAGTCGAGAAATGCTGCATTTGTTGTCCAGTAACAATATTTTTTCGATCGAGTTATTACCATGTTGAAGACTAGTGTCGATTTTGGCATTTTTGCTGGACAAGAGCATCTTGGAAGCTTCAGGTAAACAGATAAATTATTTATTCTTTAAAAAAATACCCATATTTTTTTTTAGATACCCGAGTCGGGTCCAGTCGGGTCACATGTATGTGAACGTTTTTACTCCGACCGAATTGCTGGATGCAGATGGAAATTTTTACCTCAAATACTGTAAAACGACGTCGAATGTGTTTGACGCCAAGAGCCTCAAGGAAAACGAGAGCGATATTAGAACTCAAACACTCATCACCGAAGGACCAAATCTAGTTGCGACTCTCGATACTCGATCTCAAGGACAACCTGGTGTTTTACCGTGGAATCACTCAGCGACAATTTCTGTCTCTCCGCAACTTCCAGTTCCTACCAAACTCTGTAAGTTGCTTGGATTGCGTTGAATATTACTTTTTTAGGCTTGATGATGAATGCGGCAATGCTTCTTTTCGACTTTTGGCGACGAGAAAGACAGAACCGAAGTTGAGCGACATTGAAAGTCACAAAAAACTGATGGTTGAATGCTTATCTCTAAGTAAAAACGAAATTTTGATATTGATTTTTTCGTATTTTTTTTATTATTTTCATGGTGATAAAAGATCGAAGCTAAGTGATTTCAAGAGTGAGCCAAAAAGGCACAGATGACTTAGTGAGTCTTGTAGACATTGTTGTCAGTAAAGTCGGTGCGGCAGTTGGGGCATTTTTTCTCCGGAAGGGCTGAGATGCAGTTGAAGCAGAACTTGTGCGCGCAGGGAATGATGATGGCTTCTGGGCGGTTGTCGTCGAAGGGGTTGAAACAGACCTTGCATTGGAGCTTTTCAATCACTTCATCTTGCTTCGCCTTCTTTTTTGTAACAAAAATAACATCATCGTCTTAACGAATCAAATAATTATTGAATTGAATTCATCGAATCTTACCGGAATCACTACTATCGCTGCTACTGCTGCTGCTATCTTGAACTGCTTTTGCGGCGACAAAAAGACGTTTCTTCACTTTGTTGTGCCATTCTCTGCTCGTTTTTTCCTTCCTTTCTGCAGCATCACACTTTTTTTTCGCAAAGCCTGCTTGCTGTTCAGCAACGCACAGTTCATGTTTGATATTTCGGACTTTTCGCCTCGCGTCGTCGAAAGAATCTCGGGCATCCCAGGAGTTTCTGACAGAAGACTCTTCGTCGCGTTTCGACTGCTGATAAATCTTTTGAATAAGCAAGCATTCTTCCTCTTCCTCTTAAAATAGTTGCAATACAGTATTGCCAATACTGTAACTTTCGCCAACAACAAGGGCTTACCGTCTGATATCTCTCTATTCAAAGCGACGTCGCAGCAAGATCCCACATAAAATTGATGATAAGAAAGTTTATCCGCTTCGCAGTTCTTTGCAGGACATTTGAATGCTGCGTCAGTGTCTTGAAATTTCGCCGTTGACTTCGGAAATTTCTTTTCCTTGCAGACACTGCAATAACGCTTACCCCGGATTTCCGCGGTTGAATCAACAGCACTAAAGAAGAAATTTTTCACTAGAATAAGAATAAAGGTATAATTTATAGAGTTAAATATTTAAAACGATATATAAAAACAGCCATATATTGGCTGAACCGAACTGTTCACACTCATCGCATTTTCCATAAGTCCCATAAGAAGTTACAAAGGATGCATAAGGAACAGGGAGTTCGTCGGCTTTCTGCATATTTTCTCGGGCGTTTAAAAATGAGAATTATTTCTTGACTATCTTAGATTGCCGAAAACTGAAGCTCTCTTCAATGAGATAATGTCATGTTCTCGAGATAAAAATTTTCCTGGAAGAGAACAGCCGAAGTCTCGCAGCCAAACAATCGAAATGATCCTTGATTTTATTTTTCCGGTGAAAGTATTTTGTTTTGGAAAGAAAGAAAATAGCGGTTGATGAGCGTTGTTCTAGTTCCTTTCTGTTGCGCACTGTGTCTCGGAATGTTCACCTCGTGTAATCAAATCAAAATATGCAAATTTTTGAAATGGCCGTTTTCTAGAGCGGAAGCGACGAATTTCGCCGTGAAGAGGAATTTTGCTTGTTGTCGGAAATTGTTTGTTGCTCATTCTTCTTTTTCTCATCGACTACTCGAGTAGTTCTTCGCTATTTTAACATCAGAGGATTAAAATGTATCGAACACTTCCGGACTTGGCCACTTATGAGCCCGTTCCAGTCAAGCGCAAAAAAGTTGATTTAAAAATTGACAAAATGAGAAATAGAAGCGGATGTTTATTGCACTTGTCGGTAAAAGGGATTTGCGCTCAGAAGGGAAACGGGCGGAGAAAAACGCGCTTCCCAGAAAGGGATTACGCGCTAGAAGAGCGGATAATTATGTATTCGGATATGGATTCAGACTGATTGAGACTGAGATTTCTATGAGCGCGAAGATGTTTATATCGAGAGTATTTTCAATTTATTGATGACATTTTCGCTCATTCTTCATTTTGAGCTGAGCTGGCTCAAATTGAGCTGAGCTCTGAGCGATCAAAACTAACTCTGATTAAGGACTCGATCTTTGAGACAAGAGAAAAGAGGCTGAGAGCCTTGAATAATCAAGAACAAAGGATAAAAATGAAAGTCTCGACCTATATTTGATAGAAATTTATCTTTGGGTAGCTTGAAAAGGAGTCCAGTTTTATCGGATCCAGATAAAGTACAACTTCATATTCGGGCAAGAAGACCTATCAATACAGGTCTTCTAGTAGGAGACTTTCTACTAGGGACTTTTTCAAGTCTTTTATCCTCATACTTTCTTACTGCAGAAGGGATGAGACGTTTATTTTTTTATCTATTGATGGACAATTCTAGCGAGGACTAGTACTGTAACTGGAGCGTGCAAAAAATCATTCATTTTTCTCCGATAATCAATTACATCTCAACCTGCTTGCTTGAAAATTGACGCGCTAATTTGTTCCAAAATTATTTGCGATTCTGCCAAATTTCAATTACAGTTTCAGGCGCATCAATGATGATCATCGATCTGGTCGCATCATACTAATTAAAAATGAGTTCTTACTTATTTTTATCTGAGCCGAATTAATGGTCAATGAGCTGTGGATAATTTCAGAGGCGCAAAATAAAACCATGACGCGCTTGGCATCAATGGCAGAAACGAACGTCACCAGGCGTAATTACGCTTCGATTCTCGAGGAATAGAACATGGTGATGGCGATAACAATTATTCCTTTGTCTCTTTTTTCTTTTTATGGCGCAGTAATTGCCATGATTGTTATATTTATATGCTATTAGAGCTATTTTGAGCATCCTTTATCGAGAGATACCAGAACGTCACAACATTATATCACCATTTAATTTTAATTTTACATCTTATCAAGATATCCCGAAGCTGATAGCATCGTAATCCATCATTATTTTAAGCGACTATCGGTTCTGACGTCTAATGACTAGAATAATGACAAGAATCAATCCTCAATCAAACAGAGTTGCAAATTTGCTGAGCTGAGCTGGCTGAATGAGCTGGGCAGTCGCTCAGCTCAGCTCAGCTCAGTGATTTTTGAAAATGATCTGATCTGCTCAGCTCAGCTCCGACAATTCCCACTCAGCTCAGCTCAGCTCAATTATTTAAACATAATTTTACTACTAAAAACAGCTCAGCACAGCTCAACCAGCTCAGCTCAGCTCTGCTCAGCTCAGCTCAGTAACCTCTGAAAAAGGCCAGCTCCGCTCGGCTAAGCTCAGCTCAGAGAAATTCTGACTCAGGATAGCTCAGCTCAGCTCAGCAAATATAAAGCAAAATTTGCGATTCTGCAATCAAATGATGTCATCAGAGCAAATGATGAAACTTGAGAGGAACCTTTATCCTAGCGCGTGAATAAGTAATCATCGAGGGAGATTGCTGCGCTAGAGGATCGATACGGCATCGCGGCAAAAGAGAAAATATCAAAGTTTGAATGACCTTTTCGATATCAGAGACTAACAGGGTTCTTTTTGCAACATCCTTAATTCTTGCAGGTAGAGAATTTCACTGGCCAATTTATTAATAGAAGGTTTGAAGGTGGAATTGCTAATAAAGTTTATTCGCCGCTGGTGGATTTGAGAAGTAGAAGCTTTGAAAATTGGATTGGAATTATTTTAATGGTTGTTGGTTTTCTGATATTGAAGGGAAATAGGCGCATGACTGTAAATTGATGAATCTTTTTTATTCTGTAAATAAAATAATCTGTAAAAATTGACAAAAAGGGTGGGAGAAAGAGGATATCACTCGTAAAGCTTGAGGATTTTGTCAGCAGTAAAAGCAGCTCGGCAGGTTGGGCAAGTTTTCTGAGGAAGAGATGATAAGCAAATGAAGCAAGCTTTGTGTCCGCAAGGAAAGATAGCAGCCTCTGGACGATCTTCGCTGTAGTTTTCGAAGCAGACCTTGCATTTCGGCTTTTCTTTGGACTCATTGTTGTCGTCTTCTGAGTTGACTAAATATTTCGAAAACAAATTATCGGAACAATGTTCCGGGAACATTACCTAAATCGCTGTTATCTTCTTTCATCGCATGCTTAGTAAGCACCACAGACCTCTTTTGAACTTTCTTGCGCCATGCTTTCTTCTTGCCAAGCTCGTCTTCCGCATTTTTCGCTTTTTCTTCCGCCTTTGCAAGGGCTTTCTTGGCTAGTTCCACCTCTTCATTGGAGGTCGCAGCATTTTTCTCCGCTGCTTCCTCTTCTTCTCGAGCTTCTTCATAAATCCCATTGACGATTGCAACAGATTCATAACGAACTAATTAAAACCATCGGTTTGGAATTAAATAATTTTAATTCTTACATGTTGAATACGTTTTATTAGCCGCCTTCGTGCAGCATGATCCAATTTGTAGTTCTTCATAGCTCAGATTGTTTGCACCGCAGCCAGCAGGACATTTGAATTTTGCATCCGTTTTAACGAATACAGCTGTTTTATTTTCTGGATACTGTTTGTATGCACATATTGTGCAGTACCGTTCTCCAAATAAATCAGTGGTTGATCCATGTGCCCTTAAAAGGTGCCATAAAATTTTAATAACTTAGTCCAGCAAACTTTTCGCATAAGTCACACTTTCCAATAGACCCATAATCAACGACTAAATCATCACGCACAAAAACTCCAGCAGAAATTTTTTTCATACTCTCTCAAATAAATTTATAGCGAAAAAATGTATCGAGATTGAAGCGCACTTTTTGCGGGAAAGATTTTTATCGAGAATAAACTGATTTAACTTGAGGAACGCATTTCTTGGAGTAAAACATAAGTTTATTTATGAAAAATAACAGAGGATGAACTGAAATCAGATAAGACTCAGAGTTTCATTCTAGCAAAGAATAGTTCCACCGTTTGGCTTCCAAACGGTCTTTTTCAAACATCGGAAGGCGGACTTGAAAACAACCGTGCCATCAGGCCACTGGTATCTCACATCAGCCCCGTTTTTGCAGGAAACTTTGCAGACATTCTTGACGCACCCATCGATCTCGATATCATCGGAAGAGGCAGAATATTCTTGGAAGAGCGTATTTGAGCACTTTTAAGGATCATAAATGAACTGAAGATTTTTTGTTACTAGAAAAGTAAGATCCATTCCTGAGTTCTAGCGTCAGCTGTTTCAGAATCTCGATTCGCCTCATCAGCAATACAGTTAGCTTGAATAATGAGTGGCTTAGGATTGCCTCGTCGGCAGAAGATCTTTTGAGTCTCCCAAGATTGACTGAGAGTGTCGAAAGTAAAGCCTGGATTGCATTTGACCCTGCAGAATTTCCGATTGCAATCAAAATCAGCATTCGAAACTGAAGTCGTTGCCCGAGTTGCCAAGTCGCCACACCCGCGGAGGAAGGAGCTTGGAGGTTTAGCCGCGCAACTGACAGTCTTCTTCTGTTTGATTGAGGACTTTTTGCCCTTGCACTGACCCTTGTTGACGCCGTTTAGAGCGTGAGAGCTTTCAACGCATTGGAAATTGCAAATGAATCTGCCACCGTTTTTGTTGCAGATTGCATCGACGGTTTCCGGATCGACATCGAGTTTTGTGAAAAGAGGGCAATTCATTCCCTCGGCGATGGCTTTAGCTTCCGCGAGTTTTGATGGAGGGGTAGTGGTGGAAGTCGTTGTTGTAGTACTTGTAGTAGTAGTGGTAGTTGTGGTAGTTGTTGTTGTAGTGGTCGTTGTAGTTGTAGTCGTTGTAGTCGTAGTAGTAGTTGTTGTTGTTGTTGTTGTCGAGGTCGTTGTTGTCCTGGTAGTTGTAGTCGTAGTCGTAGTAGTTGTTGTAGTCGTAGTTGTGGAAGTTGTTGTAGTCGTAGTTGTGGTAGTGGTGGTAGTTGTTGTCGTTGTCGACGTTGTAGTAGTAGTAGTAGTAGTAGTAGTCGTCGTTGTCGTTGAAGTTGTAGTTGTAGTAGTGGTTGTAGTAGTAGTGGTTGTCGTAGTGGTGGTTGTCGTAGTCGTAGTCGTAGTCGTGGTCGTTGTCGTGGTTGTTGTTGTCGTGGTTGACGTTGTAGTAGTAGTAGTCGTCGTTGTAGTAGTTGTCGTTGTCGTGGTTGTCGAAGTTGTAGTTGTAGTAGTGGTTGAAGTCGTTGTGGTCGTAGTTGTGGTGGTTGTAAACTCAGCTGGCGCATCCTTATGCCAAAGTACAAAGTCGAAGTCAGCAAAAGTCTCCGAGCAGGAAACCCGATCATTATTCTGTCCCTTGAAGGCAGTTCCCGCTCCCATGAAAGGCCATCTGTTTGTCGAAGGGAAGTCCTCAGAATCCATCGACAAACAGAAGAGTTTAGCCAGCGTCATGCTTTGAATTTCCGCTCTTTGAGTTTCCGTAAATTGGCCTTCTACGTCAAAGAACTTTCTATCGCCAGACTTGAGGGCGGTAAATTGCTCGGACATAGCGCACATTGTTGTTGGAGTAAGTTGAGATCCTGAAAAGATTGTTGAAAAAGAAAAATAATTGATAATTTCCAACCTGGGAAGTGCTCCTCCATCTGCATTCCAATGTACAAATCGACAGCATTGATGTCATTTCCAAATTCCTGTAAAACCTGGTTCCATCCTCCGATCATGGTTGGGCGCTCTCCGTTCGGATAAAATTGTCCCCATTTAGCATGAGTGCGACAGAAGTCGACCATCCGACCATATCCTAAGACAGAATTAGTGACAAGGCAATTCCAAAACGTCAGAGAATATATTTACTTTATCACGAGTTAATGAGAGCAATTTTCTTCTTTGAACATTGATAAAATAATAATAACGCTACGCTATCTGTTGTGATGACGACGCTCATACCTGCTAGACCGTGATCCCTTCCTCGCATGATATTGATAGATCTCAGATCTACGCCATGAGGAAAACCAGCTGGCATGAAGAACATATGAACAGTGTCAGTGACCCAATTCGGCCCCATCTTGTTAGAATTGATCATCATTCCTCCGCGGATGACGGATCCAACGCTGTTGTGCATCAACATGTCCGGGTCGAACCAGCCGGATCTCATCATTCGGGTGTCTTGGAGCTCGAAGAGGGAGTTTCTAGCGATGATATGAGTGGCCTGCATGGAGTGACCCCATCGGAAAAGGGCGGCGCCAAATTCATTGCGAATTCGCGGGTCATTTTCAGCTGGTGCTTCATGCTCTCCTAACAAGCGAAATTTAAAAAAATGGCTTCGAAAGAGACTAAACCTGGAGTTTCCCGTCGACCAAATGCCTCATCAGCTCGTCTTCGCTTCCTCCCAGACGAGGAAATCTGCAATTCTGGGATAGCCGCAGCATTTTCTTCCCCAAAAACACTAGGAATCCATTCGTTGTAAACGATATTCTGGTAGATTCCGATATTGATCTGCCGGGCTTCGAGGAAGATTTCCTCGTCAGTCTTATCCTCCATTTGGGATTTCAACTCGTCAGCAATCTTGTTGTGGAATCGAGCAAAAGCTGTGTGCCAGGAGGAGAGAACGATGTTTTCCGCACATCGAGTGTCGCCAGCGACGGGAGCAGGATGACTTTTTTCGTTGAGGAAGAATGGAAGCTTGAAGTCTTCTGTGATGGAGCTTGGCAGAATCTTTCAAAATAGAGAAGCTGAACTTTCAGTCAATATTTTCAGCCAATAAGAAGCAAGTATTTCGTGCTGAAGCCAATAAGAGACCTCGTAGTCTAGATTAAAATGACTGAAATATCGAAGTCTTCCTTGATTTCAGTATTTGAAAGACTCTTTCCTGAAGGGAGTGATCTCACTATCAGTAAGAGTGGGCATTGTATCCCCTCGAGTGCCGTGATCCTTGAGCAATATCTTCGTCCTGTCAACAGGATCCCGCAGCATGTTCAGCATTTGCTCGCTGTTGCCGTACACTTGTGTCAAATCCAAGAAGCTCGAGAGTTGATTAATTTGTTCCTTTGTCAATTGCGGCGGGTTACCTCTGAAGAAAACAGAAACAAAATAGACAGGGCAACACGCGATTAATCAACTTTACCTTGCCTCGAGTGTTCCAACGGACTTGACGATGAAGGAACAGGCAAACATCTGAATGACAGGGTCGGTTCGGCCAAGATCGTTGCGACTGTGGGAGATGTTGTCACAAACGTCAGTTCGTCGACAGTCGCAAGGATCAGGTCCCGATCCGGCGACATCGGGAGTTTGAATGCTTCCGTGAGTGACGAACTGACCAAAATCGACCATCAATCGGCTTCGCTCGGGATTCGGGATGACTCGTCTCTCTCCGCCTTGTTCTTGCATCAAAAGGGAGATCTTTCGCGGCTGGGGAAGCGGCTGACCATTGTCAAAACAACGAGTCGAATCTCGATTGTTACAGTAGTTTGCCGGAGTCAAGCGGACGTAACTGTCGAGGACTTTTCCGAAGTTCTCGGGGTGGTTGCAGCTTCCATCGAGGGAGTAGATTCTCTCGTCGCAAAGTCCTTCTGTTCGGGTAGATGGGGCATTGATGAAGCTCTGTTGGTGGTTGAAAATTAACGCTCATCGTTGATATCAAAGTAAAGTGCAGATTCAACCAGTCCTTGGCAGTAGCAGCAGCCTGAAAAATCTCAAAATCAGACCTTGCGCTTCCAAATGGATTATCAATTTCATCTTGGGTCATCTGTCTCAAGAATCCTTCAACAAACTGCTCGGTCTGCAACAGACTGTTTCTAGCGTTGCTATCGAGGCTAGCCCGACGAACGATTCTATGAGCGGCGGAAATCGTGTCCATTGGATTTTGGTCGCTCGGAAAGTCAGGTACATCGAGCCAATCGCTAGTGAGTTGGTTAGGCTTTAGACAAGACGTGGCTAGATTCTATGAATTATCTATTTACGTCAAATTGGCGAAAGAAGGGATGAAGTCTCCATCTTCCAGACCTTCCGTGATTGCGCCCTGTTGTGAGATCCCGTCTGTTGGCCTCAGAGACGAATCTCTTTGGGCATTCGCACCTAAAGATTATTCTCTTTACTATCTCTTTTATAATTTGTGAAAATCAAAAACCTAAAAAGACGGAAAACGCCGCGAAGAGCTTCATGGCGCGAGGGAAGGACTGGAATCCAGGACCTGGCGGCCGCTTTATATTGCATAAAATGTCAAATCACGTACAACCTTTTCAGAAATATTAAGCGATTTGCATGGCATCACAATGTTCTGATTAAAGAGGACATTGAATTTTCTTTGGAAGCAGAACAAGATCCTCCACAACATTTGGTCAATAAGAGTAGATGAAAGTAATTTTTTTGAGGTGAAATCAAGGAAGAGTACCATGTTTTTCCTTTTAGTTTTTCATCGAGAGTGAACTGAGCAATGAAAAACTTCACCCTCTGTTCTAAGTCGACAAAGCTTGTTTCTCAAATAAAGCAGTTCGGAAGATACATAAAGCCGTACGTTTTTTCATGAGCGATTATTTGATGAGCGCCTTCTTCGCAATTTTTGTTCTTTTCAGTAAAAAGAGAAGGAAAGAAGACTGACAGTCAGAGAAGTAATTAATTCGCTATAAAATTAAGTGGTGTCAAGTGATGAGCTTTGGAATCATTCTCAGACTCTGATGTAGTGGACTTGAGCTCATCGATCTCAATTCTTAATGGCCGGATTGGACAGAGGCGGCCAATTTCATTGAACTCTTAAAATACACCTTTTGCATGCCTTGTTTTACCGCTGAGAATAAGCATAGTGACACCCTTAGTAAATTTCACAGAATAAAAAGTTAAATATTTATCTTCCTAGAGAGGCCAGAATTTTCAATTTCGTAAAATTCTAGAGCCTCAAAAATAGTAGATCAAAGTTCAAGCGGCCCAAATTGTCTGTGTCAAAAGTGAAAAACAACTGTTATTGTAACTGTAGTCATCATTCATGAACTTTGAAACATCTTGCGTCTGAACTTTGAGTGCGAGGTCGGACCGGTCAAAGTGTTAAGTATCCATTCAGTCAGCTAGCATAACAAGAAGTGAGCTCTCCCTGTCTACAGATTGGGATGGTTAGTCTCCCACCTCGAGGAAAAGAGTCAATAATTCAAAAAAAATAGAGAGCGGAGCCGCCAAAAAGCGCCGCAAAAGAAGCAATAGAGCAAATTGTGGATGGATGAAGGTCAGGAGAAGAGGTCGACGCATTTCGACTAATTAGTGTCAGAATAAAGTGAGATTGAACTCTCGAGGGAATCGCCAGTGCTCGTTCAACGAGCATTTGAACCTCGAAAGAGGTGCAAATCCAACGAAAATCGCGCGTTTTCAAGAAAAAAAGAGAAAGAAAATAAGGGCCTACCCACGGAAAATGGCGCGTTTTTTCGACAAAAATTTTCATCATTTTTTTCGAGGTCGCGTATTATTGACTTTCATAGAGCCTTCCAAGTCGCTTTTTATTTGCGATTCAAGTTGAAAATATTTACACAGGAAGTTGAGCGAGCTGTTTTCGAAGCTGACCCCAGATCAAATAACTCGGATTATCTCCGCCCAGGACCGAAAGTACCTCCTTGGGGCAGAATGCTTTGCACCTTTCTGACCACAGACTTAGACTTTTGTTCAAAAGAAGATGATTTTCCACTGATCTTTTTCATCAAAAAAAAAAGTCGGAAAAAACGAAATAGAGAGAAAAATTCTAACTAAACCTCATTGAAATTTGTCACGTGACTGATTTCTTGCCGTCTCAGATTCAGACAAATCAGAATACTGTACTTTCTAATAGATGAAAATTTGTACCAAAATTTCAGCCAAAAATTCTCTTGAAATTCGTCTTTCGCGCTAGAATTTTGGCCAAAAATGGCAAATAAGGGTGTCAACAAGCTAAGCCCCTTCTTTTCACGAGCCAAAAATCACGGAAAAATTACCCTGATTTTCCACTGAGCTTTAGACAACCAACTCGTGAGTGTTTTTACGAACTGTCTAAAAGCCCTCGCTCAGCTTAGCGCTCCTTTCTTTATCAGCTTTTTCAGATCTAAGCTCGTCCCCCCGCCGAGTCTCCAAGAAAGAGAGAGAGAGAACGGTCAGAAAGTTCAAAAACGGCGGCTTAAAAGTTTATATTCACCACGATTTTTTTTGTTTTTGGACCGGGGCCAGAAGGGATGGGGCGATTTTCTTTTGTTTGAAAAGGAGTTAGAAAGTTTCTTAAACAAAAAGTTCAAGGCTTATTGCTCGCTTTTTATTTAAAAATTTAGAGAATTCAACAAAAATTGTCAAAATTAAAGGTCCTAAATTGTCAATTGCAATTCGAAAGTAGAGTCCAAGATTGTTGATCGTCCCTTTTCAATCACCAAAAAATGAACTACTGTAACTTGGTCAAAAGAAGCTTCGAAACTGAATAAGCAATCACGGGAAAGGCTGATATTTACAGTCACAAAACCTCCCACGAATAAATTATGATTTCAATGAATTTTGAAAAAAATCTTTTGTTTTTCTTTCTTCCAATTTCGCCCCTTTCACAAATTCGTCCTTTGATTAAGGCTGATATTTACGGTCACAAAACTTCTGATGAATAAGTCATGGTTTGAATGGATTTTGTCGTTTTTTCTTCAAATTTCGCCCATTTCAAAAAATCATCTTTTGGTGGCGCTCCGATTTTTTGCCGGACCGCCGAACCCGAGTTCGTCGAAAAATAGACACGTTCTTCGGTGAACTTTTCCACTTTCTTTGAACGAAATAATCGGCCCATATTTAGGCCATATTTGGAGAAGTGTTTGTTTCACGCCCGTTTCTCTTCTTTTTGTAGCGTCCCAAATTGGGACTCTCTCTCTCTTCGAGAGTTTAACACGCCCGGGCTGAGAGTTCATAGCGAAAGAGAGAAAAGAGAGAAGAGAGAAAGAGGAGCCATGACGGCTAATTTTTATCTGAATCTCCGGTCCGGGCACCGGGTTTGATCTGGAACGCCCAAAACCAGAAAGCATCAATCCATCATTTTTTGCGATAAAAGAGAAGGTACCTCATTTCTTATTTATAAGGGAAAAACGACTGATGCATGAGGAGTCTACATAAAAAGTAGAGAATGTAAAAATCGCTCAACTGTAAAAATATCCTAACTGAAGCGCCAAGAGTACCAACTTCGTAGGCGTTTCCTCTTTTTAAAAAAATATCATAAGGCCAAGCACCTTTTCAAAGCTTCAGAACCTGTTTCCTGAAGAGAAAGGTAACAACTTTTTGCACATCAGAAAAAGCTAGAAATAATAGATATCTCTAGAAACATACTATTGTTATTGAAAAAATGACCGTACTAGTTGAACAGTTCAAGTTAGAAGATTTTTTTAGAGAATCATCATGTCATATTTTCATCTTTACGGATGCCTCCCGATTCCAAGAGATTTGAGGTAACCGCTACTAACAAGCTTTTTTTACTATTGCCTTTCAATTATTGAATTGTTGGGTCGGTCCGAGAATTCGAATTATTTTGCCCGAATTATTTTGCCCGGAGAGCTGGGATTGCTGCTATCTAAGGTCATTTTGAAAAAAGGAGGATTTGAAATGAAAAAAAAGCTTGAACGAATTTTCACAAAATTACTGTAAAAAGGAAAAAATTGTAGTGAACATAATGATGAACTGAATGATTTGTGAATTGAACTAGAAAAACCTTGTGGAGAAGAAAAAAATGATGTAAGCTTATTTTTACAAAAACAATGTTTGCGTTATTTTTGATGCACTCATTTACTACTTGAAGCCTGAACTCTGCGTAAAATCTAGACACCACAAATGTTTATAAGAAAACATGTTTTTGCTTGGGGTAAATGGGCTATTTACTTGCTGTCTGGCTTTTTTTTGGCCTTTTTCGTTGAATTTTGCCGGAGTGAGAATATTTCCTATGCGTTTTTTATTTGTATATTATCACCCACGTATAGAATAACTGATAAAAGCCCGGAGGGCAGGACGAATTAGCCCTCAAGCGCGTGTTTTTCTCATTTTTTCTTAACCCTTTTTTATTACCCTTAACTTTCGAACGCGTTTGTCAACGAGTAGGCCATTTTTGCGCGAAGGGGTTAAAAAGCAAGGGCAAAATTGACATGCCCTCGGGCGAGTTCGCCTGTTCTCATTAATTTTAGCCGTGTAAGTGGCTCATTAGCCAATTATCTCGTTAGCAAAGTTCATGTTTTGGAAGGAAAGATCTGGAGTGACGTATTTTTGGGATGGAATCATTGTCAAGGCGCCCCATGTTTTCGAGCTTTAGTTCTTGGGACCACCCGTCGAGCTTTCAAGCGCCACCCTTCATCATTCAGAGATCAACAAGCTTGAACTCACTTTTTTCAAAAAGATCTGAAAGAAAGGAACTTTTCAATAAGAGAAAAATCAGCATAGAAAGAAAGGTATTTCCTCCCAACCCACTTCCTGTAATAACAAAAAGAACTCCCCAGTAGTGTGGTACTGAGTTGAAGCTAGCATTTTTTCTTCAATTTTTACTTCCGGTCGAGTTAATTTTTTCATCGTGAATTTCGAATGATTTCTGATGAATAAGATTTTTAAATAACGATCGGACGATTTTCATATCGCGCCATCAGGTAGCCAGAGCTTTAAGAGTTCGACGCTGCTAAATTAAGGGTGTCGCTTCGTTAATTTAAAAATTCGCCTCTACTGTCAATATTTAACCAACAAAGTTGAAAATTTCAACTTGAAATTATTGATTGCTTTCTTAGACATTGAGTAATATTGACGTAAGAATACATAAAAAAAGAGTCTGAGAGTCAAAACAGGGCTGTTTTAAGAGTGTCGCGATAATTAAATTAAATTCGTTTTGAATATTTCTGTCTACCATCAAAATGGTGGTCTAGTAGGTTATAGACAGTTCTTTATTTTGAGTTCCAGTAATTTTGACCTTTGAAAGCTGGAAACTCAGAATTGCCAATTGAGTAGTTCAGCGTGGAGCTATTCGCGCGTGTCATTTGTCACCTGACGTCGCCAGAGAGCCAGGCTCATCCGTGTGACTGGCTTTCTATTAGAGGGAATAAAGAACGTCGAAGAGCACAACAAGAGCTGAACTGGCCCCGAGGGCGGTTGAGCTACCCGCAGTCGGTAAACTGTCACAAAAATAGGAGCCTTGTTAGAGATAACGACACCCGACAAAACCTCCGGCCCATGCTACTTGTCCCCATGAACTTTTTGCCGGATGCTTTGGCGATCCTTTTCTAGGAGCCTCACTTTTTCGAAGAGAGAGTAACAGCTCTGCTCTCCGTCGAGAATAATTAACGAGCGCCCTACTAGCCACCACCTAAGAGAGGTCACCTCAGAAAAAGAATAAGAGAAGATAGATCCAGATTCAGACCAAAGAAAGAAAGAAAAAGAGAGCGTTAAACAACGAAAGGAAAAAAAGAATCGCCAAAGAAAAAGACTGAAAACATAGAGGTGAAAGCAAGCTTCCTAGAAACTCCCAAAAAAGCCCGAAAAAAGGCCCAAAACCGACCCACAAACCGACCCGAAAATCGACCGAAAAACCGACCCAAAAACCGACCAAAACGACCCAAAGTCCCAAAAGATCACGAGGGGGGAAAATAAGGGGCGCACCCGGTTAACCTTTTTTCCCTTCTTTCTTCATAGCTAACGGGACTAGGAAAGAAGAAAAAGAAAAAAAGTGAGGGTTGAACTTTTTGAAACCACTTTTTCGAACTCCTTCATTTTCTAGCGCTTCGCCCTTCGCGATGGTGTTTTTGAGTTGAGGATTTTCTGTGCCTTCGGGCCGAACAAACCAATTCTGCGAAGAAATATCGCCTCATCCCTTCTCAATCCCAGCCGGCCTGAGCTTTATTTACACATTTTTATTTTACTTCAAATAATTTTTCAGCAAAAAAAAAAGAGAAGAAAAACTAAAGTTCAAGCTGTTTTTTCAAGTTCACTCTTTTTGAGAGTAGTTTTTCTTGATTCAGTGAGCCACTGACTCAGCTAACTGCATAAATGTTAATCTGCAGTAGGGAAAATAGAGAGAAACTTGCGAGAGCCACTTGCTGGAGCTCAAGAGAAAGAGAGAGAGAAGGAGAGCGGGTGAGTCTCCGCGCCTGGATGAACTTTTCCCTCTCTCTTGAACTTTTTTGTTTAGTCTCTCGCTTTCTCGCTTTTCAAATTGGCCCTCGCCTTTTATTTTTTCTGTTTTCTGAGCTGGCTCACTGAATGAAGAAAGAGAGGACCCTTTTTAGAAAGAAAAAGAGCAGCAGTCCTTTTTTTGCGAAAATAATTGAGATTTTGAACTAAAAGAGGATTTTCATTGAGAGATAGAAAAAAATAAATTTTATTCTTTTTATCAGTCGACAATCGTGTCTGGGGGGCCTTGAGTGCGTGGCTATTCTTTCTCGAACCCGGCAAAAATGAGCCAGTCAGACGTAACCCCCCTCGAGAAAGTTTACCTCTTGCCTACGGGTAGGGCCCGGAAATTCAGAAATTCAGAGAACGCCCACGCTTTTTTGGCTTTTTCTCCAGAGAGAATTTAAAAACTAGCCAATCGAGGAGAAAAAGAAGACAACAGCAAAAATTCTAGCTTTTTTTTCAATAAAAAAGGGTCGATTTTAACCATTTTTTTTTTGACAAAAAATCTAGAATTTTCACTTTTGTTCTCTTTTTTTTTCATAAAAGAAAGATTTTATTAAAAAAAAGTGATTGAAATCAACCTGAAACTGGTTTGACTTCAACCACTTTTTATTAAAAATAAAAAATCTTGAAAGTTCATCAACTCTTGATGTGTGAAAGCGCCGCCCTAAAGACGCCGGTTTAATTGATTTCGATAAAACTTGCCGTAACAGGCTTGCTGAAGGGCCATTATAAAAACGTTTATTTAACTATTTTTTATGTTCACTTTCTCTCCTTTCAAAAACGCGCCTTGAAGAAAACGAAAAACTAAAGAGATGATTTTATAGAATGGAATCGTCGGCTCTTATCCCAAATCTTGGGGACCCAAGGAACTTTCCGCCAACTTCTTCTGCTTTGGTGAACTTCTCCTCCAATTCAGCACCGTCTCGGGAGAATCAGAGCAATTTTCGTCAGGTAAATCTTTCATTTTTTCAAAAAGCCAGCGTTTGACCAATCAGAAAGCGGGAAATCGACAATCTTGGACTATCTTTCCGAAGTTTTACCGACAATCTCGGAATATGTAGATCTGGGCTCGGAAACCTGTGTAGAAAACCTGACTCAGGCTCTGGAAAAGCTGAATTTTAGCTTTTTCAGGATCTGACTCAGGCTTTCTTCACAGGTTGTCAAGCCCAGATTCTAGTGTTGGCAATCTGCTCTGCGGTTTTCAATTCTAGGGTTACTCGCATAGAAATGATATTTGAAAAAGAATGTCATTAGGTTCCTTTTTTGGTTCTAATTTGCCTCCCCGGCGGGTCGTCAAAAACTCATCAAACTTCAAACTCAAGTCTCCTTGAGTCAGAAGCGCGTCCTTGCATATATAATATGCAAAAGCTATTAATATATAAATAGGGGATCTTGGCGCCTAGTCCTGCCATTCCAGGTCAATACCAGGAGATACAATACGCGTCTCGCCCCGTTTTTTGACCGATTTAGAGGCAGAATTGTACTGTTATCATATTCATCCGCTTATGGGAGATGCGACATATAATTTTATCTCTATCCCGGTAGAGTTTTGACATTTATATTATTAAGGGTGCCAACACGGATTCAAAGATAAGATCTTCGAAAGAAAGATCGCGCTTTCTTATTTATAAAAGCCATATTGTGTCGACACCCTTAATTATTTCATAACGTAAAACAAGGCCGAAATAAAGTTGATGATCTTCAGTACTGATAGATGTATAAAGAAGGGTACACCCTTAATCAAGTTCGCTATTGAAAAACAAATGGAAGAGATCTTCCTTATTTTATTCATAGAATGTCGAGAAACCTACGAAGAAGTCCCTTAAATTGTTGATTTGCTAGACAAAAACCTCTTGCAAAGAAATTAAAACTAATTCTAGTGCCAAATCTGCTCGGATCAAGCGACTGGTCGCCATTTCGGAGTGCTCGCATGCGAAGGATGCAAGGGCTTCTTCCGGCGCAATATTCAAAAGAACGCCCGCTTCATTTGCTTTTACAACAATAAGTAAGTAGTTCACGGTGGCGGGTAGCCAGCAGGAGCTAAGCCCGATGGTTTTAGTTGCGACGTGTACGGAATAAAGAAACGCAAATGTTGCCAGAAATGCCGCATGGATCGATGCTTACAAGCAGGGATGAATCCAGCGCAAATTAAAAAGGAAAGGCGGTCGAAAGGTCAAAGCGACAGTGTCAATCAGCATCGCGGCTTTTCATTCAAGATCTTTCGGACCCTGACTCAGGATTCTACGTAAAGAATGACGCGTTTTAGTAGACTTTTCTCTCAAAATTTCGCTAGAAAGAAAGCGCCCTTGATTAGCGTCAATTATTAGCGTTATCGATCCTTTATTTTTTAAAAATTAATAGTGATCCGGGTCCTCTTGAATTGCTCAAAGGAATGAACCCCTTTTGACCCTCTCGAACAGAATAACCCCACTCGAAAGAAGCCGCGAAACGAAAAGACGCCAGCTTCGAATCCGACGCCGAATCCAGCCACTGTGACGCTGAATCCAGTGCCGCGCCTTTCCTTCGACCCTGCCGCTGGTTTCGGCAGCTCGTAAGTTCATTTATTCGATTCCATTCGATAATTGAGTTCTGTAGCGCGCGTCACACAGATCTGCTGCTCGCAAGAAACAACCGAACCCAATCGCCCAGTCCGTCCAACGAAGTTGAAACTAGCTACGAATCGACCATTTCTTCCCCTTCAAAACGCTCCTACAGTGCTGTCAGTCAAAAGGTAAAACGAAAAACCTTACTTTCAAGCGATAAAATAATAAGCCTCTGTCTGCCCGACAAAAGCTTCTGACAGGCCATAAGCCCGTCATAAAAAGTGAAGTTTAATTAGTCTACCTCAAGAAAAACAAGCTCGAAAATAACCATCATCGCCGCGCTAACTTTACGGTATAATAACCATCGCACAACTACTACTATTAATAACTGCGTAACGAGTCTTCTGATCGACTTTAACAACTGGCTATAACCTTAAGAGCGACGCCAAGGTTATTGTTCCGGTCAATCAGGCGCCGTTACGTTTTTCTTCATTGTATATTATATATACAGTATATATTACGATGGCTAATTATCACTATGAGGGAAAGCTTTTCTGGACGCCGAGGTCCCTGACTCAGGTTTCTACAGGGGCTGCTGAGCCCGAAAATTGGTTAACGACCTGAAAACCCACCTTGATTTTGAACTTTTCCCAATAAACTTTCCCATCTATTCGAGTTTGCGCTCGTAAACTGGGACTAACCTACCTTTCAGACTGGAGCCTCCTCGACAGGTACAGCTTCGACGCGCCCTTCCGTCATCAGGAAAGAGCACAACGGGCGCATCTGGATCATCGACACCGAAACGAGCTCAGAAATCCTCGAGCGCGTGCACCACGCTTCCGATCTTGGCCTCAATCGCGGGGCGCACCGACCGCCAGCTTCGCTACCGCCCAGAAAGTGCTGGCTCTCCTCTTGGAACCAGCCACAGCGCATGGCAGGTATAGCTTTTATCTAATCATGTAACTCGTAAATCATCAGTGCTGTAATTTATGATTCAATGACGCGTTTTTTGATTAGATTTTTATGCACTGTGAGTTTAAAATTAATACGAGGCCGAGTTGGAACGACAGCCATTATTTTACTGTAGCGTCATTGTTCTCTGCATCAATAATTACTCGTCTGACAGGGCGTTCCAAACCGACATCGTCATTAGTTTTACCCTTCAAGGTTTCAGCAAGTCATTATCTTTGAATGCAACTACATAATTCATACGTATGCCCGTTCAACTTTGTCCAGGGAAGAATTAGCCTGGCAAAAGCTGCGGATCGATAAGATCCAGCGACTTGATTATCCGATGCGTTGAGCGAGAGGGAGGCAAAGTTCAGTATTTGAACTCCACATCTCTCTAAAGAGCCCTAAAGAATGAAGGATCGATCACGAGTGTTTTCTTTGTGAATAAAAACAGGAAATAACTCATTTTTAACGAGCTTTTCAATTAGCGATCCAGCAATCGAACAAAATTCTTTTTATCAATTTTAAATAATAAATATTTTTTAGATGTCAAAACAGAAATTCGGGAGCGCGAAACCGCCGACGAAGTTACCAAAATTGTCTTCAAGAACAGCTACGAAACGAGCATGGCCTGCAAGGAACTCTGTCAAAGTTGTCCCTGCTTCAGCAGATTGGATGAAAACGATCAAAATCAGCTGTTTGAGAAGGCGCGCTACGAATTGCTCATTGTAAGTTCAGGAAGTCGGGTTTTATGATGGGCTTTGGAGGCTTTTGATTTGCTAGAAGTTCTAGCAAGCCGTATCCAATCACAGGCCGTTATTTCCTCTCTCAGCCAATCAAATGAGTCAAATTTTCTGCGTAATGCCCGAATGGTCACCCCATTTTATTTTCGGAGAAATATTCTTGCTCATATTTTCGACCAATTGAATCAAACGCTCATTTGCTTTGGACACTCTTTCGCTCGTGTGCGTGCAAAAGAGTGTTTGAGCATTTGAGCGCCCGAGCAAATGAGCGCGCCGAGCATTTGAGTGTGCTCCGGCTAGAACAGTATATGGTAGCTTTTAATTGGATAAATGAGGCAATTCTGACTTCTGGTTGGCTAAATGTCTAAGTCAAAAAATATTGCTTTCTGATTGGCTCAGACATAAAATTATGGCTTCTGATTGGCTAAGAGAACCCATTGAACTCTAGATTTGCTAGGAACCGTATCAGCTCCTAATAGGAGACTCCTGTTCTGAGTGGTCAAATTTGACCGGCTGATTCTAATATTTGTTGTTGTGGTTAAAAATACGGCTCTATGAGCAGATGCGATAGGTCTCGCGAACGTTCATTTATTTAATTCCTAATTCAAAATATTTACGCTTGTTTAGGTCTATTCCTATTACCAGAACAAGATGACCATCAAGAAGACCGCAGAGAATTCGAATAACATGATGAAGCAACTCATCAACTCGCTGGACAAGTGCGACATCAAGACGTGGGAGGACGTTAAGCTCATCATGCTGCTATCGGTGCTCAGCAGGGATCGTCTGGGCAAGATAAACGCCATCAGAGACGTCAAACTAATCGAAGAGTAAGTTCGACAGTCTTGGGAAAATTAAATGAACTGATAGAACTTCTATCTGACTGACTATTCCAAGTTGGAATTTCCAACCTGAAAATCAATCTCATACTAAAGAAGAATCTCTTTTGACCAGCCATAAGCCGCTTGCGGCTTCGAGCAACATAAAACATAAGCCGCTCGTAGCGCGGCTTTTTGACATTTTATTGGCCGAAGATGCTAGCGGCTTATGGCTTGTCAAAAGAGATTCTTCTTTAGTTGAATTGAAAGGCAATTCAAATTTGAGCACATCAGATTCTGGTGTTTTAATTGAAATCGATGTTTTATAAAAAAAAAAGAATTTTCTGCTTGGCAAAGCAAAAAGAAACAAAATTGCCTGTGCTGAATCTGTTTAATTTGCGTATTTGATTAGCCAAAAGAGCAAATACCGGCTTTGAATTTGCGAACCCCGTTGAACTCGGAACGAACTCGGTGAAAGAGAGTAGCTGGGAATTGTTCAAAGTCGCTTTTTGTTCAAGAAACTAAACAAAAATCGTGCCATTTCGAAGCTTCAGAGTGCGGCTTGTTTGAGCATAGTTTTGCGGTCGGTGCAGTTTTTTAAACTTGTTTAGTCGGCATGAAAGTACGCTTCGAAATGGCCTGGGGAAAAGTGGGGTTGAAAAGAAGTCTAGTTCACGAACTTCTGCCAAAATTAAATGATGCCAATTTTAGCCAATCGAATGAAACTCATTCTAATCTTTGATTTTCAGATCTTCAAACGAAGTGGTCGCACAAATCGAAGAACAGTTCGCAGAAGTCGGCGAAGGCGGCCTCAAAAAGTCGATTCTAGTGATGATCGTAATGAGCCAGTTGCGCGAAGTAAACGAGTTCTGGAACCGCTGCGATCTGGACATCAACGGAGTGCCAAATGAAGAAGAGCAGCACTGAAACGAAAAAAACGAAAAACTGAAAGTTCTATTTTTAATTTATAATTAACGTGATCGCGAGTTCTTCATGCAAACTGCCTCCGTTCACCGACACAAGTATTCTTGAGGTGTAGACTTTTATGCATTTATTACCTAATTTTAATTTTATTGGCGAGTTTATTCATGTTTGCGTTTTTTTTTCTTAATTTATCTTTTCCAAAATCATAGACTAAAAATGAGTCTTCAAGTTTTGATGACCCGCTTTCTTAACCCCTTCCACCATATCTACCAATTTATTGGCAAAGCTCAAACCAATCAAAAACCCATCATCAAAACCGCTACAGACAAGTCTTATTATAAGATCAGCCCCAAAACCAATCCCTAAAAAGCTTGGTTTTGGGGGTGACCTTATAATGAAATATGTCTGTATGGGTTGCTGACGATAGATTTTTTGATAGATTTGAGCTTTACCAATAAATTGTTCAACATATCCCAGTGGGTTAATTTCTGTCTGACTCTCTTTTGAAATTCAGTAAGATCAGAAGTCCTCCATGATTTTTCAATTCAATATTCAATATTCGAGAAAAAAAAAACAAAACCACCGTTCCCAGCTCAATCCTCGCACAGTTAAAAACAAAACTAAAAAAAAAGTTGTTAACACAAAGTAGGTGTACTCTTCTAGCCTGAAATATTTATAAAAAAAATTTGTTTTTTTTTGCTCTTGAAAAGTTTTCAAATTGTGTCTTCTCATCCCTTTCAAATTCTAATTTTAATTCTATCCGACCCTTTTTGCCCAAATTTCCTGACTCTTTCTAACTTTGGCATTTTTCAACTCCCTAGTTTTTAAAACAAAGTCTACCCAACTCCAAAGGTCGTCGTTTCCTGCCCAAATAACAGCGCAAATTGAATTTTGAGATTTTTCAAAAAAAAAATACTCTTCCTTTTTCTTGAAACCAAACAACTACTTTTAAAACAACAACCACAACAGCAAACCAAAACAAAAAAATAAGTGACTTACGAAACTTTTGTGAATAGGCCCGTTCAAAAGTTCAAAGAAAAGAAAATCTTCTGCTTTACAACTTGTTAAAGTTTATTATTTACGAAAGAAGTGAAACAAAACTGTACATATTATTATTCCAAGATAAACAATGATTGAACTCCCAGTCAATTCTCAATTCTTCCGTGTGTTTGTTTGCCTTTTAGAAAATAGAGATTCCAAGGGCCAGGAATTTCTACTGCAGGATTTTAATTAGTTTCTTACATTCTATGGGGTTTTATGGGTTTCTTATGGGGTAAGCTCCTTGGTGAGAATACCACTGCCTGATTGGCTGAAAACCGCAATGGAACGCATCATCTGGGCTCCGAAACCTGTTTGGAAAACCTGAGTCAGGGCCTGTGAAGCATCTGGTTGATTTTCATGCCCTGACTCACGCTTTCTACACAGGTTATCGAGCCCAGCTTATGAGGTTAGGTCTAGACTCTAGAGTAAGAATACCGCCCTCTGATTGGCTGAAAATCCCCATAGAACCCATCATTTTATTCTTTTGTTTGTGCATTTTTCATATGACAGTATGGACCATACTGTATGGTTGTTTCTTATGGAATCGTTTTCTTTATCTGTTTTTACGTTTTAGTTTTAGATAATATTGAAGCTAAACCAAGGTGATGCTCATTTTCCAAGTTGATTTTACAATTTCCCTTTCTTTTATTTCATTTTTTTCCGCGTAGTTGACAGTAATTAAGGTTCTTCTCGCAATTTTCATCGAATTTTCGCGAAATTGAAGAATTCGTTTTTTTGAATTTGGCGCGTATTGATTTAATTTGCTCTCGTCGCTCTTATTTTAATATCGTCTTTTTCTTCATTTTCGCCTTTTCATAGAGAATTACTGTCAGTTGCGTTTTACTGTGTCAAATTTTGATGAACAAGGTTTAGTTCGAAAAGATTCAATTCTAGCGTTTTCTTGAACTTTCTATTTTTCTCCCTTTCTGCGTTTTTGTTTTCTTGCGTCAATATTTCGTCATTTTTTGCATTCTTGAGTTTTGATTTTTCTATTTTCAGAAAGAAAAAAGAGAAAGAAAAGAAGGAAAATGGCTGCGATTCTTCAGGGCGTTGGAAAATTGGCCGCCACAGCTGGTTTTGTCGGTGTTGCAGTTAATAGCTGCATTTACAATGTTGATGCTGGATGTAGAGGTGTTATCTTCGATCGATTTAGAGGAGTGCTTCAGGATGTCAAGCAAGAAGGTGAGAAAGATAGAATTGAAGGGCATTTCGGAGATGATGATATGTACAGTAACTGGTGTTAATTCAGGCATAAATGAGATAGAGTTACTTCCATTGAAAGCTAGTACTGAAACAAACTCCTAAAATACCTTAAATTTGATCATTTTTCTGATCGAAATCGCTGATATTTGATGTTATATATGATGTAATATTTTATGAAACATCCATCTTATCGAAGAACAATTTCGATGAGAAAAGTGGCTAAATTTGAGGCATTTTAGGACTTCATTTTTGTACCAATTATCATGAGACAGTCTCTCATTGAGACTAACTCTATCAAATTAATGCCTGTACTTTCGGGCTCGACAACCTGACTCAGTTTCTCCCTCAGGGTCCATCTATTGAAACAATCCTTTTCTAGGCACTCATTTGCTGATTCCCTTCATCCAAACTCCACACATCTACGACGTGAAAACGAACCCAAAAATGATCCGAACCGCCACCGGTTCCAACGATTTGCAGACAGTCAACGTTTCTCTTCGAATTCTTTACCGACCGGAGCCGGCCAAATTGCCTCAAATCTATTCCGAGCTTGGTTTGGACTACGATGAGCGAGTTTTGCCTTCTATTACTAATGAAGTTTTAAAGGTACGAGAAAAACACGCGCCCCGGGGCACGATTGATGTTGTTTTAGGCTGTTATTGCTCGATATAATGCGGAAGAGCTGATTACTAAACGTTATACTGTCACTGAAGCTATTACCAAACTCCTGACTGAACGAGCTGATCAATTCGGGTAAGATAGTAATAAACGCTGCTCGTTTATTTGACGCTCGAAGCCGGAAGTGGCTTCTTGATTTGTCGAATCATTTTTATCACAAAATAACGCTTTTTTCAACCTCTTTTAAAATTTAGTATTATCCTTGACGATGTTGCTCTTACCCACCTGACTTTCTCGAACGAGTTCACCTCCGCCGTCGAACAGAAACAGATCGCTCAACAGAAAGCTGAAATGGCTCGATACAGAGTCGAAGAAGCTGAACAGCGAAAATTGGCCGCCATTATTCGAGCGGAAGGTGATGCTGAAGCTGCCAAGTTGGTTTCTGATGTAAGCTGAAATAGGCGCTTCCGTCCGTTGAATTAATCATTTTAGGCGATGCAAAAATCGGGCGAAGGCTTGATCGAAATGCGAAAGCTCGAAGCCGCAGAAGAGATCTCGACGAACTTGTCCCGAAACCAGCGCGTCACCTACCTTCCATCGGGCCAGAATTCCCCTGGTCTCTTGCTGAACTTGCAGAGCTAAAGAACGAGCGAATAGATTCAATTTTACACCAACTGTGAAATAATTAACTGAAATACATCCTGCCTCTAGAATTAAGAAGAAAAAACAGCTGTTCATGAGTAACTGACTGAACTATCACGTGTCTCTGAAAAAGATATACCAGCTTTAATTTATTATTTCTTCCCTTGTTGTCGTTGGCTTTCGAACTTGCATCTTTCAGCCCTTCTTTCTCTCTGACTCGCAGGAAAAAAAAACATCATAGGAATCAATTTGAATCGACTCTTATTAAAATTAATTAAAAAAGTTTGTTTACCTTCCCATTCTTCTTCAGAATGGGAATCAGATAATTTAACAAGCCCAAAAAGCCATATCAAAAATGGTCAAGCTTAAAAAAGAGCTTGGAAAGCTCGAGTACCTATCCTTGGTCTCCAAGGTCTGTACCGAGCTGGACAACCATCTGCAGATGGATGATAAGGACTTAGCAAAGGAAGGTTTCAAGATTTTTAATGAAAAAGAGAGGGATAATTTGCTCCTTGTTGATCATTTGAACGATGATTTCGTCGACCTATCTTGAAATCATCAAAGTTCGTGATCGAGCTCGCCCATGAGCACCCGAAATTCGAGTTGTATCGCCAAAAACTCATCGAAAACGGCGCCGACTTTTCCGGCGTCCTGATGCGTTCGATATTCGACCTGGTTTATCGTATGAAACAGATCGCCAAATCCGGCGATGCTAAAATGATCGAGGATGTCGTGAAGACAGTCGATCCAAAAATGGCGGAGAAGCGCTCCAAGTTCAGCGGCTTGGCGATTCCGGACGATCCGAGCTTTTCGAAGAAGCTTTTGCAAACGGAAACTGAAGCTGCGGCGGAACCAGAAGCTGATGTCGATGATATGATGGCCGCTCTAGAAGGGTTGGCAGCGCCGCCGCAGCAAGAAGAGGAAGAGATTGCGCAACTTCCGGACGAGCCATCTTCAAAGTCATCGTCTCGGAGACGAAGCCGCTCTCGCTCACGAGAAAGAAGGCGGCGTTCCAGATCGCGGTCAAGATCACGAGAAGATCGAACTAAAAGGAGGCGTAGATCTCGCTCCAGGGACTCACGAAGAAGAAGATCTAGTAGATCACGTTCGAGGGAGCGAAATCGCAGCGGAAGAAACCGAGAGCGAGAGCAACTCGATAAAGAACCGCAAGTTGGAAAAATCTATAGCGGAAAAGTCACTTCTCTAAAGCATTTCGGCTGCTTCATCACGCTCGAGGGGTTGATAAAACCGGTCGAGGGCTTGTGCCATATTTCAGAGCTCCGAAATAACGAGCGAGTGAATGAAGTATCAGATGTTGTTGCCCGCTTCCAGCAGGTCAAGGTCAAAGTCCTGAGCTTTTCTGGAACGCGTACTTCGCTGTCGATGAAGGACGTGGATCAAGCAACCGGCGAAGATCTGAATCCAGATCGATCGGGTCGACTTCTTGCTCGTCCGGAAATCCCGCAAACCGCGAACTCATCATCCGGCGATTTGCTGATTCGAAATCCGGATAATCCTCTCCTCGATCGTAACACCAAAAGCACAGACGATGGAACCGCTCCTGGGAGGAATAAAACGGTCGCGAAATTGTCGGACATGGATCGCTGGGAAATAAAACAGCTGATTCAAGCGGGAGCGATCGACGCTTCCGAACTTCCAGAGTGGGACGAGGATACGGGCTTGATCTACGATCCAGATGCGGAGGAAGACGAGGATGTGCAAATCGATCTGGTCGAGGATGAACCGCCGTTCTTAGCCGGCCATACGAAGCAATCAGTAGAGCTGTCGCCAGTTAGAATCGTCAAGAACCCCGACGGCTCGCTCTCTCAAGCGGCCATGATGCAGACTGCGCTAAGCAAGGAACGAAGAGAGATGAAAATGGACCGGAAGAAGAACGAAAATAACGAAGAAGCGAGCGATTCGCGCCAGTGGAATGACCCGATGAAGAAGGGACAGTCCTTCGACAGGGGCTCCGGGGGACCAAGAAATCAAGACATGCCCGAGTGGAAGAAAAAGACCATGGGCGGCGGCGGAAAGGGCTTCGGAAAGAGAACGAATTTGACGATCAAAGAGCAGCGGGAAGGACTGCCTATATTCAAGCTTCGAAAACAGCTCCTCCAGGCCGTCGAGGACAATCAGATTTTGATCGTTATTGGCGAAACTGGCTCCGGAAAGACAACGCAGATTACGCAATACCTCGCGGAAGAAGGATTCTCAACTACTGGAGTTATTGGTTGTACTCAGCCGAGAAGAGTAGCTGCGATGTCTGTGGCAAAACGAGTGGCGGAAGAGTGTGGGGTCCAGTTGGGCCAAGAAGTCGGGTACAGCATTCGATTCGAAGATTGCACGAGTCCAGAGACGAAGGTCAAGTACATGACAGACGGTATGATGCTCCGAGAGTGTCTTGTAGACACAGACTTGTCGCGCTACTCCGTGATTATGTTGGACGAGGCGCACGAACGGACCATCCACACAGACGTCATGTTCGGATTGCTCAAGAAAGTCATCAAAAGACGCAAAAATCTGAAACTGATCGTGACCTCGGCGACACTCGACGCCGTCAAGTTTTCGTCATACTTCTTCGAAGCTCCAATTTTCACTATTCCTGGTCGCACCTTCCCCGTCGAGATCATGTATACAAAGGTAAATTGAGAACTTCAAAATAGCCGAAATAGCCAAGTTTCAGGGTGTTCGTTGATTTCTTAATTTGAACCTCAAAATCAAGTGTTTTTATTTCAAAACAGTGTTGAAATTGGAATATTCAGGAACCAGAAACTGACTACCTCGATGCCTCGCTAATCACCGTCATGCAAATCCACTTATCGGAGCCTCCCGGAGACATTCTTCTCTTCCTCACTGGTCAGGAAGAAATCGACACGAGCTGCGAAATCCTCTTCGAACGAATGAAACAGCTCGGCCCTGACGTTCCAGAACTCATCATCCTTCCTGTCTATTCCGCCCTGCCGTCAGAGATGCAGACTAGGATCTTTGAACCGGCCCCGCCGGGGTCAAGAAAGATCGTCATCGCTACCAATATTGCTGAAACGTCACTGACAATTGATGGAATCTATTATGTCGTTGATCCTGGATTTGTTAAACAAAAAGTCTACAATTCTAAGACTGGCATTGATCAGCTTTTGGTGACGCCCATTTCACAGGTGAGCTGGTTAAATACAGTATTGTCTTTACTGTCATTCATAGGCACAAGCGAAACAAAGAGCAGGTCGAGCCGGAAGAACTGGTCCTGGCAAGGCTTACAGGCTTTATACTGAGCGAGCTTACAGGTAATCCAAATAAAAGATCACCTCACAGCTGATAAGAGTTCCCGAAACAACCCTAATTTCAGAGATGAAATGTTGCAAACAAACGTTCCAGAAATTCAACGAACCAACATGGCTACGACCGTCCTTTCCCTCAAAGCCATGGGCATCAATGATTTACTAGCGTTCGACTTCATGGATCCCCCTCCGATGGAAACATTAATCACAGCCATGGAATCGCTGTATCAACTCGGGGCGCTGGACGATGAAGGCTTGCTCACGCGTCTTGGGAGGAGAATGGCCGAGTTTCCCCTCGACCCAATGCTTTGTAAAATGCTGATTATGTCCGTTCAATTGGTGAGGGATCAGCGGGTCTGAGGGTGATTGAAAGATGATTTAGGGCTGCTCCGATGAGATTTTAACGATTGTTTCGATGTTGAACGTTCAAAACGTCTTCTACCGTCCGAAAGAAAAGCAACAGGTCGCCGATCAGCGCAAGTCTAAATTCCATCAAGCGGAGGGCGATCACCTTACCCTGGTAATTGACTATTTATCTACTCGATAACTGACTCAAAGTGTGATCTTTCAGCTGACCGTTTATAACGCTTGGAAGAATAACAAATTCTCGAACGCGTGGTGTTTTGAAAACTTCATTCAAGGTATGTTTTTGACTTTCTCAATTTTTACGTCAATTATGAATCTGGAAAATATCTTCATCTTTTTTGAGACTGCTTACATGAGCTTTCCGTAAAAAAAGATCCGGAATAATTGTGTTATATAAATCCGGTATAAGGATTTTTTCAGCCCGAACACTGCGTCGATCTCAAGATGTGCGGAAGCAAATGCTGGGGATTATGGACAGACATAAGCTGGAATGCGTCTCAGCCGGAAGAAACACTGCCAAAGTTCAGAAAGCTATTTGCTCGGGATACTTCCGTCACGCTGCTAAACGAGATCCACAAGGTACTAACGTAGAAAAACGTAAATGAAACCCATCCTTTCAGACGGCTACCGTACTTTGGTAGACCAGCAACAGGTCTTCATCCATCCCTCTTCCGCCATGTTCAACCGCCAACCGGACTGGTGCGTTTATCACGAGCTCGTCCTGACCTCGAAAGAGTACATGCGAGAAGTGACAGCAATCGACCCCAAGTGGCTGGTCGAACTCGCCCCGCGATTCTTCAAGGCGGGCGATTCAACCAAACTCTCGATGCAAAAGAAGCAGCAAAAGCTCGAGCCGCTGCACAACAAATTCGAAGAGCCAAATGCATGGCGTATTTCCAGAGCTTTTGGTCGCCCCGGTCGTCGATAAAATACCAATACCGGAATTAGAAAAAATTATTTTTAGCCACAACTTGTTCCATTTTCACTGCGAAATAAAAGGAAATTCACATGTTCAAAATTCAGCATTTTCAATCATCAAAATTTGATCGAAAAAGACGCTCTTGAAGGACTTTCTCAGGGCAAGCAGGTCAATACCAGGTACAAGACTAACTGAAAAGCAAACAAACAAGTGGCTATCACGGAGGCCGGGGAAGGTTCCAACTTTCGTCCCCTTTTAGAAGTGAAAGAGAGAAATACTGAGGATGAGGTTATTTGCTGCTCTATTGGGCGCTTCTCACGTGAAAGCTTTCGATGTAGATGAGCACGTGGAAGGGTACAGGCACGCGACTAAATACGTAAACCAACACCCAGGCGCGGATGGAAATATTCCATGGAAATGATCAGAGCAAGAAATATACTCGCACGTGAGAAGTTCATTTTTCTACTTTATTAACATCCGCAAAAGACCAGTTTTCCTCCTTGATTTCACGACTTGATGACGCTGCTTTCCTGACTCGCTGGAACACGTGTAATACGAATGGGGATGAGATCCTCGACTTCCAAGAGAACCAATCTTGTGTCCGAAGAGTAGCAGAAGCATATGGCTTCCAAGATTCACTCGGAGAGATAATGCAGCAGATGATGTCGGACGCGGAAATTCGCAAGTTTTATGTAAGAAAAACACAAGATCCTTTGGATTTGAGCTTGTTCAGGGAGGATACTATAATGCTGACAGAAGTCAAACGTACGAACAGTACAAGCATACAGAAGGCATGTCAGTCCTAGCCGGAGTTTACACGATTTACTTGGTCCACGACTTGAATCAAGACAATTTCTTGAGCCCGAAAGAGCTCGGAGCCGCCTGGGAAGCTGGAAAAACTCGACTTCATATCAATCCCGAAATGGAAGCCTGGGTCAACGCTAATCGCGGACAATACAAGTATGATCATTCTACTTAATCTTGTTGAAAAAATTCTTTTCAGGAGACTTTGGGGAATGTCAGATACAGATGGAAACTACAGAACTGCGAATATCCTTGAACTGGCGAACTTTCAACTGGCGACTAGTCAACTTGCTTTTGAGCATTTTATACTTCACGAAAATTAGAAATAAGAAAACTGCAATAAAGAATGATTTGAAGAAGAATTTGATGAAAAGTTATTTTTATTTGAACATTTTTTTACAAAAAGGGGGAATGGAAAATTTACAGAAAGCCGAAAAACTTAACCTTTGAAACATCCTCTTCCCAAGCAACGAAATCTTCATCGGCAAAATCGTTCAATTCTGAGCTTGACCGAATTCGTGTCCATTCAAACTTGTCGTTAGGGCAAACCGCTGGGCAGAAGATTTCTTCGACTTCGACTTTGGCGAACTTGTTCTGGATCTTTGACTTGATCTTCTTGAGTTGAAATTTCTTCTTGAGAAAGTTGGCTGAGGCGGATTTTCGAAGCTGCTTGGTTTTGGAGACCTTTGGAGTCGCGGATGGTTTTGGCGGATGGACGGAGAGGTCTTCGGGAATGGCGAGCATGGAGAGTCGGGAAATGCGTCGATCAACTTCTTTTCGGACGAATTTTGCGGGATTGGAGACGCCGATGGATCGTCGAGTTCCTTTGTTTCGCTGGAATTTCATGTTTTTTGAGTGTTGTTGTTTTTTGATAGTTTGATGATGGTTGCTTCTTCCGGTCTTGTATTTATGTGATGGAATAACGAGATCTTGCGCCATCTAGGATCCAGATGATTTACAAGAAAAAAGCAGCAGGCGGTCGATCAGCTGGTCGCAATTCCGATTGTTCTTCCGGGAATTCATTTGTGTCCAGCTGAAGCAGTGTCAATATCAAACGCAGATCGGAATCAGTCCTGGTTGATAAGGATCAGTATTGATAGACCGAAGAAACAGATTTCCGGGTGTCAGGATGATTCATTATTGAATGCAGAATTTTAAGTCTTCAGCAAATTAATTTAAGCAATATCTCGAGTTTAAATATTGGCAGGCAGCCAGGCGCATGGTCCGAGCAACTAAGTTTTTAGCGGGATCGCCCGAAGCTCCGGTTTTTCTAGTTTGAAAACTGTAAAATTTAATAAAGGTGATTTACAAAATGAGCTTTTTTCGCGTTGGAAATGAGGTCAAAATTTGAATTTCCCATACTCCTAACTCCTAGCTTTTCGAACCTCCTAATGTCTGTGCTGATTTCACGGCAAAACCCACAGTTCAACTGGCCACCAATTTTGCCGAAAAAAACCGAAAAAAAAGAAGATTGATGCGTTCGAAACTTTGACTTGTTATTGTTTGTTTAGAGCGTTTCCAATCATCATGTTTGAAGTGTCTTTCCTGGGACAATTTTGTTTGTGCAATTTTTCATTGCTTCAAAAACATTCTCGTCATTGCTTTTTTTGGTTTATCGCATCGCTGTGGGATACCAGAGCTCTTATCGCAATTTACGGCGGAAAAGAAAGTGGGCGTCGTCAGCAAAAGTTTCGGAGCACAGAAACCGCCCTGAGCTCTTAAAATCTTTATCAATTCAGCGACTTCCAATTTCCAGTCTGGAAAAGAAGACGAGAGTCACGAAACGATGTTACCCACTTACTGCTCTTGAATTCCAAATCGCAAAAAGAAAATTGGCGTGCGGATTTTTATGACAGAAAGTTTGACTTCATTTCTCGTCATTTTTGTTTTTTGACAAGGATTGTAGATTCTACAATGTAGAATAAATGCCGATCTTTTGGGTTCAAGATTGTCAATAAAACTCAAAAATCTAGGCCCTAGATTGTCCTTTTCTTAGATCAAAAGACAACAAAACAATATTTTATTCAGCAAATTAATTTTCCCCAATTTTTTCTTCTTGCAAGAATTTTGGTTCGAAAGTCTTGCTTTTTTGCTGAGAAAAGTACGAATTAGTGCGTGCTTGTACTTCCCGCCTAGGTTCTAGGTCGTGACGTTGCATATTTCTGCCAGCTTGTAATTTGTAGCGAAGTTTCATGTTTCTACCGTGCGCAGTGCACACATTGATTTTGATTGAGAAAACTGGGTGCTTATCAAGCAGAGCAGCCCGGGACCGCAACTGGGAGGCGCTAATTTCTTTTCTTGAAAACGCCCTAGACCGCCGAGGCTCTTTAGGCTGAGCTCCGCTCCGCTTTCGTGTCAGAGGATTGACACCACCCGCGGCACCAAGGGCCTTGGTGGAGATACAGCAGATCATTCCATCGCCCAGTCACAGAGACTCTTAAACAAAACAACCATCCTCATCCCCATCATCATCATCATCATGTCATAACCCCGATTGAGATTGTAGAAAAAGAGAGAGAGAGAGAGAAAGAAAGAAGGGACAAGAAGAATGAGCGAATTTAGCGAAATATCACAAGAAATAGGAAAAGGGAGCTTGTTGTTTTTAAGATTAGGGAGCTTTAGGGGATGAAAACGTGGCAAAAAGGAAGCTATTTTTCCAAAAACGGAATTTTTTCAATCAAACGCAGATTTTGAATGAAGAAATCATCTGGTTTTCCTACTTTCTAGATGAATAAAAATTTGGTAAAAGATGGTGAAGGGTATCCTCTTCATTATCGCTCCTAAGAAAGGGGTTTTTGAGGAAACTTAAGGGTGTCAAAATCAATCTGGAACATTTCAATGACTCATTATCTGAATCCAACTTTAACTCTTTGTCTATAGAATATGCTAAAATTCACCGTGAAATTTCATCTTTCAAAATTCAGTCACCTTTGAATCCCTGCATCCTTGTCAATTCCCATTTCCCGCTTTTGATTCAACTTGGATCCCTTTGAATAAGTCGAGGACGAAGAAGTAGCTGGAATCACGGAAAAGAAAGACAACGAAAAACAAGGTAAAGAAAGCTGAAATTCAGCCGGCTCTGTCTAACCGACTGCGGCGTGATTGAGTTAACCTGACGAGTGTAATTGTAGATGACCTCGAAAAGCTGGTCCTCAGTGCAAACTGTGGCGGTATGCTCGGGCTGCTGCAGGCTAGAACGTGCGCAAACCCAAACACCGCCGCCGAGGAGGTGAACTATTTCAAGGCCTGGGATTGGAAGGCCTGTAACGTCGCGCATGCACCACCCGCGGACGGGTTCATTAACTTTCGCAGACAGTAACAAATCGAACTTTTACAGTAATTTAAATAAAGAGCCATTTGATCAAATTCAAAGCAAAAAAAGGGGCAGAAAAAAAATAAATCAGGAAATAAAACTGAAAATTTTTTTTATGGAATTAGTCGAGTGACGACATATGCGGTCAATCTTCGGGGTAGGGATCCCGAAGAATAGACGATTTTAAATACGCTCAATCTTCGGGGTAAAATCCCGAAGAGCTACCAATATAAAGTGCGGTCAATCTTCGGGGTCTTGAAAATCCAGAGACGAAGAATAACCGATGCACAATGCGGTGATTCTTCGGGGTAAAATGAGTGTTTTCGAGATCGTCGAGTGCTTAATTTCGCTGCCGCGTTATCGAAATTCCTATCATCCGCCCGCCTTATGAATGTTGCTATCAGCACGATTTCTAATCAAAAAACCGAAAAAAAAGAAGAAAAAAATTTTTATTGAAATCAAGGAAATGGTCCGTAATAATATGGATTATCCTTCAATTATCATAACTGAAGGCGACAGAGAGATTCTCTTTCACCAGTAGAACGCTCTTTCCAAGTCGATAATCTACGAATGTTCTCAGCTTAAAAGTATCTTAAAGTATCCTTCAAATTTCTTTTTCAAAGACTTTTTTCCCATAAAAAAATTAAAATCATAGTATTTGCTAAAATAAGGTTAGGGTTAGGGGGCACCTTCAAAAATGACGGAACAAATTACCCGAGGGGGATAGGCTAGGGTTAGTTAGGGTTACCGAAGGTAACCCTAAGTAACCCTAGACTAGACCCCGGCATCTTAGGACCGAGGGGCGGAGCCCCGAGGTAAAGGACATTCAGATTTGATAATTTTCTACTGTTGAAATAGTTTACTATACTTTACTGTTAAAAACTTTCAATAAGAGAGTTGTTAATTGGCTTTCAATCTTTAGGACGAATTTTTTATTCGAAAATCCCTCAATTTAGGTCGGAAATATCGGCCAAATTATTATTCATTATTATTCATTCATCAATTTACTGAAATTAATAACATCGGATTTCTATTTGTTTGATAGTTTTTCATAGCAGGAATAACTATATAATAATTAAATATGCTGATCGTTTATAAGTATTCATCTTCAAACTTTTTTTGACCCCGAAGATTCACCACAATGTTGATCGGTTATTCTTCGTCTCCGGATTTTCGAGACCCCGAAGATTGACCGCATTTTTATCGGTAGCTCTTCGGGATTTTACCCCGAAGATTGAGCGTATTTAAAATCGTCTATTCTTCGGGATCCCTACCCCGAAGATTGACCACGTATGACCTCGAGTGACACCCTTAATTTCTTTTTCCCAAAAATCCCAAGACAGACATCTCGTGGAAAAAATTTCCGCCTTCGGCCGCGCACTCCTGTTCGAAAACTCGCCAAGCGTGATGTTGGAGATGTTGCTGCTCCGTCGACTTCTGAAGGAAAGGTTCCAACATTCATCGAATCCCTAGTTTAAAACCCTTAATAATTCCTTATCAAGCCTAAAAGATAATTGGACGCAAGATTTTTTGTTATTTTTGTCAAAATAAGCGTCGATTTAAGAAGCATCAACGTGGAACCCTTATCTTTCAGAAATTAATGAAGCTGTCAGTCGATTTACAACGCTTCTAAGGAAAGGGGCTAGAATTGATGATTCATCAAATTTTCCGCCGTTTTTATCAAAAGAAGAATATGTCAACAAGACCGATAAAATTATGAAAAAAAGCTATCTTTTCGGACCGAAAACGATTTTTCCGATTCATTTTTCCGCTAAATGGCGCTGTTTTTCATCAGCCAATCAGATCAACGAAAATCGTACATGTTCGCTTATCTGATTGGTCCATCGCCAACCCTTTTTTCTCATGAAAACTTGGCTAAAACACGCCTTGGAAGCATGCAAGCCCAGTTTAATTTTCTTATCAGCAAATTAGCTGTGCGCTATCGAACAAGATATGCATTGTTATAAAAACTCCAACATAAAAAGAGCCCCAACAAGCTCTCGCCCAGCTTGAGTAGTTTTATCAGCGCCAGGATCGGCAAAGTTCATTAAAAACAAAAGTAGAACCACGAACTCTTAAAACGATTTGTCATGGTGGTTGCTTAATTTTACGGGGATCCAGGGCAGGAGTCAAATATAGTTCGCATTTTGTGTTGCGATTTCGAGTGGCTACGAGCTTGGAATGATGAAGGTTTTAGATGTCAAAGAATGAAAAATGGATTCTTTGACATCTAATAATTTTCAACATTTCAAAGCTGAAATTCTTAGCTTGAGGAATATCCATTTTTCTGAATAAACCAATCATGGTCGCAAATTATTGACTAGGCTAGGCTAGCTTAGCTGACTTGAAAAATAAATTAGACAAATTGTCTTTTGAGTTTATTTAGACTAAGCTAAACTTAGCTGAGCTACCTGATTTGTCCTTTTATAAAGCCAATAAAGGCTCAGCTTAGTTGAGCAAAATTTGGCTAAGCTACTAGCTAAGCTTAGCAAAGCTAAAATTTTGTATGAAAAAGGAATTCAGCTAGGCTAACTTAGCCGTAGAAGATTTAAGAGTGCAGCTTAGCTAAGCATAGCTTAGCTTAGTTTAGCCTAGCTTAGCCTTGATTAGCCTACCCTAGCCAAGTTTAGCCTAGCCAAGCTTAGCCTAGCCAGACTTAGCCTAGCCAAGCTAAGCCTAGCCAAGCTAAGCCTAGCCAAGCTAAGCCTAGCTTAGTATATTTCAACTGCGACCTCCTTATTTTTAGTCCGAAGTAGTTTTTCGATGGGTTAATGCTGTGCACTTTAGTGCCCACGAAATATTAAAAGGAAGCGATATTATTTTCGACGTAATAAAAGCCAAAATACCGGCCATTACGGAAAAAATATCGCCCCAATTCACCAGACAATTAGAATCGGATAAGTCGGCGGCTATAGAATATCGAGATAATCCGGTTCGCGCCCCCTGAACAAGTCCGGTGGTGAAAGATGAGACGCTTGCGCGTTTTCTCGTGGTCGGCTACAAATTCTCCTCGCCAATGGCGCGGGCGATCGAGGTGCCCGTGCTCGAGTGTAACGATGACATCAACGATGACGACCTCGAGTCGGACATTTGCAATGAGTGTGTCTTCTGCGAGCGGGACCAAGTTCGACACCACCGGACAAAGAAAAACGAGCACACACTCATGCGAGCCTTGAGATCTCCCTGCCGCTGTAGTCACGAAGAAGAGCACAAGAAAAAGAACTACGATGGACTGGTCAAGGACCCGACCCCAGTGCTCGAAGAAGACAAAGAAATAAAAGTCGAAAATGGAACCGACCATAAAAATCAAGAGAATCAGAACACTAATACTCCTGCTAACAGTAACTCCAGAGCTGCAACCTCCACTTCTTCAAGAAAACGCTGCAACCACGACAACTCCGAAACATGTGCAAAACGAGTATCCGTCATTATGTCCAAGCCGAGATCGACCAACGAGGGCGACACTGGATTCAACACTGGTTCAAGGTAGTTTTACTAACCGACATCCTTCTTTTTCCTAGTCATTAACCAATCGTGGCAAATCTAAAATCTTGTTCTCTTCGTTGATTTCAAATTTAAGATCTGCTCTCTCTGTTTCTTCCTTCACAACTCCTGTCCCCTCTTCACAAAGTTATATTAGCAAGAATCCTCCTTCATCATCTCATCAAAACCATCACCACCAGCACCAGCACCACCATCACAACCATCAAAATCATCAAAATCACCAGAATCGCCAGAGAGATCAGCAAAACCACGCTGGAAAAGAAATTTTACCTCGGCCAAGTGCTCATTTGGACCAAAATCAACAAGCTGCTATGCAACGAAATCATCAAAACCAGCAAGTTCAGCCTCTTCCAAGGCCACAGTTCAAAGTAGAACCACCTCAGGAGTTCCAACGAACGCCTATGCTTCCTCATTTTCCCCACGGGCACAGGTACTCGTCCCTACAAAATACCCCCAAAACCTCGCTTCAGAATGGGGCACCCAAACTTCAATCAAGCTATGCAACTGATGCAGCAGCAAAACTCGCTCTACAGCCAGCACCAGCAGCAAATGCCCGCCCAGCGTGCCGATAGCGTCCAAAGTATGCCGGCGTACTTGTCCAGCTATCGAATGCGCGATTCTATGTCGCAGATGATCCGCCCAGATCATCCGATGAATATCAAAGTTGCCTTCAATAATTTAGGTATTTCAGAGTAAATGGAGCTTTTTGTTTACAACTTTCTTGAAATTACTGATAAAACTGGTGAATTCTAGCGCTAAAACTCGGAATATCGCGGTCAATTCCAAAACATACAGAACAACAAGTGACCGACCTTCTTCAAATTGCTTGTGAAGTCAGAAGGGATCAAGAATGCGACTATTTCTTCTGCCCATGGCAAGGTAAATATCACATCATTTTCACCCCTTTTTCTCCTTTCTAGAGTGCCCCAAGTTCTTCAATCGGCGCGACTCGCTCGTCCGCCACCTTCGAGTCCACGTGGATGTTCGATCATTTCAATGCGAAAAATGCGACCAGAGATTTCTTCGCTCCGATCATTTGCGGTAAGAAACATCGAAAAAAGCATCAACTAACAATTCTAGGGTTCACATGCTGAGGCACACAGGAGAGCAGCCATTCGCATGCATCGTCTGTGGAAACACTTTTGCTAGAAAAGATTTGAGAAACAGGCATATGAAAGCGACGCATTACAAAAATGAACGGCCGCCGCAGCGTGTACTAGGAAATGGTTTAAATATCTGTGAATTCTAGCGCTCGTTTTTGAGTCAATAAAAAACCAAAATAAGACCTGTTGGAAGGCGCGAGTTGGGACGATATTCCGATTTAGAATGGAAATTTGACAAGTTCTTCAGTGAAAAAATACAACTTTTAACTGACAGACATTTCTAAGGTGTGCTAAATTATCTGTAAGTTATCTACCTGTATCTATTTATTGAATTCACATTGCATATGTTAAACTGTATTTGTTAACTTATCTGCGCTGATTCGTACGTTTGATCTTGCCTTCAGTTTTGCAATTTCAGATCAAAATAAAATAAAAAAAAATCATCGAGGTCCCTTTCTTTGCAAATATGTTCTTGGTTTTCTGTGCTAACCGAGCCTTACATCGGGTTTGGAAAGATGAATGAGAAGTACTGACATTAAGAAAGGAAGAAGAGCGAAGACTCAGATGTCAAAGTGTCAGACAAGCAGTCGTGAAGACTATTCCAACATTCCATTTTTTACCGTTTTTATCTTCATTGATTTTTTTTCTACCAGAGACCTCTCAACATGGTTATTGAAGAAGAAAATGAAAAAATAAAGAAGGCGATTTTCCAGACTAGAGTCCGGGTAATTTTTATTTAATTCGCTTCATAAACTCTCTCGAAAAGTGTATTGATTGCGACTGCAAGGGCGTTCTGAGATTGAAGGGAAAGAAAGTTTATCTGCTACCCATCGAAGTCTTGACAACTCGTAGCATTCATACTCAAGAATATGATATCAAAAAGTCAAAGAAAAAAAAGACTTGGAAGAAAATAAACTCGAAAATGGCCTTGGCAGAGCACGGAAACGCCACCGATCCCCAGCAGTACAGTTATCTGACACTTGGCACTATTTTTTGGGTCACTGTCATGCTCATAGGTACCTTCTCTATAAATAATAGACTATAATTTTCTTCCAAAAATACTTTGAACCTAGCGAATTTGGCGTCTTTGGAGAAATCTCGCGGCGTAACGACTTTTCTGACGTCAACTTGTCACCGAAACTACAAAAAATGCGTCCAAAACGTGACAATGGATCTCTGCGGGCATTTGATGAAGCAATGTCACGAGACAGAAGAGTTTATTCTTCCTGAACCAGTTTCTAAAATTGAACACGCCAAAGCAGCGCCTCTTATCTTCACTGAAGAAGAGAACGAAGTAAATTTCCGCCGCTGTCAGAAGAAACAATTTTACGACCAGAATATCTGCCGCCATCTCTGCTCGACCACACTTGTTTTGAAATCAACGAGGACGAACCCAATCTCCCCCTGCGAGTCGATTTGCTTCGAACTAACCAAATCTTCTGATGCCGCTGGAGAAGTCTGTCCAACTCAGAAGTACTGCAAAAGCGGATGCCCTTGTCCATTCTACGATTGTGAAAAATTTGACTCACGACAAAAAATGATTCCTGCGTTTGATTTAAAGTCGAATTCAATTAACTCAGTTTCGGGTGCAGTAAAAGATGCCATAAGAAAGTCAAACGGCAACGTCGAACAGATAACTGCTCGTTTGGACTACCGAGAATATGGAAAACGAAAGATCTTAAAATTTCGAAAAATTGTGCTCTCCGATTTTGACGGAAATGTGAAAGACATTGATGTTTATGATAGTTTTTTTCTTTATGAACGTTTTTCTTGATTTCTTATGAGTCTCCTTTTCTTTTAAAAACGGAGTCAACAAAAACGCACAAGTCAACTGGTGCAACGTATCTCAATGGAGAACACTACCTGGTTGATGCGGTTGGAAATCTAATGAAAGTGAGGGAAACTGGCATAGCTCCGATATTCATTCCAAATCGTCTTAAACGAGTGTAAAAATTTGCATATTTTTTATTGCATATTTCCTTGTTTTTAGAGGATTTTTTGTTTTTCATTTCGGCTCGTCGATCGCAAAACATCATATCGAGATTCGTTTTAGAGAGAAGGGTAAGAGGATCTTTCCTGTTGTGGTCATCTGAAAAAGGTCCAAATATGCTTAACCCGTTGCCGACCGGTTGGCGTAGAAACGCCTTCTACGCCAATAAGTTTCCCGTATTTCGAGCCTCGGGGCGTGTTGTATCAGCAAAACTGCTACGCGCTCGGCAACGGGTGAACCCGATCTGAGATCGGCGATCTCTTTTCATCATGAATGTTTGAACCACATAAAAGTTCTCCAACTGGAAGAGAGGACAAATGCTACTTCTACGCTCCAGATTATAATTTAAACCGTTTCGAAGAGGCCCAAGGTTACATCGCCAGTAACCACTTCAATGCAAAAGTCTCTTCAACAAGCTTCAAGGGAGTTTTCTATCTGATGAGCGTCCGAATGAGCGAAAATTTTATCAAATTATCAACCACTGTGGCTTTGAACAGAATAAGAAAAGATGAAGAACTTGAAAAAGGGTGGAGAAAGAATGAGATCCATCTACCTTCAGAATTCAGAGACTTGGATCCTGTTCATGTTTTTCCTATGACAAGAGTTCAAATTGATTTATTTTCATGTTCAAAAGTGATTCTATTGTCGAACTTATGAAAGAATGATTTGGGAAGACTTCTTCTTATTTTAGTTACCAGAAGTATCAATCTTTCAAATACTTTGTATTCGCTATTGTTGGAAGCGGACGGGAAGTTTCTGACTCTGGGAAGCGAGTGGATTGGCTCTCTTGTTGAGTATGAAGAAGAATCTATCTGCTATTCGAAATTATTTGCTTCAATGGATCTCAATTATACTGATCGGGGTGCATTTAACAATGACGAATGCGAGTACTTTGTAAATGGAATACTCAACGACGAGAGGATTTTTCTTCAAAACAATGTTTTTGACTTGATTTTTGAAATAAGTTATAATTTCGGAAAGGGTTTTTTCTAAAGCAACTATTGTAATCATAGTTATTTGACTGTGAAATTCATAACGAGCTGAAAATTCTCACCAAAATGATTTAAATCCACAAAAGACACGATCGACGTCGAATTCGTTCAGCAAAAAGCTATCAAGAAAATGCACGTGACAAGCAATCCCTTTTTTGGCTTCCACGATGACATCTTCCCTGCTTTTGCGAAAAATGCTGAAAATCAGTCACCTTTTCCGGGGTCATTTCACCACAAAACAATTATACCCGATTACTCATTTACTTCCCTCGAAGAGTTCAAACACATTTCAACTGTCGAAATGAAACTTGATGGAACTGATAAATTTGAGTTCGATATGAAGATAAATTCAAGTTTTGGTGAAAAGTTTGAAGTTCTTGAAAGCAATTTCTTTGATGGAACAACTTTCTTTCTTTTTGGAAGTTTTCAAAATGGGTCGTTTTGGATTGAGTCTGATTATTTTGATAAAAGCGTGATTTTCCAGTATAATGAATCAGAATCGATGCATTTGGCATTCAATATAAATTTTAATTTTTCTGATGATGGATCTGTTAATTCATCGTCTTTTGAAGTTTCTAAGGAAGCGTCTAGTTTATTTTCAATCTAAAAAAATTTGTTCCTGTCTAAACGTTAAAAGAATCTCAATGAACATCTTTCTGAAACAAATATAACAGGACTTGAAAATATTGTAAACAAAAAGATTCGTATTTTCAAGTTGGACCGTCCCACGGAAATTAAAAATTTTGTTTTGACGTCTAATTTTAGCTCTCGGATAAATGTGATACTATTCTCTTCAATTCATATTGGAGAGGATCCAGAACCTTATGCATTGCTGCCTGATGGGTCGAGAGTCAACAACATGAATATCAAAAGTCCATTCGTCGACGAAGTCAGCATTGCTAAATATTCTTCCTTATCACGACACGCGCTTGTCCATGGTCGTCTTCATATCTTTGGAGGAGAATTTGGAAAATGGGGTTTCTTTAAAGTACTCAAAGAAGGCAAACACGAATTAATATCTTATAATAGATTGCGCGACTAGATGGGTGCAAATTCAGAAAACTTTTTAACGAATTAAATTATGTATACGAAACTGGTCATTCTGCTTTATCTATCGAAGAAGGAAGCAAAGGTTCTGTGTTGATGTTTTAGAGTAGATTCGTAAATTTTATTTCTCTCATCAGCATCTTGATGAATTTCCATCTCTGTTTAAAAAAATTTGAAATGACAAAATTTGAGGGAAATTTTAAGCATCATTTGAAAACTGTTGAAATCCTGATACGCTTTGTTAGATAAGGGTCTGAACTAAAAGAAAACACAATAAAAAAGAATTCTATTTTGAAATTTTTTTAGATACGTCCGGTCAAAAAGTCCCCATAGTGAAGTTTATTACGCACTCAATCATTTTTAGCGCTTATTTGTTTTGATGGTCATACAGATAGCAGATGTGAGATATTCGATGGGATAGAAGTAAAACCAATTCGTTCTACAGAAGAAAGACACCTTTATGGAGAATTGGGCCTATACAATGGTCGCCCAATTGCAATTGGGGGTTTTGCTGCAAAAGGAGCAGTAGAGGAACTGATAAAAAATAGATGGATAGTTTCAAAAACTATGGTCCATCCGAGGTAGAAATAATCAAAGATCTTTTGAATAAAAAATTAAGATTCATTCAAAAATTTTCTGCAATCGGACTACCTTCTGGAGGGCTTTTGACTATTGGAGGAGAAAATTACAAGGCATTTGAGGAGTTTGCTGAAATCTGGGAATTAAAAAATGGCAAATGGTCTTTAGTTGGCTCACTCTCAAAAGTAAATTATTTTTTGATTCACAACATGCTCGTTTCATGAACTTTCTTTACTTAAGGTTGTGAGCTCGTCATCAGCCGTCTTATTGGACAGCAACATTTTTATTATCCCTGGCTGGCCTTACATAGAATATGAATCTCCGATTCACATTATAAAACTAGGTGAATGTTCATCACTCTTGTTTCTACTTATCAATTATAAGCGAAGTAAAACACGTAATAAGTTTCAAACATTGAAAAAAGAGGACGGTTGGACATTTCCCTTGCACTCGTTTCGAGGCGAGATACTACACCGCGCTACTAGCCATCATATGGGGGCGCAACGGAGCGCGCGCTGATTTCAAAAGCATCTGCAAAAAGCATGGAAATCTTTTCGTTGTTCTAAAAAAATTAATCATTGATTAATAATCAAGTACATATTTTAACTAATAATTTTACTTTCTATTGAGAAAAAATGATAAGGAAGAGTGTAAGGAGAACTCGTTGATCAAGTATGTTACACTTCTATTTTCGCGCGTACTACTACTGTATTGTACAGATTATCGTTCTCATATCAAATCTAAGTGACCCTTACCACGGGGCTTCGCCCCTTAGGTCCTAAAATGCCGGGGTCTAGTCTAGGGTTACTTAGGGTTACCTTCGGTAACCCTAACTAACCATAGCCTATCCCCCTCGGGTAAGTTTGTTCTGTCATTTTGCCCAGTGCCCCTAACCCTATCCTTAATTTTAGCAAATACTAGAATGCTTATCAATTCTATTTAGGAAGAAAAATACTTGATTGAAGTCAGAATCATTTGTAGAAAAGTCTTTGAATTTTTCACTCTTGAGAATTTTGAGTTCAGCGCGCGCTCCGTTGCGCCCCCATCAGTGGGCTAGTAGCGCGTCATACTAGCTCGCCCCCAAAAGAGTGCAAGGGAAATGTCCAATCCCCCAAAAAAGACACAGAAGAGAATATTATTGAAACTAAAATTATCGCAGAGCAGGGACAACAATGCTGGTATCCGATTATTTTCGTCTCACCTGCTCATAAATTCACTAGCTGTTGATTGCTTCTAGAAAATAAAATCAAAAGTATGAAAATAATTAGTCGATCGAAAAAGTTCTGGTTTGAGCTTTAATGGCTTTAGTGAGTCGTCTTCCATGAAGACTATTAATAATAGTCTATAACCATAAAATGTATTTTTTGCAAAGTTTTTTTAAATAAGGTCTGCGAGATTTCTAGGGCAAATAAATAAGATTCTTACGATCAGACATTATGAAGTCGAACTGACAACTCGTCAATTATTGAAAACGAGTACATGTTGTTTTGAGACAAATTAAATAAAGAACGTTGCAAAAACGTAATCATAATTTTCGAACAACGAGTTTCTATTTTTATCATAATCATGTACGCTCATGTTGCTTGCTAGCGCCAAAATCAGAAATGACGAAAACATAGTTTAATCTTCGTCATAAAAAAATGAAGCTTTTTTCGAGCTTCGCCCTTTTTTCTCTCCAGATAGAAGCCAGAAAACCAAATGTAATTTTGCTTAACACTGATGACTTCGGAATCGGCGACTTTACAATTTACAATAGAGAAGCGAAAGTTCCAACGCCGAATATCGACAGAATCGGCAATGAAGGAGTGAAATTTCTCGGCGCTAGTTCGGCTTCTAGTCGTTGTTCTCCGAGTAGATACATGCTCATGACGGGAAGGTACTCGATGGAGGATATTGAGGCCAGAATTATCAATCAAGGCAGACTTCGAAATTTTTTTTTCAAAATGGAGTTGTAAAAAAAAGAATATAAATTTTGAAGTCTTTGATCAGGCGAGCCGCATCTAGGGGAAATGTTCAAAAAAGCCGGCTACAAAACGGGAATCTTCGGCAAACAACAACCCATTCCGAATGGAATTCTCCCCGAAAATGCAACAAACGAGGATAAAGAAGCAATCTGGGGGCGTAACAAAGAAGCTTTGAAGTACAAAATGGAAGTTGGTAAGTTCCCAAACACATTGACCGTCAACCAGAAGTTCGGCTATTACGTCCAGACGGAACCACCACAGCTGCTGGACTACGATTATTCCTTCACTCAGCGCGGTCTCTGTTGCGCTCCAGGCTTGCACTTCGAAAACGGAAGAAGCACAGAGCCTGCCGAAACTTGGGTCAAGCTCCAACCCTATCCCGAAACAGCTCAAGAGGAAAACTACAACCCCAATGGCCACAACTTCCCATACACCGGCTATTTCGGCCCAGAAGGTCACATGGAAAACATGACAGATCCATACGAAATCACGAATTATTGCGGCTGGGCGCGACAAACCATCGCAGGAAAAACCTTTGACAGTCGCGAAGTCGAGCAAGAAAACACCTCAAAGCTCGAAAAATTCATCGAAGACAACCATGAATCGCCCTTTTTCGCCTATTATGGGATGAATAATGGCCATGCGCCGTTCAACACGCCACTTCGTTTTCGAAATGAGACGGAAGTCGGGCTCTTTGGCGAAGTGATTTTGGAGGCAGACGAGCTTGTTGGAAGAATTCTCGATAAACTTGAAGAACACGACATTGCTGATGACACCCTCGTGATTTTCATGTGCGATAATGGACCGACGACGATTGGCCATAAAATAAAGTCGGAGTGGGGACATAACCAATGGCTTCTTGATCTGCCAGAATCACGTGTTGGACCAGCAAGAACTGTTGAGCTGAAGGGATATAAAAATGGCATGGGCGAAGCAAGTCACCGAGCTCCGTTTTTATGGCGCTATCCTCGAAAATTCGCGCCCCGAATCATCTACGAGCCCAAAGTCCAAGTTTCCACGGTCGACATCTACGCCACCCTGGCCGAGTTGATCGACTACGACTTGGGCTGCAACGAAGCGCCAGACAGCCGAAGCTTTTTGTCGTATCTCGAAACTGGCGAAGCAAGCGAGGAGATAAAGAAGAAACCGATCATGACCCACGCTTTCAGTCAAGGAAACGAGTCTGAAAAGAAAAATGCTGCTATTCGAAAAGGAAACATGAAATACAATCCCGGATCGAAAGAACTTTTCAACACAGAATGGGATCCCGAAGAAACGCACAATTATTACGGAGAAGAGAGTTTTGCCAAATTCCAATCGTACTTGGACCAGTACTTGATCGACTGGTTAAATCACATTGATGCGCGAGAAGAAGCGACGAAAAGAGGCGCGGACAAGGAAAACTGTTATCCGCAATTTGAACGATTCAATTGGCTGTAAAAATTTGAAATTTATAATAAAATTGGTGATTATTCAAATTTATTCTTTCTCATTTTTTGTTGCATGAATTTAACTGGTCGGAGCAAGCATGAACCCAGAAAATGCCGAGTAATGACTTTCATTTGTTTGAAAAAGAATTTGGAGACATAAAAGACTAAACAAAAAAGTCTCAACTTTTTTTCTCAAAGCTTTTTTTCCAAACATTTTCCTTGGAGAGCCGCCGAAAACAATGCCATGTTTCAGCCTGACCCAGATGATTTCGCCTTTCTTGAGAATCAAAACGGCGTTGCAAGATGTTGTTTCAAACTTATCATCGTGGTTGGTCCCAGAAGCGACGATGTCTTCATTTCTCATCAAGTGGACAAAAAGAGGTCCAGAGTTTTCAACCCGCTTTTTTTCGATTTTTTCAAAAGATAATTTTTAATATTGATATTTGCTTGAATAACGTTGATAAAACCGTAACAAAACATTGACATGGAAAACATAAGTTCCATTGGCCGGAGCGATGAATCTGCCTGTGGTTGGATTGTATGCTGGCTCATCGGCTTGCTCGTCGTTCTGGTTGGTCACAATATCGTCGAAGAGAATCGCATCGTCGCGCTCGACGAAACTCTTGCTCAAGCAAGCCATGAAGGAGACTTGAGCTGCCGCAACGGAAAGAATTAGCAACAACCGGGAAGTAAAATCTTTCATTGCGATCAATTCTCAATGAGTCTTTCTCTCTCTGAAAGAACAGCAGAGAGAGACGGACTAGAGTCTTTCCGATGAGCTCCCGCAAATAAATTTTTTGTCCCGGTTTGTTTTGACTTTGATTATGAACTTTGATCATTTCTATGAATGAAATTATCAATCAAGGTCATAGAATTAGTTTTTTTTCTTAGAATGTTCTTTTTTTTCAGTTTTGCCATGATTATTCTCACTTGAACCATAAAAGACTTCAGTAAAAGATGCAGTAATTTTCTAACCTTGACACCTGAGGGATGATTTAGTAAAACTCGTTAAATTTGTTTCCTTCTCGCGACCCGGTACTTCAAATTAAGTTTTATACTGATCCTTTGTGACTCAAAAGATCAAGCTGAAAACCTCAAAAATCGACAATTCTATATTCTCAAAACGCTCAAAAATGAATCTTCTGTCAATAAATCCATTCTTCTTCTGACAAAAATCAACGAAAAAGCACTCGAAAAAAGCACCTGTTTCAATTCTACATCTTCTGAAAAAGATGACAGTGACGTTGATTTGGTATTGACACGGGGCGTTGAAAAATTAATAATTTTTTATCATCCGCTGAGAAAAGCTGAGAAGATAATCTCCAAGGCGGTAGCGGCCGAGAAAGAAAAGGAGAGTGTGGTAAAAGAGAGCGAGCAAAGAAGACTACCTAACCGAGGTGGCCAATTACAACTAGCGCCAGAGCCAATCTCAGAGGATCCTCTCTCTCTTTCTCTATTTCCCGCACAAAGGAGAAAAACTCTGAAAACGAGAAACAAAGAAGAAAAAAAGAGCAAAAAAAAAGAAAGAAGCTAGAATAAAGATACCGGAAAAAAGAAGAAACAGAGAGGTTTGAAGACATAGAAGATAAAGGAAGTAAAATTCGAGGGAAAAGAAGATCATGAAAAAGAGGATAAGAAGAAAATGCCAGAAATATCTATAATAGGAACCGATTCAACTTTTTTCTTTTGAAAATTTTTAATAATTTTTAACCCATTGGCGCGAGAAGGGCCATTTTTGGACAAAAGACTTTTTGATGAGCCCTTTTTTTGTTACTTTTGATTAGGTAAAAGATCACGTGATTTGATACAGTAAATCAATTTGAAAACGTATTTTTAACTCTGAACTAAAAAAGAAAGATTCAAAGCCAAGCTATCAAAAAATTCATCTCGGAGCTGGGTCCACTCGCACGTTGTAAATTTTGATTTGTAGTCTGGAAACAGGCCAATTTAACGCAGCCGAGGCTTGGTTCTTCTGAGAGTCGTTATTAGTTTATTCTATTTTCTTACCTAACTCGGTTTTAAAATTAAAAAGAATCTTCCAGTTTATTCTTTGTCTATATTTTTCCTCCATAGGGTTAGGGTTAGATTAAGGGTTAGGGTTTTGGAAAAATGAGGATTCTTTTTGAGAAATTTTATCATGCTGACCCCCTTATTTTTTCGAGCAAGAAAAAAGGGGTGGTTTCAGGAGCCGAGAAAAAATTCGACAAATTTTGCGTGGGTGGGTACTCAGCTACTGATTTGCCGGTAAGCCAAATCCAGGCTCCTGATTGGTTGAAAATTTTCACGCAAAATTTGTCGAAATTTGTCGGCTCCTGACAACTCCCCGAAAATAAGGGTTTCTTATAGATATTTTTGCATAAAAAATAAGTAGACCTGAACAAATTACGTAACAGTGTTAAATTACTGTGTTCCATTTCTCCCCCTGTATATTAGTCTAGTTGGTAGAAAGATGTATAATTAAAATAGCGCGGGGGGTTGATCCTTCTCTTCGAAGGTTAATAACTTCTTTTTTGGATCATCGCGGTCAAAACTGATCTAGCGCGTTTTATGACATTCTCCCCCATTTGCGCGAATAAATATTAATGGAGCGCTCCTGTCTTGATTTTTGTTGAATTGGCTTGATAAGCGAGCAATTGCATTATTCATGGATGGGGACTGCTGAGTGCCCTTGTCATCGCGGCTCTGATCGTCCTTTCTATTCAGGTACATGTCACACAGGGAATCAATCAACGTTAGGCGGATAAACGACTTTTGGACGCAGCGGATTAGCTTCTGATCAAGTTTATTAGAAATTAATGGAGGCGGAGGGTTAACCAGGTCATAACCTGAACCCGAGGGCACGGAGAATCGCACTTTGATACGAGCTTTTGTCTTTTCCTCCAGTATTCTTTTCTGAGCTCGGCAACCTTTGTACAAAACCTGACTCAGGTTCTGAAGAGCTAAAAATTAAAAGTAGCGGCTGTTTTAAGAACGAAGCCGCAGAGCGGCTTCGGAAAACAACCATATTTATCTATTTGGAAATATTGGCGAAGCCGCTTAGCGGCTTCGTTTATTAAAAAGCCGCTACGCGGCTTTTAATTTTAGCTCTTCAGAACCTGAGTCAGGTTTGTACGCATCGCAGGTTGCCAAAAATTACAGTAATTTCTTTTCTCAATAAAAATTCCCTCAAAATCAACCATTTCTTTTTGGAAGAAATTCAAGTAAGTTATTCAGGAGCCAAATGCCCGCCCGGTCACGTGGTGGCTCTTCCTCGTCTGGTGTTTTCTTTGCCTATCAACCTGGATCACTGGCTCACTTGTTCCGGCAAAGACCTTTGCTTTTCGAATCGTTCCCATCACTCCGGCAGGGTTTTTTTTTTCAACAAACTTACAACGAGAGAGATCGATAATTTAATCATGTAGTGGCATTTGGAAACATGGGCAAATCGGGATGATGTCCTTAGTGCCATACGTGGCGATCTCAATTGACGTGCGTGGCATTTTAAAAATGGGTCTATTTTAGATTGATATTATAATTTAACCCATTTATGAGTTCTGTCCCTTTTTGGGACATTTGCTCTTTAAATGCTCTTAGGACCCTTAATAAACCTTCTAATTTCGATGATGATACCCTTAATCGATGCGGAATTCTCCGAGCTTTCTAGTGAAACTTTAAGGGGGTGGTGGTCAAGAAAATTTTTTTCGATTTTTTAAAATTTTGATATTATTTTTAGATTCCCTGATAAAAAACGACCATTTTTGGTCCCTAGCTTTTTTTGATTGGACCAACTTTCTTTAAGAAAATTTTCGATTTTATGCTATAAAATCGCCATTTTTGGGAATTATATAACGCGTTTTTCGCACTTAAACAAACTCAAAATTGATATTTTATTGCTAAATAATGTTAATTAAACATATTTTAATTATTAAAATTTAAAAAATTACGATTATTGTGATGTTTTCCGAAATTTCATTGAAAAAATGAGTGAAAATGACGATTTTTCAGAAAACAACATGTTTTCATTCAATTACTAGTTTCTTTTCTAACAAGGTGAACTTTGTTAAACTAAGACGCCCACACGCTAAAGGGTTCAAACTTTCCCCACGGTAAGTTTTATTTTGAAAAAAATGATAAGGGGATAGAGTTTTTTAGGTCAAGAGATGGGTCTACTTTGAAGGAATTTTTTACCATTTTTTCGAAAAAGTATTTTTTTCAAACATAGCCGCCCACATAAATTGAACCCTTTTCAACTTATTTTCAATAATAGAAAAAAAAATTTTTTTGAAAAAATTAAAGTTTTTTAGGTTGAAAAAAGTCTTAGTCTCGACCACCACCCCCTTAATAAAGAGATACCCTTAAGAAATTTAACGCTCTAGACCCTTAAAAACCCTCAAAAGCCAAAATGCTTGTGCGGCCTCCTCTCAAAACCGGGAAAATTCATCATGATGCGATTCCACAACTGCCTCGCCGTTGCCTCCATCATCATCGCCGTCACTGCCGGAATCAAATCGTCTTACGAGCAAAGGTTAAACCTACAAACTCCCGTAAATAACAACCTTTTCAATGTGGCACCAGAAAAATTGAAGCACAAAACAGCTTCTCTTTTTACTTTATTTTCAAAATTGAGCACTGAAAAATTCCTCGTTTTAGAAAAAAAGCTTCGATGTTGGAATTTTCCATTGACACTAACAAAGTTACTCAAAAAATTAACGAAAAAAAAATCAAAAGAAAAAACTTTTTTTTCAAAAGAAACATCAGTTTCAGCGATTTCGCCAAATTCTCGTTAGACGAGTCGGTCCCTTTAAACTCGACAGAAACAAACCTGGATCGAGGTTCAACCGAAAGTCAGACAGACATTGTGAGGATACTGTATTTGATGGCGTTCGTGGTGTCGTTACTCTTGGTGCTGCTTAGGCTCAGTCTCACCTGCTGTTTGTACATAATGTCTGATGAAAGGACCGGAGCTCAGAATCACCGAAAGAATTTTCCATTTCTTGTAGTTTTTGAGCTTGAATTAGGGATACTCGTTTCTCAGGACTTTTGCCAGGGCATGTTTCAAGATCACAGGTGAGAAAATGGCCTTTGACCAATCAGAACGCCTGATGAAAATATTCGTTATCGAAGAAACCCTCTGTAGATCTTTGAAAACACCATTTTCTAGGTCGCGAAATTCCATCTCGACCGCCACAAAATGATCTACGCCGAGAAGCGTCGTCAATCAATGCCAGGTTCAACCCTTCATCCTTTCCTCCCTTTTCAACCTTTTTAGCTGTTCCACGACTGAGCGATATTCCAGAAGCATCAGAAAGCCAAGTGTCAAGTCGAAACCAGTCCAAATTGTCCAGTTCCGTCACTGACTTTCCTGCCGTTGGCTCATGACAACAATCTCTGCCTGTAGCTCTCCTTGTTTTTTTAAATGTTCAAGTGCTGTTTCTACCTTCATTCTTTCTCTTTCTCATTTTTACACTATCAATCATACAGTATCTTATTACTATTCAAAAAGGTTTATTCAAATAAATTAATTACAAAATTCACTTCAAGAAATCAAGGAAGAAAATCGTCATTTTGAAAATCCTTGTTGAGAAGGAATCAGTACAGAAGAAGTGACAGCATTGTCGACATTCAGAATCAGCTGTTCAATCATCGTTGGTCTTCTGGAGGTGGAAATTCCGTAGACTTCTTCGTCGTATAGAACTCGACGGATGACGAATTGGATTTGATAGGCAATGTACGACTAAAATTATTTGATAGAGAAAGCTAGGGTGGGCGAAATTTTTAAAACCCTTAGCCACCTAGCGGGGGAAGACCCCGCTCTTAGCCAATGAAAAGCAAGTTTTTTCTGCGTAAGCCAATCAGAAGCGAGTATTTTCTGCTTAAGCCAATCAGAAGCAAGTATTTTCTGCGTAAGCCAATCAAAAGCAAGTATTTAATGCGTAAGCCAATCAGAAGCAAGCATTTTCTGCGGTAGCAAATCAGAAGCGAGCATTTTCTGCGTAAGCCAATCAGAAGCGGACTAAACGCCCCTCCCCTTTGAACCCCCTGACCCTACATTTTGCCCACCCTAGGGAAAAAGAGCTGATAAAAGACTTACGAATAACAGAAATCCAAAAGCATTGAAAATTTCTAGCACCGTCAAAACTATCATTTTTTCGTCAACTTCTTTGAAAATCGCGCAAATATTGTAATAAGCCAGGCCGAGGCAAAATAAAACGCAGATAAATCCAAGTTGAGTTGTAAGAAGGAGAAATATCGTTCGTTTTCGACCTTTTTTTCATGCTCATTTCTAGCTCGATTTTTAGCTAAAATGAGCATGATTCCTTTCCTAATTGAAAGTATCCACCAAAAAGCGCAAGAAAACCCAAAAGCGATGCCAAATCCAATCCGCAAATCCACGGCAAGACAAAATCCTTGTACGCCTGGTTTTCATGGAGAAAGAAAATGATGTTGATGACTGATAAAATTACTGTAATAGTACTAGCAATGGCGATTAAAATATGATTCGCGGCCTTTTTTTCGAGTTCCAAAATCGTAAATTTTACATTGTAAAAAAGCTCTATAAAAAGATTAACAGCCGCGGGAGGATAATTTTTGATCGGCCAAATTTGACCCTCCCGCGACACTACGACGCAAGTGGGCGTAAAAACGGATTAGAGAACTCTTCCTTGATATCACCAAAGAGTCGATTGAGAAGCTTGGTCTGCCAGGTTTGCTGTTTCTTGGGCGGGGGAAAACCGCATCTTCCGATCAAGGAAGTGCTCTTTCGCCAGTTTATTTCATCAATAAGGTCACCTGCCAGAAGTGTATTTCGTCGAGCGTATGACCTTAAAAACCACTTACAATGTGTTTTACCGAAATGGACTCCCTAAGCCGCATTTACCAGCTGTTTTCTGGGGCCCAAATTAGGATTACCCATGTATTAATCGATCCGGGTTTTACCTTGAAAAAGCCCTTCCCGATTTCTGCAAAACCTCAATTTCTGCCACGAAACTTTCTCTGTCAGAATCATTCTCTAAAAATTCGTCTTTTCCTTTTTTATTCAACCCTTTTTATACCGAAAATTTCATCAGAATTCGCCATTTTTCGAATTATTCTTCCTGAGATAAATCAACTTGGGTGTAGTCTGATTTTTTTTATTTGGCCGGATCAGAACAGATGCACCCCGTCTCTTCTATATCGTAAAGTAATTCTAATCTAGTTTCAGCAAAGACCTCGCGAGTGCTGTTTTCCAAGAGCGATAAAAATCCGAGCGTAAAAGTCAGAGCGTTTTCTCACGGAATTACGTTATACGTCCTGACATTTTGGGGCTAGAACGTTTTTACAGATTATCAGAGCTTTTACAGTCAATTTCATGAGTAAAAATTAAGATTTCAGGGGTTCAGATCTTTTTTTTTTTGAAATAAGGGTGTCGCTTCGATAATTTTTTGTTGGCTTTTAACCATAAGAGGCACCTCTGTCAGATTCATCCCCTGAATCGACCTCAGCTGGCATTAATCGTCGCTCTATGTATATTGTTCACGCATTAGCATCTAGTTCATTTACCATTTTCATCAAAAAACATTGAGCAAATTGTCTGCGAGCTCCAACCACCTGATCATCCCTCCTCATCCCACTTTATGCTCAAGCAAAATCCATATTTAAAAACACCTCTCGATCGAGAAAAGTTTATTTCCCCCATTCCAGTATTGAATAAAGACAAGAGGTAAAGTAAAAAGAAAGAGAAAAAAAGGGTCAAAACAGGTATTTTTTGATTAATTAGAAGTTTGCATGCAAATAGCTTTTTTCGTTGCACTATTTTGTGACCTCATCAGACTGTATAAAAACGGACGTTACTGTCACTCGATAAAAAAAAACAGAGAGGTGAGAGTTCGACAGAAAGAGCAATAGTTATTTTGAACATCATCAAAAATGCATCGAAGCTAGTTCGGACACGAATTTCATATTCTTCCGATACCATTTTCAATATTTAGAGACGAAAAAATGCGATTCCAAACAATTTTTGCTGCATTTGCCCTGACGGCCGAGCCAGTTCTTGCTTTGGGTGCACAGCAAGCTGCAGGTAAATGGTTCATTTTATTAAATTTTCTGAAGAAAATTATAGAGTTTGATGAGTTTTCAAACCTCGGCCCAGCTTTTCAGCAATACTTGGCAGCTGTGATGAATCGACCGAAGCGAGGAATGGCTGGAGCGATGTACCGCGGCGGATATTTTTGAAAATATCGAAAAATTTTAATAAATCTCTTTTGTTCTGTTGTGAAAATATAACGATTCGATTTCGTTGATCATACAAATTATGGGTAAGCATCGTTTCCCCAGGTTGGGGAGATGGAGCTCTTGGGAAAATGAAGCTCTGGGGAAATGAAGCTCTTGGAGAAATGAAGCCTACCCGAAAATTATGGTTATCTAAATTTTCTATTCTTAAATATCGAAAGAAACTTTTTCGATTTTGACAGTTCGATTCAAATCAAAGAGAAAAAATTGACGACAATTAAAATAGAAGTCTTATTTTTGCACACAATAATCGGCAGATACTTGTAAAAGAACTGGATTCACATCGAAGCATTCTTCACAAAGAACAGGAAAATTATTGCCTATAACCTTTTGATTTATCAATTGATCTTCTTCGAAATCGAGGCGCACGATCTCGTTTGGACTTTCGATGCCTGAGACGATGAAAATTGAATTGTTGATCATTATTGTCGATCCACCAGAGTCAGCCTATATTGAAATCAATCTCATTTTTAAATTATTTTGTACTTACGTTTAGAAGATTTCCAATTTCATTCCAGATGTTATTTTGAAGAAGCCAAATTTTCTTCTTGCTTACAAACTGGTAATCGATTCCTCCAGCAAGCAAGAGACTTCCACTCGGTAGTCCCATCAAATAATGATAAGCAGTTGCTCTTAAAAATTTTAGAAATAAGATTATTTGGTAAAATACTGTGGGAATTCGGTCAAAAATGTCCATCCAGAAGAGCTCAGAGTTTCTACGTTAACCGGATAATTCTCGTGCCTATAATCTCCTACAGTTGTTGGTTGTCCGTTGTACATTCCAAGTCCGCCACCTAAATGCCCTTCTGCGGTTGAATATGTCAAGCCAGATGTAACACTGTCATAAATTTCGCAATTTTTGGCTTCGCCGAAGCAAATTAATGCTTTATTCCCATTTTCAATTGATAAAGCCGAAGAAGGATCAAAAGCTCTGAAAATCAATCGTGACGTTTGTTCTTCCCATCGGCAGCCGTTTAGTTTAGCAATCTATATAGATATTATAGAAGTATAAATTTTCATTACTTTTTGAAAGTTATCTTCGTAATAAGCTCCTCCACCGAAAGCGTAAAGCTCCCCCTTAATAAGTGCGTGAGGAGCGGCATAGACGAAGAAATCAGAAGGTGCAGTTATCCTAGCCGCGCTTTTTGTCGATCCATCGAAGGAAATTGAGAAGGCTCCGCTCAAGCTATGGCCCATAACCAAAATATGCTAAATAGATTATTATGTATATATATATATATTATATTATTATAATATATATTTATGAGATGCAATAAGCCCAAAATATGAAAATTAACCTCGCAAACATTTACCTTACAAATTTCATTCTTGCACCCATCACAACCGTTTGGGCAATTTGTTCCGCATGGACAAAATGAAGAACAATCTAGTGATATATCTTTTCAGGTTGACTTCGTTAATAGATCATATGATTTTGTATCGAACGTTTTCGTTTATTGGATAAACTTCATCAGGATACTAAACTTAAGATGAACGAAAAAGAAACAGAGGAAAAAGAATACTTTTATGTTGAGAGAGCAGTGTGAAATTGCTAACTGAGGAAAACAGAAAAACAAAATCAAAATATGGCTGTTTTTAGTCGAGCGCCAAGGTGGCCCAAACGACTTATCAAAATTGATAAAAGTAAAAACCTTGCTTTTGTTAATGCGTCTGATTATTATGATAAAATGAACAAAGAATTTCCACGATCAAAGTTCGTCAAAATTGAAAGTGACCCTACCTCAAAAGATATCGCAGATTTTAATGAAAGCATTAAAATCCAAAAACCCCTATCTCTCTTGTTCTACTTTCAAATCTATTCAATGTAATCATAAAGTAAAATCGAGCTTCGGCTTATTAAAAGTCCATAAACCAGCTCCACATCCAGTACGTCCAATTATTGGTGCACCTGGTAGCATTACTGCGAATATTGAAAAATACATCTACTCCATTCTATCCAAAATTGTTCCTGAGCTTAAATTCTCTTGTTCTTCTACTAAAGAATTTAAAAGTGCATTTACTAAAATCTCACCTCAAATAACATCAGAACATTCTATTTGGAGTGCAGATGTCGTGTCAATGTATCCATCAATTGACAATTCTAAAGCTATTGACGTGATTATTGATATTCTTTATAAAAATCCTCTTCGATATTTTAGCCCTGAAGATCTTCCAGATGGCACTATTAGTTATTTTCCCCCTAAAGATGTTTTTCGATCTATTCTTGTTTCAGTCTTACAAAAGTTTACTTCTTTTTCCACACAAGAAGGCTACTATAAACAGAAATTCGGGTGCTCAATGGGCTCCCGACTTGCCCCTCTTGTAGCTAATATTTACATCTCTAGCCTGGAAACTGAATTTCTTACAACTGAAATTAAAAAGGGTAATATACTTTTTTGTAGGCGTTACGTAGACGACTACTGTCTTGTTACCAAAACTAGTGCCAAAAAACGAATTTTCAACTGTCTAAATAAGTTTGATCCGTCCATTAAAATGACCTGTGAAGATATGAAAGACAACTGTCTTCCTTATCTTGATACATGCATTAAACTTCATGACAATCAATATCACTTATTCTTTTACGAGAAAGCTAACAAAAGTGATATCCTTCAAAATTTTCGTACTGGAATCGCTCCCCTTAATCAGAAAATATCAACGCTTACTGGCGAAATCTATCGCAGAAATAATACAACATCATGTCCGTATGCATTGAATATTGCTCTTGAACAATTGACTGATCGCTTTCTTAAGAATTCATACCCGTTTCACCTCATTAAACGTAAAATCAAAGAAATTAAAAACAATAATTTCGAGCCACTGAAACGAGATGATTCTAAAATTGTGAAAAAATTCAACTTGTGCCTAGATTTTACTAGTGAAAGATGCTACTCAATTGGACTTAGTCTTCAAAAACTCTTCCGAAAAGTAACACCTTCCTTTTGCCTAGTCGTTAGTTGGAAAACCATACGACTCGAAAGAGCCTTAGGCAAATTTCTCAAAAGAGTCCCTGAAAAATACGATTTGTGTGATCTCGTTTATTCCTGGAAATGTGACTGTAAAGCGCAATACATTGGTCAGTCCAAACGAAGAGCTGGTATTCGTTGGACTGAACATGTTAATTCTAACAACCAGAATAAAAATGCTTCTTCTTCCATCTTCAAACATATTTCCACTTGTCAAACTTTTCAAAAAAGCTATGAAACTTACATAAGTGAGCCAAGCACAAAAAATCTCACCAGTCAATACAAGACTAAAATCGCCCAATCGAAACTTGCTCTTGAGTCCTTTCACTCAAAAAATCCTCCGAAAATTCGATACAAATTTTCAAAAAATGACTATGCTTTAAAATACTTTGATGTTCTGCAAACTAATCTAACAAACGAGAGTCAAAGGAGAAGCGTTGAACAATTTCTTATTTTACTGCATCGACCCTCCCTAAATGAACAATCTGATTTCAAACAGTTCAAAACTTTTTAATTTTAGTCGAGCACTGTTTTGGGCCACCTTGGCGCTCGACTAAAAACAGCCATATTTTGATTTTGTTTTTTTGTTTTCCTCAGTTAGCAATTTCACACTGCTCTCTCAACATAAAAGTATTCTTTTTCCTCTGTTTCTTTTTCGTTCATCTTAAGTTTAGTATCCTGATGAAGTTTATCCAATAAACGAAAACGTTCGATACAAAATCATATGATCTAATCTAGTGATAGTTAAAGAAAATAACATCCTTTTAAAATACCGTAGAATTCGCCAAGACATGAGTTTTCGCACAAAGCGTTGTCGCATTGGCTTCTGCATTGGAGATAATCCAGTCTGCAAAGAGCCGTACATTCTTCATAAAGATCAATATCGCTTAAACGATAACTTAGAAGAGATACCAATTTACATAGAAAACAAAAAGAGAAAATTAAGATTGATTAAACCTACGAAGTTATTTCTTTACTTACGGGCATTCTTCTTCCTTGATTTCAGGAGCATGATTCTCTGGATGAAATTCCTCATCCGATGCATTGAAAACTGGTCTCTCGAGAAAAGTCTCGTTTTCGTCGGGATCTTCCCATGAAGGCCGAGCTCTGAAGTTTGAGTCCGCGCAGAGAAATCCTTCCAAAAATATGCAACTGCTCAAGAATCTCATTTCAAATTGAAAATATAGTGCTGTAATGATGCTTCAGGGTAAGAAAAGAAATTGCTTGATAAATGTTAAACGCGCATTAGATGTAGCTCTGATATTTAATTGATCGTAAAAAGAACTCATTAAACTCGATCAGTCGTTTACTGAATTTGAAGTAATGCGTGTTTATTCGACTTTACAGAAAATGAACAATCTATGCGCTACAATAATTGATTGTTGTGAAAAATACAATCGGTCGAGGGTAAGCCCGTTCGTGGGATCCAATAATATCAACAGATCTGATTTTATCGTCCTCTTTAATATCAGTTAACAAACTAATATGATATAAGTTATATCAACCAATGTTCTTAGAAGTAAGTTTTTCAATATTATTAACATAAGTGATATAATATCACTGATATTACATAACTGTTCCTATCTGCAAGCGTTGAATGATCCGGACACCGTAGGTGTTCCCTGGAAAAAGATATATAGTGTTGTCCGCGACGATCCCTGATCCACAATTTATTGCCTAGAAATGAAGAATTTTATCGTTTTTAGTAAGACTCTGACCTGTAGTAAATCTCTCATTTTAGCCCATTCAGACTCGTTTAGAAACCAAACTTCCTTTAGCTGTTCTCGCTTACATTGATCAAAGCCTCCTAACGTAGCTATTGAGCCAGATGGTAATTCCACAGCGGAATGTCGTTCAATACATCTCAAAGATCATTTCCGCGAAGGGAGCCCTCACTCAATAAAATTACCTTGGATGAGCGGTTAGTTTTTCCCAGACATTTTCAGCCAGTGTTTCAGTATATCCTTTGTTCGTGCGAGGATAGTTTTGACCACCGATTGTTGTGGGTTGGCCATGATTAAGACCAAGTGCGCCATTCCAATGACCTTGTTTTGCTTCAAACGGTAGCTTTTCAACAGCAGTACCGTTGAATGTGTCGCAGTTCTTGTTGCTTTCTGAGTCGAAACAGACAAGAGCTAAAAGCTCTTTAACCCGTTGCCGAGCGCGTCGCAGTTTCGCTGGTACGACACGCCCCGAGGCTCGAAATACGGCGTTCTTATTGGCGTAGAACAGAGTTGCAAATTTGCTGAGCTGAGTGAGCTGAGCTGGCTGAGTGAGCTGAGCAGTCGCTCAGCTCAGCTCACTGATTTTCGAAAATGAATTTATCTGCTCAGCTCAGCTCAGCTCAGACAATAATCACTCAGCTCCGAAATAGGCTAGCTCAGCTCAGCTCAGCTCAGAGAATTTCTCACTCAGGGCAGCTCAGCTCAGCTCAGCAAAAATAAAGCCAAATTTGCAACTCTGGCGTAGAAGGCAAATTTATGCCTACTGCTCGGAAACGGGTTAAAATAATTAATATTTTTACGGTACCTTTTGCTCCTTTTTCAATCGAGAGAGCTGCACTTCCGATAGAAAATTTTCTTTGAAGTCGCACTCGAAGTTCAATGAATGTGCATTTTTCAACCTTGAGAATCTACAAAATGGTAAAATAACAAAATATCCGGCAAACTACCATTTGTCCATCCTTCTTGCCACCAAATAAATACAATTGCCCATTCACAAGCGCATGTTTAGACTCCTCGATGTTATAAAGTAGATTTTCCGGAATAATAATTTTCGCATTTTTATTTGTTGAACCATCCCCAAAGAGTGCATATTGCTCAGATGGCTCATTCAGTTCAGTTAGAATAGCGTGAATTTGGCTTGGTTGATTTTGATAAAAGAAGATATTTTTTATTTGAGTTTGGTCGTCGAATTTGAAGACTCTTATTCTCTTGTCTTTCATCGTTTGAAGGTCGTTCTTCATCTTTCTTTCTGCGATTTTCTCTTCGTTTTTCTTGAGAACAAAGAAGAGGGAGGTGGTTTCATTCTTTTCGAAAACTATTTCAATCGACCTCCAGTCTTTGCTCAAGAAATCGTCAAGGACAATGGTTTCTTCGAAAAAATCAGATGTTATCCCCGTCGACCTGTTTTTAAAAACTTCAATATGAAAGATGGATTTTTCGTTGTATGATCGGAACTCGAGGAGCTTCGTTGGTCCTTTTATACTCGATTGTTTCTTTTAAGTTTCATAAGAAGATAATTTTTATGTTGTCTATTTGTATATTTTAACTTATGAATCTTTCCTTAATTTCTAATTTCAATTTTCGCGTTTGGTTGAAGCCAATCTCAAATGAAGAAATATGGAATAATTCTTCCTGGAAAGATGTGAAGGGATGGTTAGGGAGAATCGCCAAAGGATACGGCGGAGAGAGACTACTTGCTGATTGTGGAAACGGAGCAATTTTGCCGACAGCATTTTTAGCGAAATTGGGAAAAACATCGTCATGAAAAGCGAAAAACGGGTTGCTCGCAACATGCATTTTTTGCTCAGCTTTCTGTTGAAGAAAATCGAGCTCGATTTGATCTTTTTAGGATACTCAGATGGTAAACATTCTAATATTCGAAGAACTGTATATGATATACAGTATATCCATTCCGAAATTGAAAAAGATCTCAAATGTTGAATCGAAAACCAAATTTTGGAGGTAAATCCGATCATTGTTCAAAAAGGCGTTGATGAAATATTCACACTCATCGTTGTTGGTTCCGAATTGATTCGAATACGCGAGATCGTAAGGAGCGTAGAGGCCAGAGTGACATTTTGAGTCCTGATCGTATTTTACCAAGGAGCCAATCCATTCGCTTCCTAGCGGCAAGAATTTTCCTTCTTTTTCGAGCATCAAGGAGTACTGCATGTTTGAAAGAACAATGCTTCTAGTAACGATTATAAGCATCAATTGACCAACATCAATCTTTTTATGGAATCGCGGAAAGATTAAAAAATATTTTTGAAAACAAATTTGGCGATCCCGTTCCAGAGGTATTACATGAACGGGGTCAAAGTCTCTCAGCATTGCTGGAACCGCGATTTCGTCCTTGCGCCAGCCTTTTTCAAGCTCTTCATTTTGTCGAATCGCGTTGAGTGCGACTGTCTTTGAAACAGTGATCCAAGCTTTGCCGAGTTCTATGCTCATCAGGAAAAAGGTGCCACCAAAGCTGATGGAGGACATTCTAGCGTTGAAATGGTTGCTAGCGATGTAACCTTGAGCCGTTTCAAATCTGTTTAAATTATAATCCGGCGCATAATAGTAGCATTTATCACGCCGTAGGTTGGGAGAGCTGTTATCGGTCAAAATAATCATCGTATTAATAAAATTTAATAGAAAGGTGTTTGTTTGTTTCAGACCATTTTCAAATGACAACGACCGGAAAAACAGTCGTCTCTTTTTCCTCGTTTCGGATGGTTATTTCGTGGGTTCCAATAGACGATCCGAAATGAAACGCAAAATCAGGAGACCTAGATAAGAGTTACTGCATGAGCTTTTTCCATTCAATGTACCTGTCGAAAATACGATTTTCAATAAACAAAGAAGTGGTTCCATTTTCTCGAACGCGCATCAAACTTCCTCGCTGATCGACCAAGTAGTGTTCGCCATTGAGAAATGTAGCGCCGATTGACTTTTATCGTTTTGAATAATTGATGATTTTGAAGCATAAAATTCATGCGTAAAGATATCAAAAACGTTCATAATGGTCGAAGAGAACCTCGATGCTACTATTGCTCTTTGTGGTTTGAATTCCTGAAAAATCAAACAATACTACAGCTTGTTTCTTCGCCTTGGCTTGTTTCATTCCATTCCGAGATTTTACAACCCGACGATAATCACCATTTTTCAAGTCAAAAGCGGGGACTAATTTTTGATCGTTTTCAGTCTTTTCGCATTTATAAAAGGGACAAGGACATCCGTTCTTGCAATATTTCTCTGTGGGACAAACTGCTCCCGACGATTTGAAGGACCTTGTCAACTCGAAGCAAATGGACTCGCAGGGCGTGATCGAGTGAGTCCTTGTTGATTTCAAAATGAGTGTGTTGGCGCAAAGATGGCGGCATACTTTTTGGTCGAGAAACCTTTTCTTTTTGCAGCGGCGCAGATTTACTTGATTATCTTCTTCTGAGAACTTGAGCGGAGTAGCTTTTGCCTGTTCGATTATGGAAACGGGCTTTGGAAGGATGAATTCTTCAGTTGCGTGGCACTGCTTCATCAGATGGCCGCAAAGGTCCATCGATTCGATTTGGATGCATCGTTTGTAGCTTCGATGACAAGTTGAAGTCAGGAAAGTCGTTTGAAGCTTTGATTGTTCCAAAGAGGCGAAATTCGCTAAATCATTGTATTAAATTCATGACCGGGAACTGATTGTATTTACCAATGAGCACGATCGTCATCCAAAAAATTCCGCCAAGTAAGGTATAAGTATATTTTTGCTTATTTGTGGCGAATCCATGCTGCGAAAGACTGATATTTTTGTTGATCTTTTTCTTCCATGTTCTCTTTTTCTTCAAACCAGCTTCTTGCGTATTAATGCTCCGGGTAGAGAGCACTTCTTCGGTGAAAAGAATGACTTGGTCGCCGACTTTTCGCAAAGTTCCGAAACATTTGCAGTCCAGGCACTTTGATTTTTTTTTTGAATAGACGTTAACTACGCGATTTTACCTGTATTTCGAGATTGCTAAACGTATTAAAATTGTTGTCTGTTTCTTCCTCAAAAATATCCATTTTCGGTGTTGTCTCTCTACTTCAAAACTGTCTTTTGAGTTGACAAGGAAAGTTCATTCTTAGACGCGAGTGGAGTTAGAAAAAGGTCAAATCTCGTAGTTACGACGTTTTGGCAGTTCGTCGTGTTCTTCGAGTCTCAAAAGTAAGCTTTATTCTCATCCATGACTTTTTGATTCTCAAAAAATAGTGGAACAGTCCTTCTTTTCGTCAGTTTTTGTCGAATTTTCAAAATAATCTTTTTCGCATCCATGACTTTTATCTTAAAAAAAATGGAGCACTCTTGCTTTTATTGAGAAATTTTGATAAATGTTTTTGAAATTATCGTGAATTGAAGTTGAACTAAGGAGCTTTTTTATTTGATTTTGCAGAAGAAGGGAGAAATGAATATTTTACGCGTCGCAATAGTTGATAGGTGTGAGGAACAGAATCGGTCGATAATAAGAGTTTTCGTGAAAGCCGACTATGTCCACGGAAACAATCGTTTCATCTTCGTCTTTTTGATCAGTTGACGACATTTTTCATTAACTGTCCATAGCAGAGTTCCGAATCACTTCACTTTAACTTTGAAGAAAAGTTGCTATGGAAAAATCGCTTCATGACAATTTTGAAGTAGAGTGAAGTGATTTTTTTTCTTTAAAATTGAAGTGAAGTGAAGTGAAGTTATTTTGCACAACTTCAGCAATTATCAAAGTGAAGTGAAGTGATTTTTTGATCCCGGAAAATTAGAGTGAAGTGAAGTGAAGTTAAATTTAAGACTTCAATATCTGAAGTGAAGTGAAGTGAAGTTAAAAAATCACTATATTCTATTTTGAAGTAAAGTGAAGTGAAGTTACTTTTTTAAAAAAATCTTCACTTTAACTTCAAAGGTAACTTTCGTGAAGTTGAAGTGAAGTTATTCGGAACTCTGGTCCATAGTAGTACTTCTCAACTGTTCCTATCTGAATACGTTGAATGCCACGAACACTATGGCTGTTTCCGGGAAAGATATAAACAGTGTTGTCCGCGACAATTCCTGATCCGTTATTCACTGACTTGAAAAAGAAAGTTAACAGTTTAAAAATTTAAATAAGAATTCTCACCTTTAGTAAATTTTTCATTTTTATCCATTTAGACTCGATTCCTTCGGATGGTTTTGAAAGAAACCAAGTTTCCTTCAGATGTTCTCGCGTACATGCATCATTACCTCCTAACGTAGCTATTGATTCAGATGGCAATCCGACAACGACATGTCGTTCGATACATCTTAACATACATGATGATTGATATGAATGAAATCTAATGAAATAACCTTGGATGAAATGCAAGTTCTTCCCAGCCATTTTCAGTCAATATTTCAGTAAATCCTCTGTTTGGATAAGGATAATCTTGACCACCGACTGCTGTGGGCCCTCCATGATAAAGGCCCATCTCGCCCATCCAATGCCCGCTTTTGCTTCGAAAACTTGCTTTTCAACAACTGTTCCATTGAACGTGTCGCAGCTCTTGTAGCCAACAGAGTCGAAACAAATAAGAGCTAAAACTCCTTCAAACAATCAACAATCGTACGGTACCTTTCGTTCCCTTTGAAATGGAGACAGCTGCGCTTTCACCAGTAAACTTTCTGTGCAGGCGGTTTTGAAGACGCGTAAAGCTGCATTCGTCAACCTTGAGAATCTAAAAAACATGGTTAAGAACATAATATTCGTCAAACTTTACAATTTGTTCATCTTTTTTGCCGCCAAACAAGTGAAGTTGCCCATTCACAAGAGCATGTTTAGATCCATCGACAAATTCAGACAGATCTTCCGGAATTAATAATTTTCTTTTTTGGTTTGTCGAGCCATCCCCAAACAGGGCATATTGTTTTGGTGGCGCATTCGGTTCGGAAAGAATAACATAAATCTGGCTTGGTTGATTTTGATAAAAGAAAACATTTTTGATTTGAGTTTTGTCGTCGAATTTGAAGACTCTTATTCTTCCGTCTTTTATCTTTTGAAGATTGTTCATCTTTCTTCTCGCAATTTCCGTGTTGTTTTTCTTGAGAACAAAGAAAGAGGAGTCTTCTTGCTTCTTGAAAAGAATTTCATTCGACCTCCAATCTGTGCTCAAAAATTCGTCAAACACAATAGTTTCTTTGAAAAAATCAGATGTTATCCCCGCTGAGCTGTTTTTAAAAACTTCGATTTCAAAGATTGTTTTTTCGTTGTATGATCGAAACTCCAGGAGCTTCATTGGCCCTTTCAGGCTCGATTTTTTCTTATCAGTTTCATAAGATTACTTAAATATTGTCTTGTTAATTTCAACTTTGAATCTTTCCTTCATTTCTAAATTTAATTTTCTCGTTTCATTGAAGCCAATCTCAAATGACGAAATATGGAATAATTGCTCCTGGAAAGATGTGAACGGATGATTTGGAATAATCGCCAAAGGATACGGCGGAGAGAGACTACTTGCTTCATTTTAGGCTCTTACTGACAGTAAGTTACTGTGGCCATCAAAGTCCAAAAAAAATTATCTTTCAGAGCCTTGGCTGATTGTGGAAAAGAATCAATTTTGCCGACAGCATTCTTGGCGAAATTGGGAAAAACATCATCATGAAAAGCGAAAAAGGGATTGCTAACCACATGCATTTTTCGCTCCGCTTTCTGATGCTGAAAATCAAGCTCGATCTGATCTTTTGAGGATACTCAGATAAAAAATATGCTTATTAAACATGAGCGTTGTTTATCCATTCCGAAGTTGAAAAAGATCTCGAAAGTCGAGTCAAAAACAACGTTTTGGAGGTAAATGCGATCCTTGTTCAAAAAGGCGTTGATGAAATATTCGCACTCGTCGTTGTTGGTTCCGAATTGATTCGAATACGCGAGATCATTTGGTGCGTACATACCGGAAAAACACTTCGACTCTTGCTCGTACTTGACCAAGGAGCCGATCCATTCGCTTCCTAGCGGCAAGAATCTCCCTTCTTTCTCGAGCAATAGTGAATACTGCATGTTTGATAGAACAATGCTTCTAGTAACAACAATGAGCATCAACTGACCAAGATCGATCTTTTTATGGAATCGCAAAAAAAAGATATTAAAAATAAAACATTTTTGGCGATTCCAGTCCAGAGGTATAACATGAACCGGGTCAAAGTCCCTCAGCATTGCTGGAACCGCGATTTCGTCCTTTCGCCAGCCTTTTTCGAGCTCCTCATTTGGTCGAATCGAGTTGAGCGCGACTGTTTTCGAAACAGTGATCCACGCTGTGCCGAGTCGTAAACTCATTAAAAAGAAGCTGCCACCAAAGCTGATGGAGGACATTCTGGCGTTGAAATGATTGCTGGCGATGTAACCTTGAGCCGTTTCAAATCTGTTTAAATTATAATCAGGCGCGTAATAGTAGCATTTATCTCGCCGGAGCTCGGGAGAGCTTTTATCGGTCAAAAATTATTTTAACTTCATGAAAGTTAAAGAAACACAAAACTTGTCTACTTATTTTGAACCTGTTTCAGATCACAACGACCGGAAAAATAGTTTTCCCTTTTTCCTCGTTTCTGATTGTAATTTCGTGGGTTCCAATAGACGATGCAAAATGAAATGAAAAATAAGGAGACCTTTAAAACAGTTTCTCTATCAGATTATTTCTTCGAATGTACCTGTCGAAAATTCGATTTTCAATAAACACAGAAACGGTGCCATTTTCACGAACGCGCATCAAACTTCCTCTCTGATCGACTAAATAGTGTTCTCCATTGAGAAATGTAGCACCGATAGCCTTTTTTTTGTTTTAGATCTCAAATCATTTTGTGGCATAGAAAAATTAAAAACATTCATAATAATCAAAGGATTTGCCGTCGGGAACCTCGATGCTAGTATTTTTAGCAGTTTGAACTCCTGAAAAATCAAACAAGACTAAAGCGGCTTTTTTGGCATTAGCTTGTTTCATTGCATTATCGTTCCGACTGTAATCACCGTTTTTCAAGTCAAAAGCGGGAACGAATTTTTGATCGTTCTCCGTTTTTTCGCATTTATAAAAGGGACATGGGCAGCCGTTTTTGCAATATTTTTCAGTTGGGCAAACTGCTCCCGCAGAAACAGAGGATCTCGTCAGTTCAAAGCAAATGGATTCGCAAGGCGTGATCGAATGAGTCCTCGTTGATTTCAAAATGAGTGTCTTGGCGCAAAGATGACGGCATACTTTTTGGTCGAGAAACTTTTTCTTTTTGCAGCGACGTAGATTTACTTGATTTTCTTCTTCTGAGAATTTGATGATTTCGCGTTCTTCAGGCTTGATTAGGGAAACCGGCTTTGGAAGGATGAATTCTTTAGTTGCATAGCATTGCTTCATCAGATGGCCGCAAAGGTCCATTGACTCTATTTGGACACATCTTTTGTAGCTTCGATGGCAAGTTGACGTCAAAAAAGTCGTTTGAATCTTCGATTTTTCCAAAGAAGCGAAATTTGCTGTCTTGATGTTAGAAATTCATACCTTTCATCTTATTTACCAATTATCATGATTGTTATCCAAAAAATCGAGCCGAGGAAAACGTAATAAGACTTTTGCTTATTCGTGGCATTTCCATGTCCAACTAAGCTCACACTGTCGGCGACCCTTTTCTTCCAGGTTTTCTTCTTCAACAAATCAATCTCTTGCGTATTAATGCTGCGCGTAGAAAGCACTTCTTCCGTGAAAAGAACGACTTGGTCGCCGATTTTTCGCAAAGTCCCGAAACATTTGCAATCAAGGCACTTATTAATTCTGTTGCCCCTGATTTTTACCGAAATTGTGATTTACCTGTATTTGTATTTGGCTTAATTTATCGAAATTAGTATTTTCTGGTTTTTCCTCAAGATCCATCTTTCTAGCTCTCTAGTTGAATAAAAAGTGTCTTTTTCGTTGACAAGATAAGTCGAGTCTCTGACGCGAGTTGGCAGAAAAAAAGGTCAAATCTCGTCATTTCGACCTTTTTTTAGACTTTTACCAAGTAAACGATTTTTTTATCGATGACTTTTTATCTTTATTTTTAAAAATTTGATGAACCGTTTTTCTTTTCGTCAGACTGAATATTTTTCAAGGAGAAATGCTCTCCTTTTGCTTTCGATTTCGCATAAAAGTTGAGAGACTCTTCAAGCGTCTGACAAATCGGAAGTCCCTGAAAAATTCATTCAATCAATCAAAAAATCAGCAAATATCATACCGAAGTTTCTGGTAGAAGAAAGATAAGAGCTCCACCAAGCAATCCAAAAGATCCGAATAACTAAAAATTCAAAAAAAAAAGCAAGGGAATGTCTGCTTACCAAGTAAACAATGCATCCATTTTTCATCTGAAGAATAAATGGAGCTAGAAACCCTCCAACTCTTCCACACATCGAACCGAATCCGATTCCTGTACTTCTCAATGGCGTAGGGAACAGTTCTGCAGCATAAACATAAATCGCGCCAAACGAGCCAGAAATAAAGAATTTCCCCGCAAAAGCCATCCATCTTTGCGCTTCAAGAAAAGCCCGAGGATCATCAGCTTCTCCCGCCGCGAATTCTAGCGCCATGCAAACTAAACAAGCAATTCCGCCAAAGATCATAAAGCCTCCATTGATCCATCTTCTCCCAAACCTATCCAGCGTAAAAGCAACAAGCACATATCCAAGCAGCTCTACAAGTCCATTGATCGTGTTGTTCACATAAATGCTTCCAGCAAAAGAAGCGACGTTGAAAGATAGCCCGTAGTAGACCATCGTGTTCACAAAGAAAGCAAAACCGACATTTGCCGAAACACTAGCCATGTTTTTGTGCCGGAACATGTCCAGAATCGTATATTCCTCTGATTCCTTGTCATTTTTTGCTAAAATATCAGCTTCGACTTTGTCCAAAAGAGAGTCATCTATTTCCCTGTTTGTTTGTTTCCCAAGCTCTTTGAAAATCTCCCTTGCTTCTTCTCTCCTCCCTCTAGAATACAAAAACAGCGGCGACTCCGGATAGAAAGGATAAGTCAGTAAGGTAGCAAAGGCAATAGTTGCGTTTGCCAAGGTAAACTCCCTCCAATCCGGGACAAAATACGCGACAAGACCAGAGCTAATGTATCCAATTGAAAAGTACCCACTCGCCAGAGCTCCGGAAATGGCTCGGCGGGAAGGACCAAGAAGCTCCATCGAATAAGTTTTTTGAGAGAGATAGGATACGTGGCCAAAGCCATTGCCGAGAACTCGCATCGCTAGAAAACCATATTGATTTGGCTTGAATGGGCTCCGAGTTGCGAGTTCTTTATTTTAACCCATTTCTGCATTCTTGCCAAAAACTTGGAGCCCGTAGCATGAAGGCATGAATCGTGAGCAATATTCCATTTATCTGAGTCCAAACCATGATCGCATTTTTTCTCCCAAATCTGTCCACATAAATTCCGGCAATATACGCGCCAATCATGAGCGACAGCAATCCAAGAGCAGTTGAAAGTGAGTCAAACCACTCGTCGCCGCAGATGAGCTTGAACTGAGTCACAGCTGTTTCCCAAGATTGGCCGGCATTGAAGATAAAATTGGTCGAGTTTCGGAGAGAGCGGTCGAAGACGAAATCGTCATTGCAACTTGTCCAGCTGGCGATTTCTTGAGCGGGTTTGCCGAGACAGCTTTTGAGGGCTTCGAAGCTTTGTTGATGGTCGCAGGAATTGATTGACATCGGGTTGAAAACGCAATGGCCACAGCCAGATGAATGGTCGCTAGAATCAAAACCGCTTTGAAAAGATTGACGATCGAGCGATTTAAGGGATCCCCCCCCCCCGTTTTGCCATCTTTGACTGGAAATTCAGCCGATTTGCGCTTATGTATTGGGGCGTACAATAGCTCTACGTAAAGCTGAGGTGCTATCCGCTATTCTCTAGTACAGAGAAATTTTTTGCTCAAGGCAAACATACCACGAGATGTTCGTAAAGGGGTCATATAATTATATGTATTTACATCAAAATGATCCTCAGATCACGAGGAATCTAAATATGCCAGATATAACCCCCTATGAAAGACTTGAAAAAACAGGGGGGGGATCCCTTAAGGATATCGGAGCGCTAGAATTATTTCTCTCTTTTTCGCTTATCAACGATTGTTCAATCTCCTCCCTGTCCTGCAGTAAGGTGTATCAGTTGTCAAACTCTCAATCTGTTTCCAATTCAACCATTCGAACTCCTCGTTGTTGTCAAAAACCGACTGGCATCGATAAGGAGGTGTATACTGCGCAAAAACCGGATAAATCGCCATGAACCCGCCAAGAATCCCGGCATAACTGGCCATTCCTGTAATTCGCATTTGATAAAGCGAAATATGCGGCAGTTTTTCCCATAAAAAATCGATTCCTCGTTTCTCTTTCTCTGAAATAAACGGTTTTTTCTCTGGCTTTTTGCTTTTTTCTTCCATTTTGAAATTTAATAACAAAAATGGCGCGATATCTGTATAGAAGTATCCTTGCCCCGAGGGAAACTTAACTATGTTCTCGAAAAATTAACGGAATTAGGCACACAAAGAACAAAAAATATTGCTTTTGAGCTTGAGAAAATGGTCGAAGAATTTATGTTTTTGGTTGAATGGCGTGGCCAAGTGAATTTATTCCGAAAAACGGCTTTGCAATTTTGAATTTGAAAAATTGTTCGTTTTCGTAAGTTGAATTTGTTTGTGTGTTGGAGCATAAGATCAACACAAGTAGCGCGGGATCACGCCCTTACAACCCTTTCTGCTCGTTCACGACGCCCTGATGCGGCTTAGCGCTGACTTCTGAAATAACTCGAGTCGAAATCGCGGAAATGAGGATTTAGAGGAAATGCTCCATTTCGAAGTCGATATCCTTAAGTTTGATGAGTCGGAATGAACTTCAATCGAAAATTCAAAATTTCAGTGGTGATACCCTTAATTTTCAAAAATTAACGAGCAGTCCAGAAGTCTCAAGATCCCAAAAATACCACATTTTCTTTCTAATAAACTCTCAAAATCTCTCTTTTTCTTTATCGAAAACTTTGGCGGCGGAAGCGTTGACCGTCAATTTGGGATATCTCGCCCGCGCGGTGGCTTAACCTGCCACAGATCTGTCATCTCGTGGCCGAATCAGCGAAATATTCGTAAATCCACTGTTGCGAATTACTGTGGCTCCTCGGCGCTCTAAAAAGCGAATTTATGGTTTTTTCCTGCGTCTTCTGTTTTTTTGTTTGTCAACAGAAAACAGATTAACTGATGGAGAAATTAGACATTGATAAATAAGGCGTAATGGGCACTTTTTGTGCCCAGCCGTAAAAGAGGGTTAAAAATCATTTTTTTTTGAGCATTGTTCGAAAATTTTCGAGAACAATTTTGTTTTTTTTTTAATTAATTTTTGCTTTTCTTTTTTTATTATCCCGGGTTGGGAATTAAAAAAGAAAATTTTTTAAAATTTTTTTATCAAAACAATTTCGTTCTAGAAACTTTTCTCAAAATGAAGTGTGAATGGAAAAAAAAGGGAACCGCGTCAATTTCAGGCCTCTTTTTGGCCTTCACGTCAAAAAGTATTCTGGGGCGCGAATTCTAAAGAGCCAAAAAGATTTCATGCCTTCCAAGCTTAGACGTTGCCGCGTTTCTTTCGTTTTGCCAGCTGCGGCAAGGTGCGACGAGGCCGTTCATTATCATCATCTTCGAAACTTGAAAATTGAAAATTGTCATTTATACTGTGTTTTTTTTCAAAAGAAACGCTCTTTTGAAGCTCCAGATTTCGAAAATTAAGAAATTCGACATTACATCATCGAAATTCCTCGTTTCTTGGACTCTGTTGCGACGTGGTGAAGAGCCTCCCCTTCCGCCGATTAAGGGAGCCAAGTGTGTTCGAGTGTCTCAGGAAATTTTCCAAAGAGGTCAGAGTCAGACTGCTGCATTTTCAGGAACCTGGCGAGCTCAACTGGGGAAGAATGATAAGCAGCGAAAGAAGGAAAAAGAGGGAGTTTTGACCACGATGGGACTCGAACCCACAACTTCCTGATTCGAAGTCAGACGCCATATCCATTAGGCCACGCGGCCCCCGGGCGTGTGCCCAAACATCAACAACCTAACACCCCTAAGGCAAAATTATAAAAAAGAAAATCATTTATTGAACAATTAAAACTCGGTCAGAAAAATGAAGGAATTAGTCAGAAAAGAGTTCGAATATCAGCTTTCTGAAATCTTCGGTCGCATTTCGGACATCTTTCGTTATTTTCCAAGTGTTTTTCGATGCAAGATTGTCCAAACATATGGCCACAGACGATGATGCAGGATTGCCAGTGATCTTTTTGGTCATATTTACAGAGGCAAATGTCGCAAGTCGGGAAGGAATCATCGTTGTTTTCAAGAATATCGAGCTCTTCTTCAATTTCCGCTTTGATTTTCGCCTCCATCTCAGCTTTTTTCTCAATCAATTTTAGCTTTTCTTTCGTTAGAAAAGCCACTTTTATTGGAAAACGCTTTTCCCATCGGAAATATTCTTCCTCTTCATCGCAATCGCTATCGGACAAAATATATGTAAATTTGAACTTCGAAGCAGCATACTCATCAAAAATCATTCTTGCCGAGTTTGGATCAAATTCATCATCGTTATTAGTAACAAGTGAAAATAATAAAGGATTGTTCCTCAGATAGCATCTTCTTGCCCAATTAAGACTTATTTCTTTTTTAACATTATCGGTCATTTTTTCGAAAAGTGAAATTATGCCTTCCCATCTCTCTATGGACCGGTCAATCTCTTCGACTTCTTTTCGACCCCTCTTCAATTGTTCAAGTAGCTTTTCTTTTTTGTTTTGAATAGCTTGATCGATTCTCTCTTCAAGATCTTCTTCTTTGGTCGAAGTTTTGTCAGATGAAGCTTCTGCCATTTTGACTCAACTGATTTACAAAAATCTATATTTTCTTGAAGAAATTAGTGTGAATGAATAGATCGATGGAGACCGGCTTTCTTATCACTTTGAGCGGCCGGTTCCCACACTTGTTTCTCACTCAAAAATCATATTCAGCGCTTTTCATTTAATCGAGAATCAAGCAATCAGTATTGGTAAGAAAGATTACGTGGCATGCTCTGAAATTCCACCTGTCAAACTTCCAAATTCGCTTCGCTGTTCAATTCCTTCTTTGTTGGGCGGGAATTTCATCATTGTTGGAAAAATAATCCACTGAAGGTTCCACGTTGATCAAATACCAAAAAACGAAATCAGATCTTCAAATTTTCGACCTTGAAAATGATCGTTTTTTCTTGACTGAAGGGTACTGTAGTGAAAATTGAACGAAGCGCGCCTGAGAAAGATGTATTCAAGTCCCCTATTTAATATTTCTAAAGAGAAGTTTTCTCAAATTAGAAGCCCCTTTCTGTAAAAGTAAAGTCGGCTGGTGACATTAGCGTGAAAATCGAAAACGCGTCTGAGCGTCTGGCCCGAGTCAAAGCCAATTCAAAATGTTCTTGAGCACCTGCGCCAGGGAATCAATTCCACACGAAAAGAGCATCATCATCAAGGATTACAACTTCAGTGAACTTCATTTAGATTGAACTTTTTGACCACTTACACCAAAAAATCCTGAGTCAGGGTTTGGAAGATCTCGAATGGAAAGCCGCGCAGCGGCTTTTTAAAACACGAAGCCGCGAAGCGGCTTCGCCGTTAATTTAAAAATACCTTGAAAGAATATTTCGCGAAGCCGCTCTGCGGCTTCGTCTTTAAAAAAGCCGCTTTGCGGCTTTTCAGTTTAACTCTTCAGACGCTGACTAAGGTTTTGTACACAGGTTGCCGAGCCTCTCCCAGCTCTAGCCCGTCAAATTTCGCTGAAGAAACAGGTTTGAAATTGGGTTCTTTGTCCGTCTAAAAAGCATTAATCCGGACTACGGGCGGTAATTAAGCTTTCCGGGCGCAAATTAGGAATGCTGCTGCTCCGTGAACAGGACCGCCGATTTCACAATGACAGTCACGGTGGATCGGCCGGACAAGCGGGCTAAGCGCCGCCAATCTCGAATTTCAGCAATTTAAACACGCTTCCTCGAATTTACAGAAAAGGCAATGTTCTAAGTCTTTCTCTAACTCGCTTTGCACGTTGGTCAAGCGGGAAGGTCCCGGATTTCGACCACGACTTGAGTTACGGTGACCAGAGTTTTGTTGCATAACGAAAACAAGTGATTTCAGCTTCAAATGCAAGATTCATGAAAATTGTTGAACTGACATGTGTAAAAAGCCTGAGTCAGGATTTTTAAGATCTCTAATGAAAAGCCGCGCAGCGGCTTTTTTAAATACGAAGCCGCAGGGCGGCTTCGCGAAATTATCTTTCGAGTCGACTTTTAATTACTGGCGAAGCCGCATCGCGGCTTCGTGTTTAAAAAAGCCGCTGCGCGGCTTTTCATTACAGTCATTTCAGACCTTGATTCAGGTAGCCTGAGTCAGGCTTTTTACACAGGTTGCCGAGCCTAGATAGGGATTAATATCAAAAAAAGGAGGAAGAAACTCTTACGATGATGGATTATAAAATTTTCACTTGAAATTCAATCTTCCCCAAGTTTGATGCTCGGCGGATGTGTCCTGTCTCTACATTGAATTTTTCCTTTTTGCGATTTTGCGATTTTTCAAGGCGCTCGATTTTCGCAAGATCGAACATTTGAAAAGGGAGAAATTCCGCGAAGTGGCGTCACCAAACGTTGCGTCAAATTTTAAAGCAAGATGGACCAAGGCGTCGCGAAAATGTCACGAGCGAATTTGGGTTCAACGAATCAGCGCAAATATCACAAAACGCATTTATGCAACATCTGTGGCCGCATCTTATCGAAAACGGTTGTTCCATGAAATTTGACCTGCTTTTTTCATCAATAAAATAAATTTGGAAGTCTTGTCTATGCCTGGGTCGACAACCTGTGCCGAGAACCTGAGTCAGGGTCAGAAGAGCTAAATTGGAAAGCCGCGTAGCGGCTTTTTCTTATAAACGAAGCCGCCTGGGCTCGGCAACCTGACTAAAAAACCTGAGTCAGGGTATAAAAGATCAAAAATGAAAAGCCGCGTAGCGGCTTTTTCAAAAACGAAGCCGCGGAGCGGCTTCGCCAGAAGTTAAAGATAAGATTGAAGAATAATATTGCGAAGCCGCTTCGCGGCTTCGTTTTTAAAAAAGCCGCTACGCGGCTTCTCATTTTTGATTTTTTATACCCTGACTCAGGTTTTTTACTCAGGTTGCCGAGCCCAAGAAGCCGCAAGGAAAGCCGCCAGAAATCAATAATAGATCGAGATGGTTTCATTTACAAAGCCGCTTCGCGGCTTCGATTGTTAAAAAGCCGCATTGCGGCTTTTCATTTTTGATCTTTCTCACCCTGACTCAGGCTTTTCAAACAGGTTGCTGAGCCGAGTCTTTGATATTGGTCTCATTTTATTTTATTCATTATTTTCTACAAGATTTCAAATAATCAAAGTAAGTTTATTGCCACGTTCCATAATTGACAAAAAAGATGCGAAAGGTGCGAAAGGCGAGAACGGCGGCGGAGACAGAGCGGAAAGATGCGCTTTGGAATGTGACGAAGGAGAAAGAAAAACGAGAGCTACAACGTGAACTGGCTTAACAACTCGTGCAAAAGGTTGTTTCAAGAACTCTTGGTCGGCGAAAAAGCGAATTGATGAAGACCAGACTGCCAGACTGGATAAGTTCCAAAATGACCAAAAATCCGGCTTAGTTTGCGAACCACGTTGCATAAGATAAGCCAAAAATTTGAATTCCGAAAAAAGAACTTTTTATTTTCTGATATATTTTCTGTATTTTCAGTATAAAATTTTTGAAAATTTTCTAACCCTGAAAATTTTGGGGTTGAAAATTTTGGGTTGGCGTCAGGAACCGATGAAAAATTTTGAGAAATTTTGCGTGGGCGGCTACTCGGCTGCTGATTGGCCGGTGAGCCGAATCCGGGCTTCTGATTGGTTGAAAATTTCCACGCAAAATTTGTCGAAATTTTTTTGTCGGTTCCTGACGCCACCCCAAAATTTCGCTTCTGTTCGTCGCCAATCACCACATTCGATAGCCCCATCGATCGGGTTTGTCTTCAGGAGCAGTTTTGTCCAGAAGAGCCTGTTGATAGGCAGTGAGGCGATCGAGAAAGTCTCGTTGTTGTTGGCGCATTTTTTCAAGCTGGTCTTTTTGCTCGGGTGTTAGGGAGTCGTAAAAATCACTTGGGCACATTTTCCTCTTTTTTTTTCGTTTGTGTGTAACTTGGGAAACGATTGGGAAAGAGGGAGGAAAGAGGAAATATGTTGAGTCATGATTTTTGAAGCTCAATCGATTTCCGGTTGAAAATATAGGCCGAGAAAGAATTGTTTTTGAAAAAAAACGTCGCCAAATTGCCCCTCTCAGAGACTCTGTTGTTCAATTTTTCGCGCACTTGATTTGGCATAATTTTGGGATTTGGCTGAGCTGGCGCTAGAATCGGCCATAATGGCGTAATATTCTTATAGAACGGTTTTCTTTATTTAACTAAGGCGCTTTCTTGAACATTTGCCGCGTGAAATCGGAGTTATTTAATCTGGCATGGCGATCCTAGGTTAAAACCCTTGGTAAACCAATATTTAAAGCGCGTTCTACTATTAGACATTGATTCGGCGGATTTGGTTTTAAGGAAATTTGAGATGAAGGATTTGTGATGAAAATCGAAGGACTTTATTTTCCGTTATTAATATTTTCTGAAAAAAAAGTAATTAAGGACCCCTCCGTCATGTGGGAATAACTTTTTCAAACAGTGATTTCGAGGTGACCCCCTTAAGATTTCCGAAAACTTTTTTGCTCTTTGGGTAGCCCGATAGTTGGTCTAGGGCACCAGAAGTAAAAGCACGCTCGTGCACTTCTTAAGGGTGTCGCAACAATACTTTCAAGTTTCAAACATCGATATCTCTGAGATGACCTTAAGAATCAAAAATTTTTAAAAACTCAAAATAAAGCTTAGATTGATGTCGAGGGCACCAGAAGAAAAAAATTAAGATATGTAAAGGGGTTCACTTGAAAATGATTTTTCCTTTTTAACGTAAAATTGATTAAAACCGCAAAAATTTCTTTAATTATGCACTATGAATAACTATTTTAGCATTTTTTTCCAAAAAAAATATTTTCCCTTTATAAAATTCATAAAAATAAGTGATTTTTATGTTTTTCATGAAAAAGTTGCTTCCGCCCAGTACAAACCGCGTCGTTCTATGCGCTCCGCCTTTACAAATTCAAAAACTTTGACTCAATTTTTAAGGGTGTTAGAGTGGAGATAGGCGGATAAAAAATGAAGCGAAAAAATGGTTTTTCGGCACGAGGAATCAGAATTCGAGGTCGAAATTTTAAATTTCGACATTTTAAAATCTTGACGGGGGGGGGTCCTTAATTATTGGCATTTATTCGTCGAATATTACTTTAA